CTCGTATATCTGCGAGAACAGCTGCCTTGGGCATTTCTTGATGAACCTCTCAATCACATCTTGGGGGTCAATTCTGAGATTGTAGTTGATGTTCATGAGAACTAATGCTGACAATCGCTCCTCTCACATTGTTGAACGTAGCACAGTTTTGTGACGTCGGACCACAGAAAACGACCTCTCAGCTTCACAACTTGTTACCGGGATGAGACATGCAATCTGGAGCAACACATGCAGATTTGGGAACAGGTCTCATGCGCAAGAGTTCAGAGCCTCTATCAGTGAGTCAGGAATGCTTGTTGGTTGACTGTTCAGCCATCGACCGTGCCAAATTTGAAGCTCGGTTGACAAGCTGCTAAAGCGTGGGATGTCATGCTCATAAGCGATGAGCTCTGCAACAAGTTCTGGTATGGCTTTGAGCGGCTTCTTTATGAGTACACTGGGGATGAGGCTTGTCAGGGCCGAGATGACTGATGTACTGTTCGAGGGGAAGCGATCACCCTGTTGTGTGAGCACATCATCCGTGAATGGCATCACCAACGCCCGCTTGAAATATTCCTTGGGACTGTCAGCTGGATGGGTCGCTCGGTGAATGTTGGATCCTTTTGCTCTTGGCACGCGTTCGTCCACGTCGAGTGCCTGAGCGATCTCCTGTATTTCTGCGTACCATAGATCAAATCTGGTGTCGATGTCTTGGCGGAGTGTTTTCATGTCAGAAACTACACCATCTATTGAATTGTAGGCCTTGTAGATGTCTAAGTCTTTCTTCTGAAGTTTTGTTGTGATTTCTCGCAGTGGCTGGAGAACGTTTTTGAGCGTGACGAGGCACACAACTGTTCCAAAGTCCTTAAAGCTTGCCAAGATGCCTTGCGCCCGGGATTTGGTGATGGCGCCTCAAGACCAGTTTTCGCTAATCAAAGCGCAGATTTCCTCGTCGTCATCATAAAGATGAGGATGGAGAATGATGTCACAGGTGGTCACAGTTGTGGTTGAAAAATCTAAGAAGTTTCCAATTGCATCAAATCTCTCGACCTATCTTGTTTTACACAAGCCTTTTAACTTGTGTTGTTTTTGGTGTTTCTCTGACTCTTTTTCCTTGTTTTCTCTAGTGACTTAGATGTCAATAACTCTCTCAAAGAGAGCTTGCCATTTGTGGGAGGCACTAAGGAAGAGATACGCTTTGTTGATAGCACTGATGCAATTTCGAATCTGAGGTAGCTCGGAGGCGCTTGCAATTACCAGGTTTAACTTGTGACTGTTGCATGGGGTGTATAGCGCATTAGGAACCTCTCTGCGAAACAGGCCTTGCAAACCATTCCGGTCCGTCGACATTGTCGCTGTCGTGTCGTAAGCCTGTCCACGTACTTTCAAAGGATCTAGTGCACACTCAGTGAGCTGCGTCTTTATCGCTTCCACCAGGTGACACGCAGTACCACGACTTATGTACTTGAAGTCGATTAGTCCTTCCTTTATTTTCATGTGTTCCTCGTTGTCATAGTCCAGGTAACAATTGCAAAGTGAAAGGATGTGTCGATTTGCAATGTCATCCGTTAGTTCATCCGCAATGATACTGTAGAAAGGACACTGGTTGTCATTTGTTTGTCCGGTAATTGATTTGCGAATGATGTCGCCAATTATGAGCAACAGCTCATTCTGTATAGTTTTTGAAGTGTAGCGAGCATTCGCTGGACACGTATCAAGAAAACGACGTAGATTCGAGTCAGTTTCGGCTCGAAACTTAACAAGCGCCTGCAGGTTCCCCGTGTTCATGCTTGCACCTGCAGTGCTGTCATCGCGATGTCCACGAAATGCGATGGCTTGACGGCCAAGGTACAACATGCATTCAACTATGCTTGTCAACGCTTCCTTGTTGTTATCGAACTGTTGTTGCTTTTGTTTGTTAAGCTGGCTGTCAATTCTCATATCTAACACACCGAACTGGCATCCTCTCCCTCCCTTTCGACGAGCAAAAAGGAAGCATGGGTAACAGTAGCCCCCGTTTTGTGCCTTTGAGTACACCAGCCATCTGTATTGGTCTAACCAGGACTGCTTGAACTTCAGGTTGCATCCCTTAATCACTCTTGAGGGAAAAACAAAGTCCTTGTCAGGGTGGAAATGGTCCTGAAGGAATTTGATTTTATCTGCGTCCTGGATCCCTACCCTTTTCACGTTGCCAGCATCATCAACCTTCCCTCACGAAGAAGAACTGTTTGATCCGTCCTCGCTGAATTTTCCAACATTTCTGGTAGAAGATGATTCGCCCACCTCAACAGGCTGACTGACTGGTCCTTTATCTCTGGTTGCAGATTGTTCACCCACTTCCACGGGCATGTCTTTTTTTGTTTTGTCAGCGTTTTTTTGCCTTCTTTGAAGTTGAGAATGGAACCTTGTTGTTTTCGTTTCGGTTCCATAACTGATAAGAGGCTACAAAGATTAGTGGCTGTTCTATTGCACTCTAAGTGCCTAACGTCAACAGGGCACAACGTTAAGCTCTACAGTATCGTGATTAAAAAACACCCGACCAAAAATTTACGATCAAAAGTGGCCGTATTTTGCAGATTTTATAGAGTGTATCTATGTCGCAACAGTTGACAAGAAACCTAAGACAAGAATCTGGGGCCCATGGTAAAAAAACACACGCACACAGAAATGCTTTGATTATGCCGACGAACCAGCTCGCCCAGGAAGCCACACCCCTGCCCAAATCTAACCGCAAAGTGAGTATATGACTTCACACACAAAGGAAGCAACAGGGCACAGATAATGACTTTGGGGTATCACATTACACTGTATTTGGGCTTAACATCACGTACAATCTTATTTAGACTATACTTTCTAGCCAGTTTTCCACTCATAATGGTCACCATATACAAATAACAACCCCTGCAGAATGTCATTTTTTGTATTTTTACTATTATTGTTATTTTTTATTTTTGGGGGGTCAGAGCAGGGGGACCCCCCCCCCCCCCCCCCCCCCCGGATCCGAGCCTGCAATAGAGAGGGGCCGCATCCTGTGGGAACTGGGGGTGCCGCCATCTGATCCCTAAGACCTGAAGACAGGGTTTTTGACAAAGAACCAGTCGGAGTCCTTTTCGCCTCCTGACATCTTTGTGCCAGATATAAAATCTTTCTTCTCCGTCCTCGATGACAAATTTTGGTGTCCAGTCAGAGCCCTGCAGTGGTACATCTACCGCCCAAAGACATTTTTAACTGATCATTTGCAGCTTTTTGTCAGGACAACGCTGCCATACCGGCCAGCTTCCCATGACACGATCGCCTGCTAGCTAGTTATGACCATCAAGTCTGTGATGGACACGTCAATGGCAGAGACCATTGGATCAGTCTTTGCATAGGATATCAGGGCAGCTTCCACCTCATAGGCCTTCTTTAGGGGTGTCTCAATAGGAGACATCACGTAAGTGGCATACTGGAAGACTCCCAACACCTTCACTGAGTGTTACTTGAGAGCAGGCTGAAGGCGGCTAGCCGAACCTCATCACATCCACAGAACGCTCTCCAGCCGGTGACCACCATAAAATAGGTGTGTCTCCTTACTCTGTTTTCTTATTGAACTTTTTACATATAGGGTGGATATGTATTATGTTCAGTATGACGCATTCCCCCTAACGGGCCCGTGCCTCGGTTAACATGTTGAGACTACTGCGTGGTTAAGTTACTTAACATGCAGGCCTTCTGGGCTCGTTCAATATCAACCAACATGTGGAACAGTGGGGCCCATCCGGGGTTATGCCTCATGTCATGTGCCCCTGTAATTATACAGTAGCATCTCGCATTGCCCACCGCCTATACATGGTGCTATAGTCTATGCATAAGTAGATTGCTCTACAGGTAAGTTGAGTGAAGTAGACACCCCCCCCCCCCCCCCGACAGAAGCGTTGATGGGGTCTACGAACAAATACTTACCCGTAGAGCATCCCTCCTACCCCACTATTAGTAAAACATGGGTGCTCCGACTAAGTGCTCGAGAAAAGAGGAAGAGCACGGGGCACTATGAGTAGGACACTAGAGTGCTTTGTGTAAACTCTTATATTAGTAAAATTAACCCCCAAATGGCATGTAATTATCAGTAGAACTTTTGGGGGGGGGGGGGGTCAAACTTGAGGGGTCTTTTCAAATACTAAATAACATAGTAACATGTATATACTTTTCCTTTATTCCCCTAAATTTTGGGCAAAAATAGCTTGATAATAATTGGCAAACAATAACCCCTACACCATGTACACTGCTAAGCATGAATTTTGGTGGTCATTTGTTTCCTGTCCTATGTTACCAAAGAAGTTGAGGGGTGGCTCATACTTGGCATAAAAGCAAACATGGATATGAAACGTGTCTTCATGGTAAGCGTTGAATGTTATTAGCAAAAGTTGAACACATTTCAACTTATGGAAATTTGTCATTAAAGTCAAATTCACTTCACATTTGTATATTTAACCAGCCACCTTATGGTGTCTTATAGGGGTATATTTTTGTGCTTTTCAGGTAGCCAACTGGGCTACTGAAACAGACTGCGGGCAATTTCACTAGCCCACATGCTTTTCTATTATAGAGTGTCTCATAAACAACAGTGTGCATACATGTGAAATGTGAATCCTGAGGCAATCTTGTCAGTGTTTATAATAAACAGATCTAATAATTTTACCCTAAACAGTTAATACAATCAGACACAAATTAATACAATTTAATGCTGTACATTGTATTTCTCCCTGTCCTTTTATCTTTGATGTAGCCCAAGTATTGTTGACCCCCCAGCCAGACTAGCCCGCCGTTGTTTTGACTAGCATTTGGCTAGTGGGCTATCGCTCAAGTCAAACCCTGCCTTTATACAGCCTACATTATTACTGACCCAAAACTGTGGTCAGTGTGTAGCGTGTGCAAGCATGCGAGGAGTATAGTAACAAGTTCTGTCTAATTGCTTCAATGATGTACAGGAACCGTTTTACTTTGACACAGGAGTTAATTTGAAATGTTGGATATCTTTGTAGGGTGGCATAACACCTATGGTGGGTGCATATGTAAAGGGTGGTGTTTCTGTAAATGTTGGAAACTTCCTGTTTGGTGGGATACAACTGCATGCTGATGTTCTACACACTAGCTTCCCGATTGTGGCTGAGATTCTCTTCTCCAAATTCCCACTAGATGTTGGGTAAGTTGAGTGTGAATGAGCCATTTCAGTATCTTTTAAAAGCCACGGGAAATGCAAATACTTATTTAACATGCATGTCAGACCCCAAGATAAAAATAGAATGTTTAGGGGCCTTGACGGAAGGGGTACACGAGGACAGGTTTGGAGTTTGACAGAAGACAGTGCAGATAACACTGGCTCTTCTTTTAGAATGATTGATAATTTACTTTAATTCTCAGCTTATCAAATCTAGGATTATATGCAATGCAAAGTGAAAGTCCTTCCTGTGATAGCATCCGTATGCATGCATGTGGTATTTTGGTTAAGGTTTCAAAAAATTGGTCTCATTTGAAAAGTTGAAGTCAAGTTGGAACCAAACTTGGTCATAGATGCAACATGGCAACCTTCATATGATCATGATGTCAAAGGTCACATACCGAGGTCAACAGTCATCTGAGGTCAAGTTGAAAATAGTCTGAAAATGTATAATTGGTCTAATTTGAAAAGTTAAAGTCCAATTGTAACCAAACTTTAGTCATAGATGCAACATGGCAACCTTCATATGATAATAATGTTGAAGGTCACATATCAAGGTCAAAGGGCATCTGAGGTCAATTCGTAAAAATAGGCTGAAAATGTCAAATTGGTCTCATTTGAAAAGATGAAGTCAAATTGGAACCAAACTTGATTCATAGATGCAACATGGGAACTTTTATATAATCATGATGTCAAAGGTCACATACTAAGGTCAAAGGTCATCTGAGGTCAAATTTTAAACTAGGCAGAAAATGTAAAATTGGTCTGATTTAAGCAGTTTATAAGTCCATTGCAATTGGCACCAAACTTGGGATCATATATGTGACATGGGCCAACCTTCATATGAGAATGTTCCTTCTTATGAGAAAGATCACAAACCAAGGTCATAGGTCATCTATCAAAAAAAGAAAAAAGAAACAGGCGAGACACGTGGTTCAAGAACCACCTTGTTTTGAAAATAGTAGGAACACTTGAATGAAATGACTTCCATAAAATCATGTTGTTCTGGCTGAGATTGAAAACCCAATCTACATATCTGCAAACTTGAATTCAAACCCATACAAAAGTCAAAAGGGTAAGACACTAAACACTTAGTCATTGTGGTTGAGGAAAGCTTCAAGTAATTATAACAATCATAAACAATTTTAGATTCACCAAACATATCACAGTCTGTTATCAGAAAAGTCCAAATTGATAGCTGATGCACTTTTGTGCATGAGCTCAAAACGACTTTAAAAACAAGGAAGCTTACGTATCAATCTGTCTCACCAGGGCCCAATTTCATAGCAATGCTTAACAGCCAATTTTGTGCTAACTGAGCCTACGTCTATTTCATAGAGACCATTAAAGCAGTAAACATAGTGAAAACACACTTAACCTAAGAAGAAAAAGTTGCTTACATCAATGATGGAACAGTAGAAATCTCCATGCGCACGCAACTGACAGCACATCCACGCCATGAAAATGTACTTAAGCAGCAGCATGATTTTCTTCTATAGTAAGCACAAATTTTTATGCTAACTGTTAGGCAGCGCTATGAAATTGGACCATGAAAGTAAGAACACTTTGATTCTTTTCTTCCAGAAAGCCAACGATGTACAACATAATCCTCACTAAAGAGCAATGACACTGTTTTCAAAGAATGTTGTTAAAAAAAATTAAACAGGGTAGACAGGAAAAAAAGAACTACCTTTCCTTCCTTCCTTCCTTCACATTATCAGATTGAAGATGGACATGGATATGATTCCTCTGGTCATTCGCCTGAAAGCTTTGGTGACGGTGGAAATCCCCTTCTTCGGAAGGAAAACTCTGTTCAACAAGGAACTATGGCGCTACACGGCTCCTGCTGTACACAAAAATATATTTGATATTCACACCAAGGAGCCTGATACATCACCTCCGGAGATTGAAGCATACTCAACACCAGTGGTAAATAATTATACAATCTATGCTATTTTTTGGTCATCCCTGATCTTGGGCAACTTAAAGCTGTAATCTTCCTGTTCCTTATAGAAAAGTCCAGAGTTGTACTCAAGTCCTCACATGTCAATCACAAATCAATCACTAGTCCTGTGGTCTCAAGTGAAGTCACAACCTTTTCAAAGGAATTGTGGCTAACGAATTCCCTTTTAAATTGTGGCCCTGTACTTTGTCGTGTGACAGGGAGAAGGTTGTAAGCAGCCCAAGCACGCAAAAGCACTTTTGGGGATAATCAAGTTAAAAAGTTTTGTGCTCCCATTTCTAAATTAAAAATCACATAAGGTTGAAATTTTAATAACTGCTGGAATTTGTTAATAATTATAATAATATTGTGCATTTTCTGTCAACGTATTACTTCATTGTGAAGTTATTTAAATTGTTTTGCTAAAGACCCTTTACCGGGAACTTCCCAAGCCTTAAATGTACACTTAAGCGGCATAATAAATCCTTATGACCTTTGTCGGGAACAAAATTGGCTTTGCGTACTCACTTGAATGGGACGTAGTGCGCTTGGAACATGTTTTTGTTACATTAGAATTACACGCTTACGACCTTTTGCCGGGCACAAACGATGAAAAACCTCCTTACGACCTTGTACTGTTAATAACGTCAGAATGACGTAGCCTCTCGAGACAAAATGTATATCAAATGAAAGATATTTCCAAGCTCTATCGATTACCCAAAAAATCTGAATTTGACCTTTTGACTCATATTTTGCCCTTAAGACCTTTTAATTAAAATTATTCCAGGCACCCGACAACAGTGATTTGACCTGGGATGGACTCAGCTCAAACGCAAATCTGGAAGAGCCTTTATCCAATGATATCCTGGCTAGAACATGTTGTAATTGAGTTAACCCTTTAGTCACTGTAGCACCCGAAACCACTCAGGCCGGTCTAATACTCCTGTACCATTCAAAACCGCTCAAGCACTCTATGATTGAATGTTAACAAAATTTAATACAATGTTGTGCAGTTACAGATGGGTTCATATAGACATGCATACACAAGCTTATATGGGAACATCAGGCATTCGTAGACTGTTTCTTTGTTTTAGTTATTCCAGTTTGTACATTGATGTCTCTCTTGAAACATTCTAACTATTCCTGGTTTCTCTAATTCTCATTCAAACAATAACAACTTTGGTCCTGTATCATTTTTTGAAGCTTTGCGTGAGTAATTCCATTCAAAGTAATTCAGAGAAAAAGTTCAAAGTAACTCCAAGTATTTAAAGGGATGTAAGCGTCCTGCAATGGACCTTATGCGTAGCGGCCATCCTAGAGGGTATTGTTTGTTATTTTTTTTCAGTAACAGTGAATGCACACAATATTCACTCATGTGTATCCTAGCAAAAAAAAGGCATTTCCCTCCTAAGATGGTTGTTAGGCATAAGGTATATCGTTATGTGTACATGCATACCTGTATACTGGTATCTCAAATTCCAGGCATAAATGTGATGACATTTTTGTCCCATGAAGGACGCCGCTGGATCCACAAGGAGGAGTGCAGCAGGCACCAATCTGTGTGGCGTTGAGCAGGTTCCTGGACTAGACTACACAGAGCCAGCCTTCCAGCTGGAGATGGTAGCAGCTGATGACAAGAGCTTGGTGAAGTTCTTCTATCAGGTTGGGACGGCACCTGGAGGTAGCGATGTGGTCTCTAAGACGGAGTTTGGTGGACCCTCAGCTATCATTTCACAAGTAAGAACTACCATAGGTCAAGGGAAAGTTTGTGCCCAAGGTCTTGAATCGTGATTTATTGACTGAGACATGTCTGGGAATTTATTTTTATGGGTAGTTATAGGTGTAGGAAATGTTGTTTTGAGATCATTTGATATTTGTCAACTTCATTCAATAGTTGTCATCTGCTCAATTTTGTAGTCTGGATTATAAACTAGTACACTTTCTGAATGAATGTTATATTGAAAAACAAATGTTTATCTGGAAGAATGTTGCTATAATGAACACTACTATACTGAACATTCGGCTGTACTGAACATCCCCATTGCTTCCATGCAGATTTGCACAATCAATACCAAATACTACCAAACCTTCGGAAAACGCATTCATGTTGTCAAATTGTCTTACTCAAAATGCTTCTAAACTACACTTGGATGTCAAAAACGCTTATAAATATTGTAAAGAACTACCTAAGAACTATGTGAAGATCTAGCAGTTCAACGGTAAAATCGGTACTGGTTCCTGCCACCATCATGATATTAGCTGCAGTGATGAATGGAAGAATCGGTAACCCAGTTTAAAACACTGGGCCAAAGATGATGACGACAAAATGTTCACTAACCTGATCAAAAATTGAAGTCACAAAAAAAAACCTGATTCCTATTCTGGAACCAAACAAGTGTTTTTCTGTTGTTTATTTTACAAGTTGTTGTCGCTCATATTTATAATGAAAGCACAGGGTGTTTTCTACTGACTGCAACTGGTGTGTACATGCGGTATATATGGCTGGTGAAAGTGCATACTGATATCATGTAGTACGAACCGTGTTGGCAAATTTGCAGTGGCCAATCCATGTACATGGGTTGACTATTCCTCCAATTTAAATCATTTAAGTTAATTAATTAATGAAAATTAATGAAACCCCATTATGGGCTTCAGTGAGAGACCTGTTTGGGATATTCCCCCGATTATAAGGAATATTATGCTATCTTGGAAACTTAGTGCAATGACGACAGTCAAAAATCACTGTAACAAATGACAGCTGTGCCATAAAATCAGTTTTGGACACCTTTGTGTTTTCTATGGCAATTTTTCTACCGTGTCCTCTGTACTTTACATTAGGTAAAAAGTAATGAAAATAAAAAAGAGTATAAATTAACTCTCAAAATTGTCAATTGTTTAGTCTTTTGGGCCTTATTGTTTTTAGTGTTTGCTAACACATATTAAACGTTTAGATTTTTGGGGCCATTAAAATTTGAAAATTTTCTTGAATGATTTTTTTTTCTGTCTATAGATTCTTCTAGGAGGACATCCTCTTTACTTCACTGTTTATGCCATGAACAACGGTGGAGGCACTTCCACAGCTACCTGCAGCCTGCCGACCTTTGACATCACCTTGCCAACGGGTCGCATCACACCAGACTTCACCTCCACCAGTCACCCATACATTCTCCGTGCATCGGCCGTGGTGTATGATGACTCAGTTATCTTGATGCAGAAGGAAGGTGTCGGTCTCAGCCCTGGAATTTGGGGCGATCAGATTGTGCCATGGAATACCATTGATATCACTGAGAGGCAGCACCTTGGAGATTCAAGTAAGCAGAATCTGGAAGATTTACTTTTTTCTTTCGCATTCAGGGGATATTAATTCATGATAGTTACCATCTCTTGTGAAATAGGTTTTGTGCTATGGCATTGAAGTGTGGGGAGAAGTCAATTGTGCCAAGGTTATTCCTTGAATATTAGAAGATCAGTGTGTTACCTCCCGAGTGAAAGTTGGAGAAAACCACTCGGGTGGGACTTGAACCCACGACCTCCTGCTAATTTGATTTTTAATTTAATTTGATTTATATAACCCCGATGCAAAATTCTATCTTATATTAATTATCCAAATTAAATCGGAGATCTGACTTTTCCAAATTCATTTCCAAAATTCAGATTTTTCTGACAATCTTTTCCCGAGAACGTCCGATTTTATTTCAAAGAATTTAAAAACGACACTGCTACAACTGTATTGAGAGTGTAATTTTAATCTGCATTCTACCAGTCGTCAATGCACAGATTGTATTGGTATAGACGCACATAAGTACATGAAACCCAGATTAGAGTAGCTTGCGGCTAGAAATTAGTTGGCGCATTAACATATGATTATGACATGATTGAATACGTACTACAGAGCTTCAAGGCTGTTGCACGTGGAGTTCTACTGCAATAAAATCGACTCGTTGCGCGATTTTTGGAAGTGTGATACATTTCACTGGCGGTTGTTGGAAGAAAAAGACGATAATGTCTGATTTTCCAACGCACATGTATGTCAGTCGGTTGAATGATGGACACGATCAAATGGTGTTATGAATGCTGCACTTGTCTTTCAGACTTTTTCTCAACTTTCTCACTTAAGAAGTGAACTTCTTTCTTATAACGAGTCCGTTTAAACAAAACAGGAGGCGGTGTCGGGAAATTGGGCATGACGTGTATTGTACATACACACATTTACATTTACATGTATGTATATTGTACATGTGTAACTGGGGTGCGGCCCAGATTTTGGATACAGATTTTTGTTCGGCCTATTTTTCGATTTTTTTTCCCCATTGGCCAGTTTCATCTCTGGAAGACACCATAGCAAACCAGAATAAAATACAAAGAGCAATATTTGAGAGAACTGCAGGGAAATGGTAACAGTAGTGTTTTGAGCCACTGTTGCCTCTTTATGTTATCAATCCAGCAGTAACAAATATTCCTTATAATATAAAGACTTTCTAAAAAGTGAATTTTATCGGACACCTAATTCAGTTCTCAAATTAATCTTGCCTACCCTTATTACCTGAAACAGTCAATGACTTTCACTACTTCACCGCTGCCAAAAAAGGCCGCCTCATCTCCAAGCCAACGTCAACCATCATTCATCACAACCCCAACTTCTGTGTGCGGGACTGCCTAGTACTCCCAGAAACCCAATGTCTGAGTATCAACTACGACTATGGGGACTTCACCTGTGAACTGCTGAAGGAAATTGAGGGCCATGGGGTCGAAGTTCATGAGGTTAGTTCATGATTGTCACAGAATAGTTGTACCTGCCCATGTGTAGAAATTCAGTCTGTTGAACACAATAATCTTTGCTTTTCGTATATTTTGGCAAGTTTGGTTCTTTTTATTTGTATGAGTTTCCTTTTTCCCATTGCTGATTATGTTGTTTGGTTGGTTGTTTGGTTGGTTGGTGGACACTTTACTCGGCAATATATTGTATTCATACAACTCAAGTACTACAGCTTTGCAAGTATACATGTAACAGCTTTGCATTTGAAGACCGGTTTGCAAACACTGTTGCGCATGCGTCTAATTTGCATACTTGTTGCATATTAGATCCCGCCCCATTCCTTTTCGTTTTCTGTGGCCGTGTCCAAATCAACTGGCTGCGGCCGGGAGTAATTACACACACATGTCTATGGGGAGTAGCTGTAGCCACAAGCCAGTGGCTTGCATAGGCGCACGTGTTATTTCCAGCTGCAGCCACAACTTTTGGACATGGCCTAAACTCTTGAGGAACCGGTACGGCCGCAAAGTTTCTTTTCCCAAACTACATCCACGTACAAGGTTTTTGACGCCATTGACGCAAGCCCGTCGCCAGAGGGGGGGGGGGGGGGGCTGGTGGGGCCAGTCCCCCCTTGGCGAGCAATTGCCCCCCCCCCCCCCCACGGCAAAAGCCATACATGTGTATGTTTGTATTTTATTGTAGTGGGCCCCCTAGTTGGTACTAAGGCCCCTCCTGACGCTCAGGGCTGGCGACAGGCCCACCTCTATGATACTTTTATGATACATACACAGGTATATTTTAGCATGAATTTCCAGGATTTATCTAGCAGTGCGATAGCTCAGTCAGTAGGGTAGTGATTTTGTGCCCCGAGGGATCCTCGCAGTGTTGTGGGTTCGAGTCACCGTTGTGTACCCAAAAAAAATTTTCTTTTCCAATCTGAGGCTTTGAAGGATTTTTTTCAAAGGGAAATGAAAGTCCGAATTTCATTACGTTTGAATTCATTTCTTTTTGTTTCTAATTTCATATTTTTTTTCTCATATTTTTAAGAGAAGTAAAGGCCAAAACCCAATAGCGTACACCCCATGCGGATGTCGTTTGGGACGGAAAAAAATTGCGGTACGGCCCCAGTGCACGGACGGTGCCGTATAGCCTTCTACACACATGTTACCCGGCCGCCATGGGTTGTACCACTTGGTACTTGTTTTAATTGCTTCTTGTTTTGCTTCAAAGCAATCCGATAGGCTGACTGTGATGAGTTTTTTATTATAGTTTTTTTCTGATAATGAAACCATGGATCTCGCATGCATGATCTTCAACCAAGTATTGATTAACTCTAACCCCCTAGACTGACTTAGGAACCTTCCTCACTCCTGCAAATTCCAACACTGCATGGTAAGCTGTACACAAAAACTGCTGAACTTTGATCATTGGTGGTATTCCTAATTATAACTCATGTAAAGTATAATCATTGTTGGTATTCCTAATTATAACCCATGTAAAGTATAATCAGTTAACTAGTACAGTAATCACTCTAACAGATTCCAACAAACCCTGGTGTTGGAGTTGTACTGGATGGGGATTGTTAGGGCTATACATGTTCAGTTTTGCTACATATTCTGTTCATTTTAGTCCCTTGTGCAGCATGGGCAGGACTTGAACCCCAGATTACAAAGGTAGAGGAACAAGGAAAATCAACCAGATCCCTCTCTTGTTGAGGATATGTATTCTTTTTATGGATACAATCATTGAGGCTTCTCTTTCTTTTCAGTCTGGACTCTTCTCCCATTATGAGCGGCTTGGTGTGGGCCACGCTGTAGAGTTCAATCACGAATCACTCCAACTCGTCCACAACAACCTCTACTACTTCAACATAGAGCTCCTCAACTACGTGGGGTACGAGAACATCATTTCGTCCGTCGGCATCATCACGGACTTCACTACACCAGACCCTGGGCTAATTGTGAATGGGACCAGGGATGAGGTGGTGCGTGAAGCGTGTGTGGAGTTCACACCAGAGGAATGGGAGAGACGATGCATTGAAGACACACCGCTGGTGAACCACCGGTAGGTACTGCTTAAAGTGATGCTTGGAGTGAATATGTAACTAAGCAAAAAAGTAGGATGATTTCAAGGTAATCAATAAATGACACAAATAATAACTGTTGAGGAAATTCTGCTATATAACCAGTAACTTAAAATTCAGTTACTGAAAAAGGCTTAAGTTTTAAATCACAAGAATAAAGTGCTTTTGTGTATGACAAAGGTACATACCAGAAATGAATTGACTAGTTTGAAACCTTCATAATTACCTCTTTTTTTTTTTTGAATAGTCACAGTTTTGAGTATTAACTAATCCTGTGTTGTGTGCCACTCTGCATTGACTTCTTAAAGGTACTTTCTTTCATGACAAATTATTCATGTTTGCTTTTTAGCAACAGCTTGATAACTTTTCCAAAATTTGACTGTTCAGTTGTACCTTCAGTCTGGTCAATGCAGGCTTGTGTATGTCTCATCAAAGAAGGCAAATCTGGTCATGAATGTAGTTGTATTTTGTGACATTTACTCTGACCTTCGTTATCTTGTGATTTAATTTCAGCTATATCACTGATGGTCCTGGTTCTATGACAGTGTTTAATGGCCATGAGGAACTTGTTGACGTGCTGTATACAAGAAGCAATACCTTCATGGCAGGTAACGATGGATGGGGCTTCATAGCAAATAGAGGCAAACTTTAATAATATCATACCTTAGCTTAACCTGGTGTGCAGTTTTTACGTCACTAATTTTGCAATTTTTAAAATTATTATGAGGATCAAGTGTCCATGTCATATTAACCAGAAGCAATACCATTATGACCACTAAGCATGAGAGCAGCCTCATATTAAGAAAGGGATGGTACCTATGCTTTCTTGGTACGACCATAGGCTCTAATTTATGGCCTTGCAAACCATAGAATGCTACATGTACCGCAATACTGTGCTTAGAGTGCTAGCCAAAGAATTCTGCACTAACCTTATATTCAGTTGAGGTTAGGTTTATTTTGACAAGAACGGACCGAGGCACGGGTTTAATATTCACTCGACTGCAGTGCCAGGCGGGTCGAAGCCATCACCCTTGGGCTGTAGAGTCATATTTATGGCCTCGGTCATGGCTTTTACAGATATTTTCCAGCCTCATCCGTCATCCTATCTGACTTTTAGGAAACTTTTGCATGTATACACGGCCTCCGGCGCGAACTGGTTAAGCAAAGAATCCTTAGTTACAGATTGCAGGCCTGAGTACAAGCCAAGAAATCTGTAAATTACTCAAACTTTGAGTTACGAATTTTCTGCCGTAGATTATAGCAGTGATTCTTGGCTCATTGTAAGCACAACCAAGTAATGTGGCCCTACATGTTCACAGTGCCACCACAGCACTGTACTATCCTGGTAGACATGTCTCCACAGCTGAACTTTGTCTCGACTGGCATCCTGAGTAACACTTTCATTTCTTCACAGCCAACTGGGAAGGCATCCATGACAATGAGACTGGTATCCATGGCTACACCTGGTCCATTGGTAACGCTGTATGTGATGATGATGTCAGCATGCATATTGATCCTCATGCTCATCTGTTTGATGAGTCAGAGTGGACCCACCAGGGTCTGGTTGTCAATGTCAATCTGCCAGGTAATAATTATCAATGACCCACATATTATGCATTGTTTTAGTGGACCTTGATGGAATACAGCTATTGACTGCTTTGAGTTGTGTAGTGAAACTATTTCCCCAAGGGGTTCCATTGCATGTTCTATATTGATCCTCATGCTCATCTGTTTGATGAGTCAGAGTGGACCCACCAGGGTCAGGTTGTCAATGTCAATCTGCCAGGTAATCCTTATCAATGACCCACATATTATGCATTGTTTTAGTGGACCTTGATGGAATACAGCTATTGACTGCTTTGAGTTGTGTAGTGAAACTATTTCCCCAAGGGGTTCCATTGAGTGTTCTATATTAATCCCCATGCTCATCTGTTTGATAAGTCCGATTGGACTCACCAGGGTCTGGTTGTCAATGTCAATCTGCCAGGTAATCCTTATCAATGACCCACATATTATGCATTGGTTTAGTGGACCTTGATGGAATACAGCTATTGACTGCTTTGAGTTGTGTAGTGAAACTATTTCCCCAAGGGGTTCCATTGCGTGTTCTATATTGATCCCCATGGTGTTCTATATTGATCCCCATGCTCATCTGTTTGATGAGTCCGAGTGGACTCGCCAGGGTCTGATTGTCAATGTCAATCTGTCAGGTAATCCTTATCAATGACCCACATATTATGCATTGTTTTAGTGGACCTTGATGGAATACAGCTATTGACTGCTTTGAGTTGTGTAGTGAAACTATTTCCCTAAGGGGTTCCATTGCGTGTTCTATATTGATCCCCATGCTCATCTGTTTGATGAGTCCGAGTGGACTCGCCAGGATCTGGTTGTCAATGTCAATCTGTCAGGTAATCCTTATCAATGACCCACATATTATGCATTGTTTTAGTGGACCTTGATGGAATACAGCTATTGACTGCTTTGAGTTGTGTAGTGAAACTATTTCCCCAAGGGGTTCCATTGAGTGTTCTATATTAATCCCCATGCTCATCTGTTTGGACTCACCAGGGTCTGGTTGTCAATGCCAATCTGTCAAGTAAATCTTCATCAATGGTCAAAGTAGTATGTGTTGTTTAATTTACTGTGGGTCTGCAACTATTGCCTGCTTTGAGTGTTATAGTGAAACTATCTCCCCAAGAGGTTCCATTGAGTGTTCTATAGAAATCCCCATGCTTAGAATAGACCTATCGGGTACTTGCTGTTAATGTCAATCTGCCGGATACTGTGGCATTCATTCCTGTAATAAAGTCGGAATATTTTAGAGCATGAGAGAGATAATTAACAGTTGTGGCCGATGGCATGTTACATTTGAACTGACAATAACAGTTGTGAACATTCATTCCACAATTTTGCAAAGAAGAAGAAGTAATGGTTTATGTTCGATAAATTTCATCTTTGTCAATAATCGATGACCATTACACTGAAAATCACTGAATCACAGCGATACACTGCCAAAAATGGTTTTGTTATTTGAAACAAACTTATTTATAAGAGATATTTCATGTCCTATACACTCCCCAGACTTTTGTTCTTGGGAGTTAATAATGAAGTTTTTGTTGAAGCAAGCATTAATTTAAAATTGAAAAATGCAAGAAAATCACTTCTTACAACATGTACAATACAGTAATTGTTAATAGTCAGCTATATTAATGTTTCACAAACTGAATGCCCAACTACAGTCCAAGATACCAATGGAAGCCTTATTCAAGTTTTAAAACTTCAGACTTATTTCCACAAAATGATCAAATGGTGAGTAATGCAAATTATCTTGCTCAACAGATGGTGCATATTACATCACTGTGCGTGCTCTCAACAAGGTAGAGTTTGGCGGTCCTATGGCACTCACTGTGTGTCACAGCACCCCTCTGATTATTGATAATACTCCGCCCATCATTTATAGCATCGATGACATCACCTATGACTCGTCCATTGGTAGAATTGGATTGCAGGTTAATGCAATGTGAGTTATTTTGTTTTCAACTTTGAACAAAACTTGAAGGTTAGTCAGGTGGTGAATCAATCAGTTTGAAATTTGTGGTAGTACTATGGTAGTAGTTGTGTATGGTACTGAGAAGAACAAGTGAATTTAAATTTGGACACATTGCACTGTTCAGCTTCAGACACTGTCTGTGCATGCTTTGTTGGTGGTTGGGTGGGTAAGTGGGTGGGTTGGTTAGTGGACAGTTTACTCGGCCCATTCTATCCGGGTGTATTATACTGTTTCCATGCCAGGTGTGTATAGCCGTTTTGATGACACTGATGCGCATGTGTCTAATTTGCATATTAGATCACGCCCCATTGCATTGCAAATTTGCAGTCGTATGGCTCAGTTATATGGCTATGTTATAAAAAAATAACATGTTAATGTTTTGTTCTTACATTATGCAATGAACCAACAACTAATTTTCATAACCAATTACTGTGGTGGTGGCATTTAAGTGTTTGTCATCTCTCTCCTTTTGTTAATCTTCAAGGGATTCTTTTGCTGGAGTCCATAATAATAACATTCTTAACTTTCTTTGTTTGAAATTGAGCAGCGATCCTGAGTCCCATCTGTTTGAGTATCACCTAGCAGCAGGCAGGACACCCAGGGATAAATCACTGCGTGATTGGGAGGCTCACGTCTTGGCTGAACAGCTCTACATGGACTTCAAGATACCCAATGGCATACCCTGCTGGGTTAAAGTCAGAGCAGTCAACAATGGTAAGAAGACTTATGATCAGATGAAATTGGTTTCGTTTCTGCAATAATAACTGTGGACAGCTGTAGCCAGGGTTCTCACCATAGGGAAGGGTGAGTTGGGGGGGGGGTTGAGATTTCTGTTAAACCTGTCATGCCTGTGGATGATGGTGCTAGTATGGGTAACTGTTACAGCTACATGTATATTATTATTCGGTATTATTGGGCTAATTCGCCACACACAATGTAACCTGCTAGGTGCATCCAGGTTTGCTAATAAACGAAACAAAAGCTTGAAACTTTATGTCTTTTTGGCGAGCTGCGAAGCAGATGCGAGCCTATGTAATACCAATTTCCGTCCATCTGTCCGGGCGCCCGTCTGTCCGTCCGTCCGTCCGTCCGTCCGTCCGTCTGTCCGGCCGTCCGCGTTCAGATAAAAATGTTGAAGTTTTTGGTTTTAGTTAACTTGGGGAAAAAAATTAAATGCAGTTGTCATGTATCATCTCTAGGCCTATAACTTCAGTTAGGTTCATATCATTGCAGTAAATTTTATGATTTTATTGAGGAACTTTAATTCAAGGAAATGTTAAAGTTTTTAATTGTTACATGTACATGTATACCGGTATAACATGTACATGTGTGTATACCGGTATAACATGTACATGTACACTATGCATTTTGGGGATGTGCATGATCTTCTGGTTTGATCTTTTAGTTTATGGGGTTGGAGTAGGGATGGGGTAGGGGAGGGCGGGGTGGGGTGGGTTGGGGGATAGGGTTGGAGTTAGGGTTTGTGTGAGTAGGATGAGTAGGGGAGCTAGGATGGGTGGGGCGGGGCGGGGCGGGTTGGGGTGGGGTGGGGTGGGGAGAGGGGTTGGAATACTGGGTTTGGGTGGGGTGGGGATTTGTAGGGGTGGGGTGGGAACAGGTAGGGAGAGACAGGTAGGGGGAGACAGGTAGGGAGAGGATGGGCATGGATGTAGGGGTTGGGTTAGGAGGGGGTTGGGCAGGGGGCGGGATATAGGATCGGAGTAGGGGTTGGGTTGGGGATGTGTAGGGATGGGTTGTTGTAGGGGTTGGATAAGGGGAGGGGGCAGTATATAGGGATCAGAGTAGGGGTTGCATGGGGTCAGGTGGGGATGTATGGGTGGGGGAATGGGGTGGGCGGGATATTGGAATTCGAGTAAGGGTTAGGGTGGGGATGTGTAGGGTGGGTAAGGACAGATAGGGGAAGATAGGGTAGGTGGGTGTAGGGGGTTGGGGTAGGGGAGGGTACGGGTCAGGGGAGGGGGAAGGAGATAGGGATTGGAGTTTGGGTGGGGTTGGGATGTGTAGGTGATAGGGTGGGGATGGTTAGGGGAGGATGGAATGGGTGTGGGTAGGGGGTTGGGAGGGGGAGGGGGCGGGTTGGGGATTGGGTAAGATTTTTGGATGGGGTAAGGTTTGGGGGAGGTGGTGATGGTGCTGTGTCTACATGTACATGTATGCCCGTTCTTGTTCTGCATTTGTGGCGACTACACAAGATTTTTCCCATGGTAATACAAGTATGGGGAGCAGAAGACACTGTTGGGGCTGCAAAAATCCACAACTGGGTCCTAATTACCCTAACAATGGAAAACTCCCCCATAATACAGTGACGGCTAACCTATATACACATGTATTTATTAGGTAATCTGTTGACTTTTTATGTTGACATTTAAAAAGTGACCCCTACACCTAGGCACATCAACAAGAATCCTGATCCCCTTCCATCATGCCCATCCCCAACCCTACCTTCAGCCTCCCTTCCTGCCTTGGACAGCGAGCCATGGCGGCTTCGCCGTTCTAGTTTTTTTTTAGAAATGGCTATTTGCATGTGGGTTTGTATTTGAAACCAATGCATAAAATGAAGCTGATACACCCAAAATGTAAACGATCAAATTCGTCAACGAGTGTTCTAATTTTCTCAAAACACACAATGCCCTCTTTTCCCATGTATGAAACTGCACTTGTGTTTGGTATGTAGCAGCATATCTTGTACTCTGGCATTTCAATAGAGCATTTCATTCCTTATTATTTCAATATATATTGTGTGAGCTCAACATGCCTGCACCCTGGACGTGCTTGAAAGTATTGTATATAAAGGAATAAGGAGTTAATGCTCTAGTGTAATAATAAAGCTCAGTGGGGGAACCTGGGATGAGGGACTCGACAGGTTTTTGCATCTTGTACCGGTAGAATGTGATAAGGACATCATGCACCCAGGTGAGAGAGGAATGGAAAGTGGCCTATGCGAACTGTTTTGGTGCATTGTGCTCAGTCAAGGCACAGTTTACATGACCGACTTTCAGTGTGTAGTCCAACGTCTTGCGACGTAATTGTTGTGGTTTTCTTAAACAGTACCTGTGTTTGTCTTTGTCTTCTTCAGTTGACCTGCGCACCATAGACCATGCTGATGAGCCAATTCTCGTAGACGACACTCCGCCAATTGCTGGAGACTTGTTTGATGGACCCTACGCTGGTAAAGATCTCGTGTTTACCAAAGACAGAAATGAGGTAAATGGACTGACTCTCTGAGTAAATTATACTAATGTACAGTTATGGAGTACACGTATTCACCCAACTGAAGCTGATGGTGCTGGGATACATTTTACATTGGGTTTTACCCTTCGCCGACATATTTATAAACACTGTATACTCCTTGCTGTCTAAGGGCTTGCAAGAAAAGAAAAAAAGTAGGATTACCTAAAAGGGGCTCAAACCCATGACCTCCTGCTTACTGTTGCAGAGGCCCTGCCAGCTTGCTGGGGCCAGCTAGCTGGTTCAGTTCTAATGTATACAGTTCATTTCTACAAAGTTGGAGTTTTTCCTTTGAGTTGTACGGCACAACTGCATGCCTCAGGTTCTTGCAGCCAGAGTAAAAGGGATGATTTGGGGAATGTGTAATTAGAAAGTGATTGATGTGAACTTGAATGCAGACAAAATTAAAGTGATTGTTTAGCTTCTACAAAATATTACGTGTTTAACATTGTTAGCTTATTTTTACCTGATTAGTAGATTATGTGTAATTTAATTCTTTGTTCTTGCTTTGGTGCTTAGATTTGTGCTAATTGGCACAATTGGTATGACCCTGAGTCTGGGATCTTCTCCTACCTGTGGGTGGTAGGCACCCAGCCTGGCCTGAGTAACGTGGTAGACTTTGTCAAAGTGTCTCGTCGAGAGCACAGTGCCTGCTCTGGCTATGTGACCCTACAGCACGGGGAGATGTACTACTCAACTCTTACAGCCTTCCATGGTGGATATGATAAACTCAACGTGTCAGCTTCATCAGATGGAGGTGAATGTCATTGTCAATACATTGTCACTGTGACCATTGTCAAAATAGTAATTATTGTCATCGTCATTAAAGCATCATCGTCATTGTCTAGGCCATTGCTGTCACAGTCACCATTGTTACCACTTCATCATTATCACCACCATCATCCCCATTAAAATCACAGTCATTCTCATTGTCATCACTATGCCATTATCACCATTGCTGTCAAATTATCAAAAACATCATTGTCATCATAAATGTCTGTTTATTTTCATCACCATTACCAGTTACTGGCAATCTTATTCTGCTGATATAAGGATGTGTCTGTAATATCATGGTTTCGGCATCATCATTTTCATACTCACAATCATCATACATGTACTAATCATAATTAAGTTTTATGTCAATCCTCTATCCTCGCAGAAATTGGTGAACTTAACCCACCCAAAAATATGGTGGTTGTGGTGGTGTCGAAAACATGTATTTTGTGGCCAGGGCTTTGTTTTTGACATTTACATAAAACTGTGAATAGCCGTAATTGCAAACAAAAATCGCTCATTTCAGACACAGCCCATTGTCATCATATTAATATTATCAGTCATATGGGTCATGTATTGATGTCTCTTTTTTTTATCATTTCAGTGACTGTGGATCTGACTCCACCGATACAAGGTAGTGTCTATGATGGCTTACTACCAGGACCTACAGATCTAGACTTCTCCTCAAAGCCAGCCACAGTGGAGGCTCAGTGGCAAGGATTCTCTGATCCTGAGTCTGGTATCGAAGACTACCAGGTTACAGTCTATCGCAAGCATGATGGCAGGTGAAGATTAGCTTGAAAGAATTGGACTTCCATTTAATTATATAAATTTGCTGTTCTTTGATATTGAATGGGAAAGTTTTTTTTTGAGGAAATGTTTAAATTTTACTGGCTACTTATGTGGTAGATGTGTACATACACTTCTAGCAGAGGGTAGTTGCGATATAACTGGTTGGAGTGCTGTGGTCCAGTGGCCAGGGTGTCCGAATTGTGTGCAATGGTACTTTGGTTTGAACCCCGAGGGAAACTTGATGCTTGTGTTCTTGGGCAAGACACTTTATACTGCCATTGCCTCTTTCCACCCAGGAGTATAAATGGATACCTGTGAGGATAGAGACTAATTTGGACTGATCTTGAGCTGCTGAAGAAAAATGGTCTCATGAACAGGGGTACTAATTGTGAAGAATTTTAAGACTTTGGTATATCACGCTGTATAAGCACCACATAGTAATAACTTTTTATTGTGAGAAATCAGGGATTTGTTAAGAAAAGAGGGATTTGTTAAGAAATGAAGGATTTGTCATTTTGATAATTTCATTTTGTTCACACTGTGTAGTGCCAATCACACAACTGACTTTGAAGTCATCCATGAGTCAGAGGCAGTAGGCAGTGAGACATCCTTCATTGAGTGGCATCACTTCCATCTGCATCACAAGGACCAGGTCTATGTCAACCTACGCACCATCAACCAGGCACTGAATCACATCGATACTCCGACGAATGGGTTCTTGGTAGACCTGACTCCTCCAATGTTAAGAACTCTTGGAGATGGGCTGGTAGTGGGTCAAGATGCTGACTTCCAGGTGAGTCAACATGACCTTGTAGGTCCAGGTGTGAATCACATTGATGCTGAAATGAATGGGTTCTTGGTAGACCTGACTCCTGCAATGTTGAGAACTCTAGGAGATGGGCTGGTAGTGGGTCAATATGCTGACTTCCAGGTGAGTCAACATGACCTTGTAGGTCCAGGTGTGAATCACATTGATAATCAAATGAATGGGTTCTTTGTAGACCTTACTCCTCCAATGCTGAAAACTCTTTGAGATGGGCTGGTGGTGGGTTAAGATGCGGACTTCCAGGTGAGTCAGCATCATGATGTAGGTCCAGGTGTGAATCACATTGATACTCCAATGAATGGGTTCTTGGTAGACCTGACTCATCCAATGCTGAGAGCTCTGGGATTTGGGATGGGGTGGAACAAGACGCCGATTATTATCGTTTAGTTTCGGTCTGAAATTAAATTACTTGCCGGATGACGTTGTCGCCATGGTGAATGATATCAATCGAACAACCAACTCTTGAAGATTGGTTGGTGAGTAGTCAAGATACTGACTTGCAGACCTGGTTTCAAAATCATAATTGCAAGTTAAGACTTCTTTCCTGTACCAATTGGCTCTACCTGTTGTTAGTGAGCGCATTCAGCGATGATGGTCAATTACTGAAGTAGAAACCTTCATAGAAGTTAGAGGTAATTTATTTGGATATTTTCTACCTTCACTTCCTTAGTCACATTCTGACAATCTTGCTGTGCATTGGGACTACTTTGATGATGAGTCTGGCATCGAGTCCTTTGAGTTGGCAATCTATGAGATGACAGAAGGGAACAAATACAAGATCTTCCCAGTGGGTAAGTCCTGCTTCCTGTGATCTAGGTGATCAAGTGAAAACATTTAGTCGTAAACATTAACTGTTCTTCTTTGTTTTTACACCTAAATGAATAGCATGTTGTGACTTTTCCCACTTTGTTTGCTTATTTATTTGGCAGACAATAATCCAAATAGCTTTGAATTGATTAATGACATCACGGCTCGATCCCATGTACAAGCTGGGCTGACACTGCAACCAGGGGCCCTGTACGTGACGCGAGTCAAGGCCATGAACCAGGCCAAACTAGTTGCTTCTCATGAAACCAGTGGTATCAAGGTGGATCCTAGCCCTCCTTTGGTGAGTAGAGTTAAGATACAGTAGAATATCGCTGAAATGAACGTGATGTTTCAGTGGGTGATTGTTACCTAGTCTCTGATATTAGATGCGGTAAAATGGGGCACGTGTACCAGCGTGTGTGGGTTGCCATATGGACCTACAACCGCGTGTATGTTGACTGTCATACAGTAAAGTGCACATTGGTGACCGTCAAACGGTAAAGTGCACATTGGTGACTGCCATACAGAAAAGTATTTACAGATTAAGTTATAATGCAAATATTTACCCTAAATAATAAATATAGGGTCTGCGCTTTAAACTTGCAGCGGCTTCTGCTGGACTCCTAGTTGTACGCCAAACTTCTCTTGGTTTAGTCGATAAAATTTATTTACAGGCGTATATTACAATAAGTAGTGTGTCCTTCCACGGGAACAGTCACTGTAAGGAGCAAACACTACCTAATGGTTCCCATTCCCGTATCCGGACACATGTGGCATAAAAATGACAACTAGAAGAAGAACAGTAGACAACTTCAATAAAGCTCTGTCTCTACACAGCGAAGGAGTGGGTGGTGCAAGCACGTGCTCCTGGTTATACTGACGTGTAGAATTGAATGCCCTGCCCTGCCCAGTCCAAAGAACTGAACACAATGGGCAATAGAACTCAACATTTCCTTGGCCACTAGGGCAGAACTTAGAACAAAAAAGGACTAAACTGACTTTTTATTTCTTCGGCCAGGACTGCTTATACCTGTAAGATATGCAGCTGCTGTAGGAATTTCGTTACAAGTGCACTTCCCTGGATTGCTACAAATGCAGGGATTGAGACCTCGAAATAAATTCAAGAAATGGAAAATACATCAAAGAAAGAGGGAGCATGTATATTAACTCACAGAAATCTTCATTAAAGATTTCAATCGTTTCAATTGTTCATTTTATTTTTCGCTGTTCTCTACCGTGATGTTCGGCGTAATCGTGCATTCATTTTGGGAGCCTAATGGGATGCTCATTTTATCTGAATGTTCAATATAGCAGTGTTTGTTATAACGATGTTCTACTGTAATGGGAATAGCAAGAGGTGTTGTGTTCAGAGAAAAACGTCGCTTAACAAATGAGAGAATGGTCCGTTACTCTATTTAAAACAAAACTGAATTTGCTTTCTTCTCAACAGTTAGTTTAGAAAATGTATCCATTCTTGTACCAACTGTTCTCTTTTGTGAATGATAGAAGTTTCCTCACTGAATGTCAAAAGATTAAGTTTGCCATCATCAAGTGTCATAAAATACATACCTGGAAACTGGACAAATTTGACTTTCGCCTTTCACTTGCTTAAAAAATTGGTGTCAAAACTCATGTACATTGCTATTGCAAAATCTTTCATAACTAATCTACTTTTCTGATTGGGACTTCAATTTGGTTTCTGTCACATGTGTGACAAGACCGTGACATACAATGAATGTATGTCGCAAAAGCAGGCCACAGGTGATGAAGCCGCCTTCCCTGCCTAGCAGACAAGGTGAAGCCTTAATTGCTGCATAAAATTTGGAAATGATGATTATGATAATGAATTTAATTTAGTAGAGTTCGGCATACTAATGTGACTTTATTCTTAGTATGGCAAAAAACAGTTTCAAGTCTTTTTTTCCCCTTGATTTTGATTAAAGATGAGATATGTCCGTGGAGGCAATCTGGATGGAGAAGTGGAAGAAATCATCAATGGATATTTGTACCAGAACAGTCTCAGCACCATCCAAGCCTCCTGGCTGGCTATAGATGGAGAGAGTGGCATCAAGAGCTACTGGGTGGCAGTAGGAACAGCTCCAAGTCAGTATAACTTCATCTTCGTTATGCAACAAGCTGGATATATCAGCTGGAAATAGTTAATTAAACATTGTTTCAAGTTAATCTAGTTGAGTCAAACTTGTCTAAAACGAAATTGTATAGTCACATTTTCCTTGTGAGGTGATGATCATCATAGAGTAAGCAGAATTGTAATTGATTCTTTCATATGACACATCTCATGTCCATCACAAGTAAAAATATTTGTAACAAGAGATGAACTACAAACAAACAAATTCCTTTGTCATAGCTCAGTAGCTTGTAACTTGAAACTGAAGGACTTACGATTCTTGTGTGGGGAAATATGAGGATGGTTGTCTGGTATTTTGACAAATGATATTTTTGTTCTAGATTCTGAAGACATCAGACAGTATACCTCCTTGGGCTCTAAGAGCAACGGTGTGCTATCAGACCTGAATCTCCAACTTACTGACCCATCAACATGCAGTGATGAGGCATTCACTGTGGGTTGTCAGCCCGTCTACTACGTGTGTGTCAAGAGTCACAATGGTGCAGGAACATTCAGTGACGTCATTTGCTCCTCACCGATCAGAGTGGTGGAGGAAGATCAAACAGGTTGGTTGTTAAAATTGTAATTTAGGAAAATGTGATATCTGCTTTCACTGAATGCCATGGAAATGTACTTGCTTTCTGCAGTCCTGGTACTTTCAGTCTATGGCAGGCTGCAGCAAGTTGCTTCATTAATAACTTTTAAGCTCTAAAACTCAATCAAACGCACGTATGTACTTCGGTGGACCTTAGTGTTGCCTAATTTTGTTCCTGTTGTTTGGACGTAAAATTGTCCCTGCATATTGTTATTCTTAACCCATACATGTACACAAAATCTGCTCAAATCTAACATCATGCACATGATGTACATTATATTGCTTAAAGGTAGAGTGGATTATTTGCAGCTATCCAAATAGTAGATGGAGACATTTTTGTTGAAAAGCTTACTTGGTTTTAAGATCCCTGTGAAATCACTCTTTCTGGCATGCTGTCATTTTGAAGAAAAACTAAAAGAAGGCCATTTCCAAAGATGAATCAAGTGAAGCAATTTCAGAAATTTTTGTCAGTAGTTGGTTTGTAATTCAGCGAAGCCATGGGTGTGCTCAAGCGTTGACACTACGAACATGCGCGGATGGTTCCTATAATTCGTTGGTTTAGAGCGTGACATTGCGTAGCTGCAATCGGCTGAATGATAATGTGTCGCGGACGCTGATTTCAGGTGCAATTCAAAACATGACTTACCAACTTTGGAATTGAAATCAAGATCCTAAAATAACGGTTTTTTTTGGAATATACAGCATTCACTGAGCTAAAACTTCATCAGGTTAGTTGTTCAACACTCTTATTTAGATTTTGAGCACTTTTGTAACGTCAGACGAAAAATGCACAAATGACAGATGATATACTCTACCGTTAAGGACAGGACCTAATTTGGCTGGACATTCTACTCCCACTCACATTGCAAATTTTTGTGTAGGTTATGTGACTGATGGCCCAAGTATGGTACAGGATATAGATGCACAACACGAGAAAACAACAGTCTCCATCTGGTTTGATGACTTTGAGGTAAAACGTTTCTCTGTATGGCCTTGATCTTTTTATGTATAGTTTAATTTCAGTATGAAAGTATAGCCTAGTAAATCCTTTCAATGCTTTTTAAGCACTTCTTGTAATTGCATAAATCCAAGTCTGTCTAATTTCATCTGTGCATTGTGATATTTCTCAATTTCAAATTGCTCTGTGCTTTTACGTTGTTTTGTACTAATTGCATAGCTCCTTGATTTCTCATTGAACTGAATTTTCATTGGTAAGTATGCATCAATGAAGGAATTATCATTACAAAAAGAGTGATATTTACATTTGTTAACTACAGAGTCAACTGCATGGCATCTCTCACTATGAATGGGCAGTGGGTACAACCCCTGGGGGTGAGGACGTCCAACCTATGACCTCTGATGGAATAGTGCCTGGCAGTGATGACGATGTTCAGGGTATGGTTGCCAATAATACGGTCAAGCAGATTCCAAAGGATGTTTGATTTGCAAGCAGTGTGCATCCTACTGGCAGTCTTTGTATATTGTGATGTGTTATGAAACAATATACAAATGCATTCATATATAATTTATTCATCCAGGATTATGAAACAGAGTGCAGTTGTAAACATCTTTGTTAAAATAGGTGATGCAGAAACTGGGACGTGCAGTGTCATAATTTTGTTTTATCATAGGATTGGCAGGCAAAGGCAAGGCCCAGTCCCCTCTGCCCCTCCAGCATGGAGTGTCTTACTACAGCACACTACGAGCCATCACCAATGCAGACAATGTCTTAGAATCCACCTCCAGTGGCTTCACGGTGGACATCACTGCACCAGAGATTATGATCACTGACCTGGGCCAGTATGATGCAAGCATAGGCCTGGTGAGTGGATTTTGTAGGCTGTCATTTAGCGGAAGTCCAAAATTCTCATCCACATTCTCACTTTACTACATAGTAGTTTCCTAAATTCAACATTCTCAGTTTTTGTACAGAGTTTGTCCTCCATGCAGCAGCGTAGATGGTGCTTCATCACCACTTACAAGAGCCCCAGTATTACACAAGGGACACACCACTTGGCTGAACAGTTTACCACATGTATTGTGTGAAGTTCACTCGGCTTATTTTCATCCGAATATGCACGTACCCATAGCATCTTGGCATTAACATCAGGTGCCATCAGCAATTCATTCAAGAGTCCCTCTCAATGGTGTGAGCCCCATTTTTCTCATTGTGACCATTTAGGGGTACCTGGTTCTTGTGCATACAGTCAATCATCTCTCTGAAGACCCCTCTCCCTCCACAACACTTCTTTCATCAATTTCACAGTTTCTGAAAGTTCACTAATTCCTCAATAATAAATGCACTTTTGGCCTGCATCAATTGGTATCTCTTGACCGCCTGACTCTGGGATTATTTTTGCCAGTAAATGACCTTTTTTAAAAAGACATGATATGTCAGCCAAATTACTTCATTATTAAAGTCGAACACCACAATATTGACCCTTGAGAGTCATTTGTACAACACTTCTCAATGTAACTTCATATTTTGCAACACTCTGATACGTCTGGAATATTGTAGTTGGAATTTTCTAAGTAGCTAACAGTCCACCGCAAGCTTGTATTCTTTTTACTGCATCAGATCGCTCACTGTTTTGTTTTACTTTGTAAAAACCTTTTGAAAGGAGATCCGACGACTCGTTGCTGAATATCAGAAGACCTTTTAATGTGCATAGAATAATTACATAAAATAGTCATCGTGCTATAAATACACCTATAGCGGGTCACACTTACGGCATGTTTTGTGAAATTAATCAAGGGACATATCGCTGCTGAGACACGTCATAGGGATTTGACACGTCACAGTGCTGCGATGCATTGTACGTTACAATGAGTTTCACGAAATTAGGTGCAGGTAAGTAGCAAATCTACGAACTAACAGGACACATTATGTCCAAGGTTCACATTCAGCCATGGCTTAATATTTGCTTTATGAACAGAGCTTAGACGGTGGACTTCACCTGTATCAGTCTAACACAGACTCCATCGATGCCATGTGGGATGTGATTGAAGGAGAAAGTGACATCATGACTACCTATTTCTCCGTGGGTCGCTATCCAGGGCGTGGAGATGTCTTCCCTGTGACTGCAACTAATAAATCCTACATTCCATCAGCGCTGATGACTCCTGCAAACATAGGTATAATTCAACAGTTCTTGCTGGGTGTCGAATCATTTGGCTGGCTTGAATCCTAAAAGTGTCACCAAAGTCATTTGGAGCCAGATGGGAATTTATGCAATTTTTATATCAAAACAAAATTTGTGGGGTTTCCCTTGTTAATTATGCTTTATATTTTACATTGTGTATTGAACTAATGCATACATGGTATCCATGTTACCTTTTTATACATTGATGTATTATTGTTGCGTTGTCTGCAAAGCCCTATTTTTCTTGTATCATTATTTTCTAAGTTGTAATTTGATTTACTGTTTGGTAATGTATGCAGGGCCCAATAGAAACCAGTTTTGACCTGGTAGTACATACATTGGGTAAATATTTGTAGTAGATGAATATAACATTGGCTTGTACTATCAATTTTCATGCTTTACTGTAATTTATGCACAACATGGAAAACCAGTTTTGATGTGGTAGTATATACCTTGGGTAAATATTGGTAGTAAATGAATGGATAAGTATTGGTAGTAAATGAATGGATAAGTGGCTTGTCAATTTTAATGCTTTACCCTAGGCACAACATGACTACCATATGAAGAACTTTATTTCTTTATTTTTGTGTGATCTAGGAGTGCCTAATGTTCTGAGTGTTCAAGCAGTCAACAGTGTTGGGCTGAGAAGAACTGTCTATGCCACAAGTTTGACCGTTGATAATACTCCACCTACTGTCGGACAGGTATGGATTTGTCAACTCTCTTGCTATGACAAACTGATCACATTGACTATTGTTATTATTATTATTATTTATTCGGCCAATATTTGCAACAAACATATACAGAGAATATGACAATGTAACTCCAGAGGAGACAAGATTACAAGTATAAGAAGTCATGAAACAATACAAGTAAGTGTAAACAAAAGCAAGGAGCTATGAATAAAGGCAGCAATTATAATAGGCAAGGTTGTTACAGAATAAGACAAAACAAGAACAGAACAAAACCCAAATTAAGATGGCCAGGATTAATAAAAGTGAACTTAAACACTATGACTCGAAAGCCTATCAATCCAATCCTAAAAGGGAACACGGATCAAATATTATGAAATCTGTGAACAGAGCAATAGTTAATAAAAACAACACACATTCATAAAAACATAAAAATACAAAACTAACAAATTTTTAGGACTATAGCACACAGCATAACACACAGCCTCATTGAAAAGTACATGTAGGCCACCATTTAATTACTGCTCTTATCTCCTTGCTTAGGAACTAAGCGCTTGAACTCACATCAGCATCTGGGAGATGAGGTTAAATGAAAACAAAAAAGTGTATTGAAACTAATGTGATGTAAAAAACCAAAAGATGATGCCAATCCTAGGTATAAGAGAATACACCTCCCCCTGCCCCCTTTGACAAAGAGGAGCGGTGTGTGCCGGGATGGGGTCCATATAGGATCTGAAAAATAAAGAATGCCACTCGAAATCTGCTCCTGTCAACATGACCACAGAACAAAGAAAAAAAGGAATTGAGAAAAGAAGAAGTTTGACATCGCCTGGAATAACAAATTTCTATTGTCTGGAATATTTCTTGATTTCTCCATTCAGAACCCCTGTCATACAAATTTAGATATGGATTGGTATATTACAGTCAATCCATATATCTTTGCAGTACCTTCTCACCAAATGACTTGTTGTTTAACGCTGCACTTTTCCTGTCTGCCGTTACCATTCAGGTTCAGTGTCCTGCCTTCATCCATGCCAATAGCGCCCTCTTGTGTAGTTGGACTGGTTTCTTGGATGCTGAGTCTGGCATTGATCATGTGGTTTTTCTGGTTGGGACGGCCCAGGGACAAAATGACGTGTTCCAGTCGAATGATCTGCCTGGCTACCTCACTCACTACAGTGTTAGAGCAAGTGAGTGACCACCATTTGAACCCAAACATTTAAACGGAAACCTTCTGAGGGCAGGATTCGCCATTAAACTTATTTTTCACCAGCCAGCTGGACTAGTGAAAGAGACTCTTAACTAGTCCGTGGGCTTTCCACTAGTAAACATGTGTTTAATTCTTTAAATAGAATGATTAAACTTGAATGTTATGGAACTAGACTCATAGCCAGAGTGAATAGAGGGCACTATGGCAACATGCTCATTGATAAAACAAAAGCCAGACTGTATGCTAAGAGCGGTTGTTTTTTTTTTGCTTTTATATACATGTACAAAAAGCAGAGCCAGGCGCTGTTCTTCCATTCAAATAATGTCGGCGCAAGATTATGCGGTGCAACGGCATGAAACAATCCAAATGCGCATGATGTGCATTTGGATTCAGTGTCACATTATTGTTTCTAAGACTTGCTTTTTGTTTAATAATAATATTACATATAAAAGTAAATCTACATTTACGGGAAATGAGTCATTTGGGAGACATTCCCATATACGTGTACACAAAAATGTTCCATCTTTAATGTCACCAAACCCCAACTTGACCTTATCGTACCCCCACAAATTTTGATATATATATGTTTTGGACCACAAACAATTGATCTAGCTTATTTGCGACGGTAAAATTTTAGATCTAAATAAGAGCTGTGACATTAGGGAGATATTTAAATGTCTCCCTAATTTCTGTCATCTCCCTAAGGTACCGGTACAGGGTGGATAAAAAAACGAAACCGAGATATTATTGCTAATTGGAACAGAAGTAGGGCACATGTGAATCAAAGAGAGATAGCCTCTGTTGAATGTCCTCTTTAAAATGACACCCTTATCATGTCATTACATTCACGGTTGACTGAGCAGTGACCAACTTTATGAAAGGGTCTATTTAGAGAATTGCACTACTTTTCATGGTGAAATCTCTTTTTTTCCCACCTTTTTTCCCCATCAGTCTGTGACAAATGATGCCACAAAAACCACAATTGAATTGTGGCGCAATTCTCTAAATAGACCCTTTCATAAAATTGGTCACTGCTCAGTCAACCGTGAGTGTAATGACATGATCAGGGTGTCATTTTAAAGAGGAGATTTAACCCTAACAGAGGGTATCTCCCTTTGATTCACATGTGCCCTACTTCTGTTCAAATTAGCAATAATATCTCGTTGTTTTTTTTTTTAATCCACCCTGTATAATTAATGACGACAAAATGCCTTCCAAAGGTATAAAACAGGTGTTATGGTAATCATGGTAATGATAACTTTGAACTTTACAGATCTTAATTTGATTCACAACCAAGTCTACTATGTCACTGTGGAGGCCTTCAATGCTGTCAACCAAAGCACAATGGCATTCTCTGGTCCTATTGAGATTGATGATACACCTCCAACATACGGCCTTGTAGTGGAGCTATCTGGTGTGTATAGCTTCAATTTCAGTGATCCTGTGAACCAACCAGAATGGGAGTGTGCAAGCGAAGAGGAATGCTTGAGCTTGGACGGAGAGTGTCTGGAATCACTTACCCAGCTGCAGATCCTATGGCAACCGTTCACTGACGAAGACACTATGATCACCAAGTATGAGGTTGCCCTGGGCACCTCACCAGGAGGGTCTCAGATCAGACCTTTCTACGAGGTGTCCAAGGACCAGACCTCAGAGCTTATTACCAACATTGATCTGAGCAGTGTCCGTAGAGTCTACGCCACAGTGAGAGGCTACAATGAAGCCGGTCTGACCAGCACCGCCGTGTCCAATGGCATCTATGTCAGCCGGTTCAGTGCTGGACTTCAACCTCTCAGACCATTCCAGGTCAAAGATGGAGTCACCGATGTAGACTTGGAAGACTCAGACTTCCAGACCTCGCTGAATGAGATAAGTGCATCCTGGGATTTCAGCGGGGATCCGTGTCCAATGAAGAAGTATGAATGGGCCATTTACAGAATTGATGGACAGGAGATTCAGCCATTTATCAACATTCTAGGTAATAACACTAGAACGTCTCCAAAATTTGTAACCCCAATCTTATTAAATTTTGCAAATGAAATATGGTGTCGTTGTGGCTAAAGAACAATGTACAAATACGTCCTCATTAAAGTGACAGTTGGGGGAGACCACTGGAACAGACATTTGAACATGTTGCTGACAACGCCTGACACCCACATTAAATACCCTATAGTTTTGTGCTCATTCAGAAGGAAATTAGTCATATGTACGCTACATGTACATGAACCAGTATGTGCACATGATGTGTTCCTTCACTGGGCTTTAGAAAGTGATGTCTTGTCCATTCACAGATAGAGCCTATATCCAGGAGACTATTTCATTATCCGTATGCTTTAAAAAGAGTACTCAGCAAACTCTGCTATTTATTTTGATATATCACACAAGGTTTGAGATTCTGATGGAAATGTACGTTGAGTAGGTAAATATATGAATGTTTAATTGCCTGTGATTTAAAAGTGGCTCTGATGACTGCTGAATTCCAGGGCACAAAATCTAAGGCTAATTTCTGTCTGGTTTCAATTTCAACCTAGAGCGAACCTCAGACACCAACACAGACATTCAAATGACTGATAGTGAGACCTACTACAACCTTGTGAGGGCTACTAATGCCCTTGGCCTGGCCGTCACTGTCCGATCTGATGGAATCACTGTCAAGCGTGATCCCTTGATACCTGGCCAGGTCTATGATGGCCTCCTAGTGGGCTATGATTTGACTTACCAGAAGGAGACTGATAGGATATCAGCAAGCTGGAAGGGCTTTGGACAAGGGACACCAGTTAAAGAAACTATCCATCACACAGGTATGTGTTGACAGATTGAAGGTGGACCGTCTTCTGTTACGGCTTAAAGTCAACTACTTCAGATGGCTAGTAGCTTGAAAAAATGATTAAACCAGAAACAATTTAACTTTACCACTAGCAAAACAAGAAGTGCATTGCTGAAGTATTGCCTTAACATTTTAGTCAGTAGGTCCTGATGTTTAATCAGGAGATTGATAATGATTGGGGCATGTTGACTGAAACGTCAAGTTATCTAACGTTGGTTCTTCTCAAAATAAATTTTCTTGTAAGTCATTCACGAGGTGTGCTGCAAACTTCTCAAAGGTTGTACAGATATACAGAGGTGCACTTTGATGCTTGTATGTAGAGTGAAAAGATTCAAGGACGTGCTTCTACATTTCAGCTTAATACAATACTTTTTAATATTAGCGGACATGCACTGCCATGGCAAAAATCACCTTGACCATCATGACAACTACATCATTGCCCTGAATCCCCTTCAGGAAATGCTGAAGTCACCAAAGACCACATCACAGAGCAAACTGTGGATTACTACGAGGCTGCAGTTGGAACTGACCGTCGCTACCCTAAGACCAGAGACAACGTGGTGCCCTTCACTTATGTTGGACAGAACACAACAGTCACTTTCACTAACCTCAACCGCATGGAACGAGACTCAACATATTACGTAACAGTCAGGGGATATAGTGCTAGCCTTGCCACAGCTGAGGTGACATCAACAGGGATCAATGTTGGTATAGACAGCACAGTGCTTGGTAGGTTGTTCTTCCTCTTGACTTTTCTTCTCCTGTGTTAGGGACATCTAAGCAGAGGGTAAAGTTGACATCAAACATCGGACATTCACTAGCCGTTTACCGTATCTGTCCAAACAAGTTTGTAGTGTAATGACTTTCTAGGTGCTCAAAGTTGCTGTTATCTTTGTCTGAACCTTATCATGAGGCTGTGTTTTGGGAGGTGGGTTGGGGGTTTTTTTACTCTCATTTAGTAGTACAAGGATACCGGTATGTACAGTAGTATTTCAACTGCTCTTGGTAAGACGTAAAATTTGGTATTTTCCACCCAGTTGTTTAGTTCTGTGCAGTTGATCAGTGGAGTTTCAGTCTCATACATACTCTTTTATGTTCATTTTACTCTCACCAGTTCAGAGATAATCCTGTCGTTATTCTTTGCCACAAAATAACAGATACATTTTAGAACTGTCCAACATTTTCTAAACTTGGAACTTGCTTTCTGTATTTTTTTCGTTTGTTTGTTTGTATACAGCTAATTATAAATTGTTTTCTTTACACGGTAGTACAACACTTTTGTTAATTGTCTTTTATATCTGTTCAGGAAGTGAAGTGGAAGTCCCAAAGTATGTAAACTCTGTCTCTGAGGTGCAGCTCATGTGGGCTAAATTTCAATCCACCTTCCCTATCCTGCTGTATTACGTTGGTCTGGGTAAACCATCCACTTCCTCCATCCCACCTGAAGATATGGACTGCCTGGATATGCTGTTACGGACAACACAGGCCCTGGCTACATTCCATGAGAGGTCGATGCATTTTGTAGGCAAAGATACCTTTGTGGAGGTCAAGGGTCTGAATCTGACGCAGGAAGGATCCTACTATGTCACTGTTGTGGGTGGGTGAATACTGTGACTCTATGTGCAGGGTAGATGGGTAGCTTGAGTAAAAAACTTCGAGAGAGAGGATGAGTTGTGAAATATTGACTGTGTGTCATACCGCATTGTTTAACTTCTGTCCAATGAAAGCAAAGTGTTGAAGCCATAGCTGCTGAGTCTCAGAATGAAGCTGATCTCACTTGCCTCAACAATATACGTATTGCATGGCACTTAAAACAATACATTGAAATCTCGATAAGTCAAAACCGTTTAACTTGAAGACCTATTAACTCCAAGTAAGAACTTATTCCCGTCAAAAGAATAGCAAATCATGTATAAACATGCCTGCACTTACTCGAAAGTTCGGACCAGAAACTCCGTTAAGTTGAACTCAAAATCGCCAGGTGCATAAATAAACTTGCGTAATTAGGCCATTCAAGAAATTGGAATCCTTTTGTAAAGTTAAGAAACTTTCACCTCCAAATCAATAAACCCAAACTCGGGTATAGAAAAGCAGCAAAGAGGCTAGCATTCCTTACAACGACCATACAAGCGAACCGTGACCAATCACACAGGAGTCTTTTCATGCGGGGATATGCAGCATACATGATGGCATTGTGATTTGACTCCAACCTGTAACCGCAACAAATCCTGACTCTCGAGCTAGCCTAATCACTATAACGCTGGCCCAAATGCAGCCAGCATGCCGGTGGTCCAAGCGCTGGCTCCTTGCAGTGGCTACATGACCGCATTGGAAAGCACGCCTGGCTTTTCAGTTACCGCAACTGGCCCTGCCAGGCTAGCTGCAGCTTGCATGATAGCGCGCACTCTGTAGATCAAAAAGGACTGGTCACGTGACCTCACATAGGGAAAACCCTGAGCGTGGTGCTTGCGAATCTCGCGATTGCTGGAGACTAGACATCGACAAACGACACAAAATAGAGATTTGCTACACAAAGTTACATAGTTTGAGTGGTTTACTGTTACATTTATCAATACAGCAGACACTTTTATGTAAGAAAAATATCAAATCTGAGTAAAATGATGATTTGTTATTGAAAAAAATACACCATTAAAATCAGTAAAAACAAGGAGAGTGAGCCCATTAATATGTCAGTCATAGGGAGGATGATGATATACGGTGAAAGCCATTCGTGTACATTATACGTTTGCATAATTTGGGAACTTTTGGGAAAAATTGGCAAAATGGTCAATGCATAAATGCATGGGTACATATCCAACACAGATCAAAATCAATAATTTTTTTTTTTTTTTGCATTTAAAAATAAACAAATTGTATTTATCAATAGACAGTAAATTTTTTTGTTCTTGCTACTGTCTTTTTAGGAATGAATGAAGGAGGACAGTGTAACTCCTCCACTAGTTACTTCTCTGTGGATATCACACCACCTATTGAGGGTAGGCTGCGTGTTGGACCTTTCTATGACATGGTAAGTCATCAGGAAATCTGTGTATTGTGTTTCTGTATTTAAATGTCGCATCCTGCCATTAAAGTTTGGCTGCATGCTGGACCATTCTCTTTCATTTTTATTACACCCATTAGGGTAATGAAAAGGCTGTTTTTGTTGTGGTGGTCATGGTATAGTATTCATCAGATCCTCAAAGTTTAAAGAAGCTATACCGTGTTTAAGTTGATATGCAGTGTTGTTCAAACTTATGTGCAGTGTGCATCGAGTTCAAATTGAGTGCCATTGGTCAACTCAAAAGTATTTTAAACAAAGCCATGCTTAAAAAAAATGAATTTTCTTTGAATAGTGAAAAAACATCATTATATCATCAATGATTAGTGTATCTCATCTAGAATCATGTAGAAATTACCAGCATCCTTCTGTGCCTTTTTTCGCCAACGGCATCAACAATATATTTTTTCCTTGCTTATATTTCATGCAAATGACTAAAACCCACCAATCAGACTCATACTGAATTACCTGTCTGTGACTTTTGAATCCTGTATTTGCAGCCTGTTGCCTATACTGACAGCACCGAGTCTGTCTCTGTGGTGTGGGAGGATTACAGAGATGATGAGAGTGGAATCAAGTCCTACAACCTCCGCCTTGTGCAAGCTGCATCATGTAATGAGGATGAGGATAACCTTACTGCGGTAGCCAACCAAGACTGGCTGGTACTCGGCCCAGATATTCAGGATTTCAGATTCGTGGACTTGAACCTAGTTGTGAGTAACAATTAAATTTAATGATTGTAAAAACACATTAGGGTTTGCATATGTTGAATTGTGCTCTGCAAAGGCATATTTTGGATTGATCATTTTGTTGGAATACAAAGTACTTTTCATGCTCTTCAACGTATTCTATTTGTTTTCCTCTTGAAAATGCTACTTGGACATTGACTGACTGACAGTATATCTTAAAGTTATATTCACATGTGCATCACTGAAACAAACGTGTTTGAATTATCAGTCATACTTTGCCAATGCAAATTTTGTCGTAGATTCTGTCAGCTTGTATAGCTTGTATAGCTTATTTGAACAGGGATGTACTGAAGTCTATCACAAGTCCTGACATTGAAATGATTGTCAAGGGCTTGATTTGGAGTGTACTTACAAAATTTACAATTAAGCATTACCACTGATCATATACCATTTCCTTTCTGCACAGACAAACCAGCCCTATTTTGTTCAGCTGTCGGTAGTTAACCATGCAGGAGACAGTATCCTATCCCAAGTAGGACCCGTCTTTGTTGACTCGTCTGAGCCGACAGCAGGACTGGTAGTTGATGGAATGGACTTCAAGATGGACATGACAGACAGCGGAGACAGAAGCCAAGTTACTGGTAAATGGAAAGTGCTACACAATTCAGTTGCTATTCTTGCATGAAAAGTAGAACAAGTTCAAACGTGAACTGTGGTTAACCATAGTTTGACTATTAAACTTTGCTCAAACACTGGTTGAACCATTCTAGTAAACTTTGGAATGTACCGTACAGCACGGTCGTATTACTTGTTGCCACACATATCATAATGTACAGCAGGGAGCCAGAACTCAGAAGTTTTGAGATGACATTTTGACAAGCACTTGACAAGAAATAATTGACTATTGCGCAAACCTTTGATCAGACTTGCTCTGAGGTGGCCTACTTTATAAAATTCATATATGTGGAAAACACCTCCCTTGTCAACACCTTCCTTGTCAACTGGTACATTGTCTTTGGCACACATAGGAATTTTAATGTGACTGAACCTAAACTTTGCATCACACTATGGGCAGTTGAAGTATGGCAGCTATGACAAGCATCTTTCCTACCTCTCTCTTATTCATCATTGAGAGGAAACGTGTATGCTAATCCAATACTTTTTGGTCTTTTAAATTCATAAAGAGGCTGGATGTAATTTCCTTTAAAACTATCTATAATAATTCACATTTTTAATTGACAGGCATAATCTTACACTTGCCCAACCCAGAGGGCCCACCTTGTCCACTGAGAGACATTCCTTTCACTGATCCACAGTGGTCAGCGATGGACTTCAAGGGACTCTGGAACATGAACAGGAAGAAGTGGGACCTGGAGTACCAGTCACAGCAGGTAGGCTTAATCATAAATATCTTCCTGGTGGTGAGTTTGATTGACCCCATGGGTGAGTACCACCTGAGAGATCGTCACGGAGATCAGCAGATGTAGGGGATCAGCAGATGTAGTTATGAAGTCCCTCTGGAAAGCCTCTGATTCCTGCATTTATTATTTACAGATAAGCCCTCAAAAAGAAAACTGTGCCCACTTGTACCAAAATGAACCAAAAGAAGGATAAAAAAGTGAAGTAATGATAAGAATATACATTTTGTGAAGACAAATTACAAATTATTAAGAAAGTTATTTGTCCTTGAGCAGAAGGCCTAGGATCTCCTGGGTTGTCACACACCAGACGAAGGAAACAACAGACACTATTCTTCAGGGTTTCGGAGCTCTAGGCCATTTATTCTTGCCACTTTCTTATACGAGGCTCTCTCTTTATACAACTCACAACTAAAACACATTATACAAAATGTCACACTACTGAGTCGGTGCAGTCCAGCAACAGGTCTCCCTGGCCAAGCAGCAGGGGTCCCATCGCTACGGTTGCACCGTTGGTCCGTGCTGGCACCCTCTGCCGGCAGCCCGGCACCAACGTTACAATACTCTGGCACGGACCTGTGGATCGAGGTAAGAAGCAATGCTACAGAATGCACTCACCCTTTGTTCAGCTCTATCGGCAATGGAATTCACTTGAGACTGAAAGCCCAAGTTCTGGGTAAACCTGACTCCATGTATGTCCAGCTCTTGTACTCGCTGCAATGGCTTGCCACCCATGAATAACTCCAGAGGCTGCTCACTAGGTAGCCGTTGAGTGAGTGACATCACCTTACACATCTCTTGTGCAAACAGAAAATTCCATTTCTGCCCCCGTTCATAGATCTTTTGCACGTCTTCCCTCAGAGAAGAAATGGCATTCTCCTCATAGTAGATCATGCTATCAGCAGCATAGAGACACATAAGGTTGTGCATACATGTATACAATGCTAGCATGTTGCCAGTATTGCTGTATGGAGCTGAAACATCCCTCTTCCCTAAAACCCACTACTCAGCAGCTTTGAAAAAAAGCGATCTTAGAACCATCGAAAGCACAGGACGAGACAGCAGTACTATAAATGAGAAACTGCGACAACTTACCCAGCAGCCTCACATACTGAACACCCTTGCAAGGCGCTGATTCTGTTGGTTTGATCATCTATGCCAACTCCGTTCAAAGTCATCTGAGACTTTTACTCAAAGTCAGTAGGTTGAAAACGTTGTGTCAGCAAGCCTCAAACATGGTAGCAGACCTCAACAAGATAGGAGTTGACTCTGTAACATCAACAAATGCCACCCAGAACAGGCTCAATATGAGGGACTCTGCATGCATGTGCACTTAATACTACATTTGATGTTGGGGTTATATACGTGTATATCTCCATTACCCCTCTCCTTAAGAACGTCGCCTGTGGCACACTGTCAAGTCAAGTCTTTTGTTCTATTTCTTAAGGCACCCCATAATTCCCCTATAACAAGATCAACATTTTGAACAATAAACTCTGTTTCTCATCCAGAGTGTGCTAAATTCCGAGCAGTCGCTAACTTTTATTGACTGCAGCATGTATAGCTTCAAATTTGTACATATATGTATATATTTTTTTCATCAACAGAAATTCTTGGGATATTTTCTGACACACATCTCAAGAATCTTTCAAATAAATCTCTTTGCTGTTGATAACCAGGTACATGCATCTGATGAGAGTGTGATGCTGATTATGGAGAGAGATACAAGAGGGCCTCGTATGCTGTCTGGAGCCTACGTCACCAATGCACAGATTGTAGGGAGCTCGGAATATGAGGTCAGTACTCAGCCAGAAACCTTGAGATATCAGCCCCTCACAGCCATGACATTAGTGGCGTGATTAATTCATGTGAATCAGTAATGTCTTCCAGGATGTTTAGTTTGTCCTAAACAGTTCCTGCAGAGAATGTGCTTCTTTTGCAACATCATCACCATCATCATCACCAGCTAGAGGTCATCCATTTGTGGGGCAAAGCCCTTCTCATGAATACAACATTTAATTGCAATTCATTTCAGTGTTGAAAACAAAAGCTATTGAATAATTTTGTTTACACTTGCCTTCTATTTCCAGCTATTTTTCCATCTCAATGTAAATAGTTTTCCTACATGCTAGATAGCTACAGTTGTAAAGTTCCTAATCAGTCTTTTTAGTCCTGGAGCTAGACTGATTTTAATTAACTTTTAGCACTAAAGGTTTGATAGTACACGTTCCACACCATTGTCTGTCGGGGGGTAGTTCTGAGATTCTTAAGTTACCCTGGGTTAGATTGGGGGTCAGGGGACGAAGGTGACCAGTGAAATTGCACAAAAGTCTTGCTGCATCTTTCATACCAGTACTGGCAGGTGCGCGCATTACACAACCAATAGGAATTGGCATAGACATTATTCTGACGGGTTCTTGGGTGATACTGGTTGGTCGTGCTTGCGGGGGTTATTGCGGCGGCGGTTTCTCGTTTATCACACAATAACGATTAGCCCCTAGACTAGCCCCTGATGTCATGGCTGTGAGGGGCTGATATCTTAAGGTTCTTTAAATCATTCTGAAGAAACTTTATCAGACTTTTTTGTACTCTTAAGTGGCATGTTTGGTATCAGGGGTCAATCTTAACACTTTATTCCAAAAACAGTACTTGTGCACGACATTTTAATTACACTCAAAATTTGTGACACTTGACTTCAACTCTCACATACACACAATGGAAATGATCTGCTATGCCGAATGCCCTAGAATACTTCCTTAACCCCTTTTTTATGCCCCGCGGCGAAGCCGAAGGGGCATACTGTTTCCGCCTTGTCCTTCCGTGGGTGTGTGGGTGGGTGGGTGGGTGTGAGCTTGTCTTACATATGCAGTGTGGACTTCCGAACAAAAGACGTCCACATAATGTAGGTAGCAGCGACGAAGTGTGGACTTGCCCACGTCCACACAGTGTTTCCCCATTTCTGGAAAACAGGTTTAGAGGCATTTTTGGGTTAGGTTTATCTGTAGCAGAATGAAGAGAAACACTAAAGGGAATCATTGAAAAAAAATTGGGTTGTAAGAGTTTTCACAGTTTGAGAAAAATGAGTTTTTCCACTGGTGTTCCTTAACTACACGAAAAGAAAGGAAAGTCCACACTAGGTATGTGAAACAAGTCTGGGTGTGTGGGTGTGTGTGTCCGGACAAATCTTGTCAGCGCGATAACTTGAGAAATACTTAACATATGAACTTCAAATTTGGTTTGTGGATTGTCCTTGGTAATCCTAAGAAGCCTTTTGCATTTGGGGCCGAAAGGTCAAGGGTCAAGGTCACAGTGGCTGAAACAATAGAAATTTTGTCAGCGCGATAACTTGAGAAATACTTTACATATGAACTTCAAATTTGGTTTGTGGATTGTCCTTGGCAATTCTAAGAAGCCTTTTGCATTTGGGGCCAAAAGGTCAAGGGTCAAGGTCACAGTGACTAAAACAAAAGAAATTTTGTCAGCGCGATAACTTGAGAAATACTTTACATATGAACTTCAAATTTGGTTTGTGTAATGTTCTTGGTAATCCTAAGAAGCCTATTGCATTTGGGGCCGAAAGGTCAAGGGTCAAGGTCACAGTGGCTAAAACAATAGAAATCTTGTATTTATTCTGAGATCATAGGGATTAGGGATTAATTCATATAAAACCTACAGAAGACACTAATGCTGTCCATGAACGTTCCATTTGACCAAGGTACATGTAAGTTGATGTTAGAGTGGTGTTATGTCATGGAAACAGTCACGGTTGCGGGGCATTTGTGTTTGTAAACACACCTGACTTGTTTTCTTCTGAAATGATAGTTTGACTTGAAAGCTGCCCCACCTGACCTGCACAGTGTGACCAGCATTCTATTCTGGGATGGCCCGGATGGAGCAATAGGGGAATATGACTTTGGTGGACGGGAGAACTGGCAAGAAGGGATCTGTCAGTGCTGTTATGACCAACCCTTCAACCAGGTAAGTGAGGCAACCAGAAACAGGGAACATGACTGCAACAGTGTTTTTTCTTAATTTATACAATGGTTTAAGATTGTGAAATTTCATTGGTTGATGACTCTTCGCACAACACATTTCATAAATTCATGTCTGACTACCTGACGGACTCAGTAAAACACACCCTGGGCACATCACCGTGATCGTTCTTGAACACATTTGAATATTTTCATCCCTGTGCACAAGGCAGGCAATGTACCTGTAAACACCGGAAATCTTGGACCTAGAACAAAAGGGTTAGGGCACAAAAAAAACATCCACAATTGACCGAAAATTTGTGTACAAAACCAACAAGAGCTGTTGCTAAAAAGGAATGAGGATTATGAACAATAGGGGGTCCACGATTGCCAGTGTTTACGAAGGTGGGTGTGTGCGAGTATACATGTATGCAGACCAGTACGCATGTACATGGAATGCAGACAAGCATACCAATGACCAACGCATTGGATTTCAGAATTAAAAATGTATTGGAAACGTGTCAAAGTCAAAAATATTGTTTTTACAAATAATTAACGATATTTTTTTTATCCTTTTATTCTTCTTAAAACCTGTTTCTTTCCAACAGTCTATGTGTCCTCAGTGTGACTGCCAGGATTTCTTGGGGATATTGGATTCATCTGAAGACAACTCAACATTTGCCAGCACCACAAATAGGTCACTTGAAGCCACACCAACCAACGAGGTCACAATCAGTAAGATGGCTGAAGTAACCAGCGCTTCATTGACCACAATGGGTTCCCTCCCTTGGACTATCCAGAAAATGGACGAAGATGGGGACAGTGTGTCTGATGATGAGAGTGGGAGATGGATATCACAGAGAGCGTGCGGGATCCAACTCTATCCGAGTAAGATAATAGACTGATCCATTGAGCCCCGCCCCATGGTGTTCTGCTGTGATTTATGTCTGACATGTCCAACTCTATCCAAGTTAGATAATAGACCGATCCATTAAGCCCCGCCCCATGGTGTTCTAACCAATCACAGCCGTGATTTATGCCTGACATGTCCAACTCTATCCAAGTAAGATGATAGACCGATCCATTGAGCCCTGCCCCATGGTGTTCTGACCAATCACAGCCATGATTTATGTCCGACATGTCCAAATCTATCCAAGTAAGATAATAGACCGATCCGTTAAGCCCCGCCCTTATCCCCAATGTTAGCATTGTATGTGAGAAAGAAATTGTACACAAATGATAAATGCTCATTGTCTGGTAACTGACATAAAGTCACCAACTGCTAGTCTTTAACTGAGAATATTGAACTGGATTGTTTGCAGTGTACTATGTACTACCTCTCAGTGTATCCAGTGTTTACAGATGGGCTCTAGTTATAGGGTGTTTGCGGCTGTAATGAGTTTGGAAATATCCTGTAACCTTTTTCACACAACAACCTTTCCATTTTTTCTGTGTTTCAGAATTGCTCTAAGGTACCATTTGGTCTTCCTCCTTTTCCATGTTTTCTGGTATATTTATTCCTTTTGCTTTTCCTTCTCTACCAATTGTCATTCCTCAAAGTACTATTTACTCATTGTCTAAACCATCTTTTTGTCCTCTGGTAATCCTCATCTTCCATAATGGCTATCTACACTTTTCTGTTCATATTTTCTGTCTCTTCATTCTTGTGAGCTCCTACCTCAAGTAACAATTAAATATTTATGAACAATTTCCATAATGAAATTGGGATCAATGTACCACACACCAAGTTGAAACAGAGTCTGCCTATTCTTTTCTAGATGGTAGTACATCTCAAGCTGTCCTGTGGTGTCGTTATTTTGAGGATGCCTGGCGAATGACATCGGAGGTTATAGATCTTGACTTTGATCCATCAATAGAGGAGCATCATTTCTCAGTCCACATCAAAGTCATGCCGTTTGATGCAAATGAGGTATTGTAACTGTGCTTCATAGAGACTCTTGCATGCTTAATTATAAGAAACATCGATTTTACAAGTGAACATTAGAATTGAATATTTTATGTCCATCAACATGCTCATTATTACTTTCTGAGAGCTTGTGTGAAGCAATGCACGAACTTGTTTGGATGGGACTTTAACCCACAACCTCCTGCTTAATTGCTGGGGTCAGCTGGCTAATTGCAATCGGATCCTACAGAGTAGATACATATTTAACAATTGTGCCACAAAATATTATCACACACATCTCTTTTAAACCCTTGTTCCTGACAAATTGAAATTCCTTGTGGTTTTTGATTCAAAGAACATAATTCAATCTTGAAAATCTCAGTTGTGATGGATTTCTATTGTTACAGGACGAATGGTCCTTTGAAGTGTACGTTGATGGTAAACTCCTCTCTTCACTGACTGGCATACCAGTCCTGTCCTCATCTACTAAGCTCATCCTTCATGTCTTCAATCAAGACAGCTACATCGCTGAGCTACCAGACCCCTTCAATCCTCCAGCTGTCGCTGCAACACTTAAAAATTTGAGGTCTGTACAACTTTATTGTTCTGTTTCAAATATTTTTTCAATTGTTTAGGTATCTGAGGTGCGCATTTAATACCTCTTTTATGGATCATTCCATAAATTTGGGTCCAATTGTTTGTATGTTCCTGTTGCACATGATACTAGCCGTTCATAAACTCAGGGCACATTCTGTAATGCCTTCTATCTCCAAGAGCGATTATAAAGACCTGCTGCATCAATAACAATATTTGTAATTATACATGAAAGGCATTTTACATTAATGAAATGTTCCTTATCATTCCTTTGGAGATTGTGCTGTCCCATCTATACCGAATATTTGAATAGTCAATCATCAACTGATTCTTCGAATAGCTTGAAAGTTATAAAAATTGATCCCATCACGCGATTTCAACGAGCACGCTTGGGATGCAACTTTTGGCTAGCTGGCGCATGTAAAATTTGATCAGAAAGTTTGGAATATTCAAATATTCGGTCAAATGCAGTTTTGAATAATCAAATACTATATTATTGAAAGAAAGTGAACAGCTCTAGCCTATAGTCCTCTTGCTAAGCAATGGCCTAGCTTGACTCAGCAAGCCTAGCCTTGTTAACTGGTTTAACCAAAGCATTTATGATCATTACATTCATTAGAATACTCTGTCGCTTTCTTCTGATATAGGATGTCGCCTGATCAGAGCAATCTGTGTCGTTATGGTGCATCATTCAGGGCTGGAACCAGTCCTGTCTCACGCTACTTTGCTGGTGTCGGCTCAGTAGCAGGAGCCACAGATATTGTGCCATTTGAAGAGGTAAGGCCAGGCATGAACTTTACCCTTTTCAGTAAATGCTTTGTCTACCAGACAATTTCCAGTTTCAGTATTTCTGAACCTTCCAAAAGCAGGTAACTCGAGGGCATGGAAAGAGCTTGATAGTGAATTGTCAGAGGCATTGGTGTCACTTCCTAACTACAAAACCCATGAGTGGAGTTAGAAAGAAGAAAAAATTTGCTTTACAATTTCTTGAAACATATATGGCACTAAACGACCTCCCAAAAACAAGGGAGCAAAAGAAAATGCATAAGACTATGGAAAATCAAGAAAGATCTGAAATTCAGCTAAAAAAAACAGTGAGAGAAGACAGATCAGAGCATGAGATATGGAAAATGAAAGAAGTCTCCATGAAGGCCATCAGACTCCACAACAAAATCAGGAAAGTGGTACTGAAACACAAAGAAAAGGAACACAGGACTCATGCGCAAGATGAGTTCAAGAAAAATCCTCATGAATATGCTAAGAAGCTTCTTGATCAAAATGCTAAACAGTGTGCACTAAGTTTTTTAAGGGAAGTCGCAAACAAAATATTTCCGTAACACCTATAGAGACAACTGACAAGACTATCAATACAATCCCTTGAGAGGCATATCAAGAGCAAAGGCCGCAAGGAAAGCGTTGTCTGTGGAATCACCATCCATGGCAGAACTACAACATGTTGTGCTGTAGAAGAGGAACATTTCAGCACCAGTTTTTGAGAGTGGCGACCCAGCTGTGGTCTGCAGCACGAGAAAGAAATGCCATCCCATACCTAGTGTACAAGAAATGCAGAAAAGTCCTCTCAGAGATACACATTAGTTCTGGAAAAAGAAGAATATACCCTTGTCATCATTGAGATTAGGTGAGGTAGTTCTGATCCCAAACAACCAAAAGGGGAGGATAGATCTAGACCGGAACTGTTTCGGAACATTACTTTTTACTAATGTCAGTGGAAAGATGTTTTTCCAAGTTCTAGCCAACCACCTATTCCCCTACATGATACAAAATGGCTATATAAACTAAGCAATTCAGAATGGATTTTAGCTGGATGTGTAGAACACATGTAACCCCTAATGCAAACTTCCTTGATACCAAACAAAATGCAAAGGAGATTGTTTTCGCCTGGCTAGATTTGGCTAATGCTTTTGGATCAGTTGCCCATAACCTGATCCAATTTGCATTGAAATGGCATCACATCCCACAAAACATTCGAGAACTGCTCTTTAACTATAATGTCGAGCTGTTTGTGAGAATGGCGACCCAGCTGTGTTCTGCGGACTGGTTTATGTCCCAGATTGGTCTATTCCAAGGATGTCCACTTTTGGATGTACTATTCCTGATTGTGTTCAACCTGTTATTAGACCTGCTGAAGACCAGACAAGAATACTGGTACCAGATGGAGAACACAGACTACAAACAGTATCAGACAGCCTATGCAGACGACCTGACTATAATAGCAGGAAGTGTAACAGGGTGTTAAGACCTTCTTAGCCTTGTAGAGACATTCCTAAAGTGCACCAGGACAATGCAAGCAAAACCTTCAAAATGCTGAAGTCTGGTCATGAAGAAATCTCCAATAGTCGGTGTATATAGTTAGTAGGATACCGTGGGAACTCATCATCTACTGGTTCATTTGCCCGAAAAACTCTGAGCAACCGCTACTCATTCATTTACGAGGTGGGCTGGTCTTCCTAGATGTGCCAACCCTTCCATTCTTTACAGGAAAAGAGAAAACAAAGGTTTGCGAATGAAACTCCTCACTACACACCTGAAATACTTGCAACTTGTCAAATACCACATTTTGAAGTACTTTGTAGATGATGCTGCCCAGTTTGTGTACAGCCATATAGAACAGCGACAAGAAAAGAAAAGGCAGTGGAATAGTGTCAAAGAGCTACATAAAAGAGAGAACATCTGTTCATTAATGAGCTATGCAGAGGACAGCAGGGACAAGGACTTATTCCATCAAATGCAGAGATGCCAACCCTCCCGATTTCGCTGGGAGGCTCCCGGAAAATCAACTAAACTCCCTACCTTACGGGCACATAAGATATCCTCCCGGATTTGCTATATAAATGCGCTTTTTTTGTTTTTTTTATCCGCATTTTTGCAGCGGCGTAACAATTATAATGTTGCTTTCCGCACACGCGCTGCCGTTCAATGCATTACAGCATGCACAGTTACCGTACCAAGCCTAGCTAGTACCCCTGAAGCGTACATGTGCGTTGTTTTGCAGTGCATATGCATGCAAGCAACTCTGTTCGACGTGCAACACACATGACGGAGACTACCGTGAAAGCAAAAAAAACGACCAAAAAATGCTGTGCACGTCCTAACTTAGACAAAGGGTATTATAAGGTAATATAAGGGGTATTGGTTTCCGATCACGTTGATTTACTTCACATATACCAAAAGTTCTTGGTACATGACTAGAAGAGAAAACCTGCACTGAAGAAGATGTGTGTGACTCTATGACCTGGAGAGGGAGGGTTCCGTGGACCAAAGCGTTCAACCCACCACTGCCCATCCCAAGTCGGGGGCAGTTGCAGCAAGTTGGCGGAACTGACAAAATAGTATACCTGGGCTTTATGAGCTGAACACCTAGCTCTAATCCTCAACTATACATATCCTAATAAAACGTTGATACCCGGCCATGATTTCAAACTGAAGGGTTTTGAGATGGGCATGTCTGCAACTTCAAATTTGTCACTCCGCAGACAGGGGCACAACCGGGGAGAGGGGTCCGTGAGGGCACAAACATCTTTAATTGTTCCCCACGAAGAGCTACACCTATTGTCTGATAGTGTTTGCGCTGAAGGTCGCCCTCAATAGAAAGATGGTGTCCAGCACCCTTCCCCCCCCCAAGGTCACGTGACCTGTGGAAAAATCTGTCTACCTTTCAGCATGGATGCTACAAAAAGTCCCCCTATTACCCAACCCCAATTACTGCATCAACCAATAAATGAGCAGATCACATTCGTTGTCTTGAATGTTCTTGTTGTTCATGGAATGCCTGTTTTGGAAACACTCTCTGTTTGTACAGATTGCCAGGCCATGTGTTCCTTGCATCCATCCGTGTGATCGTTACCAGTGTGATCCCTCATGTTCCCTGGATGCTGTTCCCATCACCTTCACATTGACCAACCTGACTCTGCCAAGACTGGAGCTATCCAATACCACCCTTGACAACGATGCAAATGCAACAACGCCACCTGCAAACCAAGATGAGGGATCACTCCCATTCTTCCTGACAGGTGAGATCAATGGAATAAACGTAAACTTGAAAGATTTTCCCAAATGGTAACATAACTTCCCTGTGACTGTTTACAGCAAGAGTCGCATTACTCAAGAACATGTTTTATTACCAACTGAACTCATCCATCACATGTTGTTTAGAGACAGTTTCTTATCGTAGTTTACATTACCGAGCAGATTGTTTCCTTTTAACTCTTTCTGATATCATATTTTACATGAGCCAATATTGGTGGATGATTTTTATGTTTTGGACATCCCCCCCCCCTCCCCAGTGAGATGCTTCTTAGGAAATGGGAAATCGGTGTCAGCATCCTCCAATGGTTTCGTCATTGATGACACACCACCAAAGCTGGATCTTTTTTTCTATGTGGACGTCAATCTTGAAGAGTCTGTGCCAACATCATTCCAGTCTTCAGACTCTACCATCAGGGTGCTGTGGAGTTTCATTGACACTGAGAGCATGGTCAAGGTGAATGATCAGCAGAATATCACTTCAACAATTAAACAGTGTATTTACAAATACATGTGCTTAGGGATATAAGTTTAAGCAAAGAAATCGACAGGAGCAGAATTTGAACCCATAAATATTGGTACTTTTGCCAAAAGAGCACCACTATATGCATGCATGGATCCCATCGCAGTAATATTGAAATTCTGTGTTTAGGAGCATCACTGGGCGATAGGAACATCCAAAGGCGCAACAGACCTGCAAGACTTTGTCAACGTTGGGTTGAACCAGACAGCTACTAACAGCAACCTGACAGGATTGCTGCATCACAACACTACATACTTTGTGACTCTGAAGGCTATCAATGGAGCAGGCTTGGAAACCATTATAGAGTGTGATGGTAGGTAGAGATAGACTGACATACAGACAAACAGACAGACAGCATGACAGTGATCTGACAGGATTACTGCATCACAATACTACATACTATGTGATTCTGAAGGCTTTCAATGGAGCTGGCTTGGAAACCACGGTAGAATGTGATGGTAGGTAGAGATAGACTGACACACAGACAAACAGACAGCTTGACAGTGATCTGACAGGATTACTGCATCACAACACTACATACTATGGGACTCTGAAGGCTATCAATGGAGCGGGCTTGGAAACCACGGTAGAATGTGATGGTAGGTAGAGATAGACTGACACACAGACAAACAGACAGACAACATGACAGTGATCTGACAGGATTACTGCATCACAACACTACATACTTTGTGACTCTAAAGGCTATCAATGGAGCGGGCTTGGAAACCATTATAGAATGTGATGGTGGGTAGAGATAGACTGACAGACAGACCAACAATCAACTAGCCTGGCAGCTACATATCTAATGAGGTACTTCATCATAGTAGGTAACTCCGAAGGCTATCAATATTTGAAACCCAAAATGCCATCAAACAAAAGCCTGGACACAAATCATTAGAATTTGAGGATATTTTATATTTTGTGCATATCCAATGCAAATGAAGTTCAGGAAGACAGCCCGGTAGTCTTTTTGCTATACTGTTGACATGGTAGTGGGGAGCTTTTTCTTTGGGTAAATGTTTTTTATTTATCCTCAACTAAAAAGCACTCTCGTATTGTGTCCATCATATATCAAAGGCTAATTTGTGATACCCAGAATGGACCAAATGTTTTGATTTACTTTTAGAGACCTTTAGTGATGACTGTACATGTTTGTATTTCCTAGGTGTGACTGTTCTGCTGGAGGAGCCCACTGCAGATGATGTCAACACCACCTCCATGTTTAGCAAGAAGTTTGAGGAGGATGTTTACCCAACCGATGTAAAGAAAAGCGAAGACCCAACAAAGACTGGTACCTCCTGGTCCAAACCGCAGGATGAGTCCATTAATCGCTACGGTAGGACATCTTGCAATTGGTAGACTGTCACATTAATATCAAATGAAAAATGAGATCTAAATTGTGTGATACAGGAGAATGTATAAAATAGTGGGTTTCCCCACAAAACAATTTTATTACTGAGCACCTCTTGTAAGTTTTGATATCCCCCAGTCAAGTAATTCAGGAACATGTGTTTATTATCAATCAATGTCAATATCGTAAGTCCTGCACAAAACTTCACATCTATTGCAAGTCAGTACTAAGTCACATAAACCCTGTGAATACAAGCTATTCAGATGTGTCAAAGACATTCTTTTGTAACCATTTATCCCCTTCCTACTTGAACTCCTGAAGTCACTTGGGATTTAGTTGATCTGGACTAGTGTTGGACATGTGATGGGGTTTGACTACAGCTCTGGTCGAATTCTGACCATATGTGACCACTAGGTTTCTGTTTCTCATTTCTGTCTTGGAAGGTGAACAAACCACTGTCTTGTAATACACAGCAATGGTCCCCTTGTTTCTCCTTCTGCTGTAAGAACATTATGGATCCCGTGCACAAGTACACAGGGATAGTTGTAGTAGACCATTGGAAGAAACATTCAGATGCAATGCTGACGACGCCTGATGGCTTATGTGAAGATGCTCTTGGTTGTGCACATTCAGATAAAAACATGTTTTGTGTGCTTTGCGCATACTCACATAACCTTGTTCCATTGTTGTGGGGACTACCTGTTGAGCGACAGTTATTATGGAGACCGAAGACATTGTTGGGACAGCAGAAAGTCCCCATAGCTCAGTCCTAATTTCCCTAACAATAAAAAACTTCCCCATAACGCGGTGCTGGCCAGGGCGCTCAAACCAGTACATGCAAGCAGTGTATATCCCTCCACTAGAGGTGGTAAAAAAACACCATATATAGTTAGTGCATGGAGTCCATACAGACAAATGCATTGGGTAAGTCCAAGAAAAGGTCCCCTTTTTGTCTAATCTGTGACAGCATGTTTTCTTCAATTACGTAAGCAACGCAAAGACTAATAACAAAAAAATTGTTGTGGATATTCTCCTTGCAGATGCACAACAGTAGAATAAAACCCCTGAAATTCATGAATATCTTATGAGGGTTAAACTTTGTTAAACATTCTTGGACTTGCCCTCTTAGGCCATGTTCAGACAGCATTTCTAAAACGGTAAAAGTTGAAACGGTCGCTCACATAGTGAAAGGCCGGTAATAAAAATAAAACTAACGAGCGTTTAGACATCATTTTAAGTACAGCAAGTTCAACTGCGCGCTAAAAGAGCCTTCACTTCATCCAGTTTTAATTTTACCAGTTCGCTACACATGGTCTGAGCCTCTCACCGGCCTTTGTCATCACGGGATGTTGTTTGGTTACTACACAAGCGCTCCACTGAAAAGGCGTTACATAATTTCAGGTCACTGCGCTGGCTGAAACAGGAAGCGTTTTAGCTAAAACCGTTCATACATCGGACTAGGAGATAAACTCGTGCTGGTTTAGCGCTAAACCCTCCCTCCGCGGGGGTTGGTGAACTCAATTTGGGGTTGGTGAACTCAAATCGGGGTTGGTGAACTCAATTCGGGGTTGGTGAACTCAATTCGGTCTAAATATAAAACTGCTGCGCAGACCATTCTACTGAGAAGATTGTCATTTACTGGCAGATGAAACTGCACGAAGCTGCACAAAACTGCACTTTGTATTCTATGATGTAAGGAATGTTTTGTCATACCAGCCTTTTGAATATCATTGGTACTTAAATGAGAGCAGGCAACAAATTGGATAGACTAGGTGTAGATACATGATTGGAAATGAAAGCTGGGATTTTACCTGTGCACAGCCACTGATAACCCAGTGTCTCCAATAACCAATGTCTCCTTCCATAGAATACTGTGTGAGTGGTTCAGAGTCGCTCCTAGATGATGTTGTGCCCTGCATGGCAGTTGGAGGCAACTCCTCTGGCTCAGTAACCATAGAGGATGGAATGATCATCGTCCGTGCTGGCGACAGGGAAGAAAGGTTCAACATCACTGACTTCAAGGCACCAAAGGACTCCAGCCAGGGGGACATGATTGAGAAAGCGGCCAAGTTCAATATGGAACCTGGGAAGTAAGTGTGGATTGTTTGCGTTGGATGCAAAAAATGATACATCATAAACACTTTATTCAAGAAATCTACTTTTAAGGGTTGATGAAATTCCATTCCTATCAATGAAACCTTGTCAGACTGCTTATATCACACCTTCTGAGCATTTCAGTGTAGACTTCATTTAACTCAAATTCTTGTAAATGCATTGTTAGTTAAAGTTCCAGAAGATCATTCTTGAAGTGGTCCAGTAATGTAGATGTTAACTTCTTTTGGATGCTTGTTACACTGCACAAGATTCAGAAAGTTTGCTGATTGGGACTTGATATGAGAGAATCAAATGGTACACATACATGCGTATACTGATAGTCAATAAAAACTGCAGCAAAGAAAAATTAGGGTTATTTCCCCCCCCCCCCAAAAAAAAACCCAAAACAAGGCCACTCTCTCACTCATACCAGCCTCTAATGTGACGGTGGTGTTCTTAATTTCACAAGCTCAGCAAATAACAAAGTGTTGCACGTGTCAAAGTTTTAGACTTGGCTTTATGTAGGCTTGACTATGAGTCTCTTGGGGAAAAGGACAACCAGTCTGTTGTCACACCTTTCCATATTTTTATGAAGCATTTTTCATTGATTGAAAGTATTATATATCTGTAAAAATCTCTTCTGTGGTTCACTGAAACCTAAATCACAAATGAGTTATGCCTTAACTTTTTTGGCAAAATTCTTTATGATTGGAGGGCCATCGTCAAACTAAGTGTCTTGAGATTGTGACTTGGACTTGAAGCATTTGACTCCAGACTCAAGCCGTATCCAAATGACTTGGCTATGGCTTACGATCACACATGCGCCTATGCAAGCAGCTGAAGCCTCTTCCTATAGACATTGTGACTTGGACTTGAAGCATTTGACTCCAGACTCAAGCCGTATCCAAATGACGTGGCTATGGCTTACGATCACACATGCGCCTATGCAAGCAGCTGAAGCCTCTTCCTATAGACATTGTGACTTGGACTTGAAGCATTTGACTCCAGACTCAAGCCGTATCCAAATGACTTGGCTATGGCTTACGATCACACATGCACCTATGCAAGCAGCTGGAGCCTCTTCCTATAGACATTGTGACTTGGACTTGAAGCATTTGACTCCAGACTCAAGCCGTATCCAAATAACTTGGCTATGGCTTACGATCACACATGCACCTATGCAAGCAGCTGGAGCCTCTTCCTATAGACATTGTGACATTGTGACTTGGACTTGAAGCATTTGACTCCAGACTCAAGCCGTATCCAAATAACTTGGCTATGGCTTACGATCACACATGCACCTATGCAAGCAGCTGGAGCCTCTTCCTATAGACATTGTGACTTGGACTTGAAGCATTTGACTCCAGACTCAAGCCGTATCCAAATAACTTGGCTATGGCTTACGATCACACATGCAACTATGCAAGCAGCTGGAGCCTCTTCCTATAGACATTGTGACTTGGACTTGAAGCATTTGACTCCAGACTCAAGCCGTATCCAAATGACTTGGCTATGGCTTACGATCACACATGCACCTATGCAAGCAGCTGGAGCCTCTTCCTATAGACATTGTGACTTGGACTTGAAGCATTTGACTCCAGACTCAAGCCGTATCCAAATAACTTGGCTATGGCTTACGATCACACATGCACCTATGCAAGCAGCTGGAGCCTCTTCCTATAGACATTGTGACTTGGACTTGAAGTATTTGACTCGAGACTCAAGCCGTAGCCAAATGACTTGGCTATGGCTTACGATCACACATGCACCTATGCAAGCAGCTGCAGTCTCTTCTCCCTGCCATAATAAAGTAGGCAGTGGCTTCGGAACCGGTACAGGTCCCCAATTTGCAAGGCTGTGGAACCAGCAGCAATACCACGCGTATGTTAGTTGTTGGGAATTGGTTCTTAGACTAGTTTAAAAAACAAAAGCCAGGAATCCACAAAAAAGTGAAATTTCAAATTTTGTTTCATTGAGAAGATTGAGAAGTAGGACTTCCCGTTTTTAGGGAGGAAAACAATTGATCCCCAGGCAGAATCAAACTCATGACCCGATGATCCAAAGATACCACCATTATCCACCTAGTAGTATAGGCCTAGTATGGCATTGTTATGGAAATCTATGACCCCTGTTGTTTGTATGTTTGTCTGTCCTTCCTTTCACTTGTACTTGTCTAATGGTTTGTCCTTATTTAAATCATTATTTACAGTTTGGGCATTTTAAGTATAGGCATGCCTCTATAAGCTTGGGCTTCTTAAAATCATACTTCTATCTTAATAGTACTTTTTGTTCTCACGATGCTTTTACTTTGCTATTGTAACTAGGCACTTTGACAGCTACTGAAAATCAAAACCTTATAATGTATGCCAAATGATATCAAGATCTGACGTTTCAAATGACTGCCGGTTTGGTAGCCTCGCGTTCCATAGTCCACTGTAATGTGGAAATGGTCTGAAACAGTGGACCTTGATCAATAACCTTACTATGTAATTATGGACTTGTTTAAAACATTGCTGTGCCCGTTCTTTATTTTACTTCTATTTTAGGTGCCTGTATACCTGGATGAAGATGTGCAACCCAGCTATGTTATGTGTCACAGTATCAGCAGGAACTACTACAGTGTTAGGTCAGTATTTGAACATCAGTGTGAGAGATATCAGGCCATTGTCGGCGTTGTATGAAATATGTTGGGTTTTAAGAATATTCTTTAACAGGAAAGCCGTGTTTGAGGTGGATGCAGAAGAAAGATCTTTACTTGGCAATGCTAAAGTTATGATCAAAAAAAGATCAGAAGTAGTTTGTATTACTTGAAAACCTTGAAAAAATTTATCAGACATCCATTATCCTGATCAACAGGAGACAGTGATATGATGATGACATCAGCCAATGGTACAGACCTTGTTCTGACATCACCAACAAGCCAGAGGAGGAGGAAGAGGGCCATAGATGATAACCACTTTGATTTCACTGTGGCTACAAAGGGAGGTAGGTATTATACAACATGGTATGACTGGTCCCATGGTGTTGACTGATTTGACTACCTCCTGGGCCAACTTTCATGGCTCTGCTTACCATTAGCGAAAAATCCCTGCTTACTGTAGCAGAAAACTCTGAACTTACGATAGGTGTATTTCACTGGTTAGCAAGAAATTTGAGCTTAGGCCTATATGCATGCCTACATCCTGTAGCTAAGGATTCGATGCTTGCAAGGTTAGCACAGAATTGTTCAGAATTGTTCAGTTAACTCTATGAGAATTACATATAATTGGAGAATTGAGGGCTGTCAAGGGTAGTAGATGAATATCTGCGCTTCCACCTTACTTGTGTTATTGCAGGTCTACACCAGGGTGGTTCACTCATCCTAGGTCTGCTGGATGTCAATAGAACCAACCAGGAATTCACATCGGATGCTGCCCTGGATTATAAACCATACATCACCAATCCATTGTACACCATCCCGTATACATCAAGACTGCTTAGACACAGGTTGGTTTGCTGCACACTGTGTTTTCCCTTCAAAAGTGATCAGACAAATTCAATTTTAAGACAAATTCAAGAATGAAATTTTCTCTAGAATTGTCTCAGATTTGTTTGTTTCTAAATTTTTGATAATTGTCTGAATTGTTTTTCTTGTAATTGGTTTTGAACTGTTATTTTTTTTGTAAGGAGATTGTGAATGTAAATAAGTGCCACAACTTATTCAGAATATCAGGTATATATTCAATTGTAAATAAATCAACACATTTATCCTATAGAATCAAAAGTCAGTTTGGTTGCACACTTTTGTCATTGTTTAGTTTCCCTGTTTAAGTAGGATTTGTAAGTTTCAATTCAATTCAATTCAATTCAATTCATTTATTGTCCATTTAAATGATAAAAATGGAGGTAGTGTAAACAATAGTGATTGTTTGCATAATACCATTTGAACGAATCTCTTTTGAGAAGATTTGTGGTTCAGAACCAAACTTCTTCTCAAGAGATTCTTCCACATGGTGTTACCGCAAACCCTTACTAGCTTCCCTGTTTAAGTTAAACAGACATTAACCCTTTAGTCACTGTACCGCCCGAAACCACCCTGCATATTACTCACTGTACCAGCTATGCCCTCTATGTTTTCATTGATGTTTTAGTGAATAAACAAAAATAATACAATGAAGTACAGGTGCTAATGAGTTAATATAATGATAGGACAGTAAGGATTTAGAACAATTGTATAAACAGTATTTATTTAATTGGAAACAAAATGTCATTTGGATTCTCCCCAGAATACGTTTTGTGTATGAACCAACATTCTATATCACCAGTCTTGGTCAGACGGAGCTGCAGGGACCATTAATGATTAACATGAGTCTAAGCACACCGGGGAACTGGACAGTGGAAAAACCTAGACTTATCTACTGGGACAAAGGTGAGTCTAAGCACACCAACTGGACAGAGGCAAAACGTTGACTTATCTACTGGGATGAAGGTGAGTCTAAGCACACCGGGGAACTGAACAGAGACAAAACCTAGACTTATCCACTGGGACAAAGGTGAGTCTAAGCACACTGGGGAACTGGACAGAGACGAAACCTAGACTTATCTACTGGGACAAAGGTGAGTCTAAGCACACCGGGGAACTGGACAGAGACAAGACCTAGACTTATCTACTGGGACAAAGGTGAGTCTAAGCACACCGGGGAACTGGACAGAAACAAAACCTAGACTTATCTACCGGGACGAAGGTGAGTCTAAGCACACCAGGGAACTGGACAGAAACAAAACCTAGACTTATCTACTGCGACAAAGGTGAGTCTAAGCACACCGGGAACTGGACAGAGACAAAACCTAGACTTATCTACTGGGACAAAGGTGAGTCTAAGCACACCTGGGAACTGGACAGAGACAAAACCTAGACTTATCTACCGGGACGAAGGTGAGTCTAAGCACACCAGGGAACTGGACAGAAACAAAACCTAGACTTATCTACTGCGACAAAGGTGAGTCTAAGCACACCGGGAACTGGACAGAGACAAAACCTAGACTTATCTACTGGGACAAAGGTGAGTCTAAGCACACCAGGGAACTGGACAGAGACAAGACCTAGACTTATCTACTGGGACAGAGGTGAGTTTAAGCACACCGGGGAACTGGACAGAAACAAAACCTAGACTTATCTACCGGGACGAAGGTGAGTCTAAGCACACCAGGGAACTGGACAGAAACAAAACCTAGACTTATCTACTGCGACAAAGGTGAGTCTAAGCACACCGGGAACTGGACAGAGACAAAACCTAGACTTATCTACTGGGACAAAGGTGAGTCTAAGCACACTGGGAACTGGACAGAGACAAGACCTAGACTAATCTACTGGGACAAAGATGAGTCTAAGCAAACCGGGGAACTGGACAGAGACAAAACCTAGACTTATCTACTGGGACAAAGGTGAGTCTAAGCACACCGGGGAACTGGACAGAGACAAAACCTAGACTTATCTACTGGGACAAAGGTGAGTCTAAGCACACTGGGGAACTGGACAGAGACAAAACCTAGACTTATCTACTGGGACAAAGGTGAGTCTAAGTACACCGGGGAACTGAACAGAGACAAAACTTTGACTTATCTACAGGAACAAATGTTAAGAGTTCAACACATGAATATGATCAATTTATTTGTCTTTACTTAGAATGAATAGTAGATAGTACTGTGGAACGTCCCTATACCGAACACTGCTATACCAAACTTTCGGCTGTACCGAACATCATCCTTGGCTCCCGATTTTTGTGTACAAAATGTACCAAACATTGTTGTTGAAAATTGTCAACAGAAGAGTAACAAGTGGCTATTATTTCCTCAAGGAATAGAAGGAGAAAAGCACCATTTGCTGTAGGTAGTAAGCTCAAAAAATGTGTAATTACATAATTCAGTAGTTGGCAAGTGGTCAAAGGTCGTCTTTCAGTAGCCCAGGCGTGCAGGGTGAAGTTCTGAAGGGTGCTATTTGTTGAAAGTGAGCACCGGAGCACCGGCAGCTTAAACTCGCTATACCGAACGATCGCTATGACGAACAATTTCTGTGGATCCTGCGATGTTCGTTATAGCAGTGTTTGACCAGCTGTCGGGAGCCCACCTTTGTTGGACATTGTGTATGAGCACACTTATTTGCACTCCTATGGCACAAAGTATGCATTTCATCTGGATGTGCACAAGCCTCAACGTTTTCATGTGAGGGCTGAGCACACAGGGACAGGACAATAAGGTGTAACTCTGGTTGTTGCAATTGAACTTTATTTGTTCTAAGTTTCTCCATGAGGTATATAAGGCCGTAGATTATTTAATCTCCATACTCCTCTGTAGACTCGTAGCTGATTATTTGCGTGTTATTTCAGCAATGCCAACACAATCTGACCTTTATTGATAAATGCTGGTTAAATGTTGAAGTCACATTTGGATTGATGTACGTCCCTTTTTCAAGTTTTCATATAAGAAATAAAAGCTGCTGCAGCAATCTCCTGAATAGTTGCCATGCCCTGACATACATACATGGTAGAAATCAGAGGGCCTGAAGTTTCCACCCTAGAGGCCCTTTGTCATGGAGAACATCTCTTTAATGAATTTCTTTCAGCTATAGACTCATGGACTTGATGTCCGCTTTCCACATTTTTCCTAATTTTATTGATTTGCTTACCTCTTTTATTTGTTAATATTGAAAAAAAAATGTTTGGTAATGATTCCTTGAGCCACCTAAAGACTGTTTTGTAAAATATAAGCAATTGTGAGTTCTGTTTAAGTGTCATCATTTCAAATCTTTGCGTAGATCACTCTGAATGGCAAGATGCAGCTAAGACATGCAGTGATGTGGATCAAATTACATACCTTGATGATGGGAACAAAGTCAATGTTCAGGTTGGTCATGCAATTCAAAGATTTCACTCGGTTCTTCTTATTTCAAGTAGTCTTGGCCCAAGTCAGGCATCCAGGCCATGGCAAATGCAGGCAACCTCCCATGGTGGTGGATGAATCAAATCTAGTTATGGAAATTTCAGCACTCTGACTGACTATGTCCTTTGTAATGTGCGCTTGAGGTTTACTTAGAAATTCTCAGGTTTGAGCGCTAATTCCCCAACTGGAAGTGGTCCATCTTGTTTATAGCTTGCTGTTGGGTTTGTAGGCAGCTTGCCGGGGACTGGCTACATTAGTGCAACATGATCCAAAATCCACGCTGTTGGGTTTGTAGGCAGCTTGCCAGGGACTGGCTACATTAGTGCAACATGATCCAAAATCCACGCTGTTGGGTTTGTAGGCAGCTTGCCAGGGACTGGCTACATTAGTGCAACATGATCCAAAATCCAGTCTTTTGCCAAGACTATTTCAAAAGACGAAATGGAACACCTCTCTTTAGAACCTTTCAGGACTTTGAATTTCAGTTGAAAAAGGTATAATATAATTTCATTTTTAGACAAACAATCTAGACAATCTAGACAAACGGAGTTGGAGCAAAACAGCTGTTGGACCATTAATTATTCTCTCCATACCAATGTGCATGTGTGATAGCTGTCTGCTTGAACAACCAGTCGAAGACTTATGTCAAACTGGACATTATCAAGGCTGGTCCAAACTCGGCGCAAAAGCAAACGCGGATGTGAATTTGTGACATCAGTGCACGTTTTTGCGCTGCAAATTCTCAAAAGTTGAACACATTTCAACTGCAGTTTGCAGCAGTCCTATTAGTTTTCACATTTCGTCTCCGATGAATTTCGCAGCGAATGCTTTGTGACGTCAAATTCCCATCGCATTCGTATTGGCATGAAGTATGAACCGAACTTCACTTAGATTTACTGATATTTTACATCAGTGGCATCTCTCTTCTTTTGCTGGTTGTTGCATTTTGCACAGTTTGTCAAGGCTGTTGAAAGCTAGATATATAAACATGCCTGGATTCCAGTTCCACATAGTCGCTAAGAAGATTAGAAGATAGTTGAACTATGGTAACGGATGTAGTTCATGTTCAAACTTGCTGTGAGATGTAAGAGTCAGACGATTCCCAGCAACTCGGGACTTTAATGTGTCCCCTTTAATTACCCTCCCATTTCCATTCAGGAGATAACACAAGCGTAGTGATATCAGTGTTGAGTGTTCACCTTCTGGGTCTTAGATGCAATGTTTGTTATCCTTCAAAAATGAGATCCTTCCATGATGAGATTCTGCCATGGCGCTGCAAGAGACCTTTCACAATTGACTTTTCACAATTGACTTCACCATGCAATGCTTTTATATCCATTTCTGCCAACATCCGTTTTAATAAGCATATGGCTAACACAATGTGTTTTCCTTTCACGTTGTAGGTTTGTTCCACACAGGATCCAGCCTTGTCATCCTCAGAGCCAGGTCGCAAGCGTCGTGCTTTGCAAGAAGAGTCAGTTCCTTCCAACACGACATACTTCAGCCATGAGACTCATTTTGCATTTGCTGTTGTCTTAGACGCCATCCCCAATAACCCACCAGTTATCACAAACTTGGTAGAGAATATGTTCATGAATGAGGATGAAGGTAACTTTACCATTCTAATCAATTTAATGTTTTCACCATATTAAACTTACATCTAGAATTTTCATTGTTCTCTGTTGATTTTTGAATAGCAAAGTGAGAGTTATATTTAAAACAAAATATAAATCAGGTTGTTTTCATAAATTTCGTTTATCTGAATGATGTCATAGCAATATATCTCAAATGATCTGTTGTATTATTTTACTTGGGTTATTTGAAGATACATTGTACTCACATGGTCACCTTTTCTGATTTGTCACCTTTACTCTAAAATTTCTAATACTGTATATAAACAAATCAGGTAATGTTACTCTGCCATTATTGGCAGTACAAACGTACAGAGAATGTTGAATTTCAGTTGTTGTTATTTTTCTTGCTTCATATTCTATTCCAGGAACTCTGTCCTACACATTCCAGGCCACTGATCTTGAAGATGACATTTTGGTCTTTGAGCTTGGTAGCCACAGTGACAAGCAAGGCACAGCAGTGATCACAGAGACCGGTGACTTCAGCTATACACCTTGTACTGATTGCTATGGTACTTTCACTCTACAAATCACTGGTAAGAGTTTCTACAGGATTTGTTTTCTTGAAGATAATATCTGCCAAAACAATTTGCCAAAACTTTTTCTTGATAATGTGTATTTTTATCAAGGCAAAATGTACAAAACACATGAAGGAAATAGAAGTAATTTAAAAATGCGATATAAAAGGAAAAGCCACAGAAAGTCATTGGACTTTATTTTTTTTTATTTAGATACAGTTCTTTTTTAAAAGCTGAACAAATTTAGTTAATTTTTCTCTGCACAGCATGTCAGATTAAATAATTTCATGATGGGTTTATTGTTAGGGTCATGAATGGGTTTAAATTTTTAGATAATTCGAAATGGTCGTATGCAAGTGTTACATATGCTGAATTTGTTTTTCTCTGTCTTATTTGTCTCTTTTTAATTATTTATTCAGTGAGGGAGGTACAGACCTTCCATGAGATAGAACCTCTATCTACCACTGTCAATCACACCATTGAAGTCCGACCAGTCAATGATAATCCTGTGTTGTACAGTGCACATAATGGCCAAGTTGTTGGCAATGGACGCATTGCTTCGGTAAATTAAATGATAATGTTTATGTTTGTTATTTCACTTTTTATGTACAGTCGAATCTCGTTAGTACAAACTCTGTTAATACAAAATTCTGGTTATAACAAACATAAAGCTTTAGTCCCGACTGTGCATTTATGTGCACAATGAATGGGACTGATGTTCCTCTTAATACAAAATTCTGATATAACAAACAATTTGGCTAGGTCCGAACAGGTTTGTATTAACGAGATTTGACTGTAGTGGTATTCCTATTAATCAGATGGGGGGGGGGGGGTGGAGATTCATCACATGTGCCTTCCTTTACATTTGAACTTTCTTTTATGATTCCTTACAGAAATTCATACATTTGTAAACAATTAATGTGAAAGCCACAATCTTATCTTACAGCTCCTGCCTGTATTTTTGACAATTAACTATCATTTGCTCACCCCAAACTTTTATAATGGTCAGTCCACTGCCCCCATTGTCATTTAGACTAGAAGAGGCCATTGGTAAATGGACAAAGAAGCACAAGTCATTTGTCAATTTGATTTATTGCTGATTTTTTTACAATCTGTAATAAATGTCTATTAAATTAATGACATGTCACTGAGTTCACTCCTCTACACATCAAAAATGGCATTGAATACGTGAATCACTCCAAACCCTCATCTTTACAGTCTGACCTTACAAATAAACTTGTAGCAATTTATGTAACATTGCAATGGGATTTAAAGGGAATGTACAACATTTGCTTTTGCTGCAGTTTTCAGAAATAAATGAATTTGGAGGATTAGTATGTTATAGCAAATATTGTTAAAATGACTTGTTTCACGTTTTGGGCTTGTAGATGCTGGAAAAACCAAGAAAAATCAATCATGTTCTTGTATTGTGGTTCCCTGACCCAACTTAAGATGAATCGGAGCAATTTATAGACTTTGGGGAATTGTACCATCAGAGAATCAGTCTAGCAGGCTTGTAGTCTTCACAGGTGTGTAATCAATTGGAAAAAAATGCGGAATAACTAATTAGGAAAAATTAGGAGCAATTTTCGAAAAACTTTTTCGAGTTTTCTCCAACGCTGGTCGGTCGACTCAGTGTTGGAAAAATACCATTTTTCTTGAAAATGTCAGCACACCAGGAGCCACGATTTTACAGGATGCTTTAGACTGTCATTCCCTAACAATCCAGTAAGGTATTTTGTGATAATTTGATTATTTCATTTAGTGATGTTTACAAATGTTGTATCTTCCCTTTAAGCAAATGTTATGACATTAAGATTTGCCTTTTGATTGTGTTTTTACTTTTACAAACAGTTAACTGTTGAGCAGAACACAGGGTCCAATGTTGCCTACAAGCATCTGAGAGCTGTGCTAGGAGCATACGATGCTGACACCAATGATGAACTGACCATTGTAACCAGGCCCCCGACGTATGGCACCCTGGCACTGACAAGCCAAGTCAAGACTGTGCCGTCCAGGCAGAATTGCAGTGAGCCCTCTGTAGACAGTGAAGAGCCAGTCATTCCTTGTGGGATAGAGTTGCCCCATAGTGAGGTAGAAGTTGTGATATTAAAGATGTTGTTGAAACTTTGGCCTCACCTCCAGCTTTGGTTTATAGCCACTGGTTCCAGAATTACATAAATCCTCCAATGTCATATTATACAATCTGACGTTCTTGAGGCCAAACGCCAGACCTATATGAAGCCGTTGTCCCAAAGAATAAGGGGCATAGAATTTCCCGCTGATGCTGGAGACAATGTGAAGGTTTCAAAAACCCCTAGATTTGTCTGTCATGTTTATATGCCTAAAGTAAGATTTATTTGCTGGTGGCTCCTCACTGATACATGTACCTCACTGATTCGTACTGAGTACTAGAGACTTTTTGGTGCAGTTGTTGAATTGAATAGTTCCAAGGTTAGTTTGAACCAGGCTGGACCTCTGTATTAGGACAGGTGTCCATGACTTGCCTGAGAGCTCCCATTACATGATATAAGGGTGTCCTGCCTTTATGTTATTGCTGCTGCTATAGCAACATACCGGTAGTTGGTGCTGTCTGACTAAAGCCCCATGGAATCACCCTGGACAAATTACTCTGTCAGCAAAATATGCATTCACCATCCTTGCTCATCGAACTTGTTGAGTTGCATCACCAATTCTATTTTAAATCCCACATGTTTTTTACTTGTCGGGTAGTCAAATCAAGTCATGGTTTCATCCCCTATCAATGCAGTTAAGACCACCTCTGAATCACAGAGTTCTCTCAAGTCATACCAAGCCAATCACAAGTCTGTATCAAAAGCATTCCTATTTAAATGTTCTTCACTGTGACATTTGTTTTTGGTTTCAGAGTCATAATAACATTAGAATGAGAACTGTTTATATTTAGGAGGACTTGAGCTGGACGACATCCACATTCACCTATGCTCCAAACCCCAACTACCATGGCAGGGATAGTTTCCTTGTCTTAGCAGAGGACCTGTCTGGAGCCGTGTCTCAGCTACTGGAGGTACAGATTGCTGTGCTGGTCAACCCTTGCATCCATGAGGGGGTCTGCAGAGGTGGGTGGCTCACACAAAACTTCAGCCATTTCTGTTTATTTCCTTTTGCTTATATTGCTTCATGAGTACAGCTTGTCGTGTCCTGCTTGTAGTAAACGGAGGGGAATCTGCCACTATGCAACGAAGCAAAAGGACATGGATGAGACTTAAATACAGATTAAATTCAAGGCACAGCATTCCCTGTAGGAGGTTTACTACATTAGAAAATAGAATTGTCACAACGCATAGCAAATTAAATAAGACTTAAGGGTTTGCATGGTGGACATGATCAATGAATGGCAGGTTTGCAGTAACACTGTGTGAATGAAAGATATATCTTAATTGAAGAGCAACAAATTGAAATTGCTTGTACTGGTAGATTATTAAATGAGATCAGTAGCCGATTGCATGAAACTTTACTCTATGGCGCAGTTCCATAAATTGCATAAATTGCACAATTGAATTGTGACACAATTCACGACTTACGCAGGAAATTATGATGTACTTACACGTTCAACCCAGGTGGCATAAGTTACGGCATTCCAGCCAAATATGAACAATTTTACTAATTATGCCTCTCATTGTTCAATTTATCAAGATTTATACATGAAATTCACAGCTTTGTTTGTTTAAGACAGTAATGGAATGTTATTTTACCTGTAACAACTTTGACAGGACAGTAGGACAAACTTTTTTTTCTCAAAATGACGGTCAGAACTGATTCAGTTACATATTACTGATATGACATCGTACCTTACAGCCATCATAAAGCCTGTAATTATCTTCACCAATATGTTTGAAAAACTTCAAAAGTTGTGTAGCTACCTCTCAAAAAAATTGATCAAACATAGGTTAATTTGCTAATCGTACTTGTGGCATAAGTTGCACACTGATTGGTGAAGTCAGGGCTGCAGGTTCCAAATCAATCACTGACCAGACCTAATTCTCCTTATTTTTGTTGCAACATGTACCTCTCTACACACAGGACCTGTTGAGGATCCTGATTGTACCTCCCCTGCACGTAGCAGTGGGTTCGAATCCTACTCCTGCCACTGTCAGCCCGGCTGGGTTGGTGACATCTGCGAGATTGATTATGATGAGTGCCAGTCCACGCCGTGTGCATACCCATACGTCTGCTATGATCGCCTCAATGGATTTGAATGTGCTTGTCCATTGTCTGATCCACTGTGTGATGACCTCGACTGGAGGTCAGCATTATTAATATCAACAAATTATTTGTGTTACACAATGCAGTATTTTTAGAAACCGGTGTCTAAATTTTGGAAAGTATTACATATACAAGTATAGATTTCTAGAATTCAATTTCTGTGTGAGTACATTTACAGATCATTGATTGTTCTCTCTGCCCTTCAAGTTTAATAAACAAAAATATTATCAAGTCAAGAAGTTGAATTCTAAACTCCAGTATTGTGATAAATTCAAACCAAGGACCTGATAAAAGCAATCATGTAAATCAACTGTGTCAAAATGTTGTTTTGTACTTTTCATTCACTATGTTATTTCCTGGCCTTCACTTGAAAGGTTGTCGTTTTTGTTTAGTGACAATATATCAATGATAAATTGTCAGTTTATGGTTCCACTGTAACTGATGATTCTGACCAAGCATGAAAGTTGAAACCTTTTACAAAAAAATGTATTCATTTATCATTATTTTTGCGTATTTTTTAGCGTCAAAGTTATGATAGGTGTGGTAAGCTGTCTGGTTGGCTTGTTCATCATTGCTGTTGTGGTTTCCTGCTTGTACAAGAAAAAGCACAGCAAAAAGTAAGTGCAAAGTGCGGTAAGTCCTGTTGACAATCACTATTTTGACCTCTAGGTGTTAAATGCCATACCTCCAGGTTCCATCTACTTATGTGTGAATAAATATTTTGCCCAGTGTACGCTAAAATTAACATTTGAGACCCTTTTCCGAACCCAGCAATTCCTGGGGGAAAGACCACAGATAAGATAATTTGATGTTGATTGTTCTTCCCTTCCCTCATCAATCACAACAAACTAGTGAGAATGAATTGATTTGTACTCTTTCACAACAGATTAAAAATCCATCCAATTATACTGGGTCCAGATGATGATCAAGTGGTGCCATCCATAAGCGGCAACCCTCGGCACGCCTTTGACAATCCTGCGTTTGAAGATGACAGTGAAGATCAGACAGATTCTGGCCCTAAAAGCTCCTCATCAGGCCTCAAGAAGAACAGGCCCTGGTCGGGGCTTCTGCGCTCTAATGCTGTTGCAGATGCTTGGCCTGCATTGGCTGAAGCTTCCTCCATGGGTGGTAAATCATGTGATGAATCTCTCCCAGCTGTTCCAACAGTGAGGCCTGGCAATGCTGAGATGTGGGCACAGCCAACCATGCTCATGAAGAGTTCTGCAAGTTTCAAGAAGGACGCTGAGATTGACGATCCAGGGCAGATGCAGATGTTCCAAAAGAGGACTCCGCCAACTACCACAGAGGAAAACCCCAACCGTGTGATAGAGGTAGGTGTCATAACCTAGGCCTAATCTCATAAAACTATTCACAAACACAAAATCTTGCTTTGTATATTTATAGGCTGAGCAAAGCTTATTATTACTTGTGGTGGAACTAAGGGTTCCACAAGAGTGCCCTATGTACTAGCATGTAATGCCTGAATAAGTTGCCGTCATGTGATTGGTGGGTTGTTGATCACGTGTCATTGAATTACTCGTCCCAATGCACGGCACAGCCGTGCACCGCAAAAATATAAGTTCCATTCTACGGTAAATAGAACTTCCATTGCACAGTCTCACTATTGGTTTCGCTGTAACATAACTCTGATGCTGAATTTCCTTAGTTCCAGTTTACTAGTTCAAATGAAGTGACCAAGTTACTGTTCCACTCGGCTTCGCCCTGTGGAATGGAACATTTCATCTGTCACCTCATGATATTATCTTTACCATTGCACTCATGGTCATTCGTTATTGTATATCAGCCTAAAAAGTGCAAACTTGTTTTCAAGTCAATATTGAGTCCGAGTCTGATTCACCTATCCCTAATCCGAGTCACAAGTCACCTTTAAGAACTATATATTGGAAATAAAATTTGAGGTACTGCTTAAACCTCAAAATGTAAATGTTTCCATTTTGCACAGCTTGTCTCTAATTAAAAAGTAGAGTATAACACATGCAGCTATCCAAAAAGTAAAGTTTACCTCTTGGTCATCAAATTTAAACCTTTAACAAACATGACCAACTTTATTTAACCTACACAATCGAACACCAATGTTAGTCTCCTATGCGACCAATATTGAATCCTTGGAACTTTTCTTGACATCTCATCCATCACCGTCCCGTAAGAGAATCCCTTGGTTTTGCGTGCTCATTAACACGTTGTTCTTGTCGTCTCTCTGCCGAAACTCATGCCTTCTCCTTCGACTAGCTCACACAGGCCAGACCAGCAGTTGACTACTGTTAAGGCATCTCAGTGACACGACATCATCGGGGGGGGGGGGGGGGGGGTCAAAGAGGGGACAATGTCATGAGCATCTCATAGGTAGCCCATGGAATAATATACAGTTGTCGCTACTCTTGCCTCTTACCTGCTCAAGACAATCTAGACAAAATCTTTGTCTGCTAATTCAAACGGCTCCAATAGAAATGTTTCCAATAGAAAATGAAACTAAAAAATTTGACTTTAATACTTTCAACAAAAGTTAAAGCCGCAGCTCCTTTAAAGTGTACATTTTGAGCTCCGGCTACTCATCTTTTTGAAGACTCCTAACAATGCTTCTTGCATTATCAAACCTCTAGCTATTCCGCAGCTATTTAGGATGGTCCTAAAATGGCCCCACCCACGATCTGCCAGTGCACAGAAGTTGGAACACTATTAAAGACCTGAATAATATCACAATCTTTCTCAGTAAACATACCAAAAATCACATGCCTTAAGTCCCTTGTTAATGGTTACAATGTAACCAGCTCTCAAACCTGGGGTAGAAAGAATTAAGTGGAAAGAGGCAGATCCCACTGCAAGTTCTTTGTAGGTTCTGGGAGATCTTGCAAAACAGTTTCAGAAATTCTGCTGAGATTTCTGTGAATGACAAAAGATAGCGATGTCCCAGTGACAGCACAGAAGTCACGGTTGTGTGTGTTCTTAACCAGTGGCGTAGCCAGGAATTTTTCAGTGGGGAAGGAGGGTGGGGGGGGGGGGGGGGGGTGGGCGCTGGGGGGGCTGGAACATTTCATGGGGGGGCGTCATGTAGATCAATGATAATTTTTTTAGAAACTCGAAATCTCAGGGGGGGGGGGGCGACTGGGGGGCGACAAGGTTTCATGGGGGGGGGGCTTTTTTAACCCCCCCCCCCTTCTACTTTTCATGTAATTGCCAGAGGAAATTTTTAGGCTGGTTTGTATACGCTTTGAATTGAGTGTAATAGGATTTCCCTGAGTCCGAGTGCGAGTCAATGGGATTCGAGTCCCAGTCATGAGTAATACAACTCTGAAAAAAAACATGTAGAGAAGATGAAAACTACATGTTCAGTTTTAAATGTGGGGAACCCCAGGGGATTTTATGATAGGAAACAACATGCAATCGGGTAAGGATTATCAGGTAGGGACTAGAAAGCAAGTCTTCATGGGTTGGACTTAAACTTGACTTCTCTGCATGTACGTTTAGTTGAGAATGAATCAGAAGCACTAAACATGGCATGACATTTCGGTCAGTATTTGTTCAAATTCTGGTCCAGTCACTTTCCTTGTTTAACCATTTTTTGTGTGAAATAACACGAAATTGTGAAGGTTTCTGCTTTCATTTTATCATCCAGCTTCCAGGATCTCTTGTCAGCTTCACCGACGATGCACAACTCGATGACGACAACGAAACAGTGATGTAATGATCCAACACAACTATGTCTGTTTATCATCAGCACTGAGCATCTTCAGAATAAGATAAAAAGGAAAAGTTGTCTTCTAAGACTTGGTTTTCCCACAGGATGTCGAGACAAAGCTTTTATTAGGCAGCTAAACAAATGCATGAATTCATAACTTCAAACATACTTCCATTAATTTGGCCATTGGTTCTAAATCATGATGCGCTTCTTTGGTTTGTTTTTTGTTTTTTGCTGTTTTCTATGTATATTCAAGACAATTTCATGTAACCTGGATAATGAGTTTGTCCCCAAACAAAATAACCTTTTATTTTTTAATTCTTTTTCGGTCAGCCATAAATAGGATGAAAAACACAAAAACAAACACATTTTGTTTATTTTGGCTATTGATTATATAACAGTATCAAGATGTTATTAATTGTGTGTCGCCTTAATTTTGTATTAATGTTGGTGTGACTGTAGACCTGTAGACTCATTTGTTAAAGTTTTGAAAAAAAATTATAACTTTTACTTGCTTTCATTGATTTTGAAGAAACTTGGATACAGTGGACCTTGGGTGGAAAGACAATTCTTCATCAGAATACTGAGGTCAAAGGTCATGTAAAGGTTATTAGAGGTCATTGTTCAAAATTTGCTTCAAATGTTTCTTTGTCTACATAATTTGATGGATTTTAGTGCAACTTGGATGGATCGATCTCTAGGTGGGGGTTCACAAGTCTTCCAAAATTGGAGGTCAAAGGTCATCTAGGGTCATTTGAGGTCTTTGTTTACAAATGCACAAACCTTGGCCTTTTTTAAGAACACAAATCTATAGGTGGGGGTTCACAAGTCTTCCAAAATTGGAGGTCAAAGGTCATCTAGGGTCATTTGAGGTCTTTGTTTAAAAATGCACAAACCTTGGCCTTTTTTAAGAACACAAATCATATAGGGATCGACACTCGTGATCAGCGGATCACTTGTTTCACTGTTTTTTTGTGTGTAATCAAGAACATTTGCAAGTTGCCTAAACATTAAGTTCATACAAAAGATTAGCTTAGCTTTTAGCTTAGCTTTTTTGTTTGAAATGTGTATTTACCCAGAATATATTTCACACTTCTTTGAAGTACTTTTGCGAATGTGATAATTCTGATGATGTCTGCAGTGTGAAGGAGACTGTTTTTATGAAACCTGGATTGATTTAATTGGTAGCTCTTACAATTATGTAGTGGATTTTAATTATGATAAAACGAATCATATTTTTATTACTACAAGGATATGTAAAAAGAAATACTTCACCATTTTTTTGGCTGTAGTAGGAATACCAATAGCTCGAAACACCATGGTGTCGGACGTACTCAGAAAAATTGATATTTGTTTTGGTGTAGGCCTAACTATTAATTAATTTCGCAGTAACTAAAGGTAATAGCTGTAGTGTTGAGCATTTTTAGAAATAAACTATATTTTGGTTAATTTTTTTTTTGAGATTTATAATTCAGTGGAATTGCCCAAATGTCAAACTCAACGAATGTAAGAAATGTGGTTTTATAAAATTTTACTCCATCACACAAGTATGCATGTCCAATGTGTCTATGTATTCGTTGTATAAAAGAGTATAACGACCCTGAATTGAACTTCTATTGGATCCTTTGCATGTCACAAAATGTTACACTTTTGTATTTAAAGGTGCATAATAACACAACGGAATATATTTTAGTGGGTTCTTGGACGTTTGCATTAAGTATGACTTTCAGGAAAGAAATTTGTTTTATAGGTTTTCCTGTTCAATTTAAACAAAGTACCATCCACATTAGCTTCAGAGTCATTCAGTTTAGCGCGAATTCGAATACTGTTCAAGATTATTGTTTAATTAACTAAAGAGGGCATTCGATTTAGTGATTGGAGCCCACGATTGGGGAAAGTACGGGAATCAAATTATAATTTTACGCTCATTGAAACTGAAATTATCAGCGAGGAGCATTTGAATTCGCTTTAGCCATGGCCTAGCCTAGAACATATGGTCAAATAAATTCATAAAATGGGTAAACATTTCGGCATTGGAATTTAAAAACAACTCTAGTACAATTTATATGGAGAACATTCGCAGAAACCTGAAAGAAATATATACAATTCCAATAAGATACATAATGAAAATATGGATAAAGAAATCATTTTTGATTGCAAGTAATTACTTTTGAATGCATAGAGTACTGAATTATGCACATAAACAGAAAGGAAAGTAAGAATCGAAGACAGGAACCTCATTAAATCAAGGTTTTCCAAATTGAATGACGTAATTTCTAATGTGGATGTGTCTGCTAACATTTAGAATTCTATAAACGAAATTGAACGCTATGAAAAAGAACACATATTATCAAAATCGCTTGAATACGTACGTTAACAAACACATTTTAATATATTTCTGACGAATTTGAGCGGGAAGACCTGTAATACGAAGCCTATATATAATTATGATGATCGAGAAACCAATCCTCAAAATAATATGTAGCAAAGACAGATTCTAAATTTACATATCAACTTCAATAATTCAAAGTACATTATAGCCCTGAATTATGTGTTTGAGAGTATTATATTATGTTAATGCAGTGTCCAATCACATTTATACCCAGATTTCCCTTGGAAATGAATGCAGTGGCAAACGTTTTGTACTCGGATTGAGAGAATAAACTTTGTTTTGCAAGTATTCTCAGTTGACATACATTTTGTTCGTGTTCTTGTAGATAATGGACCTTATTATGCCGCCATCTTAGAGGGTATCATTTATTTTTAGTCAGTAATAAGGGCCATCCATTCCCCCATCATTTTCACGAGCGTACAAAGAGTCCCCTTTTTTCTGGAACACCCCCCCCCCCCTTCTCGTAGAGGGGCTAGTACAAACTAGAAAAGAAGAAGAAAAAAAGTAATTTCTCTGCTGGGTCTCCCATGCAGGTGCTTGAGCAATGCATAAACATTGACACAGAGCTTCTGGGATAGGATAATCAGGACTGCACGTCAGTCCTATAAAGTAAACAGTGTGGATTCATGAAAACGATGACGCTGGAATACCCCGAATAGCTATTTCACAGGTTTCCCCTATTTCCGTGTCACAGTATTTAGTCCGGCAACCAAATGCCACTTTACACCTGAACCTTGCATTGGAGGATATTATGTTTGGAAAGATTCCTGTTCTTTATACCATTAGTATGGGGGGGGTCGCAGTGCACCCCTCTCTTCACCCCCCCCCCCAAAAAAAAACCACCGCCACTAATTTTTGTTTAATCTTTGGCATGTCCCCAATAGGAAAAAAAAAAATATTGACGGTGAAAGTTAGGAATGCTCTCTCTCCGGAGGTAACTTATTGGAACCGCTTCTGATTGAGCTTAGATGCAATTTCTTAGCACTAGGGTTGGAAGGGTAAGAAACAAAACGCCATAAACTGAGCAGACCTTGACCGATCTTAATCAAACTCGGCACAATTATTCATCATGAATAGTTCTTTCGAAAAATATATACACTTTTATTTAGGCAATTTTCCGAATAATTGCTCATCATTAACATAACAGTTTACGTTTCGTCTTGAAAGCCACCAAATCATAAAACAGCACCTAATCTATGATTGTCCAACTTCTGTTGAGCTCATTTGAGAGTTGGGTCTTGGCAAATTATATTTTTATCATATACATTTTGAATAAGTTAATCGCCGTCCTGCTGAATCCAGGTTCTGGTTTTCTTAGCCTTTGGTTTGGTAGGTGTCAGGTCAATCTTCCAGATACATGGACATACCTTTACCAGTCTTGGTAAAACTTGACATGTAGTGTATGTTCATATAAGTTCAAAGGATTTCTTGCATCGTCATGGAAACCAACTGTAGGGTGCAGTACCTAGATAAATATAATATACATGTTTCAATGAGTAGAGATTTTATGAGTTTGCAGTCTAGTGGCAATTAAATAAATGGAATATCAAAAATAGAAACGCGGATGTGCTCTTTTCGAGCTGTACTTGTGACACATATGATACACGATTCACCATGACGGTTCACCATATTATTTTTGCCGATTTGTTTTACAAAATACAGATTGTGTTCAATGTGAAGCCGTATTTTAGGATACACAAACAACGTGTCATCTTCTTCAATTTGTTTTCGTACCCGTCATTCCGGTATTTAGACGAAAAAAATCCATCCAAACCATAGTGTAACCACGGTTCATCGTTAAAAAGAGAGTCACTCACTCCTTTACATTTTGGTTGGGATGGATCACCGATGGATTTTTCGGCAAATACAAACAAATGAAAAAGGATTGTATTTTGTTTGCGTATAGTTAAACACAAACTGTATTTTGTACAGATATTGGCCAAATTTAAATGGCATGGTGAACCGTCATGGTGAACCGTTACGATGCACGCTACAATAACATCGTCAACGGTTATGATTATTCAGCTAGTTTGATGTTTATTCATAAAAACACGACAATGACGTCACACCATTGCCACCACTCAGTCATGCATGTACATTAAAGCATTTCAAAGAACGGCTTTCGTCGAGCTGCCACAGTGGCCTAGTGGATAGTGGAATGGATTTTGGTAGGGATAAGTTTAATTGAAGGAGAAAAACACTTCGAGAACCCATGGAGGAAGAAAATGGAGAACCTAGGTGTCTTCCGTCCACGCAGCGTGATAAATATTAAATTCATAATAGGAAGTTGCGAGTACACGATCTCAAGCCAGCTATGCTCATTTCATGTGATGGGGTGCTGTCATGGTAGTATGTAATTGATGAACATACGAGGAAGACATCCCTTCCAAAAGCTATTTACTTCCGCGCGCTATTATATAGTGGGGTCTTTATCGATTATCAGCGTCATGTATAGGATTAGACTAATCCACCCTAAGAGGATTAAGAGATTAAAGCCGCTGAGTACCGTACAAGCACTATGGTGATAATACCATTGGCGCTACGTGACCTTGTGTTTCTATAGACATTGAATATAACTGTAAAATCCGATTTTGTGATTAGGAATACAGCGGCAGATAAGCAGTAGGACTTGTCAAAGGAGTGTGTACACAAACACTTCAACTCAGCGCAAACATGGATGCTTCTATCAGAATCAGCACTTATATGCTAAGAAGTTTTTTAACATACTATTTTCAAAACAACAAAACTCAGTGTGCATGACTCTGGTGCGCATCCAATATATATCAGTTGAAACCTTAATGCCCCCAGTTTATGATGAAACCATTATTATGGTCATGAAGTGCATAGCTTCTTCATAAATTAGCCTTTTCGTCATAAGTGCCACACTGAGTTTAAGTGTTTGTGTTGAAAGGCAGGGCCGCCCTTTAGAGTATTGATGTTGGGTATACAAACGTTGGCAGATTCTATTCATTGTCATTGTGCACTGTGCATTCTTAGCCTATTAATACTCCGTGTGCTATGGCAACATCCGACCTAGGCCTATACATTATTCGTATGGAAAACGTCACTATGCTTTATATACACTGGGAAAATTGACCTTTTTTATGATGACTGAATTATGATCATTCACCGATTTCTGATCTCCCATTTCCGTTTACTAAAACAGGAAAGGAAACAATCGAGCTTCGGTGACCGACCACTAATTTGGAAATAACTTGGTTTTCTTTTATTGACTGGTTTGCAGTGACCGATCCTCCAGCGTTCCATGCGCCAAAACAGTTTTAAAAAAAAATCATCTGTTTTGCCACCTTCACTGGATCCCGTCCAAACAAATGCGATAAAGACTAATATATTACAGCTGTTTTTTTTTAACATCAACGAATCAATATACATTTAGTTCTTACACACATATAATTCTACTTTTGTGTGTGCAAAATGAACATCATGATCATTGTTGAAATGATAACGTTAGCATGGTCATCATGCACAGAACACACTACGAACTGTTTACACAATATCGAAGCATGGATTAAGACCCATTATCTACTAAGACAAATATAATGTACATGTAGTCTCTATACTGGTGTGATCACTGTGGAATGATTATCATTTGATTACATAAGATGCTCTCAAAGAGTTTAAAAGACATTTCCTGTTAATGCAATGTTTTGGGTAGTGACGGTGCTATTTTGTTCTTGGGTTACTCTGGTGGATTAAAAAATATAAATGTGATTCGTGTTTCAAGTTTGACGAATGTAATCGGCATACGGTAACAATTAATTTAAATTGTAGTTCCTTCTAGAAACCGTAAATGGTACACATCACTGTATGCTACAAAGGTATTTACATATTACACAAAAGTAAATTGCTAAAAAAGTACAATATTAATATAGGTTTTTCCGACTATTTTAAAACAACATTTTTCGTTCGAATTCACCGATTATCAATTTCGTCCATCAACATCGATTTAGTGCACTTTCAATGTTAAATTTCGTCTTTTGTCAGACAATTTCAAATTAGTCCAAACAAATTCAAACAATGAGCGCACGTTTTCGACCCGGTGTATTCGATTTCGTCTCGTCTACGCCGAATCATGTTATTCAGAAATCAAACTCGTCTAATTGATTTATATAAGACGAATTTGATCTCTGAATGCTGCCATTCGGCAACAGCTTAGACGGATTTGATCTGTAATGACGAATATTCTCGACCCGGTGACTGAAAAGGGTGAATTTGAAATTGAATGGTAAATGACTAAATTGGTTTTGTAAAAAGCATGTGAAATTGTTCTCGGACGAAATTGAATGTTGGTGAATCTGAATGAAAAATGATTTAAAATAGCCGAGAAAAAACTATACATCAATACATTTACATTTTCATCGTTTTTCCACGCTTTCATCAGACTTCTTGGGCTCTTGATGTGAGAACCTATAGATTTTGTGGGTATTCGTGAGCATGTTCTATAATCGTTCATCTTAATATGAATTCAACATATTATTACCAAAAGTAAAACAACAATAATTTCCTTATAAAAGACAACGGTTTCACGTTAAATTAGTTGAACACAGAGTGACAAACAACCATTCTACTTGGGAATGATAGACTTGTACATCAAGGACATTTTATCTGAAATAAGATAGACTTGTATTCAAACGAGACAACTGTTAAATATCAAGGAACAAGTTTCAATCAATGATATATCAACGGAGTATGCTCCCTTATTTTGTAAAAATAGCACATCGAAATATGGTCATGATGGAAAATATTGTATCAGTTTCATTACTGGATATTTGACTATTGAAGAGTTAAATTAAAAAGTGAAAACTATTTACAAATTATAATGAATCGAAGGATGTTTGCTTTCAAACGATTGTCAAGAACCAATATAAAGTGTGCTTACAAAATGATAAATTAATCCTGCAAGTGTCTTGGATTTCAGTTTTTTTCATTTTCATCATGTATAATGAATTTTTATTGACTCTAAGCATTGGGCAATTGTTGCTTCACCCCCCCCCCCCAAAAAAAAGACGAACTGTTTACAAAGCTGGAAATTTGTTTCCTCGAATTTATACAAATTTATACAAATTGTCGAGTAAAATAAAATTGACCAAATTTTTTTTTCACCGACTTAAAGTTTAAAATGCAGAATGTTTTGAGTGATGTAGAATCCTATACGAGAATTGGAGTGGAATGAATGTCAACTCCTCAACTATTCACACTTTGCGTCCTGCGAATAGAAATAGCTGAGTTCGTCCCTTGCCTTGATTCTGAGCCGACACGGGCTTTGCCCATCCCTGGTCTCTTGCTGTTCTCCACTCTGTCTTCCTCGGGATTGCTTCCCAATTTCTTAACCTGAGTTTCAGACAGCGACATGGCCATCCTGACCCGATAAAGCCACGATTTGTCCTTAAATGATGAGGTTACAGTAATAGCGTTTATAGCGCGCTCCCATGTTGTGCTGCCCGTCATGCCTTCATACAGGTCAATTGTAGAGCGGGGAATACTCTTGTCGGATGAGGAGTAGAAGAAGGGTCGTTCCCAAACCCTCTCTCCGCTGGTCGGGAGTAGAGGGATTGAGCAATCTAAACTAGCGGCTCTGTTGCGCCGTTTGCGTTCAATCTCCCGCCTTTCTGTCCCCGTTGGTTTGTCAGATTTCATAGAGGCATTTGATTTTTGATCGGAAATTGAGGCTACATCCTTCCCCTGACTGAATCGCCCAGCGCCCGAGCCTGTCCCACCAGCGGTGCGAATGTAGGCGGTGTTCCCTCTTTCGCTCCTGGTAAAATCAACGTAAGATTCAGTGTCTCTTCCTTCACGGAATGTCTCAGCATCTGATGAAGCCCGGCGGGATTTATGCTGGTTGAAAGGAATGTCAGGCAAAACAACTGACGTATCGGCAACGCTACGGCTCCTGGGACGAGGCAAGGGATCCACGTTTGAATGTTGCTCCTTAGTTTTGGAGAGGTATTTATTGCGATATCTGCTCACGACGGATGGGGTCTTAGTACCACACAAGCGTGGTAATCTCTCAACCGTCGAACGCTGCTGATTGTCAGTGAGAGACAACTGCGTTCCTCGCCTGGCTAATTCAAGATTTTTGGCTTTAAGACTGTCCAGAGTTCGAGATTTAGGGCAGGAGTTCATCAGGCTTTCTGTGTATCCATCAACATGGACTCCTTGACCACACAGCGCGCCTGGCAAATGGGTGGATTTACGGTATTTCATGCTGGATTTCTCCAGACCGTGGACAAGTAGCACCTTGTCCTTTGCTTTGTCGCACCACCTTCGAATGGCAGAGTATACAGTAAGGGGTAAACACATGGCAGAGAATTGTACATTTGCCCATTGTTTCGTGAGAAGGTACAGGGCAACCTCTTTCTGCTGTTTCCGTAATGCGACATTCAGAGCCGTTAAGCCCATCCCATCTTTGCTGTGGACGACACAGATGTTGTTGAAGACGAATATGCGAAGTATGCTGAGCTGACCGTGTTCTGCTGCCTCATGGACCGGTGTCTTGTACGCCTCGATGTGCGAGCTACGACACCATTCTTTAGACGGGTGATCGCCCACCTTCTCATCGGCGCGTAAACCGTTTTTCAGCATGGCAGTAGCCAGATCCATGTGACCGTAGTGTGCGGCTACGAACAACGCTACTCGCATCTGAAACTTACAGATGACTTCATCAGTCTGATTCAAATTACGAAACACCTGCTGAGTGTGTCCAATGATTGCAGACTTAAGAAACTCATTCCAGCCATCGATGGTTTCCATCTGCAAGGTGGTTCCTACTTCAATCCCGTACTGGCTTAGCAGATTAGAATCAAACATCTCCTGGCCTGAGGAGGTCAGGATACGGTACACCGTAACTGGCAAACCGATCTTACGTGTGATCCAGAGTCTTAGCTCGGCTACCATGGAGCTGGCGAAGTCCAAGTTCTCAATGATCTCAATGACCTCATCATTGAAGCTGCAACGGACAAAAAGCTTGGGTGTGACTTCCTCTCTCAGGCTGCATTTAAGAGTGGAGCCGGCGTTGACTCCTATCTCACTCAATACCCAATCATCTTGAAGCTCAGCTCCGTGGTACGACAAAACGATGTACTTCTTCTCGCTACTACTCTTAGTGTCGATTCGGAACAAGTCCACCACTTTATCCTTCACCAGGTGGACAGTTTCGTACACCTGCACATCTAGGGGCAGTCGCCGCTTGTTGTATAAGGCAGATATTCGAATCATCTTGAATAAAGACTTCACGCAACAACTATCACTGTGCTACCAATTTAGCAGTAGAACTTGTGCACGAAAACTATGTCGTCATGGTTTTCCATCATGTTACACACGTATCACATTCGCAGTGAACAAACGGATTCGTCTCGGCTAATGTAGTTCGTTTGAGAGGAAACCACTCGAGCCAAGCAACTTTAACATCGCAGTGTGAACATTTATTATTTGTTGTCAAACACACCCCAGTCGAAGTTGGATCACGAACACTCGAGCTGTTAAGTGATACACCACGCGATATTGAGCAAAGATGCTCATGGACTTGCATACGTGTAATGGTCTGTGCGCACACGCACAGCCGCTCTACATCTCACAAGTAGATACCGCTCGAGTAAACAACAAAAGATGAACAGATAAACATTCACCGGTCTCTAGGCACGTCCACTCTGTCGTCCACATTATAGTATCGATTTGAGATCTTTTTCACTCTCAAAATTGATCGCGCTTTTTCATATTGTAACGTGTATTTCATGCAATGACAAATGCATCTTTCACTCTGTTTGTCCAACCCAAACTTAATGCATGTAACTGACACGACATGTCTGTGTTCTAACAGAATACATGCACAATAAATTTATATGGGAAGTACAGGTATACAAGGCGGTTCGTTCTGTTAGTATAAGCTGATAAAAGCAAACCAATGCCATATTGCACAATCAAACGCTTTAATGTAACGACATTTCAAGTAAAATAGAGGCTATAAACGTAAACCGTTCATTCAAGGTTTGCATGGGAAATGTTTTGAGGGGTAACCTCTCCTAAAGCTAATCAAACATACGGGTGGCATCAAGTGTTTAGCAGTCTGCTCCTTTCAATTCCTTCTGCATACTCAAAATAGTGATCTTTCTCTGCCTCAAACACATTACAGTGAATGGAGTCCTCTTCACAATTCCTCTGTTTTTAAAGTTACAAGTTAAATTGGCATCAACAAATCCTGAAATTGGTCCGTTTTTAAAACGAAACCATGCATGCATGTGTTGTATTACCGCTGAGCACCAATATGATAGGTGGTAATCCAAAGTCGTCGAATTCTACGGTTTAAATTGTTCCTAATCGACATTTTGGAGTAATAAATAAATGGTCCGTGGTTGAATACTGATAGTGTAAATCTCACGCCATGGCGTCGAATAGTACAAATTATTAAAGGATACCCTCGAAAGCATAAAAATGCAATAGAGGGCGTTTTGGGCTGAGAACCATTAGCATTAAAAATATCCTGCCGTTTTAGGCAAATGATCTGACAAGACGCCATTATCATTTCAATACCCGGTCTGAGATGTGAGTGAGAGGTACAAATGCCTTTGTCAATCGTCGACGTACAAGGGGGACTCCACCCTGACATTGCCTGGAAGAGACCCAGGGGCCGACCCCGCAACACCTGGGTGCGACAGCTAGAATTTGACTACAAGACACGCGCACAACAGCTGTGGCAGTCTGCTTTTGATCGCTTGGTCTCTGGGCGGCTCAACGTCCCCCATGATGGATATAGAGAATGATGTTGATGACGAACGTGACATTGTACTTAGTTGAGGTGTTTTGTGGGTTTGTGGAGGACTTCCTCGAAACGTAATGTCAAGAATAAGAAACAAGTCATGTCGTGTCCAGCGCATATACTAGTTAGTCCGCCAGTTTATAGCGATGACAGTAAATAGGCCAATGCTGCATGCTGTCTACATTGAATAAAAGGGGGAGAAATGAAAAAATTAAATTTTAATTGTGCAACAGGAAAAAAGCACATGTGTTCCTGGTATTCAAAGACCCTCTTCTGTTTACAGTTGGTATATAGTTTACGTGCTTTTTCAAAATTAAGATTTTCTTTTCCAAACGAAATTAAAAAAAATATACATGTGATGTCCTGCCTGTAACAAATAAATGTGCTGGTTTGTTTTCGCAGGCCTTGAAAACAGTTTAAAAATTTGGTTTTACACGGCGCGCTCCAGTTCAGAAATTGCGCACACTATTCAGGACGAATTAGGAGCGTCCCGCTCTTAATTCAAAAGTTGAACTTAATTAATTGATTACTTGTTATATGCCATTTTTTTCGTGCGATGTCTCATTGGAAAGTTCATTACTATTGTAATGCTAAAAAAATATCAATTAAATTTGAAAAGCTATTTTTCAAGACGCCAAGCCCATAAAACAGGTTTACACCAATTTTAAAACAAGAACGTTGTGCAAATTTTAGGGTAAATATATCTCATATAACAGTATATAAGCCAAGAATGAACTTGGTACATTCACATACATATCTTTTTATGCTACCTTTCCTCCTCATTTGAATCTCCCTTTTTCATTAATTACGGCACCTTTGAATATGGCTTTCCAGAGAGTGAGCCTTATCAATTCTGTGCATTATTATGATTATTTTTTTGGTATGAAACTGAGGAGATCCACCTCTTTTTAAAGCGAATTGGGGTCCTCCCTTCGGACCTTCTTTCAACTCCTGTAGCCAATAATCAACTACTATGAAGAAATAAGGGAATGAATGAATGAAGAAAATGATCAAGGACAACATTCAGTACACAGCCAAAAATCACTTAATACTTGGGTTTGGTGAAGAAACCCAGCTGTAGATGGTTTGCGGCATTCAAGTCATGCTTTGATCGTTTCCAAGTCCATTTTCTTTTATTATTATTTAGAATGGATTTTTTTTTTAAATTTTAATTGTACTCCTCGCAGCCAGTGGCAGAATGTATAATACAATTTACATTTAAAAAACACATAAATATTAGTCAATACGTACATTAAACAGGGGAAAAGTTTAGAACTCAATACAAATTGAGAGAAAAAAGGTTGTTCACGAAACTTAACAGTTATTTTTTTTCTTTCGGGTAATGAAACCAAGGATTCCTCAAAAGTGCCCTAGGCACTGTAGCCCGAAAGCCTGACGAATCTTGTAGAGAGTAGACAATGAGAGGATATTACAGTTTTAGAGGTGGGAGGAAAAGCCCAGAAGAATATTTTGGGGAAAACCCACGGAATCAGATATATAGGGACTGAAAACCCAATCCACATATTGGCCCAGGCGGGATTTGAACCCGGGTCACAGCGGTGGAAGGCGAGGAAAGTACCGCTACGCCAACCTGACTCCTCAGTAAAATAAGTGTGACGTGAAATAAGTGTGACATAAAATAAGTGTGACGTCAATAACCCAATTTGAACAATGAACGTCATGCATAAAACTAATACACTTTTGTACTATGGACTCCGATAATAATAGCTAGATCGTGCACTGGTCAATACGACAGCGAACATAATTGTATGGTACACGCGCCTACATGTATAGGGCGCATAATGTAAACATGGGCGTCGCCAGGATTTTTTTCTAAAAAGGGGGGGAAACATATTTTTCCAACAAATCCTGTATTTCTCAACATATTCTCGATTTCTCAGTTCTAGAGGGGGGCAGGGACATTTGTTTCCCCCCCCCCCAGCTCATTAAATTTACACCACTATGACTTTGCGCCTCTCTTTCTTTTCTTTTGTTCTCTTTTTTGTTCTTCTTTTTTTGTTTTTTCTTTTTTTTGCTTTTCCGGGGGGGGGGGGGGGGGAGAGGGCAAGCGCCCCCTTGCCCCCCCCCCCCCTCGCGACGCCCATGAATGTATATACACAATGTTATTATCACCACCGTAGAAAAGCAATGTGTCAAAAATCTCGCCTTTAAGAGGGTACTTGTGCAAGAAGTCAATGTGTCATTCTGCTTTTTCTTCGTATATCGGGGCAACTCAGCGAGAACTTCCCTATGGTTTTCGGATTAGCTTAACGCAAGTGATCACACGCACTTAGATAACACGCTAAACCACACCCCTAAAAAGGAAGTTGGTGTCCCCTCCCAAAAAAACTTAAAAATTACATCGAAAATATCGATACATATTTGGAGAGTATACTCTCCAAATATGTATCGATATTTTCGATGTAGCTTTTCAACAACGAAAAAAAATCTTTCCAATCGGGTGAATATTTATTGAGTCATAGCTAATTTTAAAAAAGGCAGATTTTTCTTAGAAACGTAATAGATGGATGAGGGTAGTTTCGCTTTCTTAATTTTTTAATCTTCATTTCTGTATTTCTGTCTTTTTTATTTTTCATTTTTTGCAACAATGGCCATCATTCTCCTTTTGGAAGATAGTCCCGAAAAGGGCTGTTTGGTTAACCTCTTAGATGTTTACTGTGCTGCTCTGTCTCTGCGGATGCAACTTTCACGAAAGCAACTTTCGGCCCGCGCTCTTATTGCGCGGCAGTCAAAATAATATCAGTCGCCATGGACAAAATGAAAAAAAAAGCGGTACTTGTTTTCAGTTGGCCATAACTCAATAAGCATGTACCCAATTGAGCAGATTTTAGACACATGTCATATTGTGACAACAGCATTGGTGCTTACCAATGCTGTTGTCAAATTATGACAAATCAAAATCGTTTCAACTAAAGACGCAAATAATACCGTATGGTATCCCACCCAATGAGTCCTAAATATGGACCTTTAAGTTCATTTTCCACATTTTCCACAAGGACCAACTCTCTACATTTTGATTATCAAAACGTCTGCCACGCTCATGCCATGAATATGGACGCATGTTGGCGGAAAAGTGGACAGTATTTCCATTGCGCAAGAATTGTAGCTCACGTGACAATATGTAACTCCGGCCGTCTGGCGACTCCCGACTCATGTCGTACGGTGAGGTCACCAATGTCTGAAACATCCTGAGCTACAGCGCGTCCCAAAATACCCGTAACTTCTTTGCGAGGCTCTAGCGACGGCGCAGAAACACGTACTGCCATTATTTTAAAACCATTCCCCCAGCCTGAATCTTAACTTTATCCCTGGCGAGTTTTGGTTTGATATATGAAAGAGTTTTTAAATTATTTGAAAACAAACTCAACCGATTTCAAGGAAAATCGATGATGGGGTACATAACAACACAGTTGAATTATATATAAAACACATTGAACCAGAAACAAACAAAAAAACTGTATTGTGAATTTATTCAGGTGTAGTCTACGTGGATCGAAAAGAAAAGGAAACACAGAAAGTAAAAGGCAACGAGATCGTCACATCATGAACATGATGAAGCATTTCCCCATTAGAAAACAATGCGCATGATTGATTTTCCTTGAATTCGGTTGAGTTTGTTCTTGGCATGCCTTTATTTGAACACGAATAATTTCAAAACCCTTTTTGAACATCACACCAATACTTACCAGGGATACATTTTACAATGCCGAGTCCGAAACGAGCTTGTTTAGAGCTACGGCTTCGTATATTGTCAGCATGTTCCCACGATAGAGTTGGTATGGGCGAAACCTATACAATATCTCTAGACAAGGGACGCGGCTTTAAGGCAATCCACACAAGGATGCTAGCTGCCTATAGTATAATATGATGGAATGGCGTTGTGTCATTTTGATTTCACAGTTTTGCTTACACGAGAGTCATCAGTTCGTACCATCACACTCCTTTGATTTGGTACTTCAAGACGAATCGACGTGTCTGCCGTGCTTTGCAGAGCGAGTCGTAAACAAGGTACTATCTCGAGAAGGCCATGCCTGAAGACACGGTATTTGAAAGCGTAAATGAACGGGTTGACGATCATGTTACAAAACGCAAGAATGATGGTGAGGCGAAACATTGGACTCTTCTTGTCGATGTCCTGTGCAGTGTTGAAGATGAGATAACAAACCTGATTCGGTGTCCAACAGACAAAGAAAGCTACGCAGACTAACACTAAAGTCTTGATCACGTTTCGACGGGCTCGGCCCCGAAAGTTAGGCAGCATTGTCGGTACACGATCATTAGATACAGGTTCCCAGGCGTTACCGACTTGTGACGGACTGAGGGTACTGACAGGCCGACTACTCTCTCCTGAGACCATCGGCTCTACACGGTGATTGAGAGACTTTGCGATCCGGATATACACAAATGTCATTAGAGAGAGCGGGAAGAAGTACTGAGTTACGAATGCTGTGACACCTGCGGCAATTTGTACCTCCTTGCTGGTTCGAATACCACATTTGCCTGTGTCAGGGTCGATAGTATGCATGAAGATCCAGTAAGTCTGATACGTGTAACCCACGAGCCATGGAAGGATAGCAAGCCAGACTGACCGAGGCCAGCGGAAGAGTTTCTGGTATCTCAGTGGGGAAATAACGGCCATGTATCGTTCCATCGTCAGGCAAACCAGGTTGGCAGTAGATGCAATGATGGATCCCCAACACGGATATTTTGAGTACCAGAAGACGCAGACGAACCGCCCGAAGGACTCGGATAGAGTAGGAGAGGGAAACTGCACCACGGGCAGGACGTAACACAGGATTAACATCAACGATGTGAACATGTCAATAAGAGATTGGTTGATGATGAACATGTTAATGACTTGCCTAGTCTGCGAGACACGGATAAGAACATAGATGACTAAACCGTTACTTAAGATTCCCACCGTACCGATGATACCGTAAGCCACCCTCATGACAAGAGGGTCGGATGAGGAAGGTTCGCTGGTCGGTAAGGAATCTAGAGGAACAGTCACAAAGAGTGTAGTTTCGCTCGTGGCCATGGTCGTAACCGAAAAAAAATGAGCTTTAACAAAATTAACGATTTGGTAGTAGCACATATAACCGATTTCCCATCGATCCCTTCCGAAAGACACTTTTGCGATTAGATTCAAATTAAAAAAATTTACTCGTTGGCTGTGCAGCTCCCAGGTCGTTGTCGAATTTGGCCGGTGAACACCTTACAGTCACGAAGCATTAAAGAACATTGTATTCAGTCTATAAAACGTTCAGCAGTCATCAGTCGTTCTTATGACGAAATTAATCGCCCAATGCGAGAGCCTGAAATTCGTTCGAAGAAAATACAAGACACTGTTTATCACACCAGTGACCGACCGTCGATACCACGTAGATGAGAACGATATTGAGAAATAAGTTCGGTGATGTAAAAGAAAGCCACTGCCCTTCGTGCCGAGTCAACATCTTGATTTGATCTGACCCATCCTCCTTCCATCTATCAATTTGCCGCTTAATGTCTCTACAAACTGTTCACTCTTCAAATATTTTGCATGAGGAAAGAAGCCCAACAATCATGGTAGAATTAAGTTGCTGACAAGGGAAATATTTGTATGGCGGTGTTTAATACCCAAGGTCTATAACCAGTGCTGTCATGAGGCATTGTCGTTTACATTCCCGTTGTCCAGAATGGATGAGATTCGCATAGGCAAAGGCCTAAACAGTTGGAATCGAACTGCTTATGATCAAAGGTTTGTTAGAAATGCGCGTAGTCCTGATTTTGCGCATGCTTTTATGCGCATTTTGGGACGTGTCACGTCTGAACCGCATGGTTTAATTTGACAAATTGACGCATGTGGGCGCGTGCCGTCGCCACCCAATCTCAACCACCTACATGAAATGCCGGTGCTCGCGTTTGGGTGATGTTCAGACCGTATCACGACCACTCGCTCAAATGTCTTCATGGTTTCTTAGCATTTGTCCGGTAAATATGCGTGCGGCCATAAATCAATACCATTTGGTTTGCTACAACCGTTGCCGTAGCAATGAGAGTTATTACACGACGGAATACGAGACAATCTATCACTATAGACTGTCTATAGACTATAGAGAGTTACCTGCGACCTGCCCAATCCCACTGTTATTCATAGAAATTCTCAAGTGTATTCAAAACTGTTATCATCAGCGTGTTAATTACAATTGCGTTGCCATTCATCGAATCCAATGATCCTTCCATGGGTGTGAAGTGATCCACAGCAAATTGGAAAGCAACTTTGAACAGCCCTACAAGCACTTCAGATTAGAGTGTTACGTTCCTAAAAATGGGGGGAAAGAAATGTAATAGTATCAAGTGGAAAATGATCTCTTGATTGACCTCATTAGCTTAGGGTGAAACCATAATAATCACTGGCGCTTTAAAGTTCGCGGTTGCTATGGTGAGGCGCCTTATCTTCGCGCATTTTCGTGTAAAACGATCTTTTAAAATGGGAAAGACAAACTCTGCAAATATTTTCTTTTAGCGAGGACGATAATTGCACAGGCGGACAAGCGACGCGCGCTAGCGGCCTTCAATCTCTAGCCAAACACTACCGACAAATTGAAGAGGTTCTAAATTAAAAAGCAAATCCGCCCATTCATCAACATGAGGATGGAATCCCTTGTTATTCTGCAAGTAACATACGTTTTACTCGGTCCAATCTGTCTTATTTTCAACCTCGTTTCCCTGGATGGGAGACTTGCTTCCTGCATCCTGATTCGATATCACAATAGCAAGTGATGGATTTATATCATGTAGGCCTATACTATGTGATTGTATTTCAGCACAGATACGTCGGTCGGCAAATTTGATGTCACCCCCTCAGAATTGGTCTAGCAACCCCCGTGTTGACTTAGTAGCTATATTAATTGAGCTAGTTTTGTGCTTTGGTGAAAATTACCGTGTGTCTTGGTTTATCAGAATGGTGCAAAAAAAGTACTTTTCTTCATGTCTTGCATTACAGGCTCAGATAGATAAGGGTCTGGGAGAGAGTGAGTGACCCACACAGGGTGGGGGGCGAAAGCTACTTCCAATACACCAGCATTTAGTGTTGTACGTCCCCCACTCACCCTGACAAAGTGACATGTCAGACGATTGGAACATAATGGGTACCAAGTACTAGCTTTTCCGACCTTTCCCATATTTCAAAGTGCTATTTCCCCACATTTAGTAAGACATCGCTAATGTTAACACTTAAATGCACAACATCTCGTGTGCTGTCCAACGTAACAGTGTTGGCAGAATTTGTTTTTTGGCATCAAATTTAGAATTAATTTTCTCGACACCTCTGATAAAACTTTCCCATCCTATGTAAACAGTGGCGTACTAGGAGTGGGACAATTTTTTTAAACAAATGAAAGCAAATCACCCCATAACTGCTACTATTATACCGACGTTTTTTATCCAACGTGATCTCCTTTTAAGAAAATTACCCACGTCGTCTCCCTCCAGAAACCAAACCACAGACACGCCATTGTCCGTACAGCGTAAATTTCCAAGCTTAAAAGACCCCGAAAGTAGTGGGGGAGGGGCTTAATCAACGAACGCGGAAAGATGTGATATAGCATGAGATGTAGAGCGATGCATCTAACTCTTCAAATGAACTCACGTTTCATTTTGCCACATACACAATTAGAAACAAAAATAGAAATATTCGGCCTGCAACAATCGCGTATCTTGATTGTAACTGACAAAATCCCGCCAGTTGTTGTTGGTCATTGCACAAATTAAAGGTTGTTTTTTTTTAAAGACGATGTCCTACCGGAACAATATACCATGGTCCAGTGGTTACGGCGTTGGACTCGTGTACGATGGTGCGTGGGTTCGAACCCTGGCAGGAAGCGTATTTTTTTTTCCTAGGAGGGTTAGGGGCAATGTCATGAATAATTCAGTTTTTCCTTTGAATCATTGCAAGACTTAGGTTCTCGTTCTATTTTCCCCTTAATTTAAAATTATCTCAGTGATAAATTTGGAGAAGAAAAATAGCTGATGAAAATGAGCAGCGACGACGTGGATTCGAACCAGGGATCTTTGTATCCATAGCTCATCTGCTATCCACTAGGCTACTGTGTGGTAGCTCGACGACAACCGTTCTTTAAAATGCTTTAATGTATTGTAACTAGTTGAGTAACTAACAACAATGCTGTTGATGTCATTGTCCGTTCTCATGGATAAACATGAATTATTCATGACATTGCCCCTAACCCTCCTATGAATAAAAACTACGCTGGCAGGAACATGGTGCTTGTGCCCTTGGACAAGACAATTAACGACAATTGCCTCTCTCCACCCAGGAATGGGTACCTGTGATGGTACAGCACCGAATGTGCACTGATATCGGCTGCCACGTGATGGTCTCGTGGCCTGATGAACAGGGGAATTGTAAAGCACTTTGAAATGAATGCTACGATGGAAAGCGCAAATAGGTTTTATTTACAAAGCTATATAGGTGCATGACAGTAAACACAAATTACAAAAATATGTTTTCTTCAATAAACACAAGTTCAAATATAAAACAATGCCCTTAAAATGTCTTACGCCCAAATTAATGCGTCATAGGCCATACATTTTTTTCTTCAAAATATATATATAACTGAATCAATGTTATCTTTTAGCTTACAGATAGCAATTAATAATTTGAAAAGCGGCACAAAGCAGTCTCCCCTCAGGCATAATAATGTTTCTTAAATGTACACATTTCACATAACTTGGCTGAACTTGAGTATTTAAAGTGAAGGACGCCCCAATGATTGAAATTCCTCATCCGCAATATGATAATCTATTTTGTCCTGATTAATCTCATTACGCTTATTTCAAAGCAAAACTTACAACTAATAAAAATCGAATTATTTACTGCAGTATCCCGACCCTCGCCAGTAAAATTTACATTAAGCCTACATATAATTAATTTCTACATTATGTATGCAAAACTATATAAACCTCTGATGACGTCACACTTTGTTTACGTGTGTGCTTTCCTATGGTGCTCAGTAGACCGTGGGCCCCCACTGGCTCCATAGGAAAGTGCACGTGTAAACAAAGTGTCACGTCATCAGTACAGAGGCTTATTAATGCCAGATAATCAAGCGAATGATATTCAAACCATTCTTGATTCAAGACGGGGTTTAGATTTCCGTAAAGCGAGCTCCAACAAGACAGGTCATTTGCTATGGGGAACGCGCGCATTCAAAAAGAAATATATGTAAAATGTCGTCTTGAACGAAGAATAAATTAAACTGCTCTGTGGTGTCCCTACCAAGATTTGTCCGTGCTTTAGAAACATACTTTCCGCTAGCCATTGTTCATACCGATCACATGTATTTCGTAAAAAAAAGGAGGAAAGTCGGAAGATTGAGATAAAGTGATCGAGTCTTGTTCATTTTCTAAATTTGAGTCGGGGTTTTTAGTCCATGGTGTTTTTTCTTTGATGGAGAACGGCAAGGGGCGGATGAACACTTCTTTCGCTTGGCGTCATCTTCTGCCGCCTTAACCTTACGCATGACGTAGCACTCCGCGTAATCCGCATACAATGTCTCGAGATCCGACGAGAAGAGCAGGTAGCCTAGACCAGCGCCCCCAACGATACAGACAAGGAACCAGGCGTTGTACGTCATGACAATGAGCATAAATAGGTAGCCGGTTGTTATTTTGCTCATGTTGAGAACTGTCTGCAGAATATGGAAGGCCACTCTGTCAAAATGGAAAATAGAATTAATGAACTTTAGTGTATTGCTCTGTCGTCAGACTTCAGTAACACCAGTACTTTCATTGCTAATTATTGCTTACAGTTGATTTATAAACTGGTATAGAAGGGACTAATTTGAATCGATAGAGGACAGTACAACTGCACCTGATGCCTCAGCAAATAAATAGCAGTGTTCCCTGCTATTCACATTAATATCAGTTCAAAAAAGACCCCAGTTTCCAACTACCAATTCCTTACAAACAAATTTCATGAACTGAAAGCTCGCATCTGGCGCTGAAAGGGCTTATATGAAGCATACCGAGCCGCTCAGAGTAAGGTTGCTCACGTCGACGTTGGTGCCAAATGAGACGAGTAGCATACCCTTGCACCTTTTCAAATTGATCAATAAATTCACTCTATACGCACACCAGACTGGTGAGCAATAATCAAGAATTGACAACATTGGCAAAAACATTGTAGAGGGCAGTAAAAGCTCATAACATGATGTATGAAACAAAGTGTCTTGCAGGTCTTAGCAGTGACATAGTGTGTATGCTCATATCCCAGCGGAGATTGGGATGAACGTGAATCCACCAATGTCCACTAGGAAACGCTATCATCATCCAACCCACTTACTGAATGATCAACAGACTGACCCGTTTCCATCTTACCTGTCAGAACGTGTAATGTTCCTGCGCACATCATTTCGTTCCTCGCAAGTCGTTTGATATATCTCCAATCGATCGTTCAGCACTTCCAGTGACAGGCTCTTCCACATCTTTTCTACTCGCACCATTTTCTGTTCCTCAGTCAGTTCAGGTGTATCTTCGCAACATGTATCTTCGCAGCATGTTACCTTGTCACCAACCAGCGCTGTTGTCTCCTTGTCCTCTTCTGTAATCTCCAACACACCATCACACTCCCCTTGACAGCAACTAGTCTCCCGATCAACCTCCTTGTCTGCTTGGATATGTCCGTTTCTCTCTCCCATTTCAAGCCAAGAGGATTTCTCCTCTTGTGGGGTCGTGGTCTCATCCACAGCCTCCTTCAGCAAGATCCTGTCTGAGCGACGCCTTTTCAGCTGTGTGTCTCGCTGTGATGGCCGAGGAACTTTGCGGAAACATTCTCGACTGATACGCTGAAGACTTTCCACGAAGAATGCTGCGATGATGAGACCGGTCAAGAATATGATCAGATCTGATAAACAAGATGATTTAAAACAAGCGTTCTCAGTCAAAGGAACCACACATTCTCTGTACATAACAAATATCATGTTTGATTCAATACTTTTTTATTCAGGCTCATGATTACGCGCAAGGGGATAGTTTTCAAAGAATATTCAGACCTCATTTAATGTACACTATGATTTTCAATTGTCCCTTTATAACAAAGTCATGTGGGATGCCCTTAGCCTTACTTCACACATTCAGTGTGCTTTCACAACGTTTGTAAAGCCCAGAATGAAGTCATTGAAAAAAATCATAGTAGACAATAAAGCTAGTTTAAAGGAACTAGAAGCGTTATAACAAATGTCGACATCAAATGAATATTAAGGTTGGTGTAAACGTGCTTTTCGGTTGTGCACCTAATTGATAATTTTCGAGCATTTCACTAGTTATGAGCTTTCCAATGAGACATCGCACGAAAAACATGGCCTATGACAAGTACATCAATTAGTTAATTTCAACTTTTTTCGTTGATTCTTTCGTTGATCCAAATGACAGTATGCCAGAAAAAATAATTTCACAGGGAGTTTAGTTCCCTTACTATCTTTCAACCAAGTATGTTTTTCAACAATAATTATACATCAGTTACTTTTTGGATAGCTGCAAAATGATGGACTATAGCTTTAAGAGCGGAACGCTCCTTATTCGTTCTGAATATTATAGTGTGTGCAATTTTCGGAATGGAGCGTGACATTTAAAACCAATTTCAAAAACTGTATATAAAGGCCTGCAAAAACAAACGAGCAAATTTACTTGGTACAGGACATAATATTCCTTTAAATTTCGTTCGGAAAGAAAATAGAAACTTGGAAAAAGCATGTATATACAAACTTTAATGCCAAATCTGGTATTTCAAATGTATGCACCCTACATGAATTTGTTCACTCTTTTTTTCTTTTCTTTTTTCTTTTTTGGCGGACAGGATTCGTCTATTCCAAAAAAACACACAGAAAACGGCTGATTAATGAGTCATTCAATTTGCAATGTGTAAATTCGTCACTGGTTTGATCCAGAACAATAATGTCCTGCCACATAAAGCAAAGTGCAGTGTTACCTTTCTTTTGTTTGATTTTCTGAGACATTTCCTTTATCTGCCGGAATTAGGTTAACGCCGATCGGCTGGGTTTTTGGGGGGTTTTTTTGGCTTGCCGGGTATATTTTGTTTGCCTTTATGCCTGAGAGAAATATTATCTTTTGGTTCCCCTCAGGGCAACACAAGCACACAAGAAAGAATACTTTGAGTCTGGTATGCAAACTTACTAAGTATTTTCAATGAATCGTGAGACCGTTGAACTAGATTTTTCTTCCGGGTTCAGGTTAAAGGGCCGGTTTGCTTCCGAAAACACAGGATTTCCCAACACTGAGGAAACCAGTAGAAACAACTCTCAAATTACGGCCTAGGAATTGAAACTTGGCATGCTTATCAAACCGGGCCATCGCTGTTTTCGAGGTTCGTTAGCCAAAAAAAAAGTTCACCGGAGGCCGTTCACCGGAGGCCGTTTTTTCCAGTCACTTTTTATATTACAAAACAGTTATTGACTTTCATGATATAACAATCAATCGACAAAATACTTTTTATATAGGACTGTGACCTTTTCGGCAAGACACTTGATAGGAAAACACTGCCGAGTAGTTCCGTTCGATTGTGACGTTTATTAGTGTCCAGGGGCGGACCCAGGAAATGTCGCGGGGGGAGTTTCATCGTCAAACCAATCTGAAATATAGACATTTTTGTTTTCTCCGGACACTTAGCATCAGTAAACCAATAGGTGGAAAGGGGGGGAGGGGGGGGGGGGGGCTCGCACCATACTTTCACTGTGGGACCTGTTTAATTCAGGCGATCAATAACACTTTATCACAGAATAGTGTACAATTCATATACCCCTAACACACCCTGGGTAAAGAAATGTAATAAATCAATCAATCAATCAATACTGCATTATTAAATATTTATAAGAGTAGCTATTAAGAATGTTTTAGCCGATTTTTTTTTTAATTCGCCAAGCTCATGAAATATGCATTTTACTATTTTTCTTAAGATGGCATTTGCGTCTGGGTATAGAGTGTTTGTACGTCGGTGAAGGGCATGATAATGCATGATAATTTGTTTTACCCGGGGTTGGCATTTTTCTCATGTTTTGTTTAATTTGCTTGATTTGTTTTTCGCTAATTCTTATCTGGTTTTATTTATCAAGGTAATTTTATGTCTTTTTACTTGCAATGTCACTTCTTAACTTTGTAATGTTTATTATAAAATGAAATTCTGCGTAGGGGTGACATAAATCAAATTAGGTTTTGCCCTTCACCGACGTTTAAACACTGTATACTCAGTGTGTTACCTCCCGAGTGAAAGTTGAAAAAAATCACTCGGGTGGGACTTGAACCAACTTTCACTCGGAGGGTAACACACTGAGTATACAGTGTTTAAACGTCGGTGAAGGGCAAAACCTAATTTGATTTGTGATGTTTAATGTGGACATCCACAGCAATTGGGTCTTTGAATGTTTTTTATCTTTAATATGAGCGGGGGGAGGGACATTTTTCCCTTCCTTTAGCTGGACTATTTTTTTTTTGGTTTACTTTCATCTTGTTTTATTTCATCGTGGTATTTTGATGCTAATTGTGGGGATAATCCTAACGTTTTTGTTTAACGGGGACATTAACGTTTTAGCATTTATACCTCTGCCAGTTTTAATATATGTGTTTATTGTTAATATGATACATTTCATAGATTTTTATAGATTTACATTTTTTTGTGTAGCCAGACTTGGAATTGAAGGCCTTCGGGCCACAGTTTTAGGTAAACTTGTTTAATTCCGGGCACATGCCTCTGGCTTTCGTTTTAGTTTTCTTGGTTTTTTTGTCTTAATATTTTGTGAATATTTGTTGTGTTTTTAATGCCGAATAAATAATAATAATAATAATAATAATTTTAATAAAAAATCCTATAAAACTAGCGCATGTGCATGAACCTAATGTCGCGCACAGAGTCTGCATGTGAAACAGCGGTACCGATGGGGCATGAAATACAAATATGTCAGTTTAAAGAAAATGAAAGTTTTAGGAAAATGATACACAAGCAGCGCTTATTTTATAACCAGATGTCATTCCGTAAAAAGCAGTCTTATGAAATTCTTTATCTGTCAAGATGAAAGTTTTACATTGGTCCAGAAATAGTAAAAAGTCATTGTTTTAGATTGCTATACTTAAGTATTTCAAATAACAGGGGCAAAGGAAAGCCACGTGACATCTTTTTTTCCCTTGGGGCCTAATGCACGAGTTGACCATTCGTGTCCAGTTCCTTGAATGTACTTCATTAATTGGTAACTGTTGAATGGGATGGCGCCAGACTATTTATTCAGGCATAATGCAGCCTTATTTAACTTTAACATTAGGGAATGTTTTATTACAAATTTTAAATTATTCATTGAAGCAGACCAAAATTAATTAGTATATTAACTTGCTTTCATTTCTCTTTGCAAGTTCCAAAAATTAAGATTTTACCTCGCTTTTAATACGGGCGATTCCCAATAGTGCGCCTCCAAGAGTTTGCAACGCGTTGGCCAATCACAATGCGCAAAATCTGTCGACCCAACGCCCGTTTGGAAAAGGTCGACTGATTTCGCGCATTGTGATTGGTCAACGCGCTGCAAACTCTTGGAGGCGCACTATTTGGAATCGCCCGTATTCAATATGGCTGACTCGTACATAAGGCCCATATTTCCAGCAGTTTGTGAACCCAAGACGTTAATATCAGACTAGCACCACATTTAATGCATACAAATAAACTGTAGGGATTCAGGTCAAACAACATTTGGGATATTAATGAGATTGAAGCGACGTTTTCAGACCGAAAAATGTAGATGGAATCAACATTAGGACAAAGGTTTTGTAACCCAAAATTCCATTGGGAGATATTTACATGAAAACCGAAAATTTTCAAGATACTGATATGTGCAATATATATATATATTTTTTTTGGGGGGGGGGGTTGGGTTGATGTGTCCAACTACAATCCTTGCGTAGGGAACGTGTGTATGACAAAAAGGACTTCTTTCAATAAATTCACGAAGTCTACAAACTTACAAAATTCTAGGAAATTGTCAGCCAAGAGAACACTACCTTGCTTTGTGCAATTCGAGCGACAAAACAAGCCACAAACTGTGTTCATATTAAGTTTGATCTTCCATTCTTCCAGGACTTTCTTTGATATTTTTGTTAAAGGTTTACAGAAAAAGGAATAGTCTTATTTCTATTTCTGTGAACAGCTAAACATTGTTAGAGACTCAAAATAAACCTTAAACACTATAAAAATGTCAAGAACTTTGCTGACTGCAATAAAATGAGCAATTATTCCAATATCTCACCTTTCGTGTTGGTGATTGTCAATCCGTCTACCAATAGGCGGGATACGTTCCCAGAGAAATGGAAGGAATCCTGCAGAAATTAAAACATATATTAACACGAAATTTAAATGGTTAAACCTCCGTCAGCAATATTATATTGGCGCTGGAAGTGTCAAGGTGACTTTTGAACACAAACATGTGAATAATTTCTACCGGCGACTGGTAACAACAAAATGTCTTACCATAGTATACGTAGCGGCTTTGGCAGGACACTATCGCCCAGGAAATCGAATTTGAATACAGGTTAGTGCTATACCTGCTATACCTAGAAGGCTCCAGCGCACAATGGCTCTGTGCTGCTGAAAACATGGACTATATACGAGTAGTCTGTTTGTTCCATAACCACGGTGGGATTTGCTTGTGTGCTATACCTGTATAGTCACTGAGTGTTTAAATAGAAGGCTCCATCGCACAATGGCTCTGTGCTGCTGAAAACATGGACTATATACGAGTAGCCCGTTTGATCCATAACCACGGTGGGATTTGCTTGTGTAGTAATAACTCACATGTTTCGCGGTCAACCTTGGCAGAGGGATTACCTTATCAATAGAAGGAAATATGTGGTGAATATGGAGTTTGTTTTTTCAATATGTATAAGTTCTAAAGCGAAGTTCAATCGCATCTGTCAATCAACGTTCGTCATCAATCATCAATCAACATTTTAAAGGGGCCGTTGATGCCTTTTGCAAATACGATTCGCCATCATGTTTAATGTTGCTCCTAAAAACTTGAGTGGATTTTTTTCCCTTTTAGCAGTAATGTGGTTGCTAAGGCAAAACGTATGCCGTTATTGAGGAAAGCTAATCCAATTACGTACTTAGACGCTGTAGCGGAGCAGTTAACGTTGTGTTTCTCAGAAAATATGCTCAGTATGATTGAAATGTCCAATTATAACGGAAGAAGACATTCTAAACTTCATGTCAGTGAAAACAAATCGCCGCCATCGATGCTGAAACGTCAATACTGGTTGCTGGTATAGCTGACCTTCAAGTCTGGAAGAAATCGTTTGAAAACTTCCCCAAATCTATATATTTATATCAATTTCTAGGAATTGGTATTTCACGAGTAGTCGAACAATTATACCATCTAAGTATATTCCGAATTTCAGCTGAATCTGTTGCTGCAAACGCTAGTGTTACAATTTTGTATCAGTAATAACTCGTGAAGGAGGCTTTTTACCAAATTTCTACTGTACACCATAATGGATAGCAACCTTATTAATATTCGTGAGGCTTGAAAAGATTGACAGATGTTGCAAACGCCAGTGTTACATCTTTCAAAAATTCACGTAGCCAGGCCTTTTTGTTTCCAATTTCAACGAAAAGTAATAAACATATCACAACAATATTTAGCACATACTTGGATCATTATAAGGGAAATAAATCCTGAAAGTTGCATGAAGATACGGTCTTCCAAACTGGAGAAATTAAGCTTCAAAGATTTCACCCGTCAACGTGAACATGTCTGTGTACATGTAGTTTCATTCAAAATAAAGCGTTACGAAAATTTTAGAAATCGCCCTTCGAAACCACATGACTGTTAGGTGATTTTTTTTTCAACGGATGTGTCATTCAAAAGTGAATAACTTTTATATTGCTAGGCATATAGGAAAATAGCAATTGAAAAAAAACCCATCTATTTTGATATAGGTTTTCCCGGCTATTTTTACACATTTTTCATTCAGATTCACCAACTTTAACATTAAATTTCGTCCGAGAAAAATGTCACACGCTTTTAACAAAACCATTCGGAACAGCTTAGACAAATTTGATCTGTAATGACAAATATCCTCGACCCGGTGATTAAAGAGGGTGACCAAACTTTAAAATTGAACGGTAAATGACTAAAGTGGTTTTGGTAAAAGCGCGTGACAATTTTCTCGGACGAAATTTAATGTTAGAGTTGGCGAATTCGAATGATAAACGTTTTAAAATAGCCCGGAAAACCTATAGTTCCCACGTAGGGTGTGACGAAATATAGGTTTCCCGGCCAATTTCCTAAAATGTTCATTCACTTCTGAAAATTGGTCATTCATTTTCGTCTGAATTTGAGAATCGCTCTGAACACGCGTTTCATTTTCGCTACCAGAGCATTCGATTCCATTTCAGTTCAGTCGTTTCTGTCCGATCAGATTCGTTTACAAGACTTCTGTTTCGCTTTTAGTGGGCGATTTCAAACATCCACCATTCTATTTCACTTTTAGTTTAATGCAATCGACACCAGATACAATTAGGGGTTTCTTTTTCATTAACCGTCAATCAAATTAGCTGTTCCTGAAATCAATTTAGAAATATATGCTTGCGTAAATGAATGCACAGGTAACGTAATAGGTCGTCGTTTCTCAAAACCGAATGCGCGGACAATGAAAACGATTGAACTATCGTTGAATTGAAATGGGATTAAAGACGTGCATTCAAATTCAGACGAAAAAGGAATGACCGATTTTCAGAAGTGAATGAACATCTCAGGAAATTGGCCGGGGAAAACCTATATTTAGAACAGGGAATTTCCGGATTAAAGGTTGTTTGCAGAAACGCTGAATCAACAATGGTCGCCGGCGGTACAATACCAATGTTTCGGCGGGGCGGGAGGGGGGAATTTTCTTTTGCGTAATTCTTTAAAGAGAGAAAAAAACTCTACTTTTCTGGATGCGATGGCCTCTCCCAACGGATCCGCCAGTGACAAATCTTATTCTATTTACTTCGACTTTGTCTCAGTTTGGCAACCTCATCAATTAATATAAATTAACAAACACAAAGTGTAAATAAAAAACAAAAGACAATTCCCTTCTGCCATTAAATAACAAGCCAGAGCAATCAACAAGCGTTTGTAGGCAAGATTGTGGCACATGTACTTTGTACTTTTTGTGATGCACTTTCCTACTTTGTGATGTTCAACTCTGCGTATGTAAGAATGTGCTCGACATTTTGCTGAACAACAATAGAGCCGTTGCAAATCAAAGGTTAATCATTACAATCATGAATATCGACATACAATACTACATTGCCGCAAATCACAGTGATTGGAATACTTGCACGACAATTTAATTATAAAATTAACATAGGTGTGTGTCATGTACAAAAAGAAACAACTTACTGTACGAGTAGTTCCTTCCATGGTGCAGATCCGTGTTTGCCCAACAATTCGATGTACAAATATTTACATAAACGTCGACATGACCTCAATCAGTCAATGGAGTTGTATCAGCAATAATTAATGTGCAGACGCATGCACGGAGAAACATTATACAAATGTAAATGTATAATGTCTTATAGTGTCTTATCACCCATGAGTTTGTACCAGTTTATAAGGAGAGGCATGAACCATTTTGTCTGCATGTCATACAATTGAGACGAACACCTACCATGAAGGAATGCACAGACCAACAATCCCTCACATCACCGCCCGGGAAGGCGCTACAGGTAGCTACGTAACAACGTGACTTCACATTCAACGGAACTTCCTCATCAGTCGGGGAGAGACACACGTTTTGTTTTCCTTATCGGTTGTTACCGTGGTAACAGGGCAAAGTTCATGCACATGGAGTGCTTTCAATTGGTATATGGTATATTTTATTCACATTATCACATTGTAACCCAATTATCATATTGCATGATAATTTACAATATTAAAAACATCAAAATCACAGTAAACATGAATTAAACAAATTAAGAAAAACCCATACAAGTTGGCTAAGAATCTAGAAAAATAAAATTAGTACATTGCACATACATGTAGATTTGTCTGCCTCAAATCTTTGAATAAAAAAATTAATTAAAAAGCTGCTCACAGAGAATACCTATTTAGATAATTGGTAAAAAGCTAACACGGGCTGTTTTGTTATTAATCAACTTATTCACTTTTTTTCACTTTTTAAAAGTGCGAGTAATAATCTTGCACAGAGCTGTGGTGGCTCTTATATTATAAAAAGATTATTAAAAAGCTGCTCACAGAGCAAAAGATTCTACTTGTTCAGCGAGCTGTTTAGCAATCCAACTGCATTCATGAAGAGGAGGCTTAGGTTTTATAGGCAGGCCTTCTTCCATGCAGCCGCGATTGAGTTACACAGTAACTACAAATAATGTAATATTTATTTCCTCGTCAAACCGAATGTGACATTGTACGGCGTAACCGTATTGTTTTATACTGATCGTTATCTACCGGGGCCCATTTCCGTGGCTTAGCTCACCACAGAATTCCGTGCTTACGACCACCGTTTTGTGCTAACTTCTTCAGCATAAAAATTCTGTGCTAACCATGTAAGCACGGAATCCTTAGTTACATCAGAATGTACGCATGCTCATATAAGCGAAAATTCCTCGCTAGTCCGCCAAATACACTTACCGTTAGCACATAATTTTCTTCTATAGTAAGCAGGGATTTTTCGCTAACTAAGCAGAGCCAAGAAATGGAAAACCGATTGTGACATTGCAGAGCGTAAGGAAATCATTTGAAGTCATTAAAACGCGTTGGTGTTAAAAGGACAACTTGCCGTCTTAGATCTGAACTTTGTTCTCGAAGTTTGTGATTCACTTTTGTAACATCGTGCCTGGTTAACCTTTTGTCTTCCACGGTTGATATTATTCAACCAATGTGGTTCACTTTTTGAACGTGCAAAAAAACGCATGATACGTCAAGAACGTTCGTATATCGGTGGCCATTTTTGGAAGACTAAAGGGGCGAACTGGTTAAAAAAAAAAAGCGACATAACGCCGTAATGGACATACGCGATTTCAATACGCTTATTGAACCATGGAACCGTGGTCAGAGTGTCTTTAGCGCGTGTTCTTTGCTAGAACTTTTCTTCAAAATGGTAAATGGATATATACATGAAACTTTCACCAAAGCGTGTTCAAAATACAGCCTATTTTGTACTTGTTTTGATAATTTCTACCTATTTTTAAATACTTTCTTTAATTTGGATCCAGATCATTCTGATTCACCCTGTAGGTGAAAGTAGTTGATCACTTATTTTAGCCAAAATCGCTTCTGTGACGTCATCATGACGTCAGAGTAATATGCACCACTCGGGATGAGCGTCGGAATGTTGAAAGTTACAGCTGCGCATTCGTGCACAAACACAGCGCGATGTCCAATACACATCAGAACAACCTCGTGCCCCGTGGGTACGATCTTGCAGCGCCATGTTGTTTCCCATCATGCCTTGCGCGATCATAGTGTAAGGAACGAGCACGCGCCCTGGAGTCGAGGCTGACATCAGAAGAATGCTAAATTGCGTGCGCGTGCATACGCACTAACATTCCAAAACGTGCAGCATAACTTCCGAATAAAAAAGGACAAAATATTGTTGCAACTTTTGAAAACTTTAAGCATTAAATGATGAACAGGATAAATGATTTCCCAAAGACCGATGATTCGGGAACAACTCGTGAACCTCATGTTGCTGGTCCAAACGCTGATAAAAAGTCAGAGGTAGGTTTAACTGGATTTGTTGAATAGATCAGTCTCGGTCAGGAAAAACGCAATACCTACTTCCTTCCAAACCACCGCACTAGGGCATGTAGATGATGTACTGATGTAGTGTATTGAACAATCAAATTATTGAAAAACAAGTTGGCACAGATTATCGTCACGACATTGAGATGTAACTTGGATATTGGGCGGAGATAAAGTTGGTTTACGGAACCCGTCACGTATTATTTTTGAATAGTCAAACAATTGTAAGGTATTTTGTGTTCCTGTTGCAGGCCCAATGGCTTCAGCCAATGACTTAACACCAATCGTGTATTGGGCCTTATTCGCAAGTTGGCCATTTTCGTCTAGTTCCCTGATTGTTTCGTTAATTGTTAACTGATGAGTGGGATGGCACCAGACTTTTTATGCAGGCACAATGCAGCCTTATTTTGTTGTCAGGTTATTTTTTTATATAGGCCTATATGGCTTAAACATTAGGGAATGTTTAACTAGGCCTACAAATGTTGAATTATTCATTGAAGCAGACAGGAATTTATTATACGTTAAGTTGCTCTCATTTCTCTTCGCAATTTCCAAAAAAAAACCACAACATTTTACCTAACTTCCAATTCAATGTGGCCGACTCGTGAATAATGCCCATTTAAATTCCCCATTTCCTAGCCCAGGTTGGACGACGTCTTCATTGCATTACGACTGCGTGTACACAACGGAGTCCAACCTGGGCTACCCCTTTCCATATAAGGAACGAAAAGACGCTTTTATGTTTGGGGATTTGGGCTGACGGATACAAGCAGGAAAAATCTAGCTTAGTTTTGTGGAAAGAGGGCATGGTTTTGATTTATGAACGGAACTTGTAAACATAAGAGTTGTCATTAGGCCACACGATTACCCACTTTACCTTGATTTGTTTTTATGGTTTCACTGCATATACGATCAAAGACTATAGGCCTATAAAGACCGGAGTAGATTCAAAGGCCCAACTCCCGAGACGGGTCCTAATAACGTGAGAAAAAAATGACGGTGACCATTTATAATTTACTTCTTCTCGCAACGTGTTAAGTTGGGTTGCGCTCGCACAGGCAAATTATGTAAATTAATCGTCGTTATCACGGACTCATTACAGAAATAGGCACATAACATCCCTGAACTAAATGGTACGCGTATTTTCCCCTAGGACTAGGACTAGAGGGTTCGGGGTAATGCCATGCATTATTCAGTTTTTCCTTTAAATCATTGCAAGACACTGAGGTCCTCTTTCTCTTGTTTCTCCTTAAATTAATATTATCTAGACAATAAACATTGGCGGCGCTACGGGGGGCATGGAAGAATCCCCCCCCCCCAAGTTTTTCCTCCCCCCCCCCCCAGTTTTGCCCCTCCCCAGTTTTCTCCCAAACCTTTATCAACAAATAGATTAATTATGTCTTTTTTCTTCGCTGTTAAGGTTCTTGACAAAAAGAAAAACAAATGCTCTAGTGGCTTATTTCAGGACCATTGACAATGGGCACGCGCGCGAGTACATAGGCTTGATATTACGGCCTGAAATCCTCGGCTATTTTGAAAACATTTCTCGTTCGAATTCACCGATTATTATATTCAAATTCGTCCATCAACATCGATTTAGTGCACTTCCAATGTTTAATTTTGTTTTTAGCCAGACAATTTCAAATCCAGTTCAAGCAAATCCAAACAATGAGCACACGTTTTCGTCCCGGAGTATTCGATTTCGTCTCGTCTACGCCAAACCTCGTCTACGCCGAATCGTGTTATTCAGAAATCGAATTCGTCTCATTGATTTATATAAGACGAATTCGAATATCCGAATGCTGCCATTCGGCAGCAGCTTATACGAATTTAATCTGTTGGCCCTAATGACGAATATTCTCGACCTGGTGACTAAAGAGGGTGACCAAACTTTGAAATTGAATGGTAATGACTAAATTGGTTCTAGGCCTGAATAAGCGTGTGAAAGTTTTCGTGGACGAAATTGAATGTTAGAGTTGGTGAATTTAAATGATTTATTTTTTAAATAGCTAGGAAAACAACAGTATTGATGGATAGTGTTCAGCATATAGGTCAACCGAAAAGATAATGACGTCACGCGTTGTTAACTTGTGGTCCCCCCCCCCCCCCAGGAGAGCGGCCAGGTAGGACGCGTCCCACCTGGCTCCCATATAGGAAACGCGCACATGTAAACAAAGCGTGACGTCATTATGTCTTAGATCCATTGAACATCAATGGTGTTTAGGAATTGAACACATAATGTTTAGCTTCTCAAAACCTTATGAAGTAAGTTGAGACATGTAGAACCAAAAAGGCTCAACCAAAATTCTAATATTATGCTATTTTCTTTATAACTCCAGTTTTGTCGGAAGAAACCTCTGCCATCGATTTCGATTGAGAAAGACCCCGAGTTTGCTGAGTCGCTCCTTTGTGCAGCAACAATGCATATCAGACAAAAGGTGGTATAGGTTGACAATTTACTTCTAACAACTTTAATTCCATCATGAAATTTGTTAATGTGTAACATAATTGTTATGACTGCTTATAGAATCTACAGATCCACAAACACCGAGCTGTCATCTTATGCAATGCGATCCGTGTAACAACTTACTTTACAAACACAACTCTTTTTTGCTCTTTCAAGACAAAAAATCCCCCAACAATAACTTACTCGGTGTTCCCATTTTTCCCATAGACTCGTGAGTCGACTGGATCTTCTACACCAAGGCCGCAATGTCCTGGGCATGTCCTCGTTCCACGCACAAAAGACATCCCTAAACCAGGCACTGGCCGGCGCAGTCCTCCCATCCCACCAGGGCCGACTCAAGGCCCATGCGGTGACCTACCACCCCGCAAGACCACTGATGGAATCCATAAGCGAGACAGTCACAACCAGTGCGACAATCATCTCTTGTTGAACCCACCTTGGAGGGCAACATGTGCTATTGTGGAACCGACCCAGGCTGGCAACATCTGCCTTGAGCGTCTACCTCGGGGTCTCAAACAACCGAAGATCGTCGACCTGTGCCACAGACACGGTCACCGCCGACGACTAGAGCCTTTGGAGGAAACACAAAACGCTGATGCAGCTCAAAAGAGAGGTAGACCAGTGATGCAACGGAAGGCGAATGGGTCTAAACAACGAGGAGATTTCAATGCTAAGAAAGTCATTATTGAGAAGAATACATTCAATACGATCGCCGAGGAGCAGCGACACCGTCAAGGCTCCGATGATAGGACAAAAACGGATAACAGTTTCGGGGAGGATAACAAAGACATGACCATGATAACAGGTTGTAAGGCAACGGAGGATCTCAAAGAAGAGCGTCCTGAAGATGTAACTTTGGATGAAGGCCAAGATGAGCAGAATGTATCAAAGCAGGGTGATTCTGATGAAGACATAATTCTACAGAGTGCTCGATGTGGAACTGACGATTTTGACCACAAACTCTCTGAAACAACTTGTAAAACAACAGTTCCTAGCACACACGAGAACATCATCGGGGAAACAGAAGATGAAGAAACAACCCCAGACGAAGCCTGTTTATCCAAAGAGGATGTAGAAACTTCAGACACGGCACTGTGCCGAACAATGCCTTCGAAACCAACTCTAGTGAAAGCGGAGAGTCTGACGTTCAGACGAACTACGGGGAAACTCCACACGGACGAGCGACCGAATAGCTTCACGGCACTCACTGCCAAGGTAAAGGAGCTTGAACACGTTGAAGAGACAACCAGTCAGCCTACAACCGGTCAACCTTTGTCGGGAGTGACGATCCACGAGAAAGTGCAAGCAAATGATAATGTCATTACCTCTGCTGACGATCACAGCGACTATACACCAGACGACAAGGGAGACACGATATGCCATGATTCTCATAGAAATGACAACATACTTGAATCGTGCTTGAATGAGCACCAACTCATACCTTGCCCACAGAACATTGAAGAGGGTCCTTGTACTGCTGATGAAGTCAGTGCATTTGACCAGCCCGAAACTTTCCAGGATTCGAAGAAGTACGAGATTACGGAAATACAGAGTAAGAGAACGGGTGACCTTAATTCTTCAGCTTGTGAGGACAAGCCAGACGGTTTGCTTGATGACAAAGTACAAGTGCCTTTGGAAACAGATAGACAATCCGGTGTTTCAAAGCATGCAGAAAACATCGATGAAGCGTCCATTTATAAAGACCAATCGTTAAGTATGCAAAGTGATAAGTCATGTCCAATTTCTGAATCAAACAGCAGAACAACACAGGAAGAGTCTATACGAGAGAATCGTGAGAGTGAGCTGTTAAGCTTTTCCGTCGACTCTCCGAGAATGCCAAGAAATGAGAACTGGGATTGCGTCAATTCAAATCAATCCACGCCAACAACTGACGATTCAGCAGAAAAACAAGAATCACCGATTGGCCAGTTCAAGGATCAAGATGCGAAAAACACGGGTTTAGAAGCTGTCAATCTCGAGACAATTAGACAACGACCTAAAACAGATATGCCATCTCAAAACGAGACTCGAGAAACAGAAGTGTCTGTTCAGATTTCACAAAAATCTGAAAATTTCAAGGAACCGTCCCCACATTTACAGCGATCTCTAAGTTGTCACGACCTTGCCATTGATGTTCGGTTCTTCAAGACACCGGACAACGACACTAACGATGGAAACTGCTTCCACCACGGAGAATCGCCTTCACTGGGAAGTGGTTCTCGAGAAAATTCTGATGGCAGTTACAAAAACGAGAGATGCACAATACGGAAAATACATTCCCATGACAACTCGGGGAAGTGTAAGTATATTGTATTGCCTGACCAAGACAGAGTTATCTCAGATGTCCATGGGATACCTATCAAACCCTTAAGGATAGACAATGACAAGGATACCCAAAGAGATACATGTGAAAGTGCTTCGGACAGACAATCCCTGCTGCAAAACCCAAGCGAGATTCCAACAGATGGCATCAAAACAACAAGCAGGGAGAAAAATATCACCAAAGCAAGAAACATCACCTCCGATCCGAGGATAGATCCCATTGTGTCTAAACTCGAAACGGTGGAGGGATCATCGGTTTTACGGATTGACAAGATAACCGACGGACGAAACAACGAGCAAGAAACATGCTCCAGGGACGACAACAGAGAAACGACTGATGAAAACCATGATTTGATATTGTCAAGGCAAGACCAATTAAGAAATGGCATTGGCAGGAGAGCACGGAGAAAAACAGAGTGTGATATGCACCCTATCCAAGAAGACGAGACAGTTGATAGTGAGATAGTGAATGACCAAGATGCTAATACAGAAGGATTTCAAGGTCAAAGGGAGGATGGGGGTGGAAAAAGTGGAATCGGAGAAGAAGAATGGTTTCCACTGTCTGTACATCCACTGCCACAACCAACTGCGGCTAATGTGTCCGGACCACCACCGAAACAACCTCAACCGAAAAGGATCAACTTCGCCGAATCCAATCGCTTCCTCCGTATCCATGGCAACTATCTCCAAGGCGACGGGCCATGGGGTCACGGCGACCGAATCGAGCGGCCAAGAAACTACGTTGAACCAAACGTCAGCCTAGATGATATGTCTCTGCGCTTTTTCACCGACATAACCCCGCTTGACCTTGCTTTCAACGCCATCAACGTCGTCAATTCGTGCTCCAATTCCATCAGCTATCATTCCTGTATCAACCAGAAGCGCCTCCTAGCAGCGTTGGATGGACTTAAACACGATGATGTCTACAAGCACGCGCTGATTTGTCCCCTTGCACTTCAGTGCGCCACAGCAACGCGAGAATTCAGTCAGGCTCTTCATAAGGTATTCAGGAGGTTCTCCAATCGGGCCAGAGCGGCACAAGAAGCGCTGCTGGAATACTACCGAGCACTGGCTGCTGGGGAGGTCAACTCGCCAGAGATGCTGAGGCAGATTCAGAGGGATGGGAGGAGATTGTACATGGTTTGGGAGGGAGGAAGATACGTCACGAAGTACTCGGATGATGCCATAGCTGAGTTGAGCAACAGTAGCAGTGACACCAGCACCCGCCCCTCTGCTTCCGACCCAGCAGAGTTTGTTGACAACGAATCAAAAGAATAACTCATTGGAGAATAATGTCTTTGATTGACTTAAATCTGTGGCTGCTCCATTACAACTTCAACCTCTCGGTTGTTTCATGAAGCCGTGATGCATTTCACTGCATGGCTTTGAACTCTCGGATTTACTTTGTAGTCTCAAAGCATTTTTTAAAAGAGTTTTGGAAAAATGTTCTTTTTTAAATTGTATATGCTATGGGGATCCAGAAACCATATTTTGTTGTGTTGGGGGTTTGGTTGTTGGTCAGGTGGTGGTGGTGGTGGTGGTGGTAGTGGTGGTGGGGGGGGGGGGGGGAGAAGATACGCGCAAGCAGAAGCCGACAGACATCATCATAATAATGTGGTGCTCTTATATCGCTTCTTACCAAGGTATATATCAAAGTGTTTCACAATTAATAAGACCCCTGTTCATTAGGCAATCAGACCAGCATACATGCATGTTCGGGAAGGGGTGGAGGGGGCGGGCTAGACCTCATGACTACGCTACGGCGCTCTTTTCTATAATTTTCCTTTTTTTTTCTTGTTACTATTTCATGACTTTCTGGAGTTCAGGGAGTGCTCTGCAGATTTTTTAAATTAAATCTAGTCGTCTTCATTCCTCTGGTTTTATTATACAGCTCCGGTCATAATTTATACAGATTTTCTTAAAACGAATACATGTAATATTACAGAGTTTTATACAACACCTGAATAAATCCCCGTCATCTGATTGGTGAATTGTAGATCACGTGACATATTATAGGTTTTCCCGGACAATTTCGGAAAATGTGCGTTTGAATTTGTAAAACATAAATTCAATTTGGCGCCGAGTTTGAGAACGACGTACATCCTGGTTTCATTTTCGCAATAACTAGCGTTCGATTTCATTTTGCATCAATCAAATGAATGAATGTGCATAACGTTTCATTTAAGGGATTACAAATACGTGATTAGGCTTTCGGTTTGACGTATGCGTTGCCGATTTTTACGAATGTGCAATCCAATTCGCAGAAAATCGATTGTCTATTGTGACACAGGCTGAATTGAACATTCTTTTTCATTTGTTACAATTTAAATTCGCATTTGCCTGATTCAGTTTAAATAAATTATACAGGCCTATACAAATCATGATACAACTTTGATTCATTAATTAATTATTCATTAATTAATCAATGTATGCCTTATTGATCATTAATTTGTTTGTTCTTATATACACGAAGGCCTATGGGAAATGTAGGCAAATGAAGTGTGAAAATGATATATGATATGACCAATATGAAATCACTCAAAATAACCTTGTAGCCATATTATTGAGACGGTAAAGGGACACATCACGTGTCATGTTACATGGGATCTGCATGGGGACTTTTTGAATATTCAAAAATTCAATCATTCAATCAACCATTCCTCAACATAATGAATTCCAATGCTTGACCAGGCATACGTTAAATAACACTGCGAGGGAAATCGGCTGCACATTTAGCGAAAAAGATTGATGATAAATTAAAAGGAAAACAGGATTGCGGATGTGTCTTCGATTTCGCGCTAAAATGAAATGTCAATACACTAAATGCAGCGCACATTCGGGAAATCGTACGCTGATTTTTTACGACTGAATGCACTTTCACGGAAAAAGAATTATCATTTGTTAAATAGAAACAGAGATTTGGAACGTTCATTCTATTTCGCACGAAAACGAATGCTTCTTTTACAAATTCGTGTACACATTTTCCGAAATTGTCCGGGAAAACCTATATTATTCGGTATAATGCACGGTGCGACCATGCGTTATACCCATGCGTTATACCGTTTCACTTTGCGCTTGTTCCATGACGCGGTATTTGCGTGCAAAATGCATGCTGGTGTGCGCGTTCAGCGTAGCGCGTATTGTTCCAAAGAGCCAGCGCTACAGCGTTGGGTTCAAACATTTTCGTAAAGGGGTAAGTTCAACATCTTTAAAATCAAATAAATTGTAGTTTATAATGTACCAATCAAATGACGAGAATTTATTCAGGTGTTGTATAAAACAAATAACGAATGTTTTACGTTCGTGCGATGGAAAGAATAATTTCATTCGGTGACAGATTGAATGTTCTATTCCACTCGGCTTCGCCTCGTGGAATAGAACATTCAATCTGTCACCTCATGAAATTATTCTTACCATCGCACTCACAAACATTCGTTATTTGTATAATAATCGCCACCATGCTCACGTCACCCGGGCCATGACGACTATAATGTTTGCGCACATGGACTAGACCAGCGGCGGCGGAACGCTTTTCAAGCTGGGGGGGGGGGGGGGGGTCACCAAAAAGGGGCACTTGCTCAGAAAAAAGGCGCCTTCCGTCGGTGTGAAAGAGGAGAAGAAAATTGTGAAACTATTTTTCGTTTACATTGCAAGCAATACATGTTACCCGGAACAAAATTTACTATACAATCTACACTTTTTTTTTAAATGCGTTAAAAATTTTTAAAATGTGTAGGCCGCACCTATTCCTGAAATAGTCTCGATCTCATATTGGTACACAAATAATGTAATTTTTCACCCGAGAGAACCCTTCGGCCTCCGGCACACCCCCAGCAGTAACCTCTCTGGGTCCGCCCTAGTTAGATTTGACTAGTTAGGCCTATGCAAAATGGCATTGTGCCTTTGATATGGCCAGTTCATTTTATTCGCGTGAGGAGCACCATTATTTTTTTACAGGCCAGTTTTCCAACCTCAGTGAGAGAGGCACAAGTTTCAATGTTGCCAGCGGGGCACTAATTATTACGCTTTCGATCAATGTGCAGTTTTCCATCTCGATAAGTTATCGCACCGGGGCACAATTTTCTAATTACGAGAGGGGTGTTTGTGCTTTGAGAGATAGTTTTCCATCTAGAGAAGGTTCACAATATTGTTAATGCGCGAGGGTTATTTGTGTTTTTGAGGGGCACGCACTTTTGCATTACGGAGACAATTTTTAAGCGCAATCATAATGCTTTCATGTGTGCGTTTGAGGGGCAGTTTTGTTTTCATGTCGAGGGGTCACATTTATAACCTAGAGAGGGGCACTTTTGTTGGCCTGGGAAACGGGGGAGGGGAGGAGAGAGAGAGTCCCCCCCCCCCCCCGGCCCAGGCCCAGGATCGGACCATGCCATCATGCGAATGATGCGATTAATAATAATCTGATGTGCGCCCTCTATAACTCAATTCGCAATTCAACATGGCGACTTACACAGACAGCAACGTGAACCATTCCAAATCTGAGATGTCAGATGTTACTCAAGATAGTGCAGAGTTGTCGCCTGTAAACATAGTTGGAATGATGGACTCCCTTATAGGACCAAACAAGATAAAGCACAACGAGGGACTGAGACAATTTGGGCTGCCGCAGGCGCCGAAAACGAGGGAGGAATTGACGGTGGAACGTGCAATGGAAAGCTGCACATTTAAGACCGTCATGAGCTGCGTACTTGGTGAGTAGTGCGTAGCTCACGTGCGATTTTAGTATTTAGCGTTAACATATAAAAACAAGCGACGTCAACAAGTTTCACATGCATTTTTCAGTTTCAACAAGGTGTTCATGTATATGATGTATGGGAAAGAATGTTGCATCCTGCGCAACTTTTGAAAAGAAATAAATCTCGGACTGAGTGAGTTAGACAATATTAGAGTGACAAACATTTGCAATTTTGTTAGACATGTTACTGTTACTGTTAGATTAAAATAATGCTTACATTTTCTTCACTCTCAATCTCCATACTCCCCATAGACTTTGTATTCACCGTTGGGAAGAAACATTCTTTCCGGGGTCTGGCCCTTATGTGCCTAGCCTTGAGTTGCAGCTTACTTGTACAGTTGTAGTTTAATCGTTGGCCAAAATAACAGGCGCCTTCTCTTGGAAACATACATCATTCGTATGCAAGACGGCATTGTTGCACTACATACACTACTTATTTGCTCCATGGTCTCCGATTGTGACTGCAGTCACTGGTTAGTGGTCGTTCATGAATGGCCTGCCCATTGGACTGATCAGAGAGTTGCCACCCATTTTCTCAACATGATGTTGATAGCCCTTACGGCCTTAGTCCGAGTAACTAAGACTCCAAGAATCGCAGTGGTCATTTGAACCCTGTCACTTTTTGTTGGCATGAATGGGGGTTTCTGATGAAATCTGATAACAATTACTCAGGTTGGAAGAAGGATAATTTATGGGAAACGAAATTTCCAATTTCTCCCACCACTAGACTCACAATCTTCAATATTTTTTGCTTTGCTTGAACTTAAACCATGTACTGTTTGCATTGCATTTTGTTGACATTTTGTTCCCATCTCTGCTGTAGGTTTTGCATTGGGAGCAGCGATTGGTTTATTTGCAGCAAGCATTGATCCTGTCGACCCTGATCAAGCAGCCAAACAGAAAGCCAAGGATGTCTTGAAAGACATGGGCAGGAGGAGTGTCTTCCATGCCAAAAACTTTGCTGTCATTGGTGCAATGTTTGCAGGAACAGAGTGTATAATAGAATCAGTAAGTTACTGCAATGTGAATATGCGAAGATTACAACATCTTCAGATCACATAAATGCATACATTAAGACTTTTCTTTTCTTAGAACCAAACTTAAAAAAAAAAAAACTTCAGAATATAAACAAATCTGCATATGTTTAGGCCAAAAAAAAAAAAAATAGTTCTGCTTCCGGTTTCCCTACCTACCCTATTCTGACAGCCCCTACCCTAATTTTTTTATTGGAAAATGAGAAGAAGAAAAAACACCCAAAACCAACACTTTATACCTTTTAGCCTTGACTACACGCAGACGCCTCCATATGATCGTACACAAAAAATTTGCAAAAAACCAAAAATTCCCTACCTACCTACCCTATTTTGGAATGCCATGTAATTGGAAGCTGAGCTATTTTTTTGGGGGGCCTTTATAGTGGCCACAGATGGATCAGCTGATGAAAATAGTCCACAAGTTCAGTTTTTCAATTTTACATTTGTTACCATTAGCCTTTTTGAGTTATGGGTGACACCGTATACAGGAAGGCGCTATTTGACTCAGGTGTATACTTTAGAATTTACACAAACCAAAACTGTATAGTAATGAGTGCTCCCACCTAATGTGTCCTCCATGATGTCTATGTTAAAGTACCTACATGTATACCTATACTTCTTGTTATTTTAATCAATAGATATAGATATGTCTTTAAAGTAAGCAGGAAACCTGTTAAAATGAAAATGACAAAATACCCACAACAGCCAGAAAATGTCCAGTATGATGTATGAATGTTCCTCCAGATACTGTGCGCCTTACAAATTCTCTATAATTATTATTATTATTACTACTACTGCTCCTACTGCAATAGAACAGAAAATATTGGGTAAGTTTTGAAATAATTTACGTTTATTTTCTCTGCACAGTATCGGGGTCAAAGCGACTGGAAAAATAGTCCCATGGCTGGCTGTGCAACAGGCGGGTTAATAGGATACAGAGGTGAGATAAGTATTCATTATGTTCTTGAGCTTTTTTCTTGTATCCTTATAAAGTAATCCACTGGCATTTTTGGTACAAAGTATGGACCTCAAGCCACACACAAAGTTCACATAATAGGGGCTAATACAGGGGATAATACAGCTCGTACAGTCCAGAATCCAACACAACACCACAATAAGGCCAAAAAAAAAATAAGTCGGTCTCTGGTCAGCGCGCGCGTCGATTTTAATCATGCGCGTCAACCTTTTTTTTTTCTTCAAATTATCCGCGGTAGCTACAGCAGTGCCCTCTATTGCCGCACCTCCTCAAATTGTTGTACCAAGGAATGGGGAAATTGCACCAAGGCAAATGATGGAGGGCACCAAGGCAAATTATGGAGGTCCCCAATGTATATGAGGACACAACAAAAGCAAAATAGTACCCACCTTGTCTGTACAATCCAAGCTTCAAAAACAAAAAAAAGGCCGGAAACAAAACAAAAACGCATCGCCGCATCAATTCCGGAACTTTGGTCTGACCAGAGACCGAATATTTATTTTTTTTGGCCTAAGAAAGGTTGCTGTGTAGGATTTGGGGTTGTCAATAAGAGTTTTTTATGTACGTGTTATTATTGCTCATAGTTTGTAATGAACCCTAAACAGAACTCAACCCATCAACAAGTTTGGCATGTTTTGTTGGAATCTGTCAGGATGGGTACAGTAGCCCTAAACTGACAGTCTTTTACATTGGGTTGGCACACCTCCAGAATCAAAGTCAGAAATATGTGTGTGCAGTTTCCCGTATGGTGTTGGAATTTGCCAGGATGGGTGTGGTTCCTAGTAAATCATGCTAGGGAGTTAAGGTTATTGGACTCTGAGCATGAACAGTAGGTGGCGCATTGTGATCACTTTCGAGAGGCCCAGTTGGAAGGACACACCATGTTTTGTGGCTATCGCATAAAGTATGCACAGCTAACTTGATTCTGAATATGCACAAGCCCAAAGCGTCTTAGCATGAACGTCAGGCTTTGTTGCCAGTGCTTTCAAATGTCCCTCCCATAGTTTCCCCAAACTCGCCCTTTGTATAAACCATAAGAAAAGAAATTGACTCTGCCATGCAACCTTTTGTCTTACAGCTGGGCTGAAACCTGGTGTTGCAGGATGTGTAGGATTTGCTGCCTTCTCAGCCGCCATTGATCACTACTTCCATCTTCACTGATAGGCAGATATCCTGTCACGTCCAAGTTATCCTTCACATTTTGCTGAAGTTTGGACACCATAGAACTTGTTTGGACCAGCGCAAGATCACATGCTGATCATCATAGCAAGGTTTTCTTAACCGTCTCCATCAGAGTCTGAACAACAATGTCTGGAGAACAGTGGAGCCTCATTATTTTAGACAGATAATCTGGAGGTACCACACTGACAATGACTGAGTATTGTTTTTATACGTCGACGAAAGGCAAAACCTAATATTTAATTTACACTCATTTTCAACACTCATTTTCCACAAGTAAGTCCCGTCTTGAATTGTGGCAGCAGCATTTCAATTGGGAATTTTTACCCAATCCTAATTGAAGGGGTCAGTTACCAGGACCGGTACTATCCTCCTTCATAGTTGAGGTTGTGACGGGGTTTAGACCAGCCTTGGAAGGTACATTGAGGTCGATGATAGATCAGGGCCCAATTTCATATAGCCTTTAGTCAAGTCCCCAGGCCTATACCCGGACCATCCGGACACGTAACACACCCCGGATGCTGGCACGTAAAAAGACTAGCACGAGCGGCAGAGCCGCGAGGGCCTTTACTATCTCGTGGATCTCATCACTTATTCATTTATTCACGTAATATACATCAAGCAATATAAACCAATCATCTAACGGTGGTTTGCGGTTACCAGCAACAGCACCCGCGCCATGGCGCGCGTGCTGTCTGGCGCCAGACGACGGCTGATTTACGTTAGTAATTCTGCATTTTCATTGGTCAATTCACAACGGGTAATGCATTATGCATGTCTACCAAATCGGTAGACAAATGTAAAGAGAAACATAAGCGTTCTCCACAAGATGGTAAAGGCCCATGGGCTTCACCGCTCGTGCTAGTCTTTTACGTGTCAGCATCCGGGGTGCATCACGTGTCCGGGTAAGCGCGTGGGACTCGACTAAAGGCTAAATTTCATAGTGTTGCTTAACAGTTGACTTTGTGCTTACCGAGCCTCCATCTATTTCATAGGGACCGTTGAGCAGTAAGCACAGCAAAAGCACGCTTAACCCCTGAAGAAAACTTTGCTTAAATCAGTGGCGTAACAATAGAAATCTCCATGCGCGTGCAACCGTTAGCATGAAATAGTGCTTAAGCAGCAGTATGATTTTCTGCTATAGTAAGCACAACTTTTCTGCTTACTGTTAAGCAGTGCTATGAAATTGGGCCCAGGTCTTGATCATGCCTCATCAGTGGTTCAGATTGCACAGCAAAGTTTTGCACATTGAATGTTTCCCAATATTGGAAAACTTTGTCCAAGTATACTTGTACAGTACTGTATTGGAATAGGCAAATGAGAACAAGAAAAAAAGTAACACCAACTTTTTGTGAATGAAACGTACACTTGTACATGTATAATTTCTCCATCTTGTCTGAATGTGCATGTATTACCAAAAGCCAGGATCAAAGAAACTGTTTATACCATGCTGTTCACTTTCACATTTTTTATTAATAAAAATGTCTTTTAAACATTGAAATAAAACCTTGGAGAAATAAACCAAGATACAAAAATCCTTGGAAAGCTGTTTGTGTTAATAATATGGCTGTCAATTCAGATGAAGAGGGTTTTTTAAGACCGAGCTTAGAGACAGAGCTATATTAACTTGCTATTGTGCTATATTCTTATTCACTCACCTAGAATACTTAGGTTTGTATACATGTATGTCCGTGGTCGAAAATATTTGAAATTGAAAGGGTTGTGCTTTCATCAGTGGGTTTTGAATACAAAGCAAGAGTATACAAATGTGGCTTCACATAAGCTGAAAAAAACAAAACAAAACACAAAAACAAAAACGAATGGAAGCTACATGCATGTGTGTAATGTTTGCAAGGGAGAACTAAAAACACTCATTTACTGATTATGTGTTTCATATTTTTGGTGTAGATGTACATGTATCGCCTTCATATACAAATGCAAATAGCCGTACACATATTTTGAGATTTTCATAGGTTTGTATATCACATGGATGCGCCCAGCAGCCTATACTGTGTACAGCGATTTAGCCCTCGAGCAGTTTTATCTAACTGTAGCTCTGTTTTCCCAACACTTAAAGGGACACTAGGTCCTGGAACAGCCCAGTTGGGCTGCAAAACGCACTTTGAACGAGATTATGTTAACCGGAAAGAACATTTAAAACTAGGATAGAATTATCCACACAACCATCCTTTAAAAACTGGGCGTTTTTGTGTTATGCGTGCGAGCACGAATTTCAGGGTCCACTTTTGCAACCCCATAAATTTGAGCCGTTTGGATGCTAGTTGTTATTTCATTCGTACATGTAAAGTGTTCGCCTTTTGCGGACGTTGAAGAAACCACAATTTTTTTGCATTGGTGATTGGTCATCGCTGTTCCCGAGACACACAACGTGTACATGTATATCGTTCACTGTATGAGAACGACACGAAAATCGTATTCGTACTCCGTCGTGTCCGATGTAAACAACCGTTTTTTTTTTGTCTTTTCTCGGGAACAGTAAGACATTAGATTGGTTTCCTTTCAACCACATGTTTGAAATAGGATGAGTAAACAATCCAAAACATGAAAATTTTGGGGATTTCAGGACCTAGTGCCCCTTTAAACAGAAACCACAGTTATTGTCCTTTCGATAAACCATATAATTTTTTTACACAACCAAATGGTTGTACATGTACATTAAAATATAAAACACAGTTGCATACTATATGTATACATCAATGTGTGAAAACAGACGGAACTTTAACCTAAACTGGAATAAAATAATAAAAACGATGCACTTGTATTACAATGATTAGTACAATGTACATGTATGTATGTTAAAATCGGCATTACAATACTTTGGCAGGCATCTGAAGTCCCAGAGCGAAAGGGGTTTGATAAGTGACCCCCCAAAAAAACCATCAGAAAAATTGCCTTCATTTCACTGATTTGTTCTTGTAAAAAATTTGCCAGAGCTAAAATTTGTACAGTAGGCATGGCTAAAAATGCCTTGTTAAAATAACTAATAAATACATATAAGGACAAGGTTTGAGGAACATTGAGCTGCTTTTGTAATTGATTTGGCAATGTTGCTAACCATTGTCACATTGTCTTGAACAAGCAAAGATTATGATGACATCTGTCAATACACTGCCTGCAAACTGAAGATTTGCATCTGAAGCTGTATTTTGCATCTCAGATCTAGGTGAAAGTTGTGATGACCGCAGCTTGATGACAGGATGCGTGTTCTGTGATATAACATACATGTACCACTCACATCATTTGTCTTGGATGTTGAGTCTTACAATGGGTAATCGTGCCACAAGCTGAAAAGGAAGAATTTATATCAGTCATTAAATACCAGTTTAAAAAATGCAAAATACACTTTTTGTGGGGCGTGAAAATGGGAAAATTCAACACTTTAAAGATCTTGTCTGTGCTAATTTGAAATTTCTTTCCTTTGGAGTATGCTTCAATTTTTAGTGAAACAACTACTTTTTTTCTAGTTTGGGTGCCTGAAATCCTCTCTTACAACTTTTAGTTTGGATGGCTTTTTATGCACACACAGATTCGCCTTGGAACAGGGGTGTGAGTGACCACTGATAAAAATAGCTGAAAACAGCTGGAAAATGTGTAAAAAAGCTGAACTTTGGAAATCTCCTATACTTTTGTACACGGCAAGTGAGGGAAAAAGCTGAAAAAAAGCTGAAATCCAAAACAAAAAAAAGCTGAAATCAGCTTTAAAGCTGAGATTTCACACCCCTGTTGGAAGTAGATTGGTTTCCAGACCCTAACTATCAATGCTGACAGGGGGCAGGAACCAGTCTACCCTGCGACTTCTGAATTACATGCATATACGTGTAATTCAACATTTGTAAGGTAACCAAATGTGGTTGGTTGTTTTTGTTTACTGACTCATTCAAAAGTTAATAACTTTTGTGATGCTATACAAAAAGCAATTTAATAACAAAAAGTCATGTCTTTCAGGTTAAACTCAAAAATAGCATGGACAGCACATCTTCAAAAAAAAAAGAAGACATCAATACACAGATCTCAAATGTTCCCTTGTAGTCTTCTCACCTTTGTGTGTAATTCGTTTCATCTTCATGTTTCATGATGAGTCTCCTGACTTGATCTGGTGGGTTCATGCCATGCTTCTCTGCTCTCTCCCAACGTTCCAGTCTGGAAATTCCTGCAATAATCAGGTTGGATATTATTACACATCAGACCCAACGGAAGTTGTTGTTCTGCTGTTTTTTTGGTTTTTTTTACATTTCATGAATGTTTCATATTATGCTCCGGAAAACATGGATTTACTAAAGAGCTGGGTCAAACACTGATGCCAAAATCGAAACTGTCCATATTTCTCAAATACCTCTTATTTCAGACCCAAAGGAAGTTGTTGTTTTGTTTTGTTTTTACATTTCATGAATGTTTTTTATTATGTTCAGGAAAACATGGATTTACTAAAGAGCTGAGCCAAACACTGATGCCACAATCAAAACTGTTTCCATATTTCTCAAATACCTCGTTCTTCAATCATTGATTTTTAAATTGATACCATTTCCAATCTTTTGAAATAAATTTTCAGATATACAAGTGATTTTACAAGTAATCTAATGAATTTTTCAAAAGAAATGTTCAAAGGATGATTCACATTAAATTTGGAGCTGGTATAAATTTGTAATTTTGTATGTAAATAAACAAGACTGAGTGACAGGAGAGTGGAGGTTATTTCTACCTGTGCATGGTCCATATTCCCAGCAGAGATCAAACTGCTTCAGCACATCAATCTCCTTGTCTCTCAACAACTGCTGTGCTGTTTCACTGTCAACATCGTGGACTGTTGAAAAAGGGTTTGAAATACAGTTGCTTTAATTCTCAAGAAATAAAATCAGTTTCATGTTGAATTCCCGATGAGCATTTGCACTGGGGTCTCCCAAGCTAGTGACCCCAATCAGGCCAATGTTAATTGGGAAAGAGGGGGAGGGGGGGGGGGGGGGGGGGGGAGGGGGGGGGATGGTACCATCTTCCAACATAGGGAGCGCTCTTCAAAACCGATGATTATATGCTAACTAAGCATTATGTGCCCATTTTCAGGGCGTATTGTATGGGTTTTGGGAGTTTGGTTGTCATATTCCTCGTTTATATCAAAACCATCGATACCATTTTTGAGAAATGGTTACTTAAAAGAAATAGTCAGATACTTTTAGGGCCATTTTTTTTTCATCTCGAGGGGCACTTTTATGCTCGAGGGGGCACATTTATGGCCGCAAAAGAGGCACTTGGGAAAATCTGGGGGGGGGGGGGAAACTGCCCCCCCCCCCCCAGTTCTGCCGCCCCTAGATGGCTGAGTGTTCCCTAACATGGTGCACTTGAATAAATCTCAGAAAATTCCAAAATTAACATTTAAGAATTTCTATAAAGTTGATAAATTCTGATAAATCATTATTATATCCAAATGCAACTACAAGTTTGTCAGCAAATAATTTTCTTATTATTGGGCGAATTTTAAAAGGGTTCATTGTGCACTTTGAAATGAAATCAGAAAATCACGCCGAAATTATTATTTTTCTTCTATTTCTAACTTTGTATTAAATTGTAATGGGAAGATTAAACTCGTGATTTATGAACGGGAGTGTTTAGCATGTAGTCTGTAAACTTCATGAAATTTAACTTTCTGTGAAATTTCAGTTAAAATTTTTGCTCTAGCTAGTCGCTACAGGCGAAAAATCAAGGTGCGCCACGTTAGGGGCCGCGCGTACGTTCATGACGTACATCAACATGATCAACATCATGATCAACAAAAGACAACAATACACATGGGTGGCCACCATTTTTAAAACCCGCACCAGTTTGTGCATAATGATATTGATAAACACTTCTCACCACTTTCGTCGACTGTAGTTGTGGCAACTTTCGTCTTTCCTACACGAGAAAGTTCCTTCTTGTGCTGAGCAAAGACATCAGTAATCAAACGCTGCTTGCCTGACATGATGCAAGAAATGTAATGAGTACAGAATGATGCCGATTGATGGTTGATTTCAGTTTCTCAGTCGAAAAGCGTGTTGATGCTTGCCCACTTTGCAGAAGACGCGACGCTGTTCTATTTTTAATTCTCATAGACTTATCCCAGTCGCGTGGTTTTCTCGCTCGACTTATTTTTTAAACAAATTCATTTTGGATAATAATCGATGATAACCATGTTAATATCAATTTTTGACATAATTATCAACGAAAAAAATTCGCATCTTGTGTATTTTGGAACAGTTTGATTTTTGAATTGAAAAAAAAAACCCGGTAAGAAACGCAAAAAAAAAGCGAGCAACTGTCTTTCGCGAAGTTTACGTTTGAAGACCAACGCTTGGTGGCGCTGTTTATACACGTTTACAAATTTCACTGAATTTCAGAAAGCTGCCCTTTTTTGTCATATTTCGGTCTGAATCGAATAAGCAATGGCCAGCAATATTGCTCAGAATAGTGCCAAAGATGTGCTGGATGCAGGCGAAGGAAATGACCAGTTCTTCTCGGCAGTTGTTGTGACTCTCGCCCTTGGAGCGGTCATTGGGCTGCTGATGCTGGTGTGCGGGTTTGGAACAAGTGGACGTGCAACGGGCTCTGCGGAGCAAGATGAAAATGGTGAATTGGAAAAAAATGTTGCAGCCTGACGCCAATTCCGCGATTGTGTGCAAAGTCTGTGGTTAATGTATAGAGAGTCAAGAAAAGTATTTCCCAACAAAATTTGAAATTTTTCTCAGTCCCAGAAATCAGAATCAGAATCAGAAATCATAAGTCCTATTTATATTTAAGTTATTAAAAGGCAGTGGATATTTTGCCGGAGACGGCAAACCTTCAGTAAACGTTAGTTTGCCGGATATGCACTGAACATGCGCAGTTACTGTTTTTTTGTACTTAAACATTTTCCGGTGACAACTTTTAGTCTGCCTCCATGCCAATATTATCGTTGTAACCTCGTATTCACAAGATGGGATTCAGACCATTTTATAATTTCGGACTTTATTTCCCTTTAAAAAAAATCCTCCAGAGCCACAAATCTGAAAAAGAAAAAGTAATACTCTGCAATAAAATGTTTGAGACATATTAAAATAATAAAAGAAGGGAGTAATTGCAGAATACCCCGCCACTCGGAAATACACCCCTAAAATCACTGGCTACGAGGTTGGAATCACTGCAAAAGAAACAATTCAAGTCCATTGCCAGTTACGCGGATACTGAGTGGGGGTCCATTATTTGAGAACGAAGCAACACAAAATGAATGGGAGTCCAAACCAACCACCCTGTTGGCGGCTACGAGGCTACGGAGTGGGAGTCCCCTTGAATATGCTTGAGAACGAAGCAACACAAAATGAATGGGAGTTGCTGAAAAAATTCTAAGTCCAAACCAACCACCCTGTTGGCGGCTACGCGGTCACGAAGTGGGAGTGCAATGGAGCATGACGCATAGTACATACAAGTAGCGCTGAGAATGTTTATTGAGGTCAATCAGCCGTGACCTCGTAGCCGGCTAGGAGGTGGATAGATCGAGTGGCGGGGTATTCTGCAATTGTGCCAAAAGAAGAATATTCTTATTTATTTGGGGATTGGAAAAAAAAACCTTAAAATTGTGGCGGGGTTCAGGATTCGAACTCGGGACATCCCACTCACTAAAGCTATTGCTTAACCACTGCACCGACTGTGCTACACAACTTTGGTGGGAATTTAATACATGTTATAATTCAGCCCTATCTTAAAGAGTACAGCGCCCTCTGTTGATATGGATTGCCGCCGGCAAACCTTTAGTAAACGTTAGTTTGCCGGCGTTACCTCCGGCAAAATATACACTACCTTATTAAAATCATTTTTGCAATGAATGACCTTCATCAAAATTAATAGTCCCACTGACTGGGGCACTAGAACTCCTTTTTTGACATTTGGGATGTTGGTCTGTCGTACTAGCGTCCCACAACGGAAATATTGTCAAAGTGACAATTTCAAAGTTCACCACAAAAATCACGCAAAATACTTGACAAAAATACCTTTGAAAGCACCTACTGGCATTTCCACAAAGACGAAGTAATGGGGCTTCAATGATACTCACAAATATTTTTTGGGTTGAAAATCGGTGAAATTCAACCACTATTGAACAGACATCATACAGCGATCATTCAAAAACGTTGGCTTTTATCTTTTCAACGCATTGAATATGGTAGTATAGACGTACATCATGTACACATACAAACACGTACGTGAATCAGGGGCTGGGACACGACCGCGCAAGGAGTTCTAGTGCCCCAGTTAGTGGGACTACTTCATCATCATGTTCATTGAGATGATATAGCCTACATGTAGGCCTACATGTATAAAAAAAAAAAGTCAATGAAAGTGGCGTCAGGTTGCAACATTTTTTCCGGTGAATTTAGCGATCTAAAATAAATCAAGTGTGATTTTTTTGTTTGTAAACCATAAATATCTGCATGTCTAGCTGGAGTTACCCAGCCCTAAATTTTATCATTGGGTTGTCATTTAGGGCTGGAGGAAGTTGTTCACCAAAACCAGCAGCATTGGCAGGTCCAAAAAAAATTTCAAAAATTTGCAATTTTGTCCCAGTTACACACTAACTTCAACTGGAATTCACCCAAACCTTGCCTGGAATAACCACTTCACAGGCCCTTGAAGTAAAAAACGATCCACGATGAAGATTCAGCCGACAATTGCAGTGAAAAAAAGATGGCATAACCGACAACCGTGCGGTCATGATGATGCCCGCAGTTTGTTTGTGCACAAACAAAGTGCTGTCGATTACCATGCACAACACAGCGAACCGAACCACCAGCCACGCTTGCCAACTGTACGGCGCGGCATGGCGCTGAAGCGCGCACCTGACGACTGTTTGATGCACTACTGCTGCACTAACTATGAGGCTTCACTCGCATCACGGCAGAGGTAGAACGGCAGCCGAAGTTGGCCGACAAACAGTCGTCGGGTGCGCGCTTCAGCGCCATGCCGCGCCGCGCCGTGCAGTTGGCAAGTGTGGCTGGTGGTTCGCTGTGTTGTGCATATCGATCGTTCGACGTTCAGACGTTACGGCAGCCATAACGCGATTTTCAACTGCATCTGTTCCCGGACCTAGTAATACTTGCAATGTCAGAATTTTTTTTTGCTGTGTAACCAGACTATCAATCAAATGGCATGGGACTAGGGCCTATATTTCCATTTTAAACCTCCAAAGCCACTGATTAAAAACTAAAAAGAAAATTTAATCTACTAAAGTAATGAGAAAGATTCAATTTAAAAGTAAAGAAAACGTTTTGAAAAAAAAAAAAAAAAAAAAAAGCGCAGTGCAGGGGTCGATGCTAGAACCTTTCACTTAATAGCTGAATGCTTGACTGATCGAGTTCCAAAAAAGCGTTCTGGTTGAATGGGCAGTGGTAAATGAGATTTTAATAATATGTACAGTGTATTAGCAATGGTGTTGTTGCAATGCCATAATGATAGCAGTTGAAAATTGATCGCATTACAGCTGCCATAACGATAGCCACTACATGTACCTCCTTTGTTAGCTTTGCATTTTTTTGTTTATAGTATGCATTCCAGATATTTGTACTCATTGTTATTCGCCTATCCCATTTTCCAGCTCAGAAGACAGAGAATAAATCCAAGAAATCCAAGAGCAATCAGCAGGGCAAGCGTCAACAGAAGCAGCCAGGAAAGAGAGCCAACCAGACTACGTTTAGCCATGCCTACCTGGCCTCAACACTCAAGGAGCATAGTAGCAACGTACTAGACATTGATTTCAGTATCAATGGCAAATATCTGGCATCTTGTGCTGAAGGTAAAGCCGTATTACTTCAGTTGATGATGTTAAAATTCTCAAGCATGTCAAAAGCACAAATTTACATGTGCATTCCAAATGCACAAAAACTGTAGTAAATTGTGAGCATACTGAATTCAATATTGGCTTTTCAGATACCAGTTGTATCTCCATATTACCATGATTACATTGTGGCTGTCAAAAGGACCCCATTTGCCAGTATTGAGTATTTTACAATGTAGTTTTACCCAAATATTATACCAAGCAAGGGCGGATCCAGGGGGGGGGGGGCCATGGCCCCCCCCCCCCCCCAAAATGAAACCATTTTTTTTGTTTTATGTGACATCGCAATAAAGGCAGGCAATGAGTACACCACCATCTTTTCCTCAAAAAAACATTGGTTAAAGTGGTCAGAAATTGCCTCAGATCGCACCACAGAGCATCTAGAATCCAAAAAAATTTCGGGGTTCTTAAGCGGGCCCCGAACCCCACGCCGTAATTTTTTGGGCCCACTTTTTTGGGGAACCAAACTTTTTTTTGGCCCCCCCCAAAAATTGTGTTCTGGATCCGCCCTTGATACCAAGTGTCCTGTTAAGGTATTGCAACTACTCAAGCTATTCAGCCATTGAATGTTTCCATGTTCCAGAAAAACAGTGTGTTTCATCAGCAAGAGTGGATCATAAGAAATGTATTGAGTCATAATTTGTCTACGTCCTGTAATAGTCTGAAAATTTGGGACTCTCTTTACTGTGTATACATGAAAGTCCCAAAAGTTATTACCGGTAGGTATTGAAAAGATGCAATACAAGACAATAGACTGACACCTGAAACAACCAGTCCAACACCGCTTCAGTACTGCATCAGTCAACTGTGCCAAACGAAACATATGGCATGTTTGGAACTAGTCTCTATTTCTACACATTTCTCCTTAGTCAGCCACCAGACTAATGACAGAGAATGAAGAGGTTTGTCTTTTCAAACAGTTGGGCCTTGGTTGGACATGTACAAGTCTAGTCTTTAGCCTCATTTTGGAGTCACTTTACTTAACTCTCATGTGTAAAATATTGAAGAAGTGTCTCCTATAAAAATTGAATTGAGTCTTTAAACTTGGTTGGTGAAATACTGAGGACCTTTTCTTTGCCCGATATAAAAATTTTGGAGAAATCTGCTGGCTATTGAGTGAGTAAAGTTTGGTCTGATGTAGTTTTGGGGTCTGGTCCTTCAAATAACGTAGCCATTTTCAACGAATGCCGGGAACTAAGTTCATAATTTCATTGAATTTTGTATTTGAATGTGGAAACATTGACCTGTGATTCCATGGTTGTAAGCTAGTCCATATTTTGGGACTCTCCATACTGTGTATGAGAGTCCCAACACTTAAGGTATTGAAAAAAATGCAATACAAGAAATAGACTAGCACCTGAAATGACATGTCCAACTCCCCTTCAGTACTGCGTCAATCAACTGTAACAAAAGAAACATTTGGCATGTCTCTGTATCTACACGTTTCTCCATAGTCAGTCACCAGGCTAATAAAGAGGTCAATCTTTTCAAACAGTGGGACCATGGTTGGAAACGTACCTTTGGTCTAGTCTTTGGCCTCCAATTGATATCACTTGACATCCCTCTCAGGGGCAAAATATTAAAGAAAAGTCTCTTCTAATAAAATTGAATTGAGACTTCAACTTGGTTGAGCAAATACTGAGGAACATGTCTTTGCCTCATGAAAAATTTGGAGTTAAAGAGGTTGTGGAATGCTCGAAGACATTTCCGTCATTTTTCGGGTATATGTAGCCTAAGGTGTTGGTGAAAAACAGCTGTCAAAAGTACCTTTTGTACTCGCTTCATGACAGACACAATAGTCGTTTTTATTTCATCACACCTTAGGCTACATATACCCGAAAAATGACGGAAATGTCTTCGAGCATTCCACAACCTCTTTAATTTAGCTATTAAAAAGAGTGAGTAGAGTTGGCCTGATTTTGTTTTGCATGTTTTTTCAGCACTCAAGGTCTCAGTCTGGTTGTAAGCATAAGGGCTGAATGATTGAGAGCTGGTGAAGGGTTAATAACATTCACAGTGTTTCTCTTTTCTTGATTAATCCCTCAGATCGGACGGTTCGTGTGTGGAGTGTGAAGGAATTCAGAGAAAGGGAACACAAGTAAGAAATACATGTAAATGGCTAAACTGCATTAGCTGTGATTGGTACAAATGTATGAATTTGTCAAAGCAAAGGCTGTAAGTGAAATCAATGCAACAAGCCCGTGCTTGATTTCAGATTAACTGGTCAGGAAAATTTTGTATCAGTCTGCTTAAAGGTACGGTCAATCATTTGTAATTCGTGCATTTTGTTCCTTTGAAGCAACAAAAGTGCTCAAAATCTAAAGAAGGGTGCTGAACAGCTAACCTGATGAAGTTCCAGCTCAGCTTCAGCTGTGTTTTCAAGAAAAACAACATTCTAGGATCTCGATTTCAAATCAAAAGTTGCTGACTCATGTATTGAATTGGGCCTGAATTCAGTGTCCGAGACACGTTTTCACTGAGCCGATTGCAGCTGTGCGATGTCGCAACCACCGTTTTAAAGTTCCGTCCACGGATTAAAAAAAAGTGAGCGTTCTTTCAGCAAAACGAAAACGATTCACACACATCCCTATGTGATTTGTTTTCGTTTTGCCGAAAGAACACTGAACTTTTTTGTGATCCGTGGACAGAACCTTAAAATGGTGGTTGTGTTTAAAATTCCGTAACTTGACAAGTGCATGAGTGGTTTAAGTGATTCTTGTACTAAAAGAAAGCTTATGAATGGGGCTTTCATATCCTAGATTTTGAAAGTTTTTGACTCACCCTGTATATGATGCAATTTATATGTAATGCAATGTACATGAAGTAAACTGTCATTTTTATAGACTGGACACGTGGCCATTCTAAACCAATGAAATTATAGTATCCAAGACTCGATATACATGTACATGTAACATTAAAAATTAATGACTTCAAATTGTTCAAAACATTTTAATTTGCTTTGATTTGAATCTTCATATCCATTTTTACTTTCTTCTGCAGGTGTTTACGAGGGAATGTGGAGTATGATCATGCAACAAAGATCAAATTCAGTCCAGATTGCAAGTAAGTTATTGTGTTGGCCCTCAGCAAATTTCACAGATATGATGTTCTTCCTGCTTTTTTTTGCATTTCTTATCTTTGATTTTTTAAAATTATTTGAACAGGGCCTTCATCACCAGCCTGTGCACAGGGAACAACATCCGAGTCTTCAAGCTGGCTAAGAAGGAAGATGGAACATCAAGTACCATTACTGCTTCCCTGGACTTTCCTAAGGTGAGATAAATCAAAGGTTTCAAACCAATTATATCACATCTACAGGGTGAAAATTCAGTCATACATCAGACATTTTTTCTCTGTTTACAATGTACAGATATTTTTGCAATATTTGTGCATTCTGTTTGCATATGGCAGCTCAAAATTGATTGTGTGTGTTCATTTGTGTCCAAGCCATAACCACCACAACCCTTCAAAACCCAACTTCATGTTTTGTTGGATTCTGTTGGAGTGAGTACTGCACTAGAAAACTGATTATGCTTTACATGGGGTCAGGCATACCACCATAATCAGAGTCAGACAGTTTGGGTGTTGAGTTACTATATGGTGTTGGATTTTGAGTGGGAAAGGTTCCTAGTAAATCCCTCAAGGGGTTAGGGTTAATGCATTTCATATTACCCTCTGTTTGTCAAAGCTAAATCTAGTCTAGGGGCTAGATGTTGTTATGGTTTGATAAGAGATAACCCGCTGCCGTGAGAGGGCGCTATCACTACCAACCAATATCACCCACGAACCTGTCAGAACAACGTCTATGGAAATTCATAAAATCTCCCCCCACCAAATGGGGGAAACTATTGCGCATGTGCTACTTCTGCAGGCAATTACGGTCCATTTTCAGTCCCACGCACACTACACACCTCAAAAGAGCTGACCAGTGAAGTTGGACTAAAGTCTTGCTGGAACCTTTATACTACCAGCAGAAATTTAAGAGTTTTGTACGGAACTACAATGAAAAGTTTTGAATTGCGCACTGCACATATTAGGCCAAACAGGTGCACGCGCATTACACAACCGATACAAATTTCCCTAGACGTTGTTCCTGACAGGTTCGTGGGTGATATTGGTTGGTCGTGATAGCGCCCTCTCGCAGCAGCGGGTTTTTGCTTATCAAACCGTAACAACGTTTAGCCCCTAGACTAAGCTAAATCAGGCCAAGTTTTAGGGGGTAGAACTGAGATCCGAAATGTAATTTAAAGTCAATTCTTTTTTTCAAAACCACAAAATCATGTTCTAAATGTACTTTATTCATTACTTGAAATGATTTGTCTCGTCCCCCTACAAAAAGAAAAGAAAAGGCTAGGAGTTTATTTTGCTAAACAGGATTTTGGGGAGGACCACCATCAGCATTTCAACGTAGTGAAATGATGCCAGGCATCTTGTTTGCTGAGGAGTATGTTTCTGTGCTGTTATCCCATGTGGACCTAATTTCCTAGTGTACCTAGAAGCAATTGAATGTACCGTATTCTAACACAACGTTCATCCATTCCATGACAACTATAACCAGTAAATACAGCACATAAACATCAGAGGCATCATTTACTTTAGTGACATCAATAGAAAAGTCCATGTACATGTATGGCTTTACGATCGAGGACAGACACACAAAGGGAGAACAAAAGATCCTTTCAGTCCTCGAGCGTTGGGTCTTTTGTTGAAAACGGTCCTCGATCATAAGGTTATGTGCTTAGTCTATGGGAGAGTGTTATATTACAGGGACAAAGGGAAACACAGCGTACCGGTATACACATTCACTACTGTGTGTCCATGAAAGTGTTAGCACATAGATACTCAAACTTTGCACAATTTGTCTTTAGTTTGTACAATTTGTCTCCTAACTGTTTGTCTCCTGAAAGCAACAAGTAAAGTTTGCCCCTGTCTCTTTTGTTAAATATAAACATCAATTTGTAAGAAGTCCGAATATGTTTTTTGGCATTCCTCAGTAACAACCAATCTTAAGTTATGTTTTACTTGTAAGAGTGTAGCATGCACTAAAAAAAGTCTGTTATAGATCCTTATGGATCCATCATTTTTATATTAATAAGAAAAGAGGCGTGCTTTGGGTTAAAACTTTCATGGAAATAATGGCTATTCAAGTCCTTTATTTGGGTCATTGTCTTGTGTTGACAAAAACATGGTTGAGGGAAGATTTATCCTTGTTGCTTTTTTCCTACTAGAAACACACATCAGATATCATCAACATTGGTCTTGGGTCTCATGCCCATGGTAGCTTCGTCATGACAGCCTATAAGGACACCACCATCCATATTTGGGATGTGAAAGGTAAAACAGGAGTTTCTGCTCTGTAAACTAAACTGACAAGCACAATGAGCCATTTGCGAGTTAAATTTGAATGAAATCTGGAATGCTGACTTAATCCAATGGTTTGTACATTTTAACTTTGCATTTTCCCGACCAAAGAGACTGTTACCATATCACGTGATTCGGGGCAAGCCTTACTCTAGCCTTACCTTCAGCTCCGGCATGGTCTGGGCTCAATTTCACGGTGCTGCTAAGCACAAAAATTTGCTTAGCGCAAAAAAGTCTGGCTTATAAAAGCAGGTTACCAGTCAAAACTCCATGCGATTTTAATGCTAAGGAAACAACAGCTGAATATTAATCACGAGCAATATACATTTGTACATCACATGGAGTTTTGGCTGGTACAGTCGAATCTCGTTTATAGTACAAACTCTGTTAATACAAAATTCCGGTTATAACAAACATAAAGCCTTAGTCCCGACTGTGCATTTATGTGCACAATGAATGGGACTGATGTTCCTCTTAAAACAAAATTCTGATATAACAAACAATTTGGCTAGGTCCTAACGAGTTTGTATTAACGAGACTCGACTGTAACCTGCTTTTATAAGCAATACTCTTTTTTGTGCTAAGCACATTTTTGTGATTAGCAGCGCCATGAAATTGGCCCCTGGTGTCTTTGTGCCATTCTCACCCATTGTGAATAATGTATTGATGCTGAGCGTTTCTTACATAACTATGCAAGAGCTTGCCCTGAATCGTTATGTAGCAACAATGTCTTTGGTCAGGAGAATTCAAAGTTAAAGTATTCTGAGCAAGTCAGCAAACCAGCTGAATACCAAAGGGTATAGGTCACTCGCACATGACTTATGACAAGACATTATGGAGGTAGTGCGATTCTGAGGCACTTGTTACATGCATGTTGGAAAGAGGTATACTCAAGGAGCATTAGTGCACGCAAACAACCTGCATGCAAGTGAGGTGCCACATATTGTCTTCTGACTGTCGTTGCCAGATTTATAGTCACTGGATTCAAGCAAAATAAGTTGTCCCGGCACTTTTGTGTTATTGTTGTTTAACAAAATATCTGTGCTTTTGAAAATTTTCAGAAAAAATCACATAAGGTAGCATTTGGATACATCGCCTAATGTTCTGCATTGTATAAGTTCATGCCAAATAAGATGAATACTGTACACATTTCTAGGTTGTCAGTGATGCTCATGTTTTCTATTTTCAGGTGATATTTTGCAAACCATTGACACACATCATATGAGTAACAACTATGCGGCAGTGTCTCCCTGTGGTCGCTTTGTTGCTTCATGTGGTAAGTCCAACTTCCAATCTTCCCATCTGAATGTTCTGTTTTTTATTTTCACAGTAATCCGCAACCCTATGGACACTACATACAATGTATCACCACACTTTTTTCCCTGCAATTCGCTCTTTTCACACTTCCGCCATGGGCATGCAGAGCCTCGATCTGGCAACTTTACACGATGGATATAGCCGGTTCAGTGATTCCCGTGTCGGGGTTCAGATCACTGAACCGGCTATTTTTATTGTGTAAACTTTCCAGATCAAGGCTCTGCATGCCCAATGGCGGAGTGTGAAAAGAGCGAATGACCTGGCTTGCATTCCACTTGATTTCCCTATGCCTATCCACATTAGCCTATGATTTCCCATATGCGCAAAAGATAGCAAACTCTGGGAATGTTTGCACAAGTGCAACAAACCCCTACTTATACCCCTAATGTAAGCATATGCAAACCATATTACACCACAAATGATTTAAAGGCAAGAACCCTGAATCCACATTATAACAGAAGTTGTGGCCAGGTCTTGCATGTGGTATATTATTTGTTGTTATACCTCTGTCTTGAATACTGTATTTTCATTAGAACGTAGAACGATCACGTGTTAAGTTTATAAAAAGTCATGGCACACTCCCTGTGGGATATCACGTATTAAGACTTTGTATGTACAGTGTAAAACTGCTTGTATCGTTGGTACCCACGCTATTTTCACCATTTTTTCACACATGAGTGGGAGCAGCTTCGCCTCGGGTGCTATGCACCCCTTGGGTGTTCACAATGTCATATCTAGGTTTGGGCGGTTTCAATCTTTCTGGAGCCAGTTCCGGTTCTCAAAAAAGAACCGGTTCTGAGTCGGAACCGGCTCCCGAAAATTCAATGAAAAACATAAGCTCTTGAAATTACATGTAAAGAATAACGGTTTCACCTTGTGAGGTCCGTGTTCCGTGGATTTCGATGTGGAGTACATGAATATTCCACAACGTATTTGGTCTCAAATCATGAACTTTTCCTTTGGAAATATTTTTGAAAGCAAGCTTAGCGTTTATTACGTATTCTCTGTTCCTTGCCTATGATTTTATTTACCGCGACGACTGCCATGCCGCCGAGAATAGAATGATTCACTTCGTACACTGTACACACGTACACTGGTACCCTGCTTTCAGTGTACATTGCACAACTACATGTACTGTAGTGTGGAACCGGTCGAGTGCTGGAATCGGCTCTGATGGACCCGGGTAAAAAATACATAGGCCTATACAGGCACGCGGTACCCGGGTACGAGTCCGCAGAGCCGATTCCCGCGGCACTCAGAGCCGGGTCCCGGGGCACTCAGAGCCGGGTCGATCAGAGCCGATTCCAGAGCATAAAAATGGGACTCCTGTGAAAATCAGACTCCTTGTTCATTTTATTGGTTAAACCCTCTCACGTGATCGGTCTTTTTCCTAATTATCTATGCATGACATGTGCATTCCCTCCTTTGAGTCCGTATTTCATAAAACCTAAAACACTTCACCGCTTGTCCAAGTAACACCGAGCGGTCTGGCCACGCCCCGTGCACGTTTATTATCCATCGTACAGGGCCAGTATTGGGTTCAATGCTGTATATGCACGCCTCGTGGCCGACCGCAAACTCAAAAAGGGCTTTGTTGAGCTGTTTGTCTCCGACCCGTGAAATATTGTTTTGACTAGCCAGCCCGAGTGAATGTCCCGGGCCGGGCCGCCACGATTGATTTCCTGTGGAGCCGATTCTCGGCTTTGGATTTTGTGCATAGAAAGTAGGTAATTTAATCTGGAACTGATTCTTTTGGGCTCGAAACCGACGATAGCGGGTACCTGGTTCTTGAAAATATTGGACTCCCGGTTACGGTTCCCATATTGGAACTGATTAGAACCGGGGAACCGCTGGAACCGCGCAAGCCTAGTCATATCCCACATCACAGCAGTCAATAATTGTTTAATATCATAGTGAAAGCAATGCATGATACTGAAGTATGGTGGTTGCAGTGTTCCAGTGTAACATTATAGTTCTCATGACAGAGCGGTATAAGGCCACAGTGCACTTCTTGGTCAGTAACCTTGAAACTGCAAGGATTAGTTTTCAAGGTGATAAGTCTTGTCACTCCTTAAAGAGTGAACTTGGACAATCTGATGTTCTTTATTTACTTGTCATTTCCCAGGTTTTACTCCGGATGTGAAAGTTTGGGAAGTTGTCTTTGACAAGGAGGGGAACTTCTCCGATGTAAAGCGGGTCATGGATCTGAAAGGTCACAGGGCCAGCGTTTACTACTTCTCATTCAATGTAGACTCAACAAGGTAGATGGGAAATTCTTAACTTACCAGACATTATTATCTAGACTGAGAGTGATTTGCATGACTTGAATGGTCAACTTTTCCATTTTACACTGTGACGTGACACAGACTCTATCACTAGGCTTGAGAATCAACTTACATGTGATGCGCAAAACACATGTTAAAATATTCAAAAGATGGAATTTTGCGTCGGGGTGATATAAATCAAATTAGGTTTTGCCCTTTGCCAACGTATAAACACTGTATACTCAGTGTGTTGCCTCCCGAGTATTTTTCCAACTTTCACTCGGGAGGTAACACACTGAGTATACAGTGTTTATATGTTGGTGAAGGGCAAAACCTAATTTGATTTACATGTTAAAATAATCTACCTGACAGTCGGGTTTCGTTAAAAAAGACGATTAAAAACCTTTGTGAATATGCCAGGCGCAGATCCATAGGGTAAAACCCCACCCAGCTCTGGCGCAACATTTTTTTCATAGAAATACATTAAAAATAATGTGAAACCCCCCCTCCTGCTCTGACACCCAAAAACAATTATTACAATTATACTGGTAATACTATCTGCCTGTGCACAGAATTAGGTCAGAGCCAGCTGGGTTATGGGGGTATATCTATAATATTCTGTAATATAGTGTTGACGATCGGCAGATTTTAACACTGCCCACATTGAAGTATGGTGAACGCCCCCCCCCCCCCCCCCCCATTGACTTTACGGAGGCCAAGTGTCCAGAGAAAAAACACATTGATTTGCTGATGAACCCCCCCCCCCTGCAAAAAATTCATGGATCCGCCCCTGTATGCTTGTCCTTTTTGTTACCTGTCTTTGGATTTATTTGGCCAGTCCATCATCACAGAGATTTGATAATTTTGTATCCTACTCAGGATGGCAACTGTTTCCAAGGATACGACATGGAAGCTGTGGGATACAAATGGTAAGCAAGCATGCCAGTCTTACCAGTACAAATCCTGGTATAAAAACAACGCAGATCATTGTGTTGAGTTGAGATTCCTCATCTTCTGGTTCCAAGCACTTTGACCAGTGAGTCTGTTGCAATTGACAACTCTTATCATTTATTATTTTATTTGATCTGGCAAATCATTACTTAAATAATGAGGTATTGTGTTAGGATATAACGCCTTTAGTAAGTTCCAAAGTACAGAGGTTTAGGTTTGTTAATTACTCATATGGAGAATCTTTAATACTCGTCATTTGGTTCCAAGCATTGTGACCAGTGAGTCTAATGCAATTGACAACTCTGATCATTTATTATTTTATTTGATCTGGCATATGATTACTTAAATAATGAGGAATTGTGTTAGGATATAACACCCATAGTAAGTTCCAAAGTACAGAGGTTTAGGATTTTTAATTATTTATATGGAGAATCTTTAAGACTTAAGAATACAGTCGAACCCTGATAAGAAGAGCACTGTTATTACAAGGTACTGCTTATAACAAGCAACATTTTAGGTCCCAAGTCTTTGTTTTTCTCTGTTTACCATTATTGTTAAAGCTATAGTCCATCATTTGTAATTTGGGCATTTTGTTTGTTTGAAGCAACAAAAGTGCTCAAAATCTAAAGAAGGGTGCTGAACAACTAACCTGATAAAGTTTCAAAAAACAACATTCTAGGATCTCGATTTCAAAGCAAAAGTTGCTGAATCATGTTTTGAATTGGGCATGAATTCAGCGTCCGAGACACGTTCTCACTAGCCGAATGTACGCGATGTTGCGCACTGATCCGATGAATTATAGCAACCACGTGCGCGTGTGCGTCGTGTCAACGCTTGCACCCGCTTCGCCGAATTAAAAAAACGAACTACTAACGGAAATTTCCAACGGTGCTTTTTAGGACGCACCGTTGGAAAGGCCTCCTTTCGTTGATTTCTTCAAAATGATAGCTTGCCAGAAAAAATAATTTCACAGGGAGTTAGTCTTCTTACTATCTTTCAACCAAGTATGTTTTCAACAATAATTACGCCAGTTACTTTTGGGATAGCTGCAAATGATGGACTCCGGCTTTAATACAAGGTACCTGTTATAACAAGGTAATTCGTAAAGTCCCAATTAAGGACCTTGTATAAAGGTGTTCGACTGTATTCCAAATTCATTGTTAAGCATACCTCAAGATTATAAACAAAGATATACTAGCTTCCAACATACATGAAATATGGCTGAATTTACAGCTTATAGTTGGCAGACCAGAAGTACAGTATTCTGACGATTGTTATCCTGTTGAAATAATGGTTCTCGTCCAACTATTTGTGTTCCTTCTGACTACAACAGTTGAGTACAACAAGAACCAGGATCCATACCTGCTATTGACTGGAAACTATGACCACACAGGACCAAGCATGTTAGCCTTGTCCCCAGATGCCCACTCTCTAGCTATTGCAGCAGGGTCTAAGATATGGGTTTTTGATTCTGCCACTGGGGAGGAGAAAGAGACCTTCGAAGATGTGCACACACGTAAGCATGAGATCAAATGGGATATTGCTTTGACTTCAGTTTTATCTTTAGCTTCATTTTAATTTCTGACTTCAGACTTATTTTGAAGCTTTTGATGTCCCATCGAATGGAAATACTCTCAACTTTGGAGCAATTGATCGATATTCAGCTAGATTGGCCAAAGTCAGAAGCCTAAAATCTTCTGAACCAAAAGTGAGACAAAGCCATAGAGCTATATTAAATTACTAGAGCGCTAATTCCTCATTCTTGCCCGCGGAGACGCTTTGAAGCCGCTCTGGGCGCAGACATTTTTACTTTATGTGCGTGTTTGTAGAACATAATGAAATTAGATGGATTGAATTTTGAAAGTGTACTCTACATGCAACGCGCAAGTAGAACACACGCAATCAACTTAAGCGCGTCATGACAGTTAAAAAAAATGTCACAGCAAAAAGCATCTGCAACGAAATACGCGCACACGTTGCGCTGTTTGCGTAGAGCACTGAATGACACGCTCATTTGCTGATCGTGCGTTTCGGTTTTGGGCGTATTGGCTTCGATAACGCACCCGTCTGGAATACAAATGCAGATATGCAAATACATGTAGACGTACAAAATACGTACAAAATGTGTAGTTTTCCATAGGTTTGTGTACAAACATGGATGCGCCCATCAGGCATCTCTTTGTACATCGAGTTAGCGCTCTAGTAAAAGAATGCCAAACTGTGTTCAGTCAGTTAGTGCAGTATTATAAAAAGGACAAAGGCTCTCAGAAAGAATGGTCAGATACCCCAACAGCGCACCCATCCTTCAGTATCTACTTGACATGAATGCAACCAAGATGCAGTAATATACAAATAGTGACTGCTTTATCTTGTGGTGAAGTAAAACTAGCCTCCCTCGGTAATCCATGAAGCACTCTAGTTTTCCCGAGATGAAGCCGAGGGAAAATAGAATGCTCCATGGATCACAGAGGGAGGCTAGTTTTACTACACCACGAGATAAAGCGGTCAATATTTGTTTTATAACACCTCTTCCACAGATTCTGCTTGATTTTAAGGGATAACTGATCAATGTAATCTAAATACAATTAAAATGTACTTTTATTTGAGTACGAAATTAGTTGAACATTTACTTGCACTTTTCCAAACTACCCCTTCATGAAATGTTTGAACCCTGCTCTGTAGCGCAAGTGCTTGGGAGCAATACGCACAAAATTATAAAACAACGCGCACACTCGTATGCATTTGCACACAATGCCGGTTGTTAATGTTATGCGTATAGTACTTTGGTTGCTACAGGTATAGTACTTTTGGCCATGCACAGCAAGAGTGCAAAAATAGCGAATGCCATGTGACTCCCTCTCGGCCAATCAAGATACAGAATCTGTGGGTGAGGTGTTATAACAGGAATTAGTGACTGCCTGTGAAAATATCTCACAGTTATATAGAATCTAATAGTAAATAGCCTTTCCCTTCAGAGGCATCACTTTTCAGTACTTGTCAAAATCTTGAACAATAAATTGTTTGTCATAGACAAAGACTTAAGCAGCTATTTTGATAACATTTTCAGTTTGCTTGTGTTGCAAATAAAAGCCTGTGTATCAAAAAACAAATTTGATTTTTGCCACTTCAGAACCGATCACCAAAATTGGCTTTGATTCAAGCAACAAGTTCCTGGTATCCTGCGGTGACCGTCATATCAGAGTGTTCCACAATGTGGTTGGTTACCGATCAAATATTGCCAGCATGGAAAAGAAGATCAAGTCGTCGACGACAAATAAGTCTCAGAAGGAAAGACTAGAGAGCCAGATAGCACAGATGAGGTGAGTGGTTAACTTTGCAGACCAGGGGTCAATTTCACGAAGCAATACGATCCATCATATCGTGGAGAGATAATCCATTGAACAATGACTCTTGATGATTTTAAGAAACTTAATTAGATGAGTTTCAATCATTGTAAGTTCCATCATGGCAACAATGTGCAACTCATTGAACATGTAAGTTATGATAAGTCTTTAATCATAATAACATAAGATGTGTCTTTTCAGCACGCCTTTCGAGACATTATCAATAAAATTAGCCCAAAATCTGTAAATAAATTCACGAACTAAAGATACATAAAGAGAATGGTTAATTAGTTAAAGAATGTTTGCAGAAAATAGGTGACATAAAAGGTATCAACTTTTTCGGGGACAAAATACTATTTGAAAATGTGAAAATTGTTTATACAGTGGAACGCTGCTATAACGAACATTGCGGGATCCACAGAAATTGTTTGTAATAGCGATTGTTCGGTATAGCGATTTTAAGCTGCTGGTGCTCCGGTACTCACTTTCAACAAATAGCACCCTTCAGAACTTCACCCTGCACGCCCTAGTAGTTACTGAAAGATGACTTTGAACATACATGCAACTACAGGGTGAGTAAAAAAAAAACCGAAACCCAGATGTTGAAACCATTGTTTGAGGGAAGTTCTGCATGTAGAATTTTCAAAGTCTAGGATAGGAAAGCCCAATTCATAAGCTTTCTTTTAGTATAAGAATCATTCAAATCACTTGTGTACTTTTTAAGTTACGGAATTTTAAACACAACCACCGTTTTAAAGTTCTGTCCACGGATCACAAAAAAGTTCAGTGTTCTTTCAGCAAAATGAAAACAAATCACATAGGGATGTGTGTGAATTGTTTTCGTTTTGCTAAAAGAACGCACATGTGATCCGTGGATAGAACTTTAAAATGGTGGTTGTGTTTAAAATTCCGTAACATGAAAAGTACATGAGTGATTTGAATGATTCTTGTACTCAAAGAAAGCTTATGAATTGGGCTTTCATATCCTAGATTTTTACAGTGCTACATGCAGAGCTTCAATAAAACAATAGTCCCGACATTTGGGTTTCGGGGTTTTTTTACTCACTCTGTATAGCCTACTACCTACAGCAATGGGTGGCTTTCCCCTTCCATTCCTTAGGGAAATAATAGCTACCTGTCACTCTTCTGTTGACATTTTTCAACAACAATGTTCTGTACGTTTTGTACACACAAATCTGTAGCCAAGGACGATGTTCAGTATAGCTGAATGTTCAGTATAGCGGTGTGTGGTATAGCGACATTCCGCTGTACTTTTATCATATCCATGCAAATAATTCATTCTGTCTCTGAATTCTTGTTATTTTTAGGGATTGCTTAGCTGAGGTCCTTGGAGAGAAACCAGAGGGATCAAAAGCATGAAAGCAGTGTGAAGAGGTCGATAGTCCGTTCAATTCAGTGCCTGATTCATTCAACCTGTCAACCTCAGATTGGCAGCCACATTTTGAGCAACAACTCAGTTTACTGTTAATCCATTGCATTGGCTGTGGAATACAAATGACAGTGTTTGGTAATGGAAAGAACCAAAAGGTCTTTTTCTGTCATTATGTCTATATCATTATTAAGTGTTCTACACCAAAATGTCTGGTGTTTTTTTGTCCTAAATTGCTGGGTTTTTTTTATCATAATGACTGACCATCATGTGAAAGTAGGATACTGCATTTTGTTGATTTGTCTTTGGCAAGCAGCAAGTACTATACAGGATCTGTAACTGTACATGGTTTATACATGTATGTCATAATGACCATCTCTACAATGTATGTAATTGATATGTGACTTTATTTCTGCCTCTCTGAGTCTGTCTGTTGGATTTTTGTGTGTTCTGAACTATGAAGGTATAGGCCCCCCAAAAAAGTCTCCGGTTTCTGGTATGGAGTTTGCCCCGAAAGTGGTGCGGCGATGCGTTTTTTTTTCCCCTACTTTTTTTTTCTTCAAATGTCGGCTGATGTTGCAGATGACGCTTCCATCCCCTTAAACTCTCAAAAATATCCTTCAGAGTGGAGCTTCAGGTGACCTCAGTAAGGCCATAAGGCTTGATAATTCTGCACCCACTTACGATCTCGACCGACACGAACATTCTACGGCAATTTTGGATAGTCAAGACACAAATCAGAGAAAACAGTAACGCACAATTACAAAATTTCAACACTGTCTGCAAATGAAGCCTGACTAAATTTAGTACAACATATATGGGAGCCCAGAGAGGCCACATACAGCTTATACTTGATTGTAACCCCATCTAAAAACACGTTAAAATTGTGCAGCAGCAGGATTCCAGTCAAACCAGTGAGTTTGGCGGTTTTGAGACATCATCTTATATTGAAATTTTTTTTTTTTTAACTTGCACGCGCAGACCAGAAATCGGAGCCTTTTTGTTTTTGGCCATAATTATAAGTTGATCATGATTGCTGCATATTGAATGCAAACGTCAGAACAGGAAAGTTGTTCAGTGTAACACACAAAACACACAGAAATTGATAATACTACACATCTTAATCATCTGAGGAAATTGATAATTATACATTTGTGACAAGTTAAGATAGTTCCACTTTATGAATTTAACTTCATAAGGCTCTATTAAAAACTTGCATTTACTTTTCTAAGTTGTCTGTTATTTCAACAAACAGACCTCTAGTCAATTAAAGTACGTACAATATCACTCACAAATTACCCAAATTCATTCTTTTTGAAACAAGATCAGCACACTGTTAAATGACATTATTTTAAAAATTTGTATTTACAATGTCTGAGTGTATGAAGCGATTTTTGTCTCTCTAAAATGATGAACTGCATTTTTTCCTTGTACTCTACAGTGTACAAGGTGTAGTTGCTTAACTTTGTATCACATTCATGTTTTAATAAAATAAAGTAAGACAATTTCAAATAAAATTTGAATAAAATAACAATGTGTGAAACTGAAGGTGAATTGAATTCACATTGTTTTTTCCTGTGAGTCTAATCTCTAGAAGTGGCTTTTAGCTTGCAGCACTCTAAATGTAATGAACAACATAGGTTTTGTTGTATTGTAACATTGCCTAGTCTAAGGCAGATTCAAGATGGTGGGGGTTGGTTTGGGTGGCTACCCCCCCCCCCCCCCCCCCCGAACTGACAAAATGGACTTCCCCCCCCCCCCCCCCAATTTCCTGTAATCCCTCAAGTTACATCATTACTTCATATTGCATATCTCAATTCATTGCTTCAAGACATTTATATGCACCTCCTCCACCTCCACCATGTACTAGTGCACACATATGTGGCACCGCAGCAAGTTTTATTGTCCAGTTAGAAAGGTGAATATTTTTCTATTCCAGCTATCGGAATGTTGACAGATAAAAGAGCACTCGTGTTTTTACTAGTTTTTACTAGGACTACATACTAGTTTTTACACACAATGTTTGCAACCACTGTCCATTAACCCTTGATCAACGAGAGTACTTTTTAGAAAGGATAATGTGTCATTCCATAGTGTAAACACGCATGCAACTTATCCCCAGATTTGCTGATCTCATTCATGAATCATGCCTTCACCAGGCGCGGATCCAGGCGCAGGTGTTGGGGGTCCGGAAAAAAAATTGTCTACATTTCAGCATTGATTTGCTGATAAACCCCTTTCCCCCTTGCAAAAATTGCTTGATCCACCCCTGTTTACAAATTGAAAAACATTGTTGGACAGCCTTTGTAACAGATCAATAACCGATCACCCATGGGCCTCATTCACGAGTTGGCCATTTTTGTTGAGTTCCCTGAATGTATTTCATTTATTTAACTGTTGAATGGGATGTTGCCAGACTGTTTTATGCAGGTACAATGCAGCCTCAATTACTATCACTTTTTTTAAATCTGGCTTTAAACATTAGGGAATGTTTAATTACAAATTTTAAATAATTCATTGAAGCAGACTGGAATGAATTAGAAATGAACTTGGAATGAATTAGAAATGAACTTGGTTTCATTTCTCTTCGCAAGTTCCAAAAATTAAGATTTCACCTCACTTCCAATTCAATATGGCCGACTCGTGAATAATGCCCATACCCATCATTTGATCAACATTATAACCACATAGATGAACGACTGCACCACACAAGAATCTGAGTTGCATATCACCTGTTTATTTCATTAAAGCAAAAGACTCAATTCATTACACAATATCATATGTCTGAAAAACCAGACCAATGCCAAGACTGAATTGGGAAGTTTAGACACAAAGGTGTATCAAAAGCAACAAGCAAATCCATAACACTGAAATACCAGGCATGATTTTGGTTCAAGTTGTGTAGTCAAGATCTCTTGAGACATGATTTCAAAGATAAAATAAGTCCAATAACTAGCCTGCAGATTGTCATTATTTGATGAAGGAATAATGATAGGAGTCGACATTTTTTGGTATAAAATGTGTTCTTCTGAGACATTTCCTTGGTGACTTTCCCGAGACCTTTTCAAAAACTTGTTGATATCATTACCCCAGTTTAAGTTTAAAAATAAAAATAATTATACTTTAACACTTTACCCCAACTGATTGTGTGTTGAAAAGTCTGAATATTAAGAGTCTTTGTTCAGTCAAGTAGTTGCTAAATCTTATGTTACATTATATGAGTGTTTATATGCGGTCTCAAGTAGGTCTTGACTACCATGCTTACAATATTGGGACCACTCCTTTCACTGAATGCCACTATGAGTGCAACATTGCAGTTTTTGAAGTGTGTTTCCTTATACATGTACCTGGAAAATAAGCCACATTGCTAAATGCTTTTCAGACTAACTCCGCAGGCAATACACTCGGTTTCAAAATGTGCATTTTCCTACTTAGTGGTCTAATTTCACAAGCTCATTTGGAGCACAGAGTGTTGATGAGCACACACACAAAAAGTAAAACAATTTTCCAACTAGAATGCATTAAAATAATTTCTCTGAATGCTTTTCAGCTTATTTGGCTTTACAAATTGAATATTCTAAGAAAGTTGCTTGCTTACTGCTAAATTACCCAGAGATGTTTAAATCAACTTCTTATACTACAGAGCATAACACAAAATTGCACAATTGTTCCAATAAGCATGTATGGGTGAAATAAGTTATGTACATGCAGAACGCAATAACTTATACATTCAATGTAGTGAATTACAATGAGCTGGCATCAAATGTCACCTGCTCAGATTTAATTACAGCCAAGACCATTGATTCTGTTGTCATCTTCATTACATCCTAATGAAGAAAGGGGGATTTAGTCATAACCATTGGCAGAGTTGCAGTCGAGCACTTTCCGAGTACCAGCTTAGCTACCAGAGATGATGATGGTTTGGTATGGGAAAAAGCTGCATAGTACAAACACTGGACAGTAAATCCCCACCAAAAGAAATGAAAGACTTTAGACAATCAGAATCTGGTACGAACTAAGCTTTTAGGACAATAGTACATGTATTCGGAAAGTAATCGGCGGGTACTTTTCATTACTTTTAGGGTACAATGTACTTCTGTCCTAAATGCTTTATTAAAAAGTGGTTTTATGTAACCAAAGGCTCAAATTAATTTTGTTCTCTAACACTAACTTTTTTTGCTGTCTACTGTCGATGTTTCTCTCACGTTGTTCACAAGAAACAGCTCAATACTTGGAAAGTACTCGATTACAACTCAGATTATTGGGAGACAACCTGATTTTTGACATTTGAAACAGAAAAATTCCTGCAAAATCTTTTTTTTGGGGAGGGGTGCCAATGAAGCTGAGAGGTTTCTCCTACCCTTGTTTCCATCACAACACCACTCATACTGAGATACCATTTCCTTAATACCTATCAAATGTTTGATTCCCTTAAAATACTTCCAACTTTGAAGTTGAAATCAGTCCTATGTTTAATACTAATAATAGTTGTCATGGCTAGTTAAGTGTCGGTTAAACAAGTTCAAGTGCTTTTACTTTGCCCATCTCAGGGATTATGACAATTCAGAAGCATGACTCAAGTAAATGTTTGGTAAAAAGCTGCAGGCTAAACAATTCCAATTGCAGGATTTGAATTAAAGGAAAATACGTACATTCTGATAAGGCCTAAACCAGAGCTTTTCAGCTTATCATTTGCCCATTTTAAGAGAACACAGTCCTAAGCATCAAACATTTACTACAAAACTTAGTACAATAATTATACCTGGTTACAATCAACATGCACATAGCATGCGTAAGACCTTCTCCTTTGAAATGTATACACATGTAGACCAAGTCATTATATCTGTTAATATCTTTATATTATATTATTTATTTACAGGAAGCAAAAATACAAAAACACAATATACGCACAGCTTTAAATTAAGCAAGTTCTGATGAGCATATAGATTATAAAAACTGGTTAAGATACTGAATCTGTCTTTGTTAGTTTAAACTGCAGACAATATCATGGTGCAATTTACATTTTTGTAGGACTCAATTCCTTCATAACATGGACTTAGGGGGTGTGTAACCACAAACTTGCTGACGGACCACGGTCATCATAACACTACTTGTTCTAATAAGAACACTTAGGACATGTAAGATTTTGGAGGTTATCACATACCTATCTAGCGTCATCACTGGTCATGGTCTTTGAATTGTGCAAATCCTGTGACTTTGGACTTTGAACAGTGGCACACATACGATGGACCAAAAGTCTGAGGCCAACGGGCGGGCCGATGGGCGGGGCCGATGGGCGGGGCCAATAGGAGGGCCAATGGGCGAGACCAAGAGAGCTATCCTGAGGAAGAATGGAAGGTTTCTTCCCTTATGTAAACTGCACCATGATTTGTTACTATTTCTAAAAAGCAGAGGGTTTCCGAATGCCTCGTCTTGCCTGTAAATAAAATTCTAAGCGTCTTTTCATCATTTTTCAAATTAAGTCTTTATTTAATAAATGTATATCCTGAATAAACAGTCTTTGCAATGTGAAACAAAGCTTAGAGTATGTACAATATTGATGTCTGTAACTAGAAGTTTCCAAAACTACAATAAGGTAAAGGACTGGTAAATCACAAAAGGCATAGGCTGAAAGTCATTGCATCACCAAGGCTGACATGCAAGTTTCTGGCTTCAAAAGTACTGATGCAAAAGGAAAATTGAAACGGGTACCTTACAGAAATAAAGTATAATTTATACAGGACCTCCTGACTACAAATAAATCAAACATTGTCTGGAATTTTAAGGGTGCAACAAAACCTCTTTTCATTTGTGTATTAAATTCTGTTTTCAACTCCCAATTTACATATATGCTACAAATTCACCTAGGATACTTTAATAGCAATCTAAGTGACATGCACCTTTTAATTATAATTTCACAATTCCATAATCTACGGATGAAATATCTACAGAACAGAACAGAATCCACTTAAAATGCTCTAAATAAATTACTAATTGCAATTTTGAATTTGATTTTCTCACATGCAAAAGGAATCTCCATAGCTGTATTTTTTAAAATTCATGCAACAATGTCTTGAATTATTTGACCAATCCCTTACCTTCAGGCATGTCAGGCTTAGAACATTTACAAGTTATGATTCAATATTAAGCACAGAAATATTTGCACATTAAAACAAAGCCCTAGGACAATCAGTTGATTTAACAAAAACGTCCTCAGATAGCGTGATGATACCACACAAATGTTTAAAACATTGCATTATGGGAACCATGTCATTCGTGTTCATATGTAGCTCTTTCTTAGCTCATCATGGTTTATCATGATGCCTACCAATGTTAATAGCTTGGTTAGCTCACAATAAACACCGGGCCCAATTTAATGGTTCTGTTAATCACATAATTCTGCACTTACAATCACCATTCTATGCTAACCATGCTAGCAGAGCATTCCGTGCTTATGATCAGCATTCTAAAAATTATGCGCTAACCCTGTAAGCACAGAATCCTTAGTTACGGGATGTATGCATGCGCAGAAGCTGAAATTCCTCGCTACCCCGTGAATTACGCTGACCGTAAGCATGAAAGTTTCTACTACGGTAAGCCGGGATGTTTCGCTGACGGTAAGCAGAGCCATGGAATTGGGCCTATACAGCAAAGACAATGGTGTCTGACATAAGGGTTTAAAGTCTCAAAATGAATGTCTGTATGTGGCCTCAATCTTGTCCGTGGAGTTAAAAAAAAATGAATCATGGTGGACTGAAGAATCTTTCTGTATGTCCACCAGCTGGCCTTCAGAACACAATTTGTAAATACATGTATTGTGATTTTATTTGGTTATCAGGGCAACTGTGCTTCCTTCATTCAGTCAAGCAAGAATTCATATGTAGACATTCATTCAATTTAAACATTCAAATTATTCATGTTATTTTACAGAAGATGGAAAGCCTACATTTTTTTAGACGTGCTCTTTAGCAAGGACGAAATAACGCAATATTAAAAAAAAACTATAATGAAGACAATATTGCCTTGGCAAACTCAACAAATATACACTTTAAGCCAAAAAGCTGTGAAAGACAAAAAAAATAATTTTTTTTTTTTTGGAAAAAAAAATCTGGAAATTTTGATCGTTTATTCAGAACAGCTGACTTCTAAGAGAAACAAATGAGGTAAAAATAAGTTTCTGTGTGTAGGATACTTTTGAAGTAAATTGTCGAGATTCCTACCAAATTATTTCAAAATTTGGTGGAGCATGCATTTGCAGAATGAGTTCATCTTTGCACTGTGTGCATTAGAACCCCGAGCAGTGGTAGAGAGATATGACAGACCACCACTGCTGTCAAGCACATGATACCCACAAATAGGAAAGGCGGTTCCTGCTAATAAGACGCGTGGTGCCCCAGATTCTGGCACGAAAAAAGACCAGTGGAGTGGCAAAGCCACGAGCGCCTTTACCATCTCATGGAGCTAATCATTATTCATTTTTTCATGTGTAATGAATCATGCATGCATGCCGATATATATGAACCAATCACCACCAACAAGCCATTTTTGAGGTGATGACACGCGCGCGCCCTCGGGCGCATGCGCCACACGCGTTCTAAAAAAAACAAGACGCGCACGCATTCACAACATGTCATGCATTATGCATGAAAATTTGTCTACCAAATCGGTAGACAAATGTAAAGAAAAACATAAGCGTTCTCCACGAGATGGTAAAGGCCCTCGCGGCTTCGCCGCTCGTGCTAGTCTTTTTACGTGCCAGCATCCGGGGTGTGTCACGTGTCCGGATAAGCGCGTGGGACTTGACTAAAGGCTAGCTAATAAGCTGCAACCACATACTGGACACACATTATCCTACGGACCTCTATACAGTAATCACACAGCGTCATCTGCTATTCCTGCACACAATCTATAACCCTCTCAATCCATACTGCTGGAATCAAGGATCTTTCCTTTCCAATAACTGATTTTCCTAGGGCCTGTAACACACATCTAGCAGCCTACACCTACCCATCTCCTCTGCTGCTATGACTCTGGGGCTTCCTTGCTGAAATACGGCGCTGACTCATTGACCAGCAGAGTGTGGCAGATATTGCATACTGGCATCTTGCGTTTGCGTGGACCACTCTCCACTGTGTGACTAAGACACTCTGGACAGAAGACTTTACCACAATGCATGCAGTGGTGCTGAAAAAAAAACAACCATGGATACATACAGTCTTTCAAATACACTTTTAAAATCTTGCTAATTATATTAAGGCAATAATTAAAAAGCCCAGACAATTATACTGAAGAAAAGCCTATGCAACTGAAGTCAAATAGTCAAAGGGTAGACTGGGGAGAATAAATAATCCACGAAATCGGCAGAGAGTTTGAGGGTCAGTGAGAATCCCAGATCAATGTGCATGCATAGTCTGTGGTAGTATATGCTTGTATTTGCCTCAAGGCAGAGTTGTAACAAGTCACTGATTTTTGTGACTCGAGTCAAGCCGAGTCATTTGGTCAGGAAGGCCAAGTCGAGTTGAGTCGAGTCAAGTATTTAGCACGAGTCAATTCGAGTCACAAATATTTGAACACTATACAATAAATAAACACCAGAGAAAGTCATTTTTTGGCTTTTTTAAGTTTACATTCGGGCTACTAGTACTACATGTGGCGACACCACATTTGACTCTTAATGAAAATATAAAGGGGGTGCCAGCTGATCGTCATTCAACTAATGGGGACACTGATCAAACCACGTATGTATATACATTATTCACGAACATTCGAACTTGATGTGAACAAAAACTGGCACAGGCGTAAGTCATTGCAACTATTCGCTTTTCGCTTTTATTTTTGGGACTCTAGTCTTATTAGCCTTCCTCGAGTCGAGTCATTCTGATGAGGGAATCGAGTCGAGTCAAGTCATTTGCTCGCAGTGACTCGAGTTGAGTCAAGTCATTTGCCCTCAAGGACTCAAGTCGAATCGAGTCACCAAAAACTGAGACTTGAGTCGGACTCGACTTGAGTCATTGACTCGAGTCATTATAACTCTGCCTCAAGGCATCCCTTACAATACCCATTTCTTTTGTTCTATAAAAACATATATAGGTAAAAACACCTTGAATAAGAAAGCTCAGGAATTCCAGATTTCAAAAGGAATCTTTAAAAATCCTGAAATCGGGAAAAAAATTTGACCAAAAAAATCCCGAGATCAGGAAAAGTCCTGACAAATCTCACCCTGAAAAGTAAAGGGAAACAACTTTGTGTGACTTTGGATAAATGTGATCCGAGGCAACAAGCCACAAAATTAAGGAGGTTCCACCACCATTACCCTTGGGAGAAAACTTGCAAGAAGAATTTGACAAGGTGGCTGTGACCAGTTATATTTCTGGGAATCAGTATGTGCTGCCTCCAACAAACTATTGTGGATGGTCAATCATGATCAACAACAGTGAAAAGGTCAGGAGATATTCACGTCTAAATAATGCTGTATGAGATCAAAGCTGGACAATCATTATTACCACACTGATCCAGGCAAGACCAGGGCCATATCTTGAGAGATTCAACATTGGCTTTTTAACTGCCTTGTTCACTGCTACTTAAGTCATCCATGCTTAAAGGTATAGTCCATCATTTGTAATTTGTGCATTTTGTTCCTTTGTAGCAACAAAAGTGCTCAAAATCTAATGAAGGCTACTGAACAACTAACCTGATGAAGTTTCAGTTCAGCTTCAGCTGTATATTCCGAGAAAAACAGCATTCTAGGATCTCAATTTCAAATCAAAGTTGCTGAATCATGTTTTGAATTGTTTTGAATTGCAGCTATACGCGATGTCGCGCACTGATCCGACGAATTATAGCAACCACGCGCGCCTGTGCGTCGTGCCAATGCTTGCACGCGCTGCGCCCAATAACAAAACGAACTACTAATTTAAATTTTCCTACGGTGCGTCTTAAGACGCACCGTTGGAAAGGCCTTCTTTCGTTGATTACTTCAAAATGATAGCTTGCCAGAAAGATTAATTTCACAGGGAGTTTAGACCACTCACTATCTTTCAACCAAGTATGTTTTTCAACAATAATACGCCAATTACTTTTTGATGGCTGCAAATGATGGACTATAGCTTTAACACACATTTTGAGACCTGTCATGTTGCAACTCTGAATATGCAGCAATGATTTGAGTATTTCCATTTCGTTTAAAGATTTTCAGGAACTGACCTTTTTCTTCTTGGAGCTGAATCCTGCTTTACATCCTTTGCATTGCTCAATATCATCTTCATGTGCCCATCGTACTTCATTGTCTTTCTGTCGTATGTTCTCTAGCTGGACCTGGCCCAAACACAAAGCAACATCAATGCATGATTTCTCCTCTGACATACATTTTATCCCTCGACTGTTACTACCAATAATCCTACAAAAAAAATCCAACGCCTTGGTTTGCATCATTAAACACTAGGCCAAAAAAAAAAGGTCTCCGGTTTCTGGTATGGAGCTTGCCCCGTAAGTGGTGCGGCGACACGGTTTTTTTTTTCCCCTACTTTTTTTCTTCTTCAAATGTCGGCTGATATTGCAGATGACGCTTCGATGTCCTTAAAACTCTCAAAAATATCCTTCAGGATAGAGCTTGAGGTAACCTCAGTAAGGCCATAAGGCTTGAGAATTCTGCACCCACTTACGATCTCAACCGACACCAACATTCTTCGGGAAATTTGGATAGTCAAGACACAAATCAGAGAAAACAGTAACATCAGACCATGCAGCAACATCGACATCGTGCATGTGCTGCCAGGCTGGTTATTAGTCTGCTCCCTTACATAAAGCACTAATTAAAAAGCGTTTACAGGTTCCAGATACATGACCACAGTCAAATGGTGCCCGACTAAATTTAGTGCAAAACATATGGGAGCCCAGAGAGGCCACATAAAGCTTATACTTGATCGTTACCCCATCTTAAACACATTAAAATTGTGCAGCATTAGGATTCCAGTCAAACCAGTGAGTTTGGCAGTTTTGAGACATCATCTTACATTGAAAAAAAACCTCCTTTTTAATTTGGCTACGGCGATGCGCGCACAGACCAGAAACCAGAGACTTTTGACCCTATACAGCTCAGCTCATGTAAGATTGGGGGCTTGATGTCCCAAGTTGTTGAAGTAAAGACAGTGTTCCATTGGGTACTTAGTTTTTCAATGAAGGAAACTTCCACGGAATAATGAACAGAGAATTTGGGTTATAAGTCTATAAACTGACCCAAACTTTCAAATTTTTACCTGTCCGATGAATTGCATGTATTAACCCTTTCATGACCACATTGTTTATTGACTTGGCTCTCCCCAGGACCAAACTGTTTGCTCAGTCATGCGGAAATCACTAGAGCGTGAACAAAATGACCACAAGACCAAAACTTACTTTTTTCAACCCAGATTTTCACTGCCAAGGAGTGATTTAAATCATAGGTGTTGTGTGTAAAGTTTGTTCCTTGAACCTTACTCTTGTATGTGATGTAAAAATGAAGTCCATATGTGTGAATATAAGAAAGTTATGCCTTTTTGTTCATCTGGTCCCAATTATCAAACTGCAAGCCATTTCACCACATGACCAAATGGCACTCCATACCTCAATTTGTGCGTGAATACTTCTGAAGCACTTTTCTCATTTTTTTGTAATGGCAACACTATGAATAAACTACATTAGAACGATCCGAAAACACTCTTTCAGCTGGTATATGGTTGATGTATGGACGGCCAAACATATCAAAATGCCGCCTTTCTGAAAAGTAGTGAATATATCTGTGTTGAGGGTGTTCTGTGTGTGGTTTCCTGGTCGACTAAAGTTGCCCATGGGAACCAGCAGGGGGGTTCTTCTTGTCGACATAAGTCGCACATGGTAAGGAAAGGGTTAACCTGCCTTATTTTGAATTAAAGTAGATGTAATTCAAATGTAACTTCTCTGAAAGTGCATTCGCTTTATACTTGGAACAGACATGTGAATGGAGTCCATTCATGACAAGTACATGTACATGATACTTTGTGAGCGCTTATGAGAGCCAAGTATGCACAATCCACTTCATACTGAATGTGCACAAACATGTACTGGCATCTTCACGTGAGCAGCAGACATACATTGGCATTGTGTTTGAGTCCCTCCTACCTCTCTCTTTGTAACCTATTGAGGGGGTACTTATGCAAAGAGTCTATAGCACCCATAATAAGTCCATCTACTGACCTGCAGCGACTGTGATAACCTGACAAAGTCTCTCTGGACTGCTTCACTGTTATCTAACTCCACTTGTAGAGACTGCAGCTTGTTCTTGCTCTCCCTGGCCTCTGTCTCTAGCTTGCCCTGAAAAGCACATTCAAATACTAATAAATAATAATCAGAAATACCTAAGACCATTTAAGCATTCCTATTGGTCGAGAGCCCGTCACGTGGCCGGTCTTAAACGGATGATAAAGACATGGCTAGCTGGTCTTAAACACTTTTCCAGTGTCACATGAAATTTGGACTCCCATGAAATCAGGTGCCTTTTAACATTTCATTGATTGAACGTTCACATTCCTCTCACGTATGCATGCACAATACTACCAGTGAATAAGTATTTCATGGTCCGAAATTCACACTACACCAGCCCAGCTGCGTTTTGCGCGACATTGCGCAGTACGGGCGACAGCACGCCAATGTCCTTATAAGGTAACGAGTTGTGGAGGGGCATTCCATATTATAGTCAGAGGGGTGTTTCGTAAAACATGAAGTAAAATTGTTGAACAAAATGGTTGACAACGTCAAGTTTTTGGCATGTTTTGATTTTTTGACCGAAAAGGTATTTATGAATGGGAATCTGGATGGGAAATAATTACCCTCGGCTTCGCATCCGAGGGTAATTATAACCCATCCAGACTCAGAGTGCTATAATACCTCCCGAACACACATTTATTCCCTTAATAATAATAATAATAATGTTGATTTTCTGTAAAGCAGTGAGGTGGGGTCCCTGTCTTAGTCAAGACAGGACACATCATGTGCATGCATTAATTCATATTCACCATGGGCAGGCAACGGGAACACCATATTTTTAAGCAATGTGCAATAACCTTGTTCATGCAAATGAGTGAGAGTGGCCACACAGTGTACCTACTTCTGCTAAACCAAACCGCAATCACTCGTAAGCAGCATCAATAATTATTTCGAGTGAAGACTACAATTTACATTAATAATGCGTAACATACGCTCTAAAAACCATCCTTTCAACCACCAAAATCATATTCTAGTGAAACGCTAGAAAATATCCGGAAGCCACTAATTTTAAACTTGCCCACAGGTTTAACACATACAATCTTAGGATGAAGAAAAATCAAAACAAACTCCACCTGTCTTCACCACGACATACAACCCAACCATAACGCACCGTCACTTAAATCGAGCAATAAACAACCACTGGAACATAATCCAAGGCAACAAACTACTGTGCGGAAACATTTCCCGAATCATAATTCGTTGCCTTCAGAAAAGCCGTAAATCATATCCGGGAGTAACTACCCAAACAAAATCAAGAGTTAAACCCACTCCCGACCTACTCCGGCTCTTCCGAAAAACAAACCGAACCCAATTGCTCTCCTCACTAGAGGAACAAGTTGAAACCAACTAAAGTCACATGGTTGTAACCACAACACTTCAAACTTACGATACATGATTGGAATATAACCAATCCCAACCACAACTTTTCCGCGAGTCAGCTTCGATTTTTTTTTGAATCACCTATTTGCAACTGAAGAGTGCCCAACAGCAAGGCACGAAAGCATGCTATTGCTAACAAGAGAATTTGCGAACATAATCCTCTGCTCGCACCTTTAATCACATTTGATTACCCAACCTATCATAGTCACTTAATCTCTTATGTCCGCTCACTCTACATTTCAATCGGACATAACCGGCAAAGACTCAGTCATGCTTACAACCCATACTAAGCCATACAAGTCACCAGAGAAGAAGTGTCACTGAATGGGATAGTGCCATCCCTTTTCCAAACTTCTATGTAATACTCTTTGCCCCACCCCGGGGTATTGTGGGTCGATGGCCATCAAAAACTGCCCGAGAATACCGTCTTGATTAACAAGCGAGGTATCTTCAGGTTGCTTCTATCTCTGTTTTTCAGTACTTCAAGTACATCCACAGACTTGTAACAATCAGTCTGCCACACACGAGACACAATATCTCACCGTTCCACCACATGTACACCCCAATTCGGAAAACCAACAACCATATTTCCGCATACGGAAAACATTATCTATATTTGTTATAACAACAAAAAAACGCTATGCTAGCAGAAGCATAAGCACTTGATAAATGGACATACAAATTATCCGCAGACGGATAAACTATACCCATTTTACACCAAACAACACAAAACAAGACAAAAACCCACAAACTTAACCCCAAAACAAAGGGTTCAAAACAGTATTGGCCTCCCCAAAAAATTATAAATCAATCTCAACATTGAATGGTACAAACAAAATAAACAACCCACATTTGGGAAAGAAAAAGTACCTTCTCCACATAAATATGCATTCGTATTAACAAAATCAAGAAACAAAACAACGAAACACAACGTGTTTTTCCAATACCGCACACGGTAGGAAGATAGTTTCTTACTCAAACAACTACCAAATGAAAGAGATTAACAATGTCTAAAAGCCTACACAAGTTTCAACTATTTTCTGACAAAGAAAATAACCAAAATACGGCTTTTAAAACTAAAAACAAACACACTACTGGCCAGAAATTCCACTACGAATCCAAAACCCTCGCAAGGTTTTCCGCGCCACTGCACCCACACGCCCATTGGACAATACAGTGACCAATCACAACACACATATGGTACCATTCACTACCGCCACGGCTCAATGCGCCATCTCACGCACGCAATACGTGCATACAAACCCTGAGAGAAAACCAACGAACCATCACTTCTCAAGATGTCGAAGCTTAGCAAGTCCAAGACAAGCAAGAAGAGCAAGTCCAGCCAGCCGTCTCCATCACCATCCAGCTCCACTTCATCCGGTATTCCATGCGGACAACAGTCTCCTACCAACATTCCAAGCGACGACGAATCACTCCTTCTATCCTGTTAATTAGACTCTGGCCCGTCTACATCAAAATCCACACCAACCACGGTCTCACACAGATTATCCGAGGAAAAATTGAAACTGGTGAAACTCTTGTCAGAAAACGTCAACACATTGACATCTGCCAAGGGTCACATCACCCGCCAAATACGGCTCCTTTCCCGGTCAATCGAGACTAACACCCCACCACCTTATATCGAGGTTAAACTACGGCCACCACGTCCACACAGATCTCTGAAATATCAGAGTTCATTCCAGGATCGCTGGAGCAATCTCCAGAAGAGAACGTCCTTGCTCTTTACAAGAATTACACTTGAGGAATACCAGCACCAACTACACTACACCGAGGCCCAGCTGACCAACACAAGACGCTCAGCACAAGAACAGCTTGCTACTTTCGAGGGTCAAAATCACATCACCGCTCAGCAGTTGCTGAGTTTCTTCACAAGACCCCATCAACCAACTAGAGGCATCAAAAGAAAACGACAATATTAGTCGGTCTCTTACTACTAAACCAAACGGTCCTATTCAGGACCAACACAACCTCTCAAAAGAGAAATATCCATCATTCTGCCATTAGTATAATAAATAAATTGGAATATAACCCACCCCATCTTACCTTATTCATTATATTCAAACCACAAACCCTTCAACTACCATGGCAAGAAGGAAACTCAACCAAGAAACCAAGAGATCAATAAATAAATCTAACCACTTCTCTCACAAATGCAATCGTAAACCAAACGAGCCAACTCCAATCATTTGCGCTCATTAGCAGAACAAAATATCAATCCTTCATAACCAACCTATCCAAAGCAAAACCATCGCAAACCGAAATATTTGCTTGTTGGACAAGGCCTCAACATCTTACCTACTTCTGCTATTTGGTACGTGTTCATCTCTGCCATTTCTCATTTCCATTTGCTGATGTGTTTACTGTGTGGACAGCACCACCGGTTGACTACTGGTTGATTTGTTTAGATTATTTCACCTCTGTGCAATTATTTTAGTGAAAATGTCTCGAGGTAAAATATTGGTCAGACATCAATTCAAAACTTCCCTGTCCTGGATCTTTGCTGTACATTATGACCAATAATGATATCCAACTAGGCCAGTCCATCTATGGGTGATGAGTGTTGGTTTGAGTGTTGAGCTGATCCATGGTTAACCACAATTTGTGCTCATAGGTTGTGGTACATCAATAGCTTACAACCAATTACCTGCAGTGTTTATTGAGTGAATTTGGTGGCCATCAACCATAGATTGATTGATGCATCCCTAGCTTATCAGTCATTTCTGTCAGTATTTCCTGTGTGAATTCATTACCTTCACTTGTTGCAGTTCCTCCACCTGTGCTTGTAATGCAGCAATGACCTCTCGGGACTTGGTCTCAATATTCTTCTTGGTTTCCTGTAATTCCTGCAATGACTGCTGAGTCTCTTCAAGTAGCTTCTTCTCCTTCTCAAAGTCATCCCTCTGACTCCTCAACAGCACTGTCAGAGTAGAAAACATAATTATGCACAACCAATCATATTTCTTTACATTTATGGAGTTAAGTTAACAAAATCACATCGTTTCTCGATTGAAACTAGGAACATAAATTGGGAGGGCACTTTTTTTTACCACTTTTGAGAGTCCCTTGGATGGGACACACTGTGTTTGCATTCGGGTTCGTACTTACAGCGCGACACATGCCCAACTTATTTTATTCTGAATGCGCACAAACCCATAGCATCTTTGTGTGATGCAATGGGTTTGAATGTCTCTTCGATTGGTCTTTCCAAGCTCTCCCTTTCTTACAGTTGAGGGGGTACTTGTGCACGGTGCCCATAACCACCGATGTAACAATTGCTTAGAATGAAAATCTCACAGTTACTGGAAAAAACACTGTAGTTGCGAGGCACTGATGTTAAACACAGGCTATGTCTGGTGTAAAACCCATTTTTCACCTTTTTTGAGAATGCTACTATTGTAACTGCCCAACTTTGAGAATGTAACAAAATATACTCCTGAAAGTTGACGTATGATTCGGAGCATGGACACAAAACATTGAAAACATTGACAATATACTGTGATAACCCCCCACAAAAAAGACCAAACCTATCTAAAAAATCATCACATAATTTGATTAAAAATATTATTTCCTTTAAATGAAACGGAAAGTAATTGCAGGGGCTCTATAATCACCTGGATATACACCCAAAGCAGCTGCAAAAATTAGACAGATCGGATTTCATTACAGAGGAAAGTAGATCACCTAGAAATGTTAGCTATTGTAGAGATGTACCCAATCGTCAGCCACCTGTCAATTAGTGGAAGTGTTGAGTCTCTCAATCACGTAGGACTCAGTAACACTGTGGTTTACACTAATTCTCTCCGGACAATTTCAACCTTTACTGTTGTTTTGGTCCTAATAAACTGATTGTGCCTGCCTCCATTGGCCTTGCCACAATTATAATCAACAACATCGCTATTAACACCAACAGAAATCATCACTCAAGTCATAACCACGACCACCATCATCATCATCATATTCTCATCCTGACTATGGTTGCCATGACAACTCACTGAGTTCCTCCTTATATTCGTCCATCTCCATCTGATAGGTATCCTCCAGGGTCATCTTGGTGTGTTGTTCTGCCTCTAGCTGTTCCTTCAGGAAGCTGTTCTCGTTTCTTAACTTTTCCTCAATGTGCTCAGCATTGACGCGCACAGTCACAATGTCCTCCCTGTACTTGAAACACAGGGCCTGTAACTCCTATCAAGACAATCAGGGATCGTACAAGCCATATTTATATTTACTCTAACCCTAATTCCCAAGGTATTTTGTGACATGTTTGATCAAAACAATCCTGAATCCTCCAATAAAATGGCACATTCTTTGCACATCAAATACCATTATTATCTTCAAGTAAACTTGAATCCTCAATCCTGATTGGTCGATCCATGGCAACAAGCTGTGCTACATATTGCAATGTAGCACAGCCATTCCGCACTCTGCGTTTCGCGCTATTCCAAGATGCGCGCCATTCTGTACTTAACACGCACGTGTTATAGGATAACTGATAAAAAGTTCGTGTACAAGCGTGCGTGTTCAATCTTTTTAGTGCGTCAAGTTTGCTTGAAGATAAATTTGTGTTCACGCTCGCGCTCATGGAACACGGAAAACGTAGCGCGTCAGTGTTCCACATGCGCTCGCTGGATAACTAATATTATAACACCTCACCCACAGATTCTGTGTCTTGATTGGCCGAGAGCGAGTGTTACTTTCTAATTTTGCTATCTTTCTGTGCACGGCCAAAAGTACTATGCGCATAGCAACCAAAGTACTATACCATTAGCAACCAAAGTACTATTTCCACGGCGCGGTATTTGTGTGCAAATGCATGCTGGTGTGCGCGTTGCGCGTATTATTCCAAAGAGAGCGCGCCGCAGACTTGGGTTCAAACATTTCGTGAAGGGTTAGTTTTTAAGAGAGAAATACATTTTCCACCAATTTTGTATTGAAATTGAAGTTTATTTCAACTGTGTTCAGATTTAAATAATGTAAAATATTAAAATCAAGCAGAATCTATGGGTGAAGTGTTATAAAACAAATATTGAATGCTTTATCTCGTGGTGAAGTAAAACTAGCCTCCCTCGGTGATCCATGGACCATTCTATTTTAGAAGTAGAATGTCCATGGATCACCTCGGGAGCCTAGTTTTACTACACCACTCGAAGCATTCAATATTTGTATACTATTAGTGGCTGACAGTACTTTCCTAGTGAGTTTATTCAAGAGTCGGCCATATTTAATTGAAAGCGAGGTAAACTCTTCATTTTTGGAGCTTCATTACAAATTAATTCCAGTCTGCTCCGATGAATGATTTACATTTTGTGATTAAACACGCTCTAATGTTTTAAGCCACACTTAAAATAAAATAAAATGAAAGCGAGACTTGGAAGGCACTCCAATCATAAAATAGTCTGGCACCATCCCATTCAACAGTCTACAATTTATAAAATAGATTCAGGGAACACGATCGTAAATACGGTCTATAGATGAATCCAGCGACAGTACTTAAATGCTTGAGGTTGCCTGACTAGGTAGCTTACAACAGTAAGTCCACATAAAACAGGGATTTGCATTCTAATTGTTTCGAATTATTCTTAACTACAACTGCAATAGACAGTATTAACCCCAACCGAACTCAACCCATCAAAGTCCAACAGCAGGTGATATTGAAATCTGTTAGAATGGGTACAGTACCCCTAAACTGATGGTCTTTTACATTGGGTTTGGCATACCTCCAGAAACTAAGTCCAACAGTGTGTGTGTACAATTTCCCATGTGGGTGTTGGAATTTGCCTGGATGGGTATGGTTGCTAGTAAATTAGGATAGGGAGTTAGGGTTAAAGAAGGGACATGCAGGAAGAAGTTGTGCTGCTGATAAATGCTCACATACAGTGAAATCTTGATTAGTCAAACTCGAAACTCCACTTCTTTTTATTTTAACAAATTAGTGAGGATTTTTAATTCCTAGATTGTTTGCAAGGAAAAAATACTTACATCTGGATGGCAAGGCAAGTTGAAATCGTCTCCAGACATAAGAGACACATGGAGAGTTCTCTTAGCACTTAAGCTATCGTTCTCTCTCTGTAGTCTGGTAACCTACACATAAAGAACCAAGATTATCAAGCAAAGTATAGAGATTAGTAACATTTAAAGATATAGAAAGAAAACAAAAAAGCTCTTCCCTCTCAAACCAAGTCTACAAAATTGTTGAACACAAATTGAAAACAAAATGTCCAGGGGAGAAAGTCAAATCTCTTCCTTAACCCTCACTCCCTGCTCAGAAAACCAAGTCCGCCAAAATCCATCACTGACTCTGTTTCACATAATGCTTTAGGACCAAATCCGCCAAAATCCAACACAAATCCACCACTGCTATAGGTGGATATTGATGGACTTGGGTCTCATGGCCTACCTACCAAAATCCCCCAAATGGGGGGATGGATTTCGATGGAGTTGGGGAGGTTATTGTTAATTAAAGTTCAAAGTTGAATTTCAATTCATTATCAAATGAGCCAATCTTCAGATTAAACACAGTCTCCTGGTCAAGATGATATAAGGGCAAGATCTCACCTCCTGATAAACTTGTTCCCTGGATTCCATCAGCTTTTGCTGCAGAGGAAACAGAAAAGAGAAACCATTATATAATATCACTGCATCACATCATTAGGCCAAAACAAACAATTGTTGTGTTACCCTCACCTTTTTTTCCTTCGCAAGTCAACTGAATTAAAAAAAAATTAAACGAAACTTGACGCTGCTATCTATGCATGGTAAATGCCATCATTTGAATTTTGGTACAACGCGTGTGTGCCTCACAAGTAGTTCTGTACTATTTGCAAATGTATGCATGCAGCTAGCGTGCAGTACATGTGTCGGTGTAGGGGTACTGGTAGCCCAGCACCCGATTTCACGAAGCACTGCGACGCGTCGCAACTCGAGTTACGACGTGTAACACGTCGCAACTCGCGACGCGTCGTATCTTCCATTTCACGAAAGTTGCGATGTGTTGAACGCGTCGTAAGTTCCTTGACAACGGCTTTAAACACGTCGCAAGTTAAGACGTGTCTTGTGGTCGTCGCAAAATAAGAAGAGTCATTTCTAAGCCAGTTTTATGCCATAAACATTACATTAACGAGATTATCATACCGAGGCAATGTGTGAAAAGTTGTTAATAGAAAATTCATTGAATAATTATGAATTAGACCGGAATATTAGAATTGAAATTTCAAAGTAGCTATACAGTCCAATGAGAGTTTGTTTTCCTTCAAAATTGCATCGCACGGCCGCCATTTTGTTTTACGTTTTAACAAATTTCGAGCTGAGATCCGACGACTCTTTGTTGAATATCAGACGAGTATTTACTGTACGCTGACTAAATACATAAAACAGTCACCGAGTTGTGCTATAAATACACCTACGACGCGTTACACTTACGACGTGTTTCGTGAAATGGATCGCAGGACGCGTCGCAGCTGCGACGCATCGTAGAGATACGACGCGTCGCATCGCTGCAATGCATCGTAAGTTACAAAGAGTTTGATGAAATCGGGTGCAGGTTGGACGACGTCTTCATTGCATTACAACTGACGTACAGGGTATAAATTCTACCACCACTGCAAAAAAATTATAAAATTTTTTTCATATTTTTACCTGACAAAGGAAGCTGAAATTTCACTTCCTTTTTCTTTGTGTCCAGAATTGTGCATGCGCTGGGTTTAGAAAAGGCAAATATGTCCGCGGGCGGCGTGTTTACTGAAAATAAACCGCAAGTTCTACGCTTTCATTGAAAACATTTTCAGTACGTGAAGACACGCGCATGCCGTTTGCGGCAGTTGCGGCAGCGTGCTAGATGTGCATGCAAGCATGCGCATAATCTTCACACAGGGAGTTCGTACCGAAAATGTTTTCAACGAAAGCGTGGAATTGCGGTTTGTTTTCGGTAAACACGCCACCCACGGATATATTTGCCTTTTCTGAACCCAGCGCATGCACAATTCTGGACACAAGGAATATGTAAGCGAAATTTCAGCTTCCTCCATCAGGTAAAAATATGAAAAAAATGGTTTATAATTTTTTTCGCTATGGCAGCAGACGTTCATACCCTGGACTCCATTGCGTACACAACGGAGTCCAACCTGGGCTAGGGTACTGGTAACCAGTGTTGTAGTCGAGTACTTTTTTCTGAGTACGGAGTACTGCCGAGTACTTAGGTTGCCGAGTACGAGTATGAGTATAAGTACGAGTACTTGTACTTCTGAGTACGAGTACGAGCACTTGCATTTCCAAATATGGGTACTAGTACATTGCGTTTGAAGCCGAAAATTATGTGTACTGTTCATCACTTGTGATACAAACTAGGGATCGTCTTTGTAAGAAGTTTTCAATTATTTGAAATTAATTATTTTTTTTAATCTGCAACAGCAGTCTCAAATCAATGTGTTTTGCAAGGAATTACAACACCGCTGAGATACAGACATGAAAGATAAGGTGAATCGTCTTTTAATAACATTAATCTATGGTGCTGTGCATTTTAAAGTCCCCAGCCTTCATGTATTTCAGGCCCATCTTTCTTCCTCATGTGTTTGACGAAGTTTGATGTTGTGCCAGACTTTTCAGTGATGCGAAACATGCTCGCTGCGCTGCGGTGTTTGATACCATTTTGCACAAATTATTTGTGATCTTTGAAGCCAAACTGCACGACAGTGGATACAGACGACATATATCATGATTTTTGTCATGAACAAGTAACAACTTGGGCACAAAAGTGCCACAAATTCTTCACAGGCTGACAATTTTTGACAAGCGAACGTGGAGGGTAAAACGTGCAACGTGGCAGATTCGTAGATGTACATGTACTACGCATATGTCTGCTTCCCTGACTTAACAATCATAGGCCTGTGTTTATGTCTGTAGGCCTGATGCCGGAAGCAGACTAGGGGCTGTTTTCCAAACCCTGCTTTAGCTCTGTCTCTTTCTCCATTCATGCAGGTTGGCAATGGGGCTGGACCCGGATAGGGAGCCGAAACCGGGGTTTGGAAAACAGCCTTGCTCCAATCACCCAAGTTTAATAATCGAACAACCATTTTGCAGAACCCCTCAGCGTTTCACGTATATAATTGGCCATTGTGCGTAATAGGCCCACGCCGAGTCAGACCAATATACAGAGCCACTCAGGGCTATAGCTGTTAATTGCGTTTGTCCGGACGTGCGCAGAGGAAAGTCAGGAAACTTTGATTTCTCTGCAAGCCAATCAACCATTTTAAACTGAAAATATCGATAAAATAAGGCCGTGGTAAGTTAAGCTATACCATTTTTATCGAATACTGCTATTCGAGTACGAGTACCTTGATGATCGAGTACAATTTCGACATGTGGAGTACGAGTACTTTGCTGCCCGAGTACGAGTACCGTCATTCGAGTACGAGTACAAAAATACGAAGTACAGAAATGAAGAGAGTCAGTACTTACGAGTCTATCATGTATTTCATTATGTTCTCTCAGGTACTGCTGTCTGAGATCCGTCAGAAACTTCTCCGATTCCTGGTTGATGGAGTTGGCATTAGCGATCTACAAATCCACACAAAATACTTCTTACACACTGATCTGAAAACTTCTCCCGTTTTTATAAACCCTTTTTTTTTTAATGTATTGTCTCTTTTAAAGCATATACTAATCCTAAAAACATACCTGTAACTGAAGCAAATACATGAATCAGAAAAATACATGAATCAGAAAAAAGAAATTTTATTCAGCTTGCTTTTACATGTACTATTTTCCCCCATGGAACATATAAAATTCAAGAGAAAAAAACAACGCCAAAAACAGTACCAAACCAACCCTATTGTTACAGCCAAACTCTACACTTGTTAGGCAAGCTTAAAAAGCCATAAACAAAAAACGCAACCCTATTGTCCATAAACACTTGGACATCAAAAATGCTTAGAACATTTATGCTAGTCGTATTTGCAGGTATGATTATTCATAATAAATACATTTGGTAGGAAATCTCAGCGTTTTATCCGCATGAGCTAGTTTTCATTCATGGTGGTGACAGTGCATGAAGTATGCAGTAAAGGTAGACTGGGTTCCTAATGCTAGAGAACATGATAGCAAAAACAATGCGGGAACAGTTGAACAGTAGACAAAAAAGTGCAGCAGCCTAGCCCTACACGTTCCAACTTGGACATCGTCAAAAACAGTCATTGAAAACAATGCTGGCCTGGAGAATTCTATACGTTTACAAAACTTGATCCCTCTTTTCCATGACTGTTTTTTCCAGTTTGTTGTATATATCTCAAGGTCTTAAGGCTTGTGATTGTGCATGTTGTGATCATCTGTTGGCCATTGTCCCTTGACCAATGTCGTACATTAATGTACACCAATAAAATCCTCAATTTTGAGTCAATTTTTTTCAGCCTCAAAAGTTGTCTGAATGAAGCAAGTTTGATTATTTTGGGGACAATTTTGATAAATTTCATGGCGAAAATTAACAAATTTGGGGCCAACATTTTGCACTGGGTATCATTACTGAATATGCAATACAGGGTGGTAAAAAAAAAAAGGACAGCCACATTTGACAGCAATTTTCACCTATTTTTAAAAATTATTTGTAACTGTCGATTAGTAGCTATTAAAGTACTGGCCTTAAAGCAAATGTGACGAAAAAAATCGTTGCATTTGCACATTTTGTCGTTGAGCTATGCTAATTTGAACATTTGATGTGCGAAACCTGTTTGTCCACAGAGGTATACATTCCCTTCGCTTGACTGAGCTCAGCTATTGGAGCTTTTTTTGAAAGGGCATGACATTTGATTGTTATGTTATGTAATGTTATGCAACAATGAACTTTAATAAGCCAACAGCTCATTGAGTAGATGATCTTAACATTGACATGAATAATTAGACAGCTTCAATAAAAGTTAACAGGGCAAAATATATTTTGGTGGGATGGTTTTTTAATTTTTATGAACTACGAAAACGTCAAATTTACATAGAATAACCCGTGGAAAAGACTGATTTTGGTGACTTGTATTCAAATTAGCATAATATCACCATTTTTGCGACTTTTACTAAGCTTTTTTCACCATGCATGGTTAAAGGCCTATACTTTACTACTATGTGAAAGAATATTTAAAATAAGTTCATTAAGTAGGTGAAAATTGCTGTCAAAAGTGGGTGTCTTTTTTGTTAACCACCCTGTACACCTGACTACAGCTAGTCTGCATTACAACAGTTTCTGGACCTGCCTAACCTAATTTAAAACATCATATTTCTGGCTGTGTGTGGAACATACTTTCACTTTGTTATGGCCTGTATGGCTACATGCATGGTCTAGATTGTATGTGTACCTGGCTCTGTGCATCCTCTGCAGCATTCTGTAGACTTTCCTCAAGCTCCATTCTAAGTCTTTTCTCTCGGGAGACATTTTCTCTTTCTGTGTCCAACTCCTGTAAGTGAATAAAACACGGGCACACTCTCAAGAAGAATATTTAAAACTGTTCCAAACACTAACTCACAACCTTTTGGGGCAGGGTCAGAAATTTTGCCATGATTCATTTGGAAAGATTGCTCCATGATTCCTAAATTTACTGAACTTTTCATGAAATTCACAGGAATTTATAAACCGTAACCCTTGAATTATTAACCGTAATACAAGTCACTGGTGGTATCTAACCTCTTGTACGCATGTGAGAGCTGGACACTTACAGCAGATTCTGAATGAAGAATCAAGGCATTTGAGTACTAGTGCTACAGGAATTTCCTTTGCTACAAAGAGCACAAGACCAATGACTATTTCAGGCAGCGAGGAGTCTGTCCTTACAGAAGTAACGCACTGCTGACTCCCTGTCCAAGACCATCCTTCAAGGGACAGGTAAGGGCAAGCGTCACAAAGGTAGACAAAGGAAGTCCTGAACTGACAATGTCAAGGACTGGACCATCCAAAGGCCCTACTGTGCATGGCTGGAACCAAGATTTGTGGAGATGCCCAATTCCGTTGTGCACAATTTTTTGTTAAGCATCAACATAGAGTACCAGCCCAAATGGCCAAATGTCCAATGTACACTGCTGATCAATGCTTACCATATAGGCTCAGCAATATGTTCTGCAGATAAATTCCACAACACTGGACCTTAGTGCGTCTTGGGTTCATTCTTACCAATCTGAGGCTTTGTGTGAGTTCTTTGTACTCTCCTTCCCTGGTCTGTACGCCTTGTAACTGATGCTCATAATTACTGCACATGTCACATGGCCTTCCTAGCTTCTCTCTGGCTATCCTTATCTATTCAACATAAGAATATCATGTGCCTGGTTAGAATACACTCCAATAAGAACATTTGTTAGCTCAAACACATTTGTTTGTAAGCTTAAAACAACTTGAAATATCTGACAGATTGACATTTAATTATAGTCACAAGCACCACACATCTTAAATTGATAACAGGCATGAAACTGGGAATTTAGGAAAAACGAAGAAACGCCAAACCACACAAGACTTTGTACAGTGTTTTTCAATTTGTAATTGCATTCATGAGTAGTAAAAAAAACGAGGAAATCAGCGGATCCGAGGAAAAGTTGCATGCCTGTGATAACCAAGCTGATCACATGGTTCTTGCATAGTGTTACTGCAAGGTTAAAGGGAATATACATCATTTGCTTTTGCTGTAATTTTCAGAAATGGATGGAATTGGGGGGTTGGAAATATATAGCAAATATAGTTACACTGACTTTTTTGAGGTTTTGGGTTCGAAAATGCTATAAAAACCAAGAAAAACGATCATTTTCCTGTAGTCTGGTTCCCTGACTCCATATAAGAAGAAACAGAGCAGTTTACATACATTGGGGAATTGTAAGGTCAGGGAACCAGTCTAGCTGGCTCGTACCCGTTTATAGGTTTGTAATCGATTGCAAACAAGTGCGATGGTCAATTGGGGCCAGTATTTGAAAAAAAGCCAGTTTTTTCCAACGCTGATCGGCCGATCAGCGTTGGAAATTGATACAAAAATACCACTTTTCTTAAAAAATGACAGTATACCAGGTGCCATGATTTTACAGGATGCTTTACACTGTCATTCACTAACAGTCCAGCAAGGTATTTCAAAATGATTTGGTAGTTGTATTTTTTTATGTTTGCAAATGTTGTATTTTCCCTTTAAAGGGCCATACACTGTATCTTTTTAATGCAATCCTTGAAATTACACCTGTGTCTCATTTAACCTTATTTTCAATTTGTGTTTTACCATTTTCAAGGGTATTTTGGTGCTTTTTGGGTTTTTGTGCTAATAGTAATTTACATATTCATCATGTTCATGAGGAAAATGTGATGTCATTTCAGGCAGAAACCTCTATGTTACAGCTATTTCAGCACCTAAAGATGCTAGAATTTTGGATATTTTGCTGACATACGTTTTCTTTTCTTCGGTGATTTGTGTCAGTACATGGTAGTAAGCCGATGAGCAAACTTTTCTTACAAATGTTTTGAATGAGCAAATTTGTAGGTTGACAATTTAAACGGAAAACCAGTAACTGAGCAGCGTCTTCTTGAAATGATATCACAGTGACTTCACTTGTCCAGAAAAACATGGAAATTGTTTAAATGTTTTTATATGAAATTAACCAAAAAGGGTAGTCATAGAGTTTTCATACATTTAAGAGGAGTAGAAAGTCGCACAGAATATGTTCCTTAGAAAAGTTCATGTCATGGACCCTTTAAGAACGACACACCTGCACTTATCTGATACAGATTTGAAGTAGCAAAGTAAGTTGACCTGATTTTGCTATAAAAGTCTACCAAAAAAATACCAGGTTTACTAGTCCAAGTTTAATAAAACAATGCACAACTGATTCACCATTAATCCAGTAATGAATGGTTTAAAGCTATAGTCCATCATTTGCAGCCATCCGAAAAGTAACTGGCGTAATTATTGTTGAAAAACAAACTTGGTTGAAAGATAGTAAGGGCACTAAACTCCCTGTGAAATTATTCTTTCTGGGAAGCTGTCATTTTGAAGTAATCAACGAAAGAAGGCATTTCCAACGGTGATTCTTAAGAAGCACCGTAGGAAAATTTAAATTAGTAGTTCGTTATTCAGCGCAGTGCGCACAAGTATTGGAACGACGCACACGTGCGAGCGGTTGTTGTAATTCGTCGGATCAGTGCGCGACGTCGCGTATAGCTGCAATTCAAAACAATTCAAAACATGATTCAGTAACTTTTGATTTGAAATTGAGATCTTAGAATGCTGTTTTTCTCGGAATGTACAGCTGAAGCTTAGCTGAAATTTCATCAGGTTAGTTGCTCAGTATCCTTCATTAGATTTTGAACTCTTTTGTTGCTTCAAACGAACAAAATGCACAAATTACAAATGATGGACTGTAGCTTTAAGGGAAGTCTTGAAGTCCAATGATTTGACTGCATGAGGGAGTCAATACCTCTTCTTGTAGTTTAGTCCATTCTGTCTCACTGACCATCCTCTTACCAGCTAGCGAGGGAAACATGTCAGAACGTGACCTGGCACTGGCAAGAACCGATCTCATCTCCTCACTCTCAGGTGTCTCACCTGCACGGCAAACATCACAACAATCAGCCAGTTAGTGGAATGGTCAATACACATGACAAGCATATGGTAAGGGAACAGTGTTGTGGTAGAGTCTTTCTACTGAACCAGAATATGTAGTATGGATAGGAATCAGCGTATTTGGACAAACAGACATGATAATATTGACCATGTTTTTGTTATTAGGTCTTGGGCTTGGGCCCTTTTAAAAAAAAATTGTGTCAACTTACAGTAAACTCTGGCTAAGTCAGCACTCTCAGGACCCGACAATTTGTGACAACATACAACCAACATCTGCTGTAAGACGTCATTTTGCCGACTTACATGAATGGCCTTTTGCACACATGATTCATTGCACTAATTGGCTTCGATTTACCCTGGTTTATCTCCTTAATGCTTGAGTTGATTCCAGCAAATTAATCCTCGAATTTTATCTTCACGTTTGGGGTATTGATAGTGGAGACCTATCAGAATGGCTCCCTTACAACACTGTCTTTTCAAGAGGTGCTTTTTTCATACTCCAGTGAAACCAAATGCAGAGACTACTTTGAAAGGTTAATCATCTACACATGTTCAAACTTACTGCTCTCACAAGTTTACTATGGCCCAAGCATTGCTCGGTATAGCATGGAAGCCAGTAACACACGAGTTTCTCACAGTAAGTATATAGCATAAGTGACATCCCTGATGTGTAATGCACTATTTATGCACCATGATATGCAAGTACGGTTTTCCAAATGTTCATGCGCACACCAGAATTTTCAGTTTCGACAAATGATAGCAGAGATTGGCAAATGGTAACCAAATGCAAACTGTGGATTATCAAAGCAAGATGGAAATTTGGTTTGCAAATCAGTTGGAGAATAACAATAATGTGAAACCTGGTGAAGTTTACATTTTTTCAGAAATGTGTTCTCACTTCAGATCAAGAACATTGCTTTAATTTCATTAGTACCCTCTTGGATTTCAAATGCATTTGGTGGATTGTCTACCCTTGACAGAACATGTTTAATCATGATGTGTACATGTGATGTGTGAATATCAAACTGGCTTGCCATTATACAAGGCGGTTCAAGCTGAGCCTCTGTACCAAAAGTCCATCGTAGAAATGTACAAATTCCGAACCAGAGACATTATGGTATCCAAGGCACGATGAGCAATCTTCATTGTTGATTTGCATCTTACCACTAATTGCACGTTCCTGGGCCTCAGTCAGGCTGATGCTAGATGATAGTGATGTTGTCTCAGCATCCATGCCATACACTGCGCTGTCTGAGAAACTATGAGCAGCGATCTCACAGATACTACGATGCAATGGAGAACCTGACTGACCTGTATGATTCAAAAACAAAAACACCTTTATTTGCCATGAAAATTCTCTGGTCTTGATAATACCTGAAGCTCCCACGATACTAAGAAATCCATCCACCAGTTTGCAGGATTTGCAAGATTGAGGATGATGCAACCCACTTATTTTTTTTTACAGGGAACAAGATGTTCCTGAACAGTTTTAGCACAAAGAATTGACCAGTAGGTTTCTCAGGGGAGTCAGGTTGGCATAGCGTTTCTCTCCTCGCCTTCCACCGCTGTGACCCGGGTTCGAATCCCGCCCGGGCCAATATGTGGATTGGGTTTTCAGTCCCTACCTGATTCCGTGGGTTTTCCTCAGAATATTCCTCTGGGCTTTTCCTCCCACCTCTAAAACTGTATTTTCTTCTCATTGTCTTCTCTGTACAGGTTTCTTCAGGCTTCCGAGCTACAGTGCTTAGGGTACTTTTGAGGAATCTTTGGTTTCATTACCAGAAAAAATTAAAATAAAAATGAAAAAAAATAAAAAAATAAAACAATGCTGGATATGCCCAGGTATCATGGCTTACTGGTTGCTACCCATTTGCTTCTTGGTGAAAAGATACAATTGTACAAACAAGCATCAAGCTTGCCTAATAGAATCTGAACTCAATTAATAATAATAATAATTTGGTAGGGCTAATCATCCTTACTCGCAGCTTGGATGCTGAATTGCGAAGGACGTGGCTGCAACGTGGTCGGGCCGCTGGCACGTGAAGGCGCCTATGGCTGCCGGCCACATCGACCCATATATGACCACGGAGCACAGTCTGAGATCGAAAGTGTTTGATTTTTCCGGAGGAAGGAAAACCGGAGGCCTGGAGAAAAACCCTCGTGGCACAGGAGAGAACCAACGCACAACTCTACTCACATGTGATCCGCTGCCAGGATTCGAACCGTGGTCACCTTGGTGAGAGGCGAGCGCTTTATGCTCAAGCTACCCATGCCACCCCATAGGTAATGTCATACCTTCACTAATTAATATGGACTTGTGCATGGCAGAGTCCTACCAAACAATGGCCACTAAGACATTCCAGTATGGAAGCCATGCAAACATACCCTTGCAACAATTACAAAGAGAAGGTGGGCCTGTTAAAATCCAACAGAATGGTGCCTGATGCTAACCGAATATGAAGGGAGCTCTGATCACATTTAGAATGACAAAACTTGTACATAGATCTCGGTGTCTCTACCACTTGAGGAGGTCTCATGAATGGTGAGGAAGCATAACGTACTGAATATGCACAGAACTCACACACCGAATGTGCAATAGAAATTATTATATAACCGACAAATCCTTGTCATTTGATTGGTGGAACTCACATCACGTGACTTTCGTTATTACTCCCATTCACGCCGGGTCTCAAAAAGTCTAAAAAATCTGCCCATGGGGAATGGAAATACTATTGAACAGTTAGGATCATTCTTGTTCCAAGACGCGGTATTTGTGTGTAAAGGCATGCTGGTGTGCGCATTCAGTGTTGCGCGTAGCGCGTATTGTTCCAAAGAGCCAGCACTACAGAGTGGGGTTCAAACATTTTCGTGAAGGGGTGGTTTGGAAGAGAGAAATACATTTCCCATCAATTTTGTAGTGAAATATAAGTTCAAATATATCAAATGACAAGGATCTATATGTCAGTTATATAAAACAAATATTGAGTGGCTTTAAATTGTGAAATGGGAGGAATATTATCGCTCGGTAAAGTCCAGATTTTACCTTGCAATAATATTCCTCCCATTTCACTCTGAGTCACTCAATATTGTAAATCACTAGCTTTATAACGTCGTGAACATGATGTTGAAACAAGGATGAGACAGAGCTCAGAATAGTGTACTGCAGACATTTTAGTCAAAGTACACATCTGACTTCAATAAATAAGGTATATACTTCCAAAACAATTAAGTTACATGGACAAATCTGGTTAAGAAGGTTCAAGACCTACCAGATGGTGTGCCGCCTCCTTGCGTCTCAAATTGCAACAGCTCCTCTGGGTCTAGACTGGGTGTCGTGAAACTCTGCGCTGACGCTGACGAGTTGACCATCACTCTCGTACTCTGGTTACTGGAACTTGGTTCCCTGCTGGAATCACTGTCCTCCTGATCAGTGGGATCAAGGTCATTGAGGGCAAGGGAACGGGAGGATGGGACGTCTTGAGGCTCGGAGGTGTTTGGCCACTGGTCTGGCTGTTTAGAAGACATGCAGGATGAGAAAAAATGGGATTAAAATGACTTAGCAAAATTAAAAAAGTGCTAGAAATGGGCTTAATAATTGACATTTATTGGTTGTACACTCAATAAATACAAAACAATATTAATGAGAGCATGTTAAGAGAGCTTTTTAAAATATTGTTGATGACATTTACAAAATCTAACATGGACAATTTTGTAATATCAATTTCGTCAGAAGTGCTAGGCCCAAACATTTTTCATGATTGCTGTATGTCATGCCAATCAGTCAATAAGCTGCTTCTTTTTGTCGATTTGTTAAACTTTCTGCCATGTGTTAAGTTCAAGCATGCAGTCTAGCAGTCCTACCGGTGCTTGCTGTTGCAACCTCTCTGTCTCCTTCTCCTGCATCACCCTCTGCTGCTCCTTGAGTTCCTCAACTCGCTTCTCAGCCTCTTCTCGTTCATGATCTTTCTTCTGTGCTTCCATCACCTGACGTTGCTGCTCTTCAGTCAGCACCATCTCCATGCGTCGCATATCCATCATCTGCAGCCGCTGGGATTCCAAGAACTGATTGTTGGCCATGTGCCAAGTTTGCTTCAGGTTGTTGTGTTCTTGCTTTTCCTTTTCCAGAAGTCGACAAACTACAGGGAAAAATAAGAGAAGAAAACTGTGTTCCACTTTGTTTAGAATTATATGCCAAATTTTTTGGCATGAAGTTCTATACCCAACAGAAAACTGAATTCATTAAAAATCTAACATTCTGCTTAATACTTAAAAGGTCGCTGATAGTGGCACTTGCTGTTGTATCCGATACAAACGATTGTTGATGCAAGAAGATGCCTGTGAATTTTCCCAACAAATTTCTACAGGACTGAGTAAAGTAGAGTCCCTTAACGTGGTGTACTTCAACTTCTCCATGACTATCCTCATTAAGTCTTACAGAATTTCCTCTTAATAAGTGTCAAATCCATTCAGGTAAATATTGGTACTGGCAATTCCATTGTTACGGACGTTACATTCAGAGGCTACTGAATAATTTGAAAAAAACAACATAAAATACTTGTAGTGAAAGCAAAGTTTATATATTCAGTACAACTCTAGCTTAGGCCTTTATAGTGTATGACATGACATAGCTAACTTAGCGTTAGCTGAATTAATTAATGAGATATAAGCACTGTCAAGGACTGTTACAGACGTTAAGCATTCTGATATTTAGTAGGCATTGATAAAAGTCAGTGACAAGTATGTTGTGCCAGATATATCTCCACTCTATACAAATACCAATGACATTTACAAAATGCTCCTTAGATGTTATGGGAACATGTTTTTGGTGTGTGTTATGGACGTTACACGATAATGTTAGAGATGTTACCTGTCTGAAATCAATTTAACATATGTGATAAAAAAATGAATTCTGGTATTCTGAGTTCTGTGTTATTTTTATAAAATATGAACCTTTCTCTCTGCCTTTAAAACAAAACTCACAATAACACTTGCATTTTGTATGTGAAAACAAGACGTAAAAATGACGCTAACAAGTTTTGCAGGTGTAGAATTCTGAAATCTGAATCTGAGGTACATGTAGTAATTGAATCAGAGAGTTTGGGTTGCACACTGGGTTTTGCCCTTGCCTTCAACTGAAAGAAAAAGAAAAAAACTAAAGACCAGTTTGTAATGTGAATGTAAATACGATGCAAATTTAAGGTCACAATAAATTTACTGCAAATTCACAGGGGTTGAAATATGTTCAAATTTTGCAAATTTGCCATGAAAAACTTGCTGTTACGTTTTCTTGCCGAGTATGAACTGGCCTTTACAGCATTTGGAAGGGAAAACACGCCCCGTTACAAAAGGAGTATTTCAGGAACAGTGCCAGTTTTAAAAACCTCAACTAAGCTATTGCCACTTCCGTATTATCATCCTAATTTCGGATCACACACGGTGTGAATTTTTGATTCCTGTCAAACCAAACTTAAGCCTGCTGAATTTTCTTGGCCCATTTTCCTGGTACGGTTTCTTGTTCTCACCCTCTCTGAGTTCTTCTCTCATTGTGTCGTTCTCTTCTTGCATCACATTCTTCTGTTTGTTCAGCACTGCAACGTAAAGCTCCATGTCTGAACGAGATGTCTTCTCAGCTTCAAGAACACTGGCTAACGTCCGAACCTGAAAGTACATATTGTGCATTACACATAATTCTTGGAACTCATGGTATTCATTTTCCTACTTAAAAGTTTGCTGAACAACTGACAAAAAAGCAGAAATTTTAACTTCATAATTTACTTGTCCTCATTTCTGGAAGACTCCTGAAATTACAAACTTGATGCAAAAAAATTGAAACTATCGATGATCTGTGTATCCAACAACATAAACATTAGCAGCTTCTTATGAGAATCAGATAATGAAATCAAAATGTAAACATGAGATCTAACATTTCGTAGTATTTTTGATAAATAGTCTAATAGTCCATCTTTGAAAAAAAAAACCCAGGAAATGCAAACATTGAACAACAAATGATGGTACAAACTATCAACAAGGACAACAAAAACCCCAAACATTTTCCTCTCCACAAAAGACAATTTGGAATTTGAACATTACACTCCTAAAGTTTATCGAGCCAACTTGACTGTTTGCCAACTCGGGTCAACTTGCTGTTGGCAACTCATCCATTGTACAGCTGGACCTAAAACTTGGAGCTAGGTCATTCCATCAGGTTGGGGAACAATGTGTGACATATGACCATATTAAGAAAAGCACGAATGCCTTGCTAGCAGTTGCTCTACACAGAGTTGTAATGACTCGAGTCAATGACTCGACTCGAGTCCGACTCGAGTCACATTTTTTGGCGACTCGACTCGACTCGAGTCCCGACGGGTAAATGACTCGACTCGACTCGAGTCACTGCGAGCAAATGACTCGACTCGACTCGAGTCCCTCATCAGAATGACTCGACTCGACTCGAGGAAGGCTAATAAGACTCGAGTCCCAAAATAAAAGCAAAACTTACTTGCGAAAAATATTTGCAATGACTTACGCTGCGCCGTTCGCGTTGCCAGTTTTTGTTCACGTCACGTTAATGTTCGCGAATAATGTACGTTTATATACAGCGGCAGTCTGTTTCCGTCCTCCATAATAAAACAACAAACATACACCGTGTCGCGGACTCCCACCTTGTGGTTCTATAGCATGTAATGCTAAACCCGGAACCAGACTTAAAACGCATTTCTCAATCCGTGGTTTCATCATTGGTTTCGGGCGATTTTGAAGTTCTTGGTGGAACGCTGGCTAAATTCATGTCCCGATTTCACACAAAAAAATGGATACGGACGGGCCCACCTTTAAATAATCAGAAACAGTTTTGTATAATGCAATTAGGTTTTAACGTTGTCAGCGATGAGCGAACAACAAAATCTAGACCCGAAGCCAAACCGTTTATAAGACCGAAGTTTCACATCTTCTTATCTGTGACGTGAGCTAGCAATGGAAACTGTTGGTTGGGTACCATACAGCATACTTTATGTCTTTGGATTTCCGTAACAGACTGGTGCCTTGTATTCTTTCTCTCTTGTGCTTGTTGCTTTTTATTGTAATTTAGTGTTCAAATATTTGTGACTCGAATTGACTCGAGCTAAATACTTGACTCGACTCGACTCGACTCGACCACACTCTGTGACTCGACTCGACTCGACTCGACCTTGTTGACCTAATGACTCGACTCGACTCGAGTCACTTCTTTAAAATGACTCGACTCGACTCGAGTCACAAAAATCAGTGACTCGTTACAACTCTGGCTCTACATAATATTTGTTGTTGGGTGTTTCACTAACTGCAGAAAGTTTAAAATCATTTCAATGTATTTTGCCAAAAATATGAGCAAAAACTGTCATTTTGGATGTAACATTGACACCGTGTCAGTGTTACGTCCCAGTATGACATTTGTACTTTTTTTTAAATTTCTGTGAAACATCACCCAAATTCACTTTGCGTACTTCCTACTATAGATGCAACACAATAAGAAAAGCTTTTGTTATGGTAGTCAGGTATCAAATGGAGCAGATATGATTGCTTAGTTGTGTGGATGTAACATTGACACGGTGTAAAACCCAAATGTCACACTTCCATTGAGTGATTTTTACACCGTTACATCTACACTTGAGGTATTGTTTCTGCTATATTTGAACCCTGACTATACCAAAACAAAAGCTTTTCTTGGTGCTTAGGTGTCCAGTTGTAAATATGCAATGTCAGTTTGGGTAATATTTTACATACGTGTAAAAAAAAATGGCAAACAAAGAATATTTGGATGTAACATTTACACGGTGTCAATGTTACGTCCGAATTAATACATTTTTGCTCCTATTTTTGTCAAAATACTTTCAAATAATTTCAAACTTTCTCAAGTATTGAAACACCCTAAGACAAATATTATGTTGAGCAATTGTATAGAATGCATTGATACTTTTAATAATATAACCAAATATATGGATGTAACATGCACTGCTTCCCAACCCGGTGGAATGACTCAGCTAGTAAAATTGATCTACCCAAAACTGTGCAATTTTTTGGTTTGTAATTGTATTCTTTTTTATTGTTTCTGATTTAAAACTACCATGTTGTATTTTTAATTTCGCCATATATAGCACAGGGGACAAAGCTTTAAGTGTACGGAAATGATGTTAAGGTCTACTAGTGGATGGGTAGTTTTCATGTTCAATGGAGTAGTTGTGTACAACGACGCAATGGATGAGTTGGACAAAAGACGAGTTGGACAATGAACGACTTAACTTTATCAGTTGAACACATAAACCTCCGAGCTGGTACAATGGTTGAGTTGGAAAACGGTCAAGTTGGCAAATGGTCAAGTTGGTTCGAGTCAAGTTGGTGAATGTTGAGTTGGTTCACTTTGAGTTGGCAAACAGTTGAGTTGACTAGATACCACTCCTAAGTAACTGTGGTTTTCTTCTCCCGTCTTAATAATGAACTTTTTAGTTTAACCCCAACTCCCTAGCGTCTTTTACTAGGAACTGGACCAAGTCCATAGACTTGCTACACATGGCTTTTATCACAATAGCAGTACAGGAAGCTAGGCAAAATCTATCTGATACCCCTAGCACTGCTTCAGGCCATTAGGCCCCAGTCCATCATAATCCGTCAATATTAAGTCACGCCAGGCCTTCTGGACCAAGTCCCCCAAAATCCACCAAAATTGGGGGATGGATTTTGATGGAGTTGGGATGGTTAGGGTTAATAAATACCTATAAACCATTGGAACCTTTTCATTGAGAATTCAAACATGGTCACTTTTTGTCAGTCATGGAGTGCGTTGGAGGATGCACACTACAATCAGCCAAGACTGCACGTGGAGTGATTTGGACAGTGCTCATAATTACTCAGGTTGAGCTTTTGATTCCTTGGAGTGTGTAGCTGCTCACCCATGGAGCAATGTCTATAGACATGATAGATGCAGTAATACAATCAATTTTCTTAAGGTGAATATCTTTTAAGTCAGTTGTGGTAGTGCAAGAGTGAAAAGACATAACCAAGAATACAGACTGCCATATATTTGTACCTTTTCATCCAGCTCAGCTGCAGTGTTCACTGTGGTTTCTGGGGGAGTGGCTGGACTCTGGGCTTTGTCCACTGTAGTACTTCCCAGGGTATCCAAACTGTACTTCTGAATGTATAAAGCAAACAGGAGAAATAGCTTGAATTGCTTCCTAGCTTCAGAAAAAAGGACAGAGGTAAGGGAATGTTCCTGATATTTAAGCATAGACAATGTACCAAGCCTGCAGTAGTATTTGCACAAACACTTGGGGAATACATGTAATTTCCTAACAAAAGCCAAATTTGTATTGACCAATCATTTTGTCACCTTTTCAAAACATTACTTTTGATATTATTTCCATTCACCATCCTCCAACTTCCTTGTAAGAGAGTTTCATGTTCACATATTTGTTTTTTGGTTTTGGCTTGATGGTTTTTTTAGTATAAGAAAAGTCTTGTCTTCTCAATGGAAATCTTCATTTTAAAGGGTTTTTCAATTAAAGGTATAGTCCATCATTTGTAATTTGTGCATTTTGTTTCTTTGAAGCAACAAAAGTGCTCAAAATCTAAAGAAGGGTGCTGAACAACTAACCTGATGAAGTTTCAGCTCAGCTTCAGCTGTATATTTAGAGAAAAACAACATTCTAGGATCTCGATTTCAAATCAAAAGTTGCTGAATCATGTTTTGAATTGGGCCTGAATTCAGCGTCCAAGACACATTCTCACCGAGCCGATTGCAGCTACGCGATGTCGCGCACTGATCCGACGAATTATAGCAACCACGCGCGCATGTGCGTCGTGTCAACGCTTGCGAGTGCTCCCCCAAATAAAAAAACGAACTACTAACGGAAATTTCCAACGGTGCTTCTTAAGACGCACCATTGGAAAGGCCTTCTTTTGTTGATTTCTTCAAAATGACAGCTTGCCAGAAAGAATAATTTCACAGGGAGTTTAGTACCCTTACTATCTTTCAACCAAGTATGTTTTTCAACAATAATTACGTCAGTTACTTTTTGGATAGCTGCAAATGATGGACTCTGGCTTTAATCAAAGTGAATAACTGACAAAGCTTTATATAGTTATCATATAATCAAATACCTATGGCAGCTCTCAATTAAGCTGGGAAAATAGACAAACACATTTTCCTGATTCAAGAATCTTTTAATTTCCAATGAGTTCTCATTACGTACCCTTATCTTGTGTTCCAGAGCTCTTTTCTCCAAATCAGCATTATGAAGCTTGTCTTTCAAAGATGCGATCTCCCTCTCCAAAGGAACTACTACAGAGCGCAGGATCTCAGCATCTTTCTGTGCCTGTCATGCAGTAGGAAAGACAATCCTTCATTTCTAACAAAGATAATAATTTCTTTCAAAATATACACACAAGTCCAAGAGAGGTTGTGCGTGTTTATGGTGTAAATCGAGATCTGATACACTGTGCCCTCTTGAGACATGCACACAATAGGGAACAAAAGATTGTATACATCTCCACAGGATAATTTCTATAGATGAATACGTCTCCACAAGATTTTCACGAAATAGATATATGGATTTTACTCAAAAACTAGGAATTTCCAAGGTGGGTTGATCTCTCTCGCAAATGGAAGAGTTTTAGAAAAGGGATATTAAGTCCGAATTTCAGCCAAGGAAATTAATTCTGGTTAAAATAAGAGCATTTTGAAAAGTTCTGTACTTTCAAACTCGAAAACTTTAGTACACGAGAACAAAGAAATGTCTCCACAAGGATACAAATTTCAGTATGGGTGGACACAAACGTGCAACATCATCGGTGAATCGAGGTCAGAAACCGAATCGAGGACTCCTCGGTTGGAAAACGTGTACAAAACCAATGAGAGCTGATGCGAAAAAGTTAGAGTACAAACCTCGATTTACACCATAAACAAACGTGCATGTACAGGATGATGGACCATCACACAATCATGACAATCACGTGATGGAAACAATCATTATAGGTTGTCCTAAGTCAATTGAAATAAATAAACCAGACCCAATTTTACAGCTCTGCTAAACACAACATTCTGCAAATATCACAAATCTATGATTACAGCGCTTAGAAAAATGTAAGCAAGGGTCCTGAGTAATACAATGGGTGCAGGAACAAAAGCAAAAAGTCCTTACTTTGTTATACGCTGTTAGCTTCGAATTTTCAACTATAGTGAGAAAAATTCTCAACTTAAAGCATAGATAACCACAAAATGAGACCTAGGTTGAAGCGTGTTAAACTGTCCAATTCCCCAAATGGCAAATGGTCCAATTGGAGCTCTTTAAAATTAGCCTTTACCAGTCCCCCTTGGTTCGTAATTGATGGGGCACAAGCAAAACTGCACATGTGAAAAAATGCACTGGGTTCAAGGTTGTTCCATACCGTCAACATACTCCTCTCCAGATCTTCCTCTTCCTTGGTAGGTGTGTGTTTCTGCTGAGATGGAGGTTGTTGCTGGGGTGCAGGTTGTGGCTCTTGTGCTGCATGTTGTTTTTCATCTCTTGTTGTTGATGGGGAATTAGACCCAGTCAGGTTACGCAGGGATCGAGTCATGCTGGAGAACACACTGTCTCTGTGAATAAACCGCATACATGGAATGACCGATGGAGATATGAACCGTGCCTTTTAAACCATTGTCAAATATTTGCTTTTCATAGGTCTTTTTATAAACATCTCTGGGACCTTGTTGCATTGGGCCATCAACACCAGTGCATCAACTTCAAATGTGACCTGCCATTGCATAATGAGGAATAACCCCCACATTTGACTTTTCACGTTATGTACATCATGTTAAAGTGCACATCATTGGCTTTCCAATGATACAAAATTTATTTCTGTAGCTTAATTTATTCCAAAGATATGACACAGGAACTTCAATAAGGTCCTGCCTACCGGTAGTTTCGCAAACCTCATTTCGAGAAAAACGGCTTTGAAAAAAAAAGACACGCATTGCGCCGCCAACGGCAGTGAAAAACTTTTTTTTAGTTTTCCACTTTTGTGGGTATTTTTTCCCAACAAAAATGCATAGTGTAAATCTTGGAAACCTTGGCTACTCAAAAATACAAAACAATCAATATTGATTTCCACATGATTTTTCTAGTATATCCGACTTAGGCGTCGATTACTCCAAACAAGGTTTTGGGGGACATTCCTCAATTTGCCTCAGTAGGTCACAAATGCTTAAGACAGTTGGAGCTAGCCCAGCTGAATAATGCCACTGTTGTATCCTGCTGCAGTTGTTGACCACAGACTCTAAGGCAGCTTGGCCTTGGGATCTTTGACCTAGTGGATCTTGTCACACTGGGCAGGCTTCTCACCTTGACATAGTGCATGTACCCTGAAGGGTCTAGGTTAATAACATTTTAGTATTACTTTATGATTCAAATGATTTTGATGTATCATAGCAATAATTCTGAGAATAAAAACTGACTTTTCAGCTCCTTGGCCTTGACTCTTCTCAGCCATCATGTGCTGCATGCTCTGCAGCTCATTATTCAGCAGTTCATTGGCAGCTAGAAGCTTCTGCCGCTCCTGCTGATAGGTCATGGCTGTCTCTTCTGTTGTCTGGGCAACCGCATCTTTTAAGGGAAACAAAAATTTGCCATATGTACATTGTACAGTACATGTATACAGTTTTGAACTCGGTACCAATAAATCACATCATTTCGCCAGTCCGTAATGAAAAAATGAAAGTTTTCAGCAAAAATACATTTGCAGTGCAATAGAACACCACTAATAATGAATACCGCTAAACTGAACTCCAACTCCAACAAACATCACCCTTTGGCTCCCAAATTATATGTACAATTATATCAGCATTACTGAATTCTTCGGGAAATACATTCATATTGCCTCTCAACTGCATTCAAAAGTCACAAAATATAAATCTTGTTGGCAGTTCTGGTTCCTGCCACACCACAATAAAGACAATATGTAGTACGGTAGATAACAGGATAGGAACCAGTCTTTCATTACTGCCTACTGATGAAGGGAAAGTACATGGATATGGACGCAATCTCGGCAACTTACAGCGTAGCCTTGGTCAAGGTATTTGTCGATAGTATACATACTGGCATCTAACATAAACACTAGCCACGTGCTATGTACTGTACAAAGTGCACACAGCAACCTCGATCACGCGGCTTCAATATGCATATTTTATTGCTGGATTTCCAGCGACAACCATTTATGTGAATACAGATGAGATTATTATTCAGTACTTGGTCGTGGACGCTCATAGTTTTACATGGATAGATAGCTGGACTGTGTGGCTGCATTCTCCAACAAGTTTAGAATCCACGGACCAAATATAACTGGATATACAAAATTGTGACAAAATTACAGAAAAAGATAAGCCAACGCGATCCGTTGTCCCAAGGCGTTCATTCTTCATCAGCTGAATTGCCTATTGTATCCGTGTGAGGTTGCTGTTCGCGCTTCATACAGTGCATAGAAAGTGGCTAGTGTTCATGCTAGTGGCCAGATATACCATAATGGATATTATAACACCTCACCCACAGATTCTGTGTCTTGATTGGCCAAGGGCGAGTCACATGGAACTTTCTATTTTTGCTATCTTTCAGTGCACTGCCAAAAGTACTATCCCCGTAGCAACCAAAGTACTATACCATTAGCAACCAAAGTACTATACCCATGGCGCGGTAGTTGTGTGCAAATGCATGCTAGTGTGTGCATTGAGCGTTACGCGTATTGTTTCCAAGAGAGCGCGCCACAGAGTTGGCTTCAAACATTTCGTGAAAGGGTGGTATGGAAGAGAGAAATACATTTCCCACCAATTTTGTATTGAAAGTGAAGGTTATTTTAATTGTGTTCAGATTTAAATCATTTTAAATATTAAAACCATGCAGAATCTGTGGGTGAAGTGTTATAAAACAAATATTGAATGCTTTATCTCGTGGTGAAGTAAAACTAGCCTCCCTCGGTGATCCATGGAGCATTCTATCACCTCGGGAGGCTAGTTTTACTACACCACTCAATATTTGTTTACTATCGAATATTGCCGGCCGAAAAACAAACAACCGTTACAACAGACTTCCTTGGTAGACCCCATCTAGTTCATTATAGCATGGTATTTTCATGGTGATTTCAACGGACAACCGTCCAAAAGAAGCTCTGGGCTTTCTTACCTCCAAGAATGGCCTGCAGTGTGCCCACCTCCCCTTTCCACTTGAGCTTGACTTCCTCCATCTCCTCTCGATAGGAAGATTCCACCATGGCTGCCACCGTCTTCAATTCCTCCAACTCTGCCTCCTTGGCATCCCGTTCAGAGCGCATCTTCTCTGCCTCTTTAATCAGCTCCTCTGTGAGAAAACAAAAGAAACTTTAAACTCCCAGTGTTTTTTTTATAGTGAGCAAATAATCAACAAAACATGTATTTGATATAATGATATAAAAATATTTACACAATATAGATTTGTAAATGCGATGCTTTCCTTGTTTATGTACTAAATTCATCATCCACTTTTTCAAAATTGGCTTTTTCTTGCAAGTATTACGTTCAAAACAGCAAGGGGACATGTAGGTCTTTAATAAATATACAGATTTTTAGAAATCTTTCTTCAATGGGTTTGTCAAAGTAAAAATCTCATCCAAAACTTTCTGTAATCAATGATAGACTCTACAAATAACAGAGGGAGTAGAATTTCAAACTGATCTTTTATTTTCTTGTATTCGTTTCTTTCATTAATTTAGTTGTAAATATGTCTTTTAATCTTTCTCAATGTAAAGCTGGTTGTGTCACTGAAAAGCTGTTTTTCCCTATACATAGGCCCTAAACCTTTTTTTGGGGGGGGGGGCATTTATAATCTTATGGGGGTGGGCTCCTGTATTAATCTGGGATTTGAGCTGCTATTTTCTGTTTTTCCGGTAAAATAAATTTATTGACATAGCAGTTTTTATCAAATGTTGCACACATTAAGCTAAACTCCCTCTAGACCCATTTTTGCTAGGATGTAAGCTCAATTCTGCAAAATCCTCCAACTGCCTCCATGTAAACATAGCATACAGCCTCAATCCTCCAAAATCCTCCGTAGTTTCTTGAATGTGGCTCATGGAGGGTGACTGAAGCCTGAATCCTGCAAAATCCTCTGGCAATCGCTGTCAATATCTTGAGGTAGAGCCAACGACATCCTGGAGCAGTGCAGAGGACTTCAAGTATAATATAGACCTACATTTATGCACGGCTGAGCAGAAACAACACAAGGCCTGGCCTAAGACATTGACAGAGTGCATCCTCCAAAATCAGCCACACACTTTTTCCACACAGTCTCAATCCTAAAAAATCCTCCATTTTGCAAAAAGGATTTGGGAAGGTTAGGGTTAAATCAAGTACCAAACAGAAACCCAACTTGAGACTTTACCTTCTCTGGAGAGGAAAATCTCCTTAAACTTGGCCCTCTTGTGAGCAAAGTCTGCCTCCTGCGTCTTCCTCTCATTGAGTACACTGCGAAGATTAGATTCCAACTCGCCAACACGCTGCCGCAGGGCATTGACATCATCTACAGGGTGTAAACAACAAAGTAATCATGCCAACTGATATGAATTAATCCAGAACACAGCTCAATCAAGTTGATAATTCAATTCAACAATTTCTAGAAAGAACTGAGCGTCAACCCAAGCAGCTATTTATGTGCACAATGTATTCTGATAGATGGTCTGGACATCCATACACACGCAGTCACCTTGTACACGGTGTAGCTGTAGAAGTTTGCGGACCAATAGCAGAATTGACCTATCGCCGTTTGTGAGTTGGCCACGCCCCTTAGACAATCCTGTGGAATATTTGTACACTACGTTTTGTTTGTCTCAGATTTTGCGCGTTCCGCGTCCATTTTGTATTGGCCAATATTTCACAAGCTGCGTTGGCGCGATACTAACGCGATTCTACCGCGATAGGTCAATACATGTACTTAGGCATGCAACTGATATTGACAAAACAAAAACAGGAAATTACAAGTTTTACAAGATTTTACACAGTGTTTTTCAATTCTTAATGTAGGTGGGAAGTGAAAAACGAGGAAATCAGCAGATCCAAATTGCATGCCTGATACTGTTACAAAAATAAGCCCCACCCCCACTTGAATGGCTCCATAGAGCAGTATACATAAAAGATACATAGCATACATATTACATACATAAAGAGAAGTATAGTTCACTGAAATGCAAACTGTCATGACTGTACTGCCAAAGCCAAACATTACGCATCAGTAGTCCAAGTAACTAGGACTCTAGGAATCGCCTTTTTTAACATTTGGACATGGTCTGGCGATGGTATCACACGACCATGTCCAAATGTTAAAAAAGGTGATTCCAAGAGTCCCACAATGTAGTTACCCGGACTAACGCATCATCACGTATGGGTTGTGCAGCCTAGGATTTCATCACTTTTCCATTATATTTTTTTTGGGGGGGGGGGGACTTATTTACTTATCTATTAATTTGTTTGCATGTTTAACATACAACCAATAACAACAGTTAACTTTCTGATTTAGCCTCTCATGGGAAAATTAAAACTTTTTTTAATTGTAATGTCATACGATTTTAAATTTCAGCAAGGCAGTTCTCTAACAGTCTAACATGAATGTAGTCACGAAAGTTTTGATGAGGCCACAAAAAAAAAAAATTCTGGTTCCGATTACATGGCATTCGAAAATAGGGTAGGTAGGTAGGGAATTTTTTTATTTTTTTTTTTGCCAATTTTTTTGTGTACGATCATATGGAGGCGTCTGCGTGTAGTCAAGGGTAAAAGGTAGAAATTGATGGTTTTTGGTGTTTTTTTTCTCATTTTTCCCATAAAAAAATTAAGGTAGGGGCCGTCAGAATAGGGTAGGTAGGGAAACCGGAAGCAGAACTATTATTTTTTTTTGGCCTGATGCCCTTTTAACAAATAATTAGGCCAATAGGCCTAATATTACAGCAAATGCTATTAGAAACTCTTTCTTTTTGACAGAAATTTGACAGCTAAATTTGCTAGTACTAGCTGGACTGCACAAAGGCTGATTGCTGACAAATGTGGATAACTAAGAAATCTACTTCAATAAAAAAAAATCGCATTTGATTCAAAACATAAAACTAAAGAAAACTATTAAAAGTTTTAAAAGAACAAACTTGTTTTTTTTTAAAATTGTCCCAATGCTGCAGATTTGATGTCGGGACCTTTGGCATGGTAGTCGAACGATTAGTTTTCATGTTTGAGCTACAAAAGCGCTCCGGTTGGATGATAGTTAAAGGTGATCGTGTAGTAAGTGTAGGGATCCTCTTTAGTTTTGATCAAATTAGAGCCAAGGGTGTTTTTTTATCATTCAGTCAAAAATGACTTGTTTTAACCTAAACTAAAGCAGAATTCTCTCAATTCTTATGACACCATTTTGTAATTTTGAACAGTATGCCTATCTCGGGGTAGAATTTAGAAATTGCGATGTTCATACGTTTACAATTGGTGCCGTGCGATTCAATGCGGTAATTGCGCGTTCACGGTACATCATGGCGATTGCCATCTGTATTTTCGTGTTGTGTTTTGTGGTCATAATCGTTGGAAAGATTCCCATATCTGGCCATCACTATTGACCTATCATCAGCCATCAGAAAGTGAGGAGTAATTGCAGAACACCCCGCCATTCGGAAATACACCCCTAAATTCTCTGGCTACGAGGTTTGAAAAAGAAACAATTCAAGTCCATTGCCAGCTACGCGGATACTGAGTGGGGGTCCCCTTGAGAACGAAGCAACACAAAATGAATGGGAGTTGCTGCAGCGCATGACGTCACTCACGCGGAAGCGGAATACCAGACGACTGTTGAGGTTTACCACTCGCATCAAAGCTGCGATACTGGACGGCAACCAAAGTTAGCCGATTATCGTGCATGAAACAGTCCTCGGGTTTTCTGCTTCCGCGTGAGTGACGTCATGCGCCATCAGCCAGCGCAGCCGGCACGAACGAACTGGTAAACGCGCTGTGCACAAATCCAATTGCGGTCCTCGCCATGACCGCACGGTTGTCGGTTTATGCCTCCTTTTTTCACTGCAATTGTAGGCTGAATCTTCATCGTGGATCGTTTTTTGCTTCAAGGACCTGTGTAATGGTTATTCCAGGCAAGGTTTGGGTGAGTTCCAGTTAAAATTAGTGTGTAACAGGGACAAAATTGAATTTTTTTTTTGGACCTGCCAACTCTGCTGGTTCGCATGAAAAATGTCCTCCAGCCCTAAATGACAACCCACTGATAAAATTTAGGGCTGGGTAACTCCAGCTATGATAAGCCATGAATCTGGGACTGAGAAACATTTGCAATTTTGTTAGGAAATACTTGGCGGCCTAGGCCTAGACCCTAGACAATTTTCTTGACTCTCCATAGACTTTGTACACAACCAACAACCGCTGAAGCAGCGTCAGGTTGCAACATTCTTTCCCTAGGGGAGCGTGTAGCATAGGGCCCTGTTCGAACGGGACCGGACCCTACGCTACACGATCGCCTTCGACTGTACAGTGATTACACGATACATTACATGTACAGTCTAGTCATGAGAGTCGCAATGGTGTTTTTGCAATGTCGGAACGATATCGACAATGATCGATACGGTCATGACGGTGGCACAGTTGAAAATCGCGCTGCCGTACAACCACGTTTTTTTCTCATACAAACCTTCAATGCTGATACCAGCGGCACGATGAACATTATTGACCTGATTCTCCATGCTTCACACAACAAATTTTACTAATATTGAGTCAGAAGGAAGAAAATCATGATTTAAAGGTGGCGTTCATTGACATTGCATCGATAAATGCTATGTCTTCCGATGTCAGCCATTTTCTTTTCTGAAACCTAGACTCGTTCATGAACGCTCAAACCTTTTATACTGTTTTCCCTTAAAACTTGTTCCCAAAGGTTATTCACGCTAGGTAATAAAAAGTTAAAAATAACTACAATTTATTTCCCATAAAATGTTAAATAATTAAAACAATTTATAATAACAATATCATCACTCAAAACATTCTGTAGTCTTGGTCCAAGGCGTAAAGTGATCGTGCACAATTACTTTTTCAGACCATATTGCGCATGCGTCATTTGGTAATGGTGTTTCTCGAAGTCACTTCCCTTAAAAAAAAAAATCATCCAAAGTCATGAATCAGAAAAAATTAAAAACAAAATGTTTATTGATAAGAAGAACTTGATTTAACACAATTAAGAAAGAAAATTCATATTTGCGTGATCAGGATTGAGCACACGCAATCACCATAGCTCCATGTGCTATACACATCGCCATCTACCCCCCCCCCCTTCCACCCACACCAAAGCTGGATCCGCCAAAGCAGAATAGTCAGTTTCTAGGCAATATACATATACATAGTACTTTTTCGAAACGCGGCATGGACAGCAAGGGCGGATCCAGAACACAATTGTTTTTTTTGGGGGGGGGCCAAAAAAAATTGTGGTCCCCCAAAAAAGTGGGTCAAAAAATTACGGCGAGGGGTTCGGGACCCGCTTAAGGGCCCCGAAAAAAATTTGGATTCTAGATGCTCTGTGGTGCGTCTGAGGCAATTTCTGACCACTTTAACCAATGTTTTTTTGAGGATAAGATGGTGGTGTACTCATTGCCTGCCTTTATTGCGATGTCACATAAAAAAAATAAAAAAAATTGTTTCGTTTTTTTTGGGGGGGGGGGGGGGCATGGCCCCCTTTGCCCCCCCCCCCTGGATCCGCCCTTAGTGGACAGCCGTTGTATAATTTGTTTTGGCTGCGCACAGCAAGATAGTAAAATAATATGAAATGCCATATAACTCTCGGCAATTCGAGATACATACATTATCGTGTCTTGGATACTACAATTTCATTGCGGCCACGTGTCCCGGAAGTCTATAAAAAAATGACTGTTGCTTCATATTCGCTGCGTTGCATATTAATTACTTCACACACACCGCGTTAATTTGCACATAATTTACTCATATACACTGCGTTGCATAATAAATACCTCTGCGTTGTGCGCGCGGGTAGGACGCGGTCCGCGCGCCTCGCCACTGAGAACAACGGTTCATTCTCACACATTCGGGTAGGCAGGAAACCCACATAGCAGATCAAAAGGTACTACACTTTGATTAAATTTATTTCTCTCATAATAAGTTTAAGTTGCACAAACTTTATCTTTTTGACTTTTTGGCACGATATAATAATAACAAAACAATTGGTGACTTCTGTGATGTGGGATATCGTTTTAACCCCCTCGGCGCGAACGGTTCGGCTTCGCCTCGGGTGCTATGTGCCCCCTTCCTCGGCCCGGGTGAAAACGCCATATCCGACCTAGTGGGCCTACATCATAATCAAAACATGCAGTCAACAATATTGTTAAATATTCCAACCTTTTACCATGTACATGTATAGTATATCTGGCACGATTTGGCGATACAACTTTAACGAATGTAAAAACGTATTTTCTGTCTCATCGAATACGTTTCTCTACAACTATTTTGACATAAAAACACTTTATAACATTTCTGCTGTTCGTATTTAGTCGTTTGCCTATAGTTACAATCACCAAGTGTGGCCTTTAATATTCGACGTCCATTATTTCCCCCGATGAGATTAGCAAGTTCCCTTCGCGCTGACTAATAAAATTGGACAAAAATAGGCTTGGGCGCGTCCATTTTTAAAGCAATGGTGTTTCAGTTGCCACTATCTGTCAATCTTATTAAACCTCACGAATATTAATAAGGTTCCTATCCATATATGGTGTGCAGTATTTTTTGGCAGGCTTCCATTGGTCGATAGCGATCCCACGCGAAGTCACGACGACTCACGCTAATCAGTGGTAGTACTCATGACAGAATATATAAACTTGTAAGGATTCATAGAAATTGAGGTAAGTAAATAGATGTGGGGACCTTTCGAACGATTTTTCCACGACTTTAAGGTAAGCTTTACCAGTGACTAGTATTGACGATTCTGCATTAATATCCGTTGGGTGATTATTTTTATAATTTAACATTTGAATCATACTGAGCATATTTTTTTTTCAAAAACAGAACGTTCAAAAGGCACCAAAAGCGAAGTGATGTAATTCACTGTTCTGTCTGTAATGTCCAGTAATACGTAATCGGAATAAGTTTGCCTATCAACGCACGATGCAAACCGCTGGGCGACCGCAAGACTGAGACATCGATGGAGAAAACGGATTTCCGCAAATTGTCTCTTGATCTTTTCCGAGTACGTTTCTGTATTTGTTTAGAGGTCTTAACGCTCACTATAGGGGCAACTTTACATTTCATTAACACATGAGCATGTCGGTATTTTTGACACGCATTTTGATAAGTGATAATGATAGGCCTAAGTACTACTTTGTGGTGGGTCCTGAGCACACCTGCACGACCAATGCCTTGAAAACTTTGGACGGCCCTGCCCCTAATTATATCGTACGACTATAGAGCAAGGAATGATTCGACTTGAGTCAAGTCTAGCGGCTCAGCAAAGCGGTGAACCTGCCAGTCTGGTGTCAGGTCAACTCGCCCCCTGGCCGACTCGCCCCTTACCGACTCGCCCCTTACCGACTCGCCCCCTGACTGACTCGCCCCTGACTGACTCGCCCCCTGGAAAAATAAGCACCTTACACATTAGAGACACACTCCTGGGAAAAAAAGTGGTCCGGTTAACTCATTCCTTATGATGGGACTTGCGGTTTGGCCGAAGTCAATTTAGCGTGATCGGCTGACTGATGAGGTTTACGCACAAAACCCCGATCCAATGAGGTTTTTGTATAGAAAGCTGCCGAACCACATTTTGCGAGAGTGTGTCCGTAAGGCCAAAAAAAAGTCTCCGGTTCCTGGTATGCGCGCGGGTCGCCGTAGCCATGCGCGTCGGCAAAATGAAAAAAAAAAAAATTTCAATGAAAGATGATTTCTCAAAACCGCCAAACTCACTGGTTTGACTGGAATCCTGCTGCTGCACAATTTTAACGTGTTTTTTGGATGGGGTTATGATTGAGAATAAGCTTTATGTGGCCTCTCTGGACTCCCATATACTAAGTTTAGTCGGGCACTATTTGCAGTCATCCGTCAGCCGACATGTGAGGTAAAAAAAAAATCAAGTAAAAAAAAAAAGCCGCATCGCCGCACCACTTTTTGGGCAAGCTCCATACCAGAAACCGGAGACTTTTTTTGTTGGCCTAATGATGTTGAAGCCTGCCGGTAACGCTGAGCCATACTGCCAAAGTTACCAATGGCATCCCTACATTTTCTCCTGCAAATAGGACCCATTTTTGGACCCTAATTTTATCAAATCTGCTCTTAGATAATAGCCCAAAAGCTAGGGAGATGATCCTCAGCTATATTCGCACGATTCCACCGATTTTTAAACTAGACGGTCTCGTTTTTTTACAAAAAAATTGTGGGGGGGGGGCCCATTTTATGTAAATTAACGACTCGCGTAAATTTTTGAAACCCTAATCAAAATTATTGCGCCCGCTGTCGATTTATTGCGCGACTTCTGATATATCTTCTGTCTAGCCCCGTCACACCCCCACCACCACATCGAAAAATAATAGAAATTAAATACTGTTTATAAATGTGCTTGTTTATTCAGACATTCATGAAGCATATTCAAACCGATTGGATGTTTCCAAAGTGTCTTTTCCATTTGCAGAAGTTCTTTTTAAAAGCCCATGGGGGCATGCAAATTGTGATTTGGCCGGCGTATGCAAATTCGGGTCTTTTTATTGGACGATCTTAAAAGGTAGAGCCCAGGAGCCTAGGAGATTTTTTTTATTTACGTTTAAGAGTAAAGATTTCCCTTACAAAAACACCTAATTATTTTATATTCCCTGACGTGCCTTTATGTGCGCATCCCGCCCCCTATCGCTCATAAATAATAAAACGTCATTTCAGCTGGGTTTTGTTACTTTTGTAGTAGCTTGACCTCCCCCCCGCCAACAACTAAAAGAAATAGGCAAAATACTGACAACCTTCCAAGGATATGAAGTGTCTCACATCTTTCAAGTTTTATTTATTTTGTTTAATTCCTTAGTCTTATTGACATACAAATATTTAAACCAATTCATGCAAACAAATACAAAAGATTCCAAATGAGGAAAAAAGTTGGGCAGAGGGCCAATAAATTTGAGAAATTAATAATCACTTTATAATATCATAGATGATTATTACATAAGCAACGACTACATGACTGTACACGGTAAAGCCAGGTTTTTGTATTTCGCCATTTTGTGAATAAGATTTTAAAAAGGGAAGATAAAACTTGGGAATCCCCCCCCCCCCTCCAAAATAATCCTAGATTATTTTGAAACATTTCAGGACTATATTTTGTCTAATTTAGCTATTATGTGAAAAAAATATTTGATGCAAGGCAAGTTCAACACTCGATATATATTGCGTTTATCCTTTTGTGAGGTTAGTTAATTAATAATAATAAAATGAAAAGACATGCAAAACCACCAAGAAAAACAATTGTGCATACGAAGTGAAAATATAACAAGTAAAAAAAGTGCAATGAAATAATAAATCACAAAAGGACAAACACAAAATGTAATTTGAGTGTCACTCATACCTGTTGCAATGCATTTTGATGGATAGAAGTTCCTGAACAGTTTATTTTTTAAATTTTCCTGAAAATTAAACGTTCTTGTGTTTTCTAATAATTTTACATGTACAATGGAAAGAAAGTCACGTTTTAGTTAAACCGACGTCTTGTTAAAGACGTTAAATTTAAATAAAGTTTGTTACATTTCTTCAGTTTTTAAACAATAAATTAATCCTTTTTGAAATCTTTCAAAACTCTTAGGACTTAAATTGGTTTTCTTAAAAATGCACTTTCAATATCAAATTAAATTTATAGAGCAAAATTCTCCATTGTCAACTGAACAAAAAGCAAATAGAAAGCCTTAGCCGAGACCTCGTTTATAATTTACCGAAAAGATCCAATTGAATGCATTTGCATTAAAGGTAAGGAGTATGAAATTATTAACTTATTGATGCAATAATTTTGGATGACCCAGGACAGATCAAAGGAACATCCCTTCTCCCAGACATGTCACTGCTAAAAAGCCAGTGACAAATTCAGCAAGTTTCCATTATTGTCCATTGTTAACTGTCTGTTGCAGTATTCGGTTTAAGATTATTTTAGAGGCATAAATAATTTAATGAAATCAACATTACTTTTCATTTTGTTTAGTGGTGTTGCCTTAGTGTATATTATTAATGACGTTGCATTATGCAGTCTGATTTATCATTTCATATTATGCAAGCTAGTATTTTAACTCAAGTTTCCGATGAGGGCATCCTTGTCCAGTAGAGCAGCTTCGTCATTGTCCAGTCTCGTCCAAGCTTGGTGGTCCTCATGTCCTAAACATGACAAAATAAGCAAGCAAATGTAATAAAAATACATATATTAGGAAATCAAGCACTGTGGATTTTGTAGGAGGGGCAAACTACAATCAGAGGAATAACAAATTATAATCCTCATACCCTGGTCTTTTTTCGTTTTCAAAGTAAACTCACCTCAAGAATCAGTAATGGCCAGGGCCAGCAGGCGGTGTCAGTCCATCGTCGGTCCTCCCAGCTTACGATGGCTTGAGGCAGGCTCATCCTCATCTCAGTAAGACAATTCCCTCATCAGTCAGTGTCAGTGGTCCTCATTTCTCTACAAGGATTCAAATGACGAAAAAAAATATCTGAAATATTATTAAGAAATATGTGCAAGGAGAAAGAAAACTTCGATTTTTACCCCACAAGCAACACAACGCTATACCAGCACTCGTTGTGGACGGAAGAACACAGAAAAGCGCCAATCACCAATTTTGAGTTCTGTGACTAAGAGGAAGCCTACATCTAAACTAACTTCAAGAATCAGTAATGTGAAGCCCAGCAAGCAGGTCATCCGTTCATCTGTCGGTCCTCCTTCCTGCTTCCGGTTCCTCGAGTTTCCGTGTGATGAGGCTGTTGGAGCCTTGGAGGGTTGATTTTCGTCCAGACAAAGCAGCCTAGCTCATCCATGCAGTCTCAACTTTTAGATCATCAGTTTCTTTGAAGAAAGCTGCAACTCTTTCCTAAGTGAACAGGGTTACGAAAACACTGGGCCTAGCCCATTTATTACTGAAGTGAAACATTCCAAAGCATTATGTCTAAGCCTACTTGTAATAAGGCCACTTGTTACCAAATAGAAACTAAACGATTCTACCCATGTTTCCACTATTTACTTTTAAAAACAGACATGATTTTTTTTGTCATAATGCACACGAACATGTGCCGACACCGATAACGGCAGGTTGCCAATAAGTTGTACCCTTTCACAATGTACTTTTTTGGTGGGGGGGGGGGGGGGCAATTAGGTCTTTTTGGAGGCACTTCTCGACAATGCCAACAATTTCGATGTTTTTGAAATGCCGCTGTATATAACTGAAATTCAGTCATTTTCTAAACAGATATTTTGTTCATTATGGTGTGATTTTTTTTCTCGTAATTTTGCCAATTTCATTTTCTTTTGCTGCCGTCATTTTCCCACCGTTTGCCAACATTCGCTTTCCGACTTTTAAAGGCAAGTACATGTACATGTATTTACTTCTCTCGTTGCGGATGATTAATTTTTATGCCGTTATTTTCTTCATTTTTAATTTTATTTCCATAACCCATTTTGTTTACTTTGTGGCAAGAAAAATAATACTGATTTCGGGTATTTTTATTCTCACTAACGCTGTGATGTTTTCCTGGCGTTATTTTCATCATTTTCCTAGCGTGTAGGCCTGCACGTAGAAAGCGGAGTAATTTCTTTTTTTCGGAAAAAAAAATCGCTTACGATGTGATTTCCGCTACAATTTATTTTGGACCGATTTGAAGTTTGTTTTCAGTTTTCGTCATACGCGTAGTCAAGTAAATATCCGGGTGGGTATTATTTATTCCAATACTGCCTAACATTTTAAAGTTGATTTCGTATTTTCGTCAATTTGAGATTTGCCTCCTCAAAACCGTAACATTTTTTGCCCGACGTATTGCAGTTGAGAAAACATAACACTGATTTCAAGTATTATTCCTTTCAACATCTGCTTCGATTTTGCTTAACGATTTGACATTTTCGTAGCCGCAACGATTAATTTGATTTAAAAAAAAAAATAATTTTGTCTATTGTCAGAGACAACAGACGGATACCATTAAAAAATCACACCACACAGAGAGCAATGCACACAAAGGCAAAAAATCAAACATGAAACATTTACAATGAAACAAAATACAATCTACTTTTGAGTTTTTTCCCCCAAAAGTCATTCTCTCTGTAAGCATTTTTTTTACTCACAGATAAGTTTACCTTTAAATACTTAATAATGAACCGAGCTTAAAAGTTCTTCACATAATAAAAATGTCTTTCATATAAATTTATGCAAAGTATAATTAACCAAAGTTATGACTTTTGATTTTACTACGATCATTAAAATATGGTCAACTGTCAACTGTGCCCTCACTGCTCACAGACTAGCGAAGTATAGACAATGCGGCGCTTTTACAGACGCTGTTAATCCCAGATTTTTTGACCTTTTAGTGTTACTATAAGAGCGTATATGTCACCTTAACAGAGAGCTCATTTAGGAATAAGTGTTACTTGTTAATCAACAGTTTTCTCTGTATTAGACAACCAAATGAGTAACTCAAAGGAGAAATATATACTTGAGGAAAACATGTATCCCTGCCGATCTTTCCAAATCGGACTCACATAAATGATGTAGATTAAGTTTAAACCTTTACAAAAACACGAAAAGAAGAAATGTCGCATGCGATAGTAAATATGTTGCATGTCTTAAACAGCCATTTCCCTATCGCTTTGTTGATTACACTTAAGTTGTACCCTTTCACATGCATAACCTAGCTATTTCTGGCCTTTTTGAAGGCAAACTTCTTGACAATGTCACAAATTGCAGTTATTTCCGTGACGAATAATACTTAAAAGATGTGGCGTATGCCTAGAACTCGGGGGAATGCCTTTAACATTGCTGCTTTAATTGAAATTCAGTCATTTTCTGTACATCGATATAATGGAGTTTTTCCTTCATTTCCGTCATTTTTTTACCTTTTTTTTCTGCCGTCATTTTCCCCACCGTTTACCAAAATTCGCTTTCCGACTATTTTAAGCAGTGTAGTACCGTACCGGAAGTGGCTGCCGATTATAATTTGAATTTTTTTGTTAACATTATTTCGCGGGTCATTTTTCCTTAGCAAATTTTTGCATGACATAGGGCCTAGAAGTTTAGAAAATTACCGATTTTCAAATATTTATTTCTTTCGCTGCCGCTGTTAATCTTTTTACCGTAATTTTCGTCTCTTTAATTTCATTCTTCCGCAATCGAATTTTTTTTTACTTTGTAGGTAAGAAAAATAACACTGATATCAAGTATTATTTCTCTCACTAACGCTGTGATTTTTTTAGCCGTGTAAAATATGTTTCGTCACTTCACTTATTTGCCGCGTTGTTTTTCGGTGTAATTTTCGTAATTTTCCTGTAGCTACCTGTAGAAACAGAGTGCCGGGCTGCGAGAAGAAACTCCACGTACTATGTGATTTTCGTTGTAATTTATTTAGGCTGATTTGATTTTTGTTTCCACGTTTCGTCACACGCGTTTAGTCAACTATTTCGGGTAGGTATCGCAGTAAAGGTGAAAACAACACTGATTTCAGTTTTTTTCGGCGTAAATTTCATCATTTTCTCAGCCACTTGTTGGAAGCGGAGAAGCATTTCTGTGAGTAGAAAATCCGCTCATGATTTGATTTTCACTGCAATGTATTTTACACAAATTTGACTTTTTTTCTTCAATTTTCGTCGTACTCGTTGTCAAATATTTCAGGAATAGGTATCTCAGTAAAGTTAACCAGTAACAGTGATTTAAGCTATTATTTCTACCAATTATAGCGGTAACTTTGGCGTAAGAATTCGTATTTTCGTCGTTTTCATGTTTTATAATAATGCAAAATAATATGCAGTCTGATTTTGGATCCAATATTCCGCAAATTGGAAAGTGTCTGATGAGGGCATCCTTGTCCAGATAGAGCAGCTTCGTAATTTTCCAGTCTCATCCAAGCTTGGCGGTCCTCATCTTCTAAAACATGACAAAAAGAGTAAACTAGCATAATTTAGAATTAATATTTAAAGAGGAAATCAAGCATCGTAAGAGGTGACATAGTATTAAAGGAATAACAAATTTAAGTGTAGGCCTACATATCCCTGGTCTCTTTTCAAGTAAACATACCTTAAGAATCGGTAATGGCCAACCAAGCAGGCAGAGTCAGTCAACCGTCGGTCCTCCCAGCTTATGGCAGCTTGTGGCAGGCTCATCCATCATAGGGCAATTCCCTCACCAGTCAGTGGTCCTCATGTCTGTAAAAAGATTCAAATGACGAAAGACAATATCCGAATTATTAAGAAATATCTGAAAGGTAGAGCAAGGGGGGGGGGAGAAGAAATTTTCGAATTAACCCCACAAAGCAGTACCCCACTACCAGCACTCTTTATTTGTGGGAGAACATAGAAGAGCGCTAATTCACCCATTTTGATTACTTGTTTCTGCTTATTCTTTAGGTACATGTAACTAAAAACTAACCTCAAGAATTAGTAATGGGAAGCCCAGCAAGCAGGTCATCCGTTCATCTGTCGGTCCTCCTCCCTGCTTCCGGTTCCTCGGGTTTCTGTTTGATGAGGCTGTCGGAGCCCTGACGATGTCTTGAGACAGGCTCATCCTCATCTCAGTAGAGCAATTCCCTCATCAGTCAGTGGTCCTCACTCTGCTGAAAGGATTCAAATAAAGAAAGGAAACATTTGAATTATTGAGCTGTATTCGTGCCAGGGCTCGAAAGGGGAAAGAAAACATTGAATTAACCCCACAAAGCAAAGCCCTGCTACCAGAACTCGTTTGTGGACGAACCTATAATATTAAACAGAGTCAGATCGCCCATTTAAATTAGTTCTGTGACTTGATTGTTTCTGTTATGGGGAGGCCTACATGTAAACTAACCTAATAATCAGGAATGGGAAGCCCAGCAAGCAGGTCATCCGTTCATCTGTCGGTCCTCCTCCCTGCTTCCGGTTCCTCATGTTTCTGTTTGATGAGGCTGTTGGAGCCCTGACGATATCTTGAGGCAGGCTCATCAATCCCAGTAGAGCAATTCCCTCATCAGTCAGTGGTCCTCATTTTTCTGCAAGGATTCAAACGACGAAAGAAAACATTTGATTTATTGAGCTGTAATTGTGCCAGGGCTAGAAAGGGGAAAGACAACATTGAATAACCCCACAAAGCAAAGCCCCGCTACCAGAACTCGTTGTTTGTGGACGAACATATATAAGAGCGCCATATCGCCCATTTTGATTAGTTCTTGACTGTTTCTGTTTAAGTAGGCTACATGTACACAAACCTGATAGTCAGTAATGGGATGCCCAGCAAGCAGGTCATCCGTTCATCTGTCGGTCCTCCTCCCCGCTTCCGGTTCCTCGAGTTTGTGTGATAAGGCTGTTGGAGCCCTGACGATGTCTTGAGGCAGGCTCATCAATCTCAGCAAAGCAATTCCCTCATCAGTCAGTGGTCCTCATTTTTCTGTAAGGATACAAAAGAAAACATTTGAAATATTGAGCTGTATTCGTGCCAGGGCTAGAAAGGGGAAAGAAAACATTAAATTAACCCCACAAAGCAAAGCCTGCTACCAGAACTCGTTGTTAGTGGAAGAACATTATAACAGAGTCGGATCGCCCATTTTGATGAGTTCTGTGACTTGATTGATTCCGCGAAGAGGAGGCCAACATGTAAACTAACCTCAAAAAATAGTAATGGGTAGCCCAGCAAGCAGGTCATCCGTTCATCTGTCGGTCCTCCTCCCTGCTTCCGGTTCCTCGAGTTTCTGTGTGATGAGGCTGTTGGAGCCTTGGAGGGTTGATTTTCGTCCAGACAAAGCAGCCTAGCTCATCCATGTAGTCTCAACTTTTAGATCATCAGTTTCTTTGAAGAAAGCTGCAACTCTTTCCTAAGTGAACAGGGTTACGAAAACACTGGGCCTAGCCCATTTGTTACTGAAGTGAAACATTCCAAAGCATTATGTCTAAGCCTACTTGTAATAAGGCCACTTGTTACCAAATAGAAACTAAACGATTCTACCCATGTTTCCACTATTTACTTTTAAAAACAGACATGATCTTTTTTTGTCATAATGCACACGAACATGTGCCGACACCGATAACGGCAGGTTGCCAATAAGTTGTACCCTTTCACAATGTACTTTCTTTGGTGGTGGGGGGGGGGCAATTAGGTCTTTTTGAAGGCACTTTTCGACAATGCCAACAATTTTGATGTTTTTGAAATGCCGCTGTATATAACTGAAATTCAGTCATTTTCTAAACAGATATTTTGTTTATTATGGTGTGATTTTTTTTCTCGTAATTTCGTCAATTTCATTTTCTTTTGCTGCCGTCATTTTCCCACCGTTTGCCAACATTCGCTTTCCGACTTTTTGAGGCAAGTACATGTACATGTATTTACTTCTCTCGTTGCGGATGATTAATTTTTATGCCGTTATTTTCGTTATTTTGATTGTTATTTCCATAACCCATTTTTTTTACTTTGTAAACTGATTTCGGGTATTTTTTACTGATTTCGGGTATTTTTTCTCTCAATAACGTTGTGATGTTTTCCTCGCGTTATTTTCATCATTTTCCTAGCGTGTAGGCCTACACGTAGAAAGCGGAGTAATTTCTTTTTCCGGAAAAAAAAAATCGCTTACGATGTAATTTCCGCTACAATTTATTTTGGACCGATTTGAAGTTTGTTTTCAGTTTTCGTCATACGCGAAGTCAAGTAAATATCCGGGTGGGTATTATTTATTTCAATACTGCCTAACATTTTGAAGTCGATTTCGTATTTTCGTCAATTTGAGGTTTGCCTCTTCAAAACCGTAACATTTTTGTGCCCGACGTATTGCAGTTGAGAAAAAAATGACACTGATTTCAAGTATTTTTTCTTTCAACATCTGCTTCGATTTTGCTTAACGATTTGACATTTTCGTAGCCGCAACGATTAATTTGATTTTTTTTTTTTTTTAATTTTGTCTATTGTCAGAGAAAACAGACGGATAGGCCTACCATTAAAAAATCACACCACACAGAGAGCAATGCACACAAAGGCAAAAAATCAAACATACAACATTTACAATGAAACAAAATACAATCTACTTTTGAGTTTTTTCCCCCAAAAGTCATTCTCTCTGTAAGCATTTTTTTACTCACAGATAAGTTTACCTTTAAATACTTAATAATGAACCAAGCTTAAAAGCTCTTCACATAATAAAAATGTCTTTTATATAAATTTATGCAAAGTATAATTAACCAAAGTTATTACTTTTGATTTTACTACGATCATTAAAATATGGTCAACTGTCAACTGTGCCCTCACTGCTCACAGACTAGCGAAGTATAGACAATGCGGCGCTTTTACAGACGCTGTTAATCCCAGATTTTTTGACCTTTTAGTGTTACTATAAGAGCGTATATGTCACCTTAACAGAGAGCTCATTTAGGAATTAGTGTTACTTGTTAACCAACAGTTTTCTCTGTATGGCTATTTAATTAGTAACGTCCTTCCGTGTTTTTGTTAAATGGTTAAAGTTTTAATGTTCAAGTTCTTCTGAAGGAAGGGGCCTCTTGGAAATCGGCGCGACTAATATGCACCGAAGAGGGTATCCCTTACAAGTGACACTGCACCAGGCATGGTCACTGTCAATTGCCGATGGCCTAGATTTTATGAATCTTGTTTGCTCTTAAACATTTTATACAATAAAGAAATTATATCGTCGTTGGTGGACAACGCACCAGGCATTGCCACTTTCTGTAGTTGTTTTACTAACTTTGTTTAATTATTGTTTTGAGTAGGGCAGAGTACCAGCCAATGTCCGTATAGAGGGCAGCATTCCAGTTGATCGATAAAAAAAATCACAAATTACTCTCAATCAATTACAAAATCGACTTTAAATTTGCGAGTGAAGTTTCTTAATAGCGAAAATGAAATAAAATACACCAGTACTTTCAAGTTTAGGGGGACAGTGTTATTTATTAGACTGATTTTCGTTTGCATTTTCATCCTATTTTTTTTTTTTTTAAAGAAAACTTCTAAAACTTCCCATCGCACTGCCTGCAGGCTCAATGTGCGCATGCTCGCAGCGGGCTGTGCTTGCTCCCTAATTTTCGTTTGCTTCATTTTCCCTAACACTGTTCATTGCACCGTGCTAAACAGTTCCCTAGATTTTATCACTTCGAAGTATGGTACACGAAATCGCGCGATTACACAGGTACGCGGATATGCGGATACGCGGGTACGTGGATATGCGGATACGCGGGTACGTGGGTACGAAGACCAAGAGGAGATGAACATATTGTTCTTATTTAGGGCCTACTACTATACATATGACAATCACAACGTACGTACGTGATACATTTAATTTATCACATACGTACGTGATAATATAATATTACGTACTAACGCAATATTAGTATTATTCTTGCGTACATACCTGATAAATAAGTACATATTACGTACGTACATGTATTGCATATGTATTAAAGTGATAATACGTGTATCCTTAAACGAGTATACGTTGTGTATACGTACTTAATAATTATCACGTGGGCCCTACGTACGTAATAATTATCACGTGGGCCCTACGTGATAATATTACCTACGTACGTGATAATATTCAAGTACGTGCGTGAGTTACGTATGTACGTGACAATAACACCTACGTAATAGTATTATGAACAAAACTAAATAACTCCCATGTCCCTTCACGGTCTTCGTACCAAACCGTCTCCGGTCTAGCCAAAAAAAAACCAAAAAAAAAAACACGAGTTTGCCGAACATTACGTATGAATATGCCTTATTATCGAACGGAAAAGCGATAGAACGCGGTGCGGATGTTTCTAAACGCGTATGAAAATATTTCGCCGAATTTAAATGCCTATAACATTATCCTAACACTCCTACAGATCCAGCAGCTGCTTTGCTTTGCGGATGCTGCATAATGCACGCCTGCAGCGTCTGCACTCCTCCCAACTTGACCTACAAAAAAAACCTAATTAATTGTTTGCATCACTTGCACCAACGTTTTGCCCAGAATGTTGATTAGGTTTTATATGGTTTCAATTTATTTTTAGTTTCTGAGACTGAGGTGGGGAACGTCTTTTAACCTTCTCCAGAAAGGGAGTTACATAAGACCTGAAAGTCAATGTGACAATGAAGGAGACACTGTCACAGGTTTATCATTGAAAATACTGGCGTAAATTAGCGAGTTTAATTATTCAGGGACAATTTGAAAAAAAAAAATTCCACTGGAATGCTACCCTTCAACTGTTCCACGTGCGAACGCAATGTCACTGCACGTATCAAATTCCTATGCAAATTAACTCACGTGCGAACACAATGTCACTGCACGTGTCTGACGATTTCTTTCGAAATGTTATTTTCTCCCCACGTTCGAACACAATGTCACTGCACGTATTTTATAAATTCCTATATGCAAATTAACACTCGTGCGAACACAATGTCACTGTACGTGATAAATTCCTATTGGCATTGCATTATTATTGAATAAAATAATCATTTTCGTTCAACCTTAATTCTACTGTAATT